CCTCTTTAGCCTCCTCTTTGTGGTGTAAGCGCATGCCAAGGTCTCCGAGGATCTCCCATTCGATGCCAGTTTTCCGGTATGCAACATGCTGTGTTTTGAAATGTGCGACTTCTGCTCGAAAGATCGTCCACACTCGCAAATCCTGGGAAGATATGTTGTATTCAAGGAATAAGTTGCCCATTGTGGAGTGATTCTTACCTCGTAAAGGACCATAAACAGATTATCTAGCCACCGCTCACACAGGCGCTTGTTTGTGAATGAGAACGCCTCCTGATAGGAGTTTGACACCTGCGATGGCTCAGGCTCCTCCCCGGCAGCAGCTTGCACTGGCTTCTCCAGTGTCATGCTTTGCTCGTCCTGTTCCGCAATGCCATTGCGAATGGACTCTGCAATTTCGCGTTCCGTGTCAGATTCTGAGGACACACGGATAATCGGGATGGCGGAAACATTCAGGCCATTTTCAAATTCAGGCTTGCTCTCCGATTCCGAGAGGGGGCTTGACATCCCTCGTGTAGACGCGTCATCGTCTGCGAGAGTTGCATTCCCTGCGGTCACAGAGCCATCCTCGTGGATCACTGCGACATTTTCATTCACATCTTGTGCGCTGTGGCTGGTCGCCACTTTTTGGATGTCTGCCTGGGCCTTTTGCATCCGATACTCTTCTTCCATAACAAACACTACACTCCGCGTCTTCAGCAATTCGTCCCAGCCTATATCAGAGACAAGACGTGTGAGCAAGGAATAGGCCCTCGCCCACGTTCCACGAAGACCCGGTGCAGGAAGGCGAAGGAGGGCAGGATCAGCCTGAAGAGACATGAGATGGGAATGACAATATAATAATCTCACGAACCACATCATCTTCACTTTTCGTTTTTTCAGGGAGGATGTCGCCGATCTGGCGCTGGAATGGCAAGTGGACCTTTGCAGGTACAAGAGCACGGTGAGCATCACGTCCATTGAAAGTGAACATTGGACATGAGTTCAGCGTTAAAAGCGCCTGTGGTGGCGGTCAGTGAAATTGACCGCACTCAAGAAAGTTGCATACCGATTCGTAGTCTTTTGTATCGATGTATAGCTCGGTGAGCTTCTCCCAAGTAACAAATTCACTCGGTGCACAATTGACAGCCTCTTTCGCGAGTTTCAATGCCCAGTCCGACCTGCCCTTAGAACGAAGGAAATCACTTTGTACGTGGAGAAGGGTATAAGAGTGTGGAGTATGCTTCATGGCAGCAGACATGATCTGGACTGCCTTAACTTCCTCATCTTGTCATAAAATATGTCAGGCGGGACGGTATCTCGGAAAGAGGGAGAAACAAGCGCACTCATTCCAATGTAACTTCTTGCCAGGAGCGAGGCAATTTCCGGCTCTCGTGCAGCTAGTTTCTCGAATAAATTAGCTGCTGGCTGACAGCGGCCACTGCTGCTGAAGTACTTCATTACACCAGCAGTCAAGTGGTTAGAAACCACAGTAGCAACCTGTATCTCAGGATCTGACCCGACCTGCCATCCTACATTGCGATCAGTTTCTTGAACAAGCAACAAGCAAGGCCAAAGGTGAAGCACTCGCCCTTCATAAACAAGGCCTCAGCTGCCTGTAGAAATCGGAGTTCGCCTTCGATTGTAGTGATAGGATCGAGCTTGCGGTAAGCTTCCAGCCAGTAAGTCGGGTCGTCGGAGTAGAGGATAGCCCGAAGCAGCGCAGAGAGGTATGTTTCTTGCCATATTTCTGGAGTCGCTTCGTGTCTAAAGTCCACAAACACAATCAATGACTCGATACGTGCTATGATAGAATACGCACCGCTCTCCTCGAAGGTCTACGACATAGGCAACGACACCTCCAGGGATCTTCACATCTACACGGATATCGACGCGAGAAAACGCGTTGAAACAACTTTAACAAAGTGTTCAGCATATATGGAGGTACAGGTTATGAGAACAAACCAATAACAGCCATTCCTAACTTTCCATGCTGTACTCTTCGAAAACCAAGCAGAGTTGTCCTCGATAGAGTATGTGAGAGAATTGATGTACGCGGCGAGGGATGCTGAAGAGGACGCATCCACTCCAGACACAAAATGATATGAGCCAATCTAACTAATAATCAACATAGGCGCCGCAGATCCTAGATGTTGGAACTCACATCGCGTTGTCCAGTACGTCCAGTACTCTTCACAATATGACAGAGGTCTGGGGGGCCAAGTTCACGGAATGTTGCTATAATACATTGTCAATGTTTCAATAAGTAAGACAAGAACATGCTTGACTGACAAAGGCTTTCGGTCCTTGCTGTTAAAGCTTCTCCAAGTTCAACCTGAAACAGAGTAAGCCTGACATTGGTACGCAGCTATGAGAATTATGCCAACCTCGAACAGCTCTGGGACGTCTTTGAAGGACGCCGTTGCGTCCGCCATGATGATCGACGTCTATTCAAAGTAAGTTATGCTGTCAATTGGCGTGCCTGCCACCTGCGCAATATCAAGGACGATGTTGCAACGTTGAAGCTTTGAAGACGCGCCATATTTGTTCCTAAGGCTGTTACCAAACAACGCCTGTGGCTGTGCCACCACGCTTCAGATGGAAAGTTTCATCAAGTCATTAAAATCATGATATCGTGATTGAGATGTTGATGGGCGGACCCACGTGCCAACCCATTCCAGTGCAACACGACTACAGTATATCTTAAAATAACAATGTTCCTCAGGACAACGACTATCTCCCTAGGCCTTCAGCTGAGCATCCGAGTCAAGGTTCATCCACCTGAATCTGACTCCGCGAAACCAGGGGTACCTTACAATCGCTCCCAACATGGATTCATTGCCTACACCAGTAACCGTTTCCGCTCAACCGTTGTCCCACGTTTTGGCACACTACCCGATGGGTACTGTATCCTGTTCGGCACCGTATAACTCGCCCCGGAATGTGCAGGTGCTGTTAATGTCGACACTCCTTATATAAAAATGAAGTTGCTTACGAACGCCATATACATGCGCAATTCCAAGATAGCCATGATATCGACAAATTACCCTCGACCGAGATACTTCTGGAGCTTGCAAGAAATGTGCAGAACAGAGCCGTAGACAGATATGTGTATGCGGGTGCACTGCTAAATAGCTTTGAGGTGGGCCTCGTTGCGCTACAATCAGACCATCGTCGTTTCGAGATGCACTAATTCTGGAGATAGCACAAGACATTCGAGATTAAGTATGACTCGATCAAAATCAATCATGGAGCGCCTGGCACATGATAATTTTTTGGCAAAAGAACTGGTGTGAACCTCACTTGATCTCTGGAAACTATTTTTCCGTGGTAGGTGGCGCTCACAACCATCCGCGATGGCAATCCTTTGAACGCAGGGCTCGCGTAGCATCTGCTGTGAGGTGTTCGCCGAGGCTAGCGACCATGTTGCACCGGTATTTGTGTGGTGCAGTATTCTGATGACGATGGACTTGAGAGGGGGTTGGCGAAGGGAAGAACTTAAACCAGTGGGCCAGGAGACCGGTAGGAGAAGCTCAAAGTAAATATCAGTCATAAGCAGAGCGCTGGAAATAGTGCTCCTCCGCAACAGAATTGGTGACGAGTTTGAGACGCCAGAGTGGAGAACTTCGGCTGCATAAGTATTAAGGAGGCCTTGGGAGGAGGCTCGATGAAGGGGTAACATTGCAGTAAGCTATATGCATGCGTTCTAAGGACTGACATGGTGGTATGCTGGAGTAGCTGCTCGACACAAAGGTAACATGCAGGATAGATGGTCAAATTCGAGCGCCGAAGAACACCAACTATCAATTTGATGCGATGGGACACATTCTGCAGCAGCTGTGGAGACATTTTCACACTCTGGTATGATAAAATCTGAATTATCTAGCGTACAGGAACTTGGAAGTCACCCAGCACACGCACCTCTGCAGAAAGAATCTGAAAGACACCCACAATCCCTCCAAAGTCCACCTCGACCGCGTCCAATGCTATCAACCTCCAGTAAAATTTGGCAGCTCATTCCAATCATCACACCCCTGCGAAAGTTTGAAGGCCATGAAGAAATCGTAAAGACAGTCACAGTGTTTCCCGATAAACGACGGATGGTTGCGGGCTCTGACGACAAGGTGCTTCGCCTGCGGGACTTGAAGAGTGTTGAAGATGATGAGAAGGCATCACAGTGCCATGCGGGGATAGGCTGTATCACGAGATGGGCAATTGATAGCAAGAGACTGGGAAACCGCTCAACTTGCTGGGATGTTCAGGGTGTGCGTTTGGACCTCAATCAGCTCAATTATTATTTGTTATCACTTCCTGCAATCTAGTAGCTAAGACGATCTGTATTTGATGCAATAATTGGAAACTCGCCGGGAAGGCGGCGAGTAACACTAAGCTGAGTCAAACAAGATTGACAGGACGAAGCTATGATTCTTTTGAGCGTTATACAGGGGAGCACGTAGTGGTAGCTAAGAGACCCGAGTCTGGTCTATGTGATGTCTGGCGTCGTGATATAAAAGGAGCATGACACGTGATCTGTGACGTCGTAAACGGAATAGTAAGCGTCCAGCTTACACCCTCTCATTCTCCGAAGAATCTTCCATATCGTCTATCCGTCTTTCCATATCTTTGTTCTTTCGTTGGTCTTCTTCGGCAGCATTCGTGTCCGTCTTTGCGTTGTACTCTTGTAGTACGTCTGTGTCTTCAAGATCTTGACGCGCGATCCATGTGTCGTTTTCTGCGTCGTATCCACGCCAGCGCACAAGGTATTGATGTCCGCGTCCTCGTTTCCTCTTGTCTAGGATCTTCTCGATCTCCCATTCTTCTGCGCCTGTTGCGGTTACGATAGGACCCGGACGTTGGAGTTCTCTTGAGGGATATAGTGTGGCGTCGTTCGGGATGTGTCGTTTGAGTTCAGAGGCGTGGAAGGTTGGGTAAATGTTGGTGTGGTCAGGCAGGTCGAGTGTGTAGGTTGATGATTCTGGGTTTGTTGATACTATGTTGTAGGGTCCGTCGAATCTTGGCATGAACTTCGCGACTCTCTTGGTATCGCCGTTGAGGTACTCTCTACGCCTGTGGGCTGTCGAAAGGTAGACGAGGTCTCCGATCTCGAAGGTAGGTTCGCTGTTTCTGTGTTTGTTAGCTGCGTTAGCTTGTATGATCTTAGATGCTAGTAGGGCGTCATGCGCATCCGCGATATCTGTCTTCAACGACATGATAGTCTCCAGAGCGTTCGCGACGTCCGTTGGGAAACTCTCCCGTGTTCTTTTCACACCTTCCGTCGTCAATGGGGGCAGTCGACGAGGTGTACGTCCCAGGTGCAAATGAAAGTTGGAATAACCTGTCGATGCATTAATCGTTGACATCAGATTGAAACGTACCCGAGGCAGTGCCTCCAGCCATCCTGTTTGATGCCGATCGACGAAATATCTTAGAAGTTGGTCCACGGTCTTGTTCATTCTTTCGCTCGATCCGTCTGTCTGAGGGTGGTAAGCGGTCGACATCTTCAGTTTCACACCTGTTAGTCTGTGTAGCGCCTTCCAGAACTTGCTTGTGAACAGCTTGTCGCGGTCGGACACAATGTCGAGCGGGAGGCCGTTCTCGCAATACCAATGGTCAAAAAACAAGTTGGCGACTTCTTTCGCGTTCATGTTCATCCTGCAAGGTATCAGTCGTATGTCGGCACCTAACCTATCTGTGATTGTCATGATGCCATCAAAACCCTTTTGCATAGGTAACGGCCCAATGAAGTCTATGGCGATAGAGTCGCCACGCTGATCCGGTACTGGTAGTGGGTGAAGCGGTCCAGTAGGCTTCGTGGTTCGGCTCTTGTTCCTAGCACAGTCTGGGCAAGCTGGTATGTAACTTTCTTCCAAGTCGCGCCTCATATTCGGCCAGTAGAACGATTCTCTAATAGCCACGTAGGCTTTGTCGATTCCGAAATGGCCCATTTCGTCGTGCGCCAGTCTGAAGATAGTTTCTCGTAGGTGTGTTACGCGAGGTACCACGAGACGGTTGTTGATGTATAGAAGGCCGTCTCGCAGTTCGAGTCCCGGTAATGAGCCCGTTAGCCCTGTCAGTTTCATGCTCCAGGGATCCTTCAAGTAACCAGCCTTAATGTCGTTCAGTAGTGATGGGTCCGGCGCCACTGATAGGATCAGCGTTATCGGTTTCACGTGGTTCGACACATTGGAGGGCATGTTCAATGTCTGGGCTGCGTAGGGGGGAATGTTTTCTGTGTCCGGTGGTAGACGTGATAGCGCATCCGCCACAAGGTTGTCTTCGCCTCGAATGTACAGGATTTCGAAATCATATTGAGCGAAGAATTCTTGCCATCTTGCCTGTCGTTAGTGATGTTCCGGCCCGGCTTGGGCTCAAAGCCCCGGCTTAGGCTCGGCCTGGGGGGGGCTTAGGCTCACCAGATTTCAAGCCTGAGCCGTGAGCCCAAGCCGGCCCAAAGCCGGGGCTTAGGCCCATGCAAGCCGCGGCCCAAACCGATGTCCGAGCTCCACCATGCTGTTCCCAACACCACGAACACCATGCGCAAACGCCCAGCACATGTCAGCAACTGCTGACGTGGCTCAGACGAATACGGACGATGGACGAGAGCAGGTGAAGGGAAGAAGACAAGGAGGAGAACGTTCGGACAGGGATGGAAGGGTGTGTGGAGGAGTGGCGTAAGAAGTGATATAGGCCGGAAGACAGCTGTTGAACTCGGAAGGTTGTCCGACCCAGTCGAGGATGGTGATGTCTGTAGGTGGACATGGACACTGAAGATACCAAATAATGAATATGCGACGACTTCTTGCAATGTGGTGACGCGAGATGACGCCCATTGAAGTCTCCGTCGAGCGTCGCTCATCCCAGGACGAAAGGAGATCAGACGTGCGTATGTAGTTGAAGTTGAGAGGAATCGCTGTCGACGTCCAAACCCTCCGAGTCGAACGTTGCCGATGAGACCGAAGGCGAGGAACGACATGGTGAATAGATCGTCCGAGCGCAAGGGAAAAGAGGCGCAGGGACGAGAGATGTGACGTTGGGGCCGAAATCTTCCAAGTATCAATGTTTCGTTTCAATATAGATTAGAAAAGGACTTACCGTATAAAAGGCAGCATCCAGCCACCCGAGCGTCTCAGTTCTGACCAAGATACTGAGACGTGAGTTAGCTTTTACTTTACACTTCGAGTAGCCGTACTGATGCGACGTAGGAGACTTACCTGTTAGGTACATACGTCGTCAATAAAGAGTTCTGACCAAGATACTGAGATGAGACTTACCTGTTAGATCCTGCTGCGCCTTTACGAGTTCTAGAATCGCGTCATAGTAAGAGTCAGTAATGAGAACATGCCAAACACATACTTGTGGGGCGTGACCACTGACGTGACAAGATGTCATATACTCTATGTACCAAAGCCGCGGCTTGGGCCGCTGGCTTAGGCTTTTCTAAATTCAAGCCCAGGCCTAAGCCCTGCTCAGGCCGTGACTTAGGCCTGGGCTAGGCCCGGCCTATTTGGGCCCGGCTTGGGCCGGCCCAGGGCTTCAAGCCGGGCCTTGCACATCACTACCTGTCGTCGCGACAGCTCTTTCTGAGTCATGAAGCTCTCCAATGTTCGGTGGTCAGTATGAACAATGAAGGGTGTACCTAACAGCTCAATCCGCCATTTCTTTAGAGCTCGTACGATAGCCAGTAGCTCCTTCTCGTGCACTGGGTAGTTGAGTTGTGCGCCGTTCAGCTGCATTGAGTCGAAGGCCACTGGCCGCGCAGTCTCTGCCGTTGGTCCGAAGCTCAACATAGCACCTGTTCGCCAGTCGCTGGCATCGCACGTCACAAATATTTTGTTGTTGCCGATGTCATCGTGGTCGATAGTCGTCAGACATTCTCGGCTGACCACGAGGCATTTTATGTTGTCGAATGCTTCCTGATGTTGTTCAGTCCATCCTGGCCAGTCCTGTTCGCATGGTTTCGTTGTCAAGGGCGTTAAGACACGCGTGTAGTCCGCGAGATGAGGCAGAAACTGGTCAAGGTAGCGGACCAGTCCGAGAAATGACCTTACGTCGCTTGTGCATTGTGGTATTGGCCAGTCCAAGATACGTTTGGCTTTGGAAGCATCCGCTTCGATACCTGCGGCCGATATGTGGTGTCCCAGGAAGTCAATCTCTGTGCAGAATAGGGAAGTTTTCTTAGGTGAGCAGAACAAGCACGCTTTCCATAGAGCATCGAGGACCAGTTTCACGTTCTTCGCGTGTTCGGCTACCGTCTGAGACCAGATGATGATATCATCTAGGTAAGCATGGCAAATTTTACCGATGAGTGGTCGCAGTGCAATGAACATCCGGCGTTGGTGAGTTGCAGGCGCATTTCTCCCTCCTTGTGGCATAACCGTCCACTCGTGTAGTCCTTTTGGTGTATCGATAGCGGTGTATTTGATGTCGTCGGGGTGAATTCGCGTTTGAAAAAAGGAATTAGTCATATCTATTTTTCCGAATATTTTACCTTTTGCGCAGTCACGCAGTATTTCATCGATTCGCGGGAGTGGATGGTTATCTGGGATGGTGTTAGCATTTAGTGCTCTATAATCATTTACCCATCATGGAAGGGCGGTAGGGTCTTTCTTGGGTATCAAAAATGCAGGTGATACAAAGGGGCTCGATGAGGGCCGTAGTCTTCCTGCGGCGATGTGTTGGTTGAGGAGCGTGTCCCACGCTTCGCGGTATTTTCGCGGTGTGTTATACCTTCTGCATTGTATTATCTTGTTGGGGTCTTTGAGACGTATACGATGTACGATATCTGTTGGTAAGTGGTCAATGTGTGGGATGTCTTCTGGGAACCTGTCTTCGTATTTTCTACGCATTTCTTTATCCAGACGTTCGAGATGCTCCTTGTTAGCTTCGATGAAGGCGAGCGTCTCGATACGTTGTCGAAGTACTGACGCGATATTTGTATTCTTTGACGTGGTGTGCTGTTCGAGTTCGTTTCCTCGATGTTCCAAAACCTTTTGTAGTTCCTTGATGACGTTCTTACGCTGTCGTTTAATTTCACGACGTGAAGGTAATGGCGTCCGGCACTTTCGAACATGTTTCGGCGGAGACAAGAGATCGTATTTCGAATCCTTCGCGATACAGGTCCGCAAATCGTGATCTATAACAAGACAATTGTGTGATAAGAACGGTCCTCCGAGGAGGAGAGGAACTGCAAGTCCAGGCGCAACAATGGCGCGTATCGTTGTCTTACTAGGATGTGATTGGCAATAAAATCACCAGTTCTCACTATCCTCCACGGTCAACGGTTCAGACAAATACCAACGGTTGATAACGTGGTCGTTCGTGGGAGGAGGCGTAAATAGCAGAGTCGTTCTAAACAAACTTCTATTGACTTTAGGTGTGTTGAGACAGTGACCGTTAACTGGCTTGATGCAGTGCTTAGGACACCGCTAAAGATGATGAAGATCGTAAGTGGTGTAGCTGAATCGATAACTGGCTTGATGCAGTACTACGATGCTATTAGAAGATGAATGCAAAAGTATGCAATACAAAGATGAAGATATGGTTCACAACGGTACCCAATGAATCAGAGTATTATCTCGTAAACACTCCCTATTCTCAAAAATTAGAGGAGATCAAACTAAGCCTCTAACACAATCGAATCAACCGAAATACGTGACTTCGAAACTAACTTCTCTGCTGCTCAGGCACTCACGATGAGTATGACGCAGAATCAGAACAGAGTACACCTTCTGGATGTAGTCTTACAGCAGCCAAGCTCTTAATATTGTTGACTAACGTGCTAGTCCTATTTGTCGTCCTCCTAATCGTTAAAAATACGTAAATTCTCCCCACAGAAAAGGTATCCTGTGTTGTAAAGAGAATGTGACGAAACTACAACTAGACGACTGATAACCGTGTACCAGCTAGTGTAATTCAAGGATTGGCTCAAGGTAGGCCTCAGAAAATCAGTATGTTGTGGGAAAAGATGACAAAAGAATGGAGGGAATAAACTTAATATTCACTCAGATGTTCACACAAATATAGGGTGAGAAATTCAGGAAGATACTCAAATCCTCCTCCCTCTCTCTTAAAGGGGGATTGTCTGTCCTTTCAAAGGAAGTTTGATTTCAAAAGGGAGATTGTCATTCTTCAGAGGGGAAATTGAGCCCCTTATATACTATTCTAAATGCGGCTGTGTAACTATCTAAATAAGGAAATATGACTCATCCTGACTCATACTGAGTCATAATGAAGATGACTCATAGTGACTCAGACAAGAAAATGACTCATAATGACTCAAACTGAGTCATTGTAGAGATGTCTCATGATAACTTGTTCACTTCTCAAATATTCTCATCTATCAACTTTCTCCATTCAAATTCCTGACTAATCCATCTCATCTTACTAATCCATTTCATCTGACTAAGCCCTTAGTCACCCATGAACTGTTGATACGTTGAAATGTTGATTTGAATATGTTTCAGAACATACAAAAGAAATGTGAAGAATGTGTGAGAAAATTAGGATGTTGTGAGAAAAAATGCTGAGTAACGTGTTATGGTATGTTTGGAACTTATCTTTGAATAGGATAAGTATTAATTGAATTATTATGTAGTGTTATGGGTTTGTTATGTCTGAAAAACTGCTCAAATCCGGTCATAATGTGTTATAGAAAATTCTTAATAACTTTGTAGAGTACAGTAGAGGATATCAAAGCTCTAAAGTAGCCATGACCATGCACAAAACAAGTTTGGTGTGTGTCATCGTACGTGAAGTCCAATCATGGTTGATAGAAGAGGGAGACAACAGGACATATTCAGAGAAAGAGAAAGGTGAAACGGAGGCAGAATTAAGAAAGGCTGAGCTAGCTTCAATACTGGTGTGCAGTTTGCGCTTTCGTAGTCCCAGTTTGTCAACGACGCTTTCGTCAATAAGAACTAGATGTGACCCATGGTCAATCAAAGCGTCGATACGTTCAAATGATTCAGAAGAGGGCCCTGTCAAGAGACAGGGCCATATAAGGTGGGCAGTTTCAAAAGGTGCGACGTACTTGTCATCCTCTGATTCAGAACCTTCCTCAAACACCGACGAGGGCATAACAGCACCCACAGGAGCTACGGCAGCGACGGTCTTTGCGCGTGTTGCTTTAGGCTTTGCCGCATTTGCATCAGCTTCCGTGAGCGGTTTGTAGGTTGAGGCTTCGGGGGCGCCATCGTTGCACTCTTTGGAGCGGTGTGAAACGTAAAACTTGCGGCATTTGAAGCACCCCTTGTGTTCTACAAGTAAGTTCCGTTCTGATTCGGTTAGAGGACCAAGACGTGAGGATGAGTTAAATGTCTTTGACGACGATGGGGTTTTGGATTGGTATGAGGTTGTTGTGCGTCTGGAGGACTTGTACAACTCTTCCGCGATCTTCTTGTGGGAAGCGAAGTCTTCGAGACGCTTGTCGTCAAGGTGCTTCACTTCCTCGATCCACTTTCTAAGAGTTAGGTTATCTGCGAGTTTTGCTCTGAGCACGGAAGTAGTGAGCTCGTCACAGATGTTTGCCTCAAGTTGGTTTCGCAACTGGATGTCAGATAGGTGTGCTGCGTTACCATACAGTAGCGCATTTTGATTTTGAAGTTCTAGAGCCCATTCGTAGAACGGGCGGGTTCCCTGCCGGGAACCTAACACCTTCTTCCGAAGTTTCGTATCCCAATGGGTGTCGAGCCATCCGGCTTTGAGGGCGGTCATGTAGTTAGCGAACGTTCCGCCATCTAGTGTGGCGCGTTGAGCCAAGTACCACGTATGAAGTCGTGGGTCCAGCATTCCAAAAGCGATCATCTTTACTTGATCTGCGGCGTCCACACCTTTGTGCATGAAGTATGTAGAGCACGCATTGTCCCAGTCACGAGCTACTTCAGGAGTGAGCTTGCCTGGTAACAGCTTTGGCGGTTTGTTGGGCGCGGACTGTTCGACACTAGCTGATTTTGTCATGTTGTGAGTTCTGGGACGGAATATATGCATGTTGTCTAGTTCTGAGTCTGATGACAAGTCACAATATGTTGTAGAGCCGATTGGTCTAGATGTACTGTTCGAGGATATAGACGTTAAGGGAGATAGAGACGGGTTCGGTAGAGGTTGTTCAGGGGCTGGTTGGTTTCTCGCACGCTGTCGCGTAACGAGGGGTACGGGAACAGTAGGTGTCCTTCGCAGGGAAGGCAGTTTGGCAGGTCGGTTGGTGGGCGGTGAGCCCGGCGGTTAAAATATGGTTGATAACGAGTCAGGGGATCAATGAGTTTCGTTTCTGTCAAAAAAAAAGTGGAAACTCGCCGGGAAGGCGGCGAGTAACACTAAGCTGAGTCAAACAAGATTGACAGGACGAAGCTATGATTCTTTTGAGCGTTATACAGGGGAGCACGTAGTGGTAGCTAAGAGACCCGAGTCTGGTCTATGTGATGTCTGGCGTCGTGATATAAAAGGAGCATGACACGTGATCTGTGACGTCATAAACGGAATAGTAAGCATCCAGCTTACAATAATATACACTTTATGCTCGTTTGATGCTCAGACTGGCATATGCATGTTTGACCTCCAAGGTTATGCCTCTGGCCCCCCCTCGTATCCGGCATTTCCCGAGCGGGTGCCCCGCCATTTTGAATAAGCGACAACGATGTAAGCTGAACGCTTACTCATGCTTACCACACCAACGTCACATGACCTTTCCCCATATATAAATGTTGCTTTCACGTCACTTTACGCTAGACTCGGGTCTCCTACCAACCTTCACGTACTCATTCATATAACTCTCAAGAAATCCACAGTTTCGTCCAGTTACTCCTGTTTGATTCGCATAGTGTTCCTTGTCGTCTCTCTGGCAAGGTTCCAAACGATCAGTATTCAAAAAATGGATCCGCAACAGTGACCCAAGGCAAATCTTCATCATTCAGTCCACTCTCTTCTAACACCTGCTTCTTCACTTCACGGTCCGCATCCAACTCCCTGACGCGATAGAAACGGGACACTGTCGACTTGGGATCTTCTCTGCGCCTTCGGGCCAATACGATGACTGGCTGCATGCTCCCTCGAGGATAGTCGGTGCCGACGGCCCACAGATAATCTATTTTTCTCTCTCTGAACCAGAAATTGAGCTCGGTAGCAAGGAACTCGTCTGGCGAATGCTGGTATGGGTGGTCTTGCTTCTTTAACCATGCACGCGCTTGCTCGAAGCTGAACACCCAGCCGGCTATTTTGAACACCATCCTGAAGAGGAAAATATCGTAAGCCATGCATGGGCGATAAAGTACCGCATGAACGTACGGCTTGTCAGAAAAGAAATATGAGACAAGTTGGGAGACTTTGGTTTAGACTGTGACGTTAGGTGGCGACTCACAACGCGCCTATTAAACCAAACCATAAAGGGTCACGTGCTTGCCACCGTGTAACTTATTATCATCAGATCATTGATCATTGATCTATCGGACGAACATGATTGGGAGGTTCTTCGAAATTTCTACCGCCGAGGGCATTGTTCTTGAATCTTCAGGATTTCTTCAATTCCAGGGTGGGCCCTTTAAGTTCTCTGATCCGATTGTCGCACTACCTGTTCTGCCACATCAGCTGGAAGTGACCAACTTCTATCAGCCTGGACATTGTCTTTCGAGCCCAATCAGGCTCTAATCCGATTGTCGTATTAGTAGGTGAATAATTATCGTATGTTTTGAAAATCGTTTAGCATTGTTCCTCAAGCCGAGGCCCCATTCGGAACTCAAAGTTAGTTACCTGCCTGTTTGCCGATCAGTGGGCGGCCAACATTTGTGGTACATTTTTCCAATTGTTTAGTGTTTTTGCGTCCCACATACCATCACTAATGCTTCTTGTAACCATAGCTGCTGATTGCGTGACCACAACTGCCTGATGGAAGCTCCTAGCTGAGTATCTTAAAAGACGTGTTCTTCTTACTCATTGAACGGCCATCCAACATATCATAACTTTCTCCCCCAGTGAGTTGATGTATCCTTCGTTCTGAGTTCTGACCGTGAACACAAAATATTCTTAGCTACCATGCCCAAAATTCCTGCTTGGAAGCAGCGTTTGCACGAGTTGCATCTCAATCCCCCTCGTTATGAAGCATCATGGTACGGGCCACTCGATAAACTCGCCAATCACGTTTTCGCGGCAGATTGCTTCATGGTCAAGCCGCAGCCAAAAATCAGGCGCAGTGCTCTTCCCGATGATGGAGACGATAATCAGCCGTTTGAAGATGAAGGATTATCTTTAGACTCCATGGGCACTCCAGTTATCCGTGACTCCTACTTCGAGCCGGACTTCATTATCGTTCATGTGGGTGATAACCGAGATGTTCCATTGGTGTGTATCGAGGTAAAGAAGGAGGGAGGGACATATCAATCGGCGGGCACCCAGTTGCATGAATACATCGAGGTTTTGGCTGCGAAGGATCCCCATGATGAATTCGTGGCCATCCTTGTGCTTGATGGGAAATTCTATTGTTACAGTATTCATGGGAGGCGGGCACCGACTCCAGGTGGAGACGGTTGGGAGACAGCGGACAATTTAGAAGGAGTTTTTGAAAAAGTAGCCAAAGGTGTGTTAGGAGGGAAAGGGAAACGCCGTTGAGCATGACGTTGATGTATCATTCCGTACAGTAAGACCGTAGCGGTATTGTGTCTTTTTAGCTATTGGACAACCCAATGCATTACCATTGCTAGAACCTAGAGTAAGTAAAATTTAACAGGAGCAGATTTGTATCCATTCAAGCCGCGACAATGGCTTGAAGTCCCAAAATTCTATTTCAAGTGGGTGACTCGATGACAACTAAATTATGGCCTGGAAGCGTTGGATATACTGCAATCATAGGAAAACGGATTTGCTTGGCGTGAACGCCGTATACACGTGCAACTCCATGACAGTCATGAAATCGACAAATTCAAACCCTGGACCGAGATGCTTCTGGGGCTTAAAAAAAATGTTCCTATATGCGCAGGTGAGATGATGAGTCTCGAGAAGTATCGGAATGTCAGAAAAAACCCACCTTTGTAAGTGACCTTCAGATAAAACTGCTAGACAAGACTGCAGATCATTTGAACACCATTGCGCTTCGAGCCAGGAGAGGGGATGACAATTCCGAAAAACCTTAAATATCGGTTGAGCATTGGAGCCCATGAGAGATGGAAGGGGCCAGCTTCGACATGCATACTCGAAAGCGTCAGGAGCTGAATAACTTCGCTCTTGTGTTTCCTCTGTGAAAATCGCAAATGCGGTCATAGCATGGGTGATCTCTATGTCTGGTAGATGACTCTGGAATAGGAAAGTGTAAATGTCATTGTTTGTCAATATCTGTGCCGTCTAACGACACGTACTAGTAGTAACGCCCTCCCCAGAAGTGTTAAGTGGTATCTTGCATCCGAGTGGGCGCATTTCTTCTGTCTGCATGGCTTTACGAATGTGCTCTTCCGAGCGAGGTGTGGATCACGGTTCACGGAGAGCTTATGTAGTCGAGCAGGGAAACGAGGACGGCAATAGTTTCGGTATTGCATTCATCAAGGGCATCGAAACAAACGCCAAAGCCGGACACTCGCGCAGACCTCTCATCCTTTCGGCTACAGTGAACATGTCAGTAAACTTTCCGACGCCCACCGTAGGTCCGCAGCATGCAGCCAAATAATTCGACTCTGCTCCTCGTCATCCAGCAATTCACGAATGTAGTTGAGAAGGGTCTCCCGAGTACCATCCAAACATCTCGGACGTGTTCAACACCCTTGACAGCGACCTAGAATAACTTCCAAGTTCCTTTAGATGATAGAGACACTGTTAATAACAAGACGTGGATTAGGAGAATTGAAAGTCGACGGCAGCTCCCAGCGGAGTTTGAACCCCGCTTGATCCAATCCCGCCCACGCCGCCCAACAACATTCCGCGAATATTATTGGAATGCCCCATGTTCATGCTCCGCATCAACTCTGCCCATTTTCTTTCGTGCCTGTCAGGAGGCTAACGCATCGCAAGGACCGGCTGAGATCAATGTATATCATAGCAGCAGGCTCACTGTGTTGCCACATGGCAGAAAAAGGCTCTCGATGTCCATGGCAAAGTAAGTCTTTGGCACTGTTGCACACAGTGACGGATACCGTACTCCGCTTAGATATGCCGATGGGCCTGCTGTGTCCCACTGTACTTTGCCCCGAAGTGGCCAACATTGTTCAGAGATCTCCTTCACTTCGCATATATAAAAACATACAAACAATCCTTTTGCTACAATTTCATTCACGTCGAGACTCGGTACATCGATATTAATTCATGAAGAACGGATCCACAACAGTGACCCAAGGTAGATCTTCATCACTCAGTCCAGTCTCCTCCATCACCTGCTTCTTCACTTCACGGTCTGCATCCAACTCTCTGACACGATAGTAGTGGGACACAGTCGACTTGGGATCTTCCCTGCGCCTTCGAACTAAGACGATGACTGCGTGCCGGCTCCCTCGAGGGTAGTCGGTGACAACAGCCCACAGATAATCGATGTCCCTCTCTTCGAACCATCGATTGAGCGCGATACCGACGAAATCGTCGCCAAAATGGTCGTGTTTGTATTCCTGCCCATCGAACCAAGTGCGTGCTTGCTCGAAGCTGATTATCCAACCGGCTATTTTGAACACCATAGTGACTAGTGGGAGAGACGTTAACCTTTGATGCTCATATAAAAAAGAGACGGCATGAACGTACTACAGTTGGTCAGACGAGAGGAAATTCAAGATGAATCGGGGCTTTTAAGTTAAGCTGTTGTGGTGGCATACTTGCAGCCTCCACAACCAAGAAGGTCACGTGCAAACAACGTAATTGTGAGTATGGGCAACCGATCTTAACTTTGGGGGTCAAGGGGAAGGATGGCCAATTGTCCAGTGGGCGGCCTTCCAATTTTTTTTCCAGCATTGTTCTTCGAACACATCGAAGACTCAAATCCGGTTCTCCACCTGTGGGTATTAGTGGGTGTTGAATTTTCGCATGTTTTCTGATTCTAGGCAATGCTCTTCGACCAAAGGACGTTGTTGGGGGACTGCTAATGTAAGTTGGCTTACCTGTTGATTTAAGGAAAATGAACGCCAAATTCGCTCAGTAGCCATGCCACAAATTCCTGCATGGAACGAGCGCTTACAGCGGCTGCACCTTCATCCTCGTTATGAAACCTCTTGGTACGGCCCCATTGACAAGCTCGCCAATCATATCTTTGCGGACGATCGTTTTATGGTCAAGCCACAACCACAGCTGAGGCCTAACCCTCTGGCTGATGAGCTCGGTGACCCGGATCAGCCGTTCGAAGATGAAGGATTTTCCATAGACTCTTTAGGCGCCCAAGTGGTTACTGGGACCTAGTTTGAACCAGACGTCATCATTGTCCTTGTAGATGATGAGCGCTGTTCCATTGGTGTGTATTGAGGTGAAGAAAGAATTGGACCCAAGGTAAATCTTCATCATTGAGCCCACTCTCTTCCAGCACCTGTTTCTTCACTTCACGATCCGCATCCAACTCCCTGACACGATAGAAACGAAACACCGTCGACTTGGGATCTTCTCTGCGCCTTCGAACCAATACGATGATCGGCTGCAAGCTCCCTCAAGGATAGTCGGTACCGACGGCCCACAGATAATCGATATTTCTCTCTTTGAACCAATAATTGAGATCGGTGGCAAGAAACTCGTCCGGCAAGTGCTGGTGTTGCTGTCCTTGCTTCTCTAACCACGTGCGCACTTGCTCGAAGCTGAACACCCAGCTAGCTCAGTTTTGAACGGTGAACACCATCCTGGAAGGGGGTGATATAAGCCTTTGCACGCAACAATAAAGAACGTACAATAGGTCTCTAGCACTAGTCAGGTTCTGATAGAATGAAGTCAATCGTACTTTTTGTCAGTGACAAGTCAGAATTTAGAAGGATCTAGGTTACTGTAATAGGTAATAGTTACCCAAGATCTAACAAAGTTCGTCGGGCATATGGTGTAGCTGGTTATCACATCCGCTTAGCATGGCGCTGACTGCGGGGGGTCTCCGGTTCGAGTCCGGATTTGTCCACATTTTTTGCTTATCATAACAATATTGAGTTTTGTTGTCCTTGGTCGTCCCAGTCATATTATCCTCATCGACACAATCATGCTTCGTTTCATTTCGCGGGTAAGGATCAAATAACATCGTCAATTCCATGTGATACTCATTACCCTCCTTTCGACGCCTTGTGTTTTCTCCCATACAGTCTTAACCGTGCCTCCTTTATCCGAACTTTGTACACATCGCACAAACTCTGTTACTCCGCCACCCACACCAAAGTAGAGTACTTTTGCGGCTACAAGACAGAGGTAATCGTCCACACCTGTGGGGTCTTCAGCCTTGCAAGCACCGCGCATAATAGCAGTAAGGCTCGGAAGAGATTCCATGCGGTATATGGTCTCGGATGTCAGCACCAGGTTGTAGCTCCCACATGATTTTTGGAGGTCGAATGTATCCCATGAGCCAGAGAAAAAACGTAATTCGACACCGTAAGTCATCAAGGATTGATGGAATGCATCTTTGAGACCTTCCGAGATATCCAACTCCAAAGGAGAGTCTGCCCGCTCCTCTGATTTGCGGTACATCCCTGCTGCCTCTGACAGATCTGTATCTCGAGTGAGACACGAAGAAAGAAAAGATCCAAATTTTACGAACACCAGGTCAGAATAATATTGGGAATAGTCACCAATTCCAACACGGAGGCGTTATAGTCCTGGAGGTGGATATGTGTCTGATTTTGAGAAGGTGGGGAGGAGAATATTCGATGAAGAATGTACAGTGACGGTATTGATGTGCCACATCCAATCTGTGAAGCCATTGGAACTGTATCATACCATCAGAGTACAGAGAAATGGATGCTCACCTCTAGCACACGCTTGCCGCTTACATCAAACTGCGAGCTTATACCATCCAGATAGCTGGCAAGATCAATACTGCATTCCCAAGTCTTCAAGCCGCCCTCGTAGACAAGAGGTACAAGGTCAGAGGGTGCATCCAAAAAGTGCAGCGCAGACCGTGCATTGATAGACGGCTGTTCCAATGCATCCGGGTCATCGACATTTTGAGAGATCAATTGAAACCTCGCATCGAACAGATCGCGGCGTGGAAGTGAAAGTTCGGTTCCGCTGGCAAGTGGGATCGTGATTGGAGAGTAGGATATTTTGGACGGTAGGCTGTTTAACTAATCCTTGCGCCCAGATCAGTTTTTACAGAACGAAGATAAGCAGTAATTAGACGTACCGCGTCTGTGAGAAAGAGCTCTGTGAATACGTCTGGGGCGACCGCCTGCACAGAAGCGGGCCCATTATTTTGTATTGTGTGATTTACGTCTGTACTTTGTTCAGTATCGTCCTCCACGTCGAAGTTGAATTTGAACATTTTCAATTGTGATGAAATCAAATGAGATCTATATCGAGTCGCTATAGCACATGTGGCTGTGTCGCAGACTATTATTGTATTTCCGCAATATTCCGTATTGTTTCCTTATCCTCGGACCTCTTGTCTTTTACTACACCCTGAAGGCCTGACTATTATTACTAAAGCTGTCACCTTATCTGTGGAAGCCCCATTCAGTCCCCCTCTGGCTGCGCGCTCTGCGGCATTTCTAGATATAAGAAGTGTCACATCCGGTATCCATTTGCTTTTACACCCCCCACCATGCGCTTTTCACGGGTATCGCTCATTCTTGCCGCAGGGTCCACTATTATACCATCCGTCAGTGCATGGGGAGCAGTAGGTGAGTATGGCGGTATGTCGTGTCTGAAGAGTCTAACTTTTTATAGGTCATGAAATCATCGCGACAGTCGCTCAGATGCATCTGCATCCTTCGGTCATGCCCATCCTGTGTGACATCTTGCATTATAAAGGGAACTGCCATCTCGCTCCGGTCGCTGCCTGGGCAGACAGGATCCGTGGTTTGCCACAGTACAGGTGGACAGGCCCCCTGCACTACATCGGCGCAACGGATGACTATCCTAGTGAGACTTGCGCTTTTCCAGGAGAGAGAGGCTGGGAGGGTAGAAGGAATATCAATGTGCTTAGCGGCATAAGGAACACCACAAATACTCTGGAGGATTACATGGGCCTGCGCAAAGCAGGCTTGACCACTGAGAGCGATGAAGATGCAGCGCAGGTTGCACTCAAGTTTCTCATTCACTTCGTTGGGGATATGCACATGCCATTGCACCTCACAGGACGTGACCGAGGAGGGAACGGAATCAAAGTCTCATTCGACAAGCGTGTAACAAGTCAGTTGTTCCCGCTCTTATCTTTCCTTGTTCTTATCATCTGCGATAGACCTTCACTCCCTGTGGGACGGCCTCCTCATAGCCAAAAGAATTCGCACAATACCCTCCAATTATACTCGCCCTTTGCCACTTCCTGACGTCGAGAGTCACCTTCGGGGCACCATCTACGACCCTTATATCCGTCGTGTTGTCTGGGAAGGCATTACGGGCAAGTACGAGGACGAGCTCGACTCGTGGCTTACGTGTCCCGCCGAACCCTCTGTCCAACCCCTGCAAACTCACTGGGAACAATGGCTATCTTGGACTTTTGGGCGTCGCATAGGGTCTTGGATTGTGGGGTCGCATCTTACAGACGGGGGTTTGAACACCGACGATGAAACATTGTGCCCATACCATTGGGCAGCTCCCATTCACGCTCTGAACTGCCAGATCGTGTTCCCGAAGGCATTAGATGAACCGCCATACAACCACATTTCCTTCTCTAGAAGTACCGATGATCATGCCTGCAACTCATCCAATCAAAGTCTTGAAGTCCACTGGCTTTCTAGGCCGAGGAAGAATCCATACCTCGAACTCGACACGCCCCAGTATTCCGGGGTAATCGAGGATGCATGGATTGTTGAGAAGTTGATGTCTCAGGGTGGTATTAGGCTTGCTGCTGTTCTCAATTGGCTCTTCGCAGATATGGATGACGCGACCCGTTTGAATAGAACTTATATCTTGTAATTTTATGCGTAACTTGTACTACATATTATAGAACACGCCCCACGATAGTCAGTCATATGCAAGACATAATATATTTCACTGGCACAACAAACATGTCTCGTATACAAGTACATAAAAATCCGAAGTTATAGTCAACCTAAAGCGTAACAGTAAGCAAGGTGTTCAACAGAACCTCACAAGATGAATCAGAAAAGCCGATGTTTTCTTGTCCCCCGTAAAGCATCGCCCGTGGACCAACGCACATGAATCAAGACGAAGCATAGACGCATCTCTTGCGAACAAGAGCGGTCGAACGAACGCGCAACTACGGGAGACTCAAAGAATGGATGAACTTGATTTCGTCCTGCAAAATACGGATGTACAAAACTCTAGTGAATAGTACTCACCCTTCCACAATGAGCGCGTCAGGAACGACCAGTGTATTCAACTGTAACAGCAGTAGTTAGCATGTTGTTCTCTCCGTAAATCGAGAGAAAAGCTGATCAGGATTGAAATTTTTGGTAAAAGGTTGTCCACAAGAGATTGTGTCTCTTTCGGAAGCAGAACTGATTGTATCATCACAAAAAAGGCGCAAAAAAGCTCCAACATCAAGAAATTTTGTTGCTCACCTTGATCCGGTTGATTCATACGACTGGGAGACGGGAGAGCGAGTAAACCACGAACATGCTGTCATGGCATAAGAAAATCGCGAGCAGAAACTGTATAGCTGTTTTTGAGTCTCCGCCAGACTCCGCTTCAAGATCAAGCTCGGCAAGCGAACTTATTTTTTTATGAACCTTCACCATCGCGCACACAGCGTATCATGTACGCTGGCCAAGGTAAGCCTCACGACCTACCTTTCCAAATGACGATACTTTCCATCCTCGAGTCGGCGACGGTCTCCAATGAGCCATCACTCGTAACATGCATCACCAACTGATTCTCATCTTCATTTTCCGTGTTCATCTGCATCAGTTACTTACTTTCCTTTCCTCTTTTTACAGATTGTCCTGTGATGGTTGTATAATAATGTAGCACTGGTGAGCATTCTTCCATAACCCGCTCTTTCTCCCCGAGATGCTTTACAACATACAAGCATATGTCCGATTTTTATGATGGACAAATTGTTCTTCCTGAGGGAACGCATCTGATCATTGTTAATTCTTATCTGACGTTTCATTTTCTAGGTACGGCCTTTGTTGTGCCATTGAAGTAGTGCTTCCTGTATTGTTGCTTCTTGAAAATAGTATGATAGATGGCTTGTCTCGCTTTCTGACTGCCGGATGCTTTTGCACAAAGTGTGTGTACTGAGTTTCTTTCACATTGCAAACACGATTCGATGTGTTGTGAAACATTCTGGAAAAATTGATTTGCATGATTGAAAACCATGCAGACTACGTACAATATACTCGTCTGCATTCTAATAATCTTTGTGCACAATATCAGGCTATATACAACATAGACGAACTGCGGGCGAAACAAGGAGGAAACTGGAGACTACTGACGTTATCCAGCGTGATTGAAGCTTGTTGCATACTTCCACATAGCGTCCATCAAAATCGTCCCAACGTTGACAGCGTATGCGATCAGCCAGAGCGCAGTGGCTGCGCGGCAGATCATGCTTTGAGAAGAAAAGCCTGCTACCAACATCGCTGGGCGGAATGCATGAGGGACCAGAGAAAGCCTCGATTGATGGAACAACTCACCAAATATGAAACAATTGAGGGAGCAGACAACGAAGATTATAGGCGTGACTATCGACAACAGGTAGGACAAGACGAAGTAGTCGCCTTGCTTGAGTTGCTGATTATATGTAGGTCAGCCGGTGTCCGAATCAGCATGACGAGAATAAAACTCACTTCTTGAGTCCAGTGGCGATCGGCGTGCAGCCAACGTATCATGCTCGAGCCAGACGTCAACATCGCGATCATGGCGAGCATGAGCGATATAAAGAGCAGACAATAGGGAACGGGCGATGTGTAGTCAAAGTACGACACAGGAGAGGCCGTGCTGACGAAAACACCGCTTATAGCGAGGAGGACACTTGCCTTTATGAGAGCATGTCAGCGTCGGCTTCAGTTCGCGACTTGCGCGAAGTTGGATAGCTTACGGTGGTGATAATACTGGCCAAGATGGAGCAAAACCTGCTCCTAACGGTTTCGAAGGCTTGTTCTGATTGCAGCGACTTCCAATGATCACCAAGATCTGGGCGTCCAAGTGCCAAAAAACAAAGTACCCTCTTTACGAAGGACGTGCGACGAAGGGCATCGGGGAGTGGTTGTTCTTCGGCAGATGCTCTGTCGTCATATAACTGGAAAGGTCGGCGTGATTGAGTCATACGGCAAGGATTCCTAAGTTTTGGAAGCGTACCTGAGTAGAATAGAATGAGGCCATGGCGCGAAATAGGAGAGTGAAGACAGCCTAGTGATGCTCATACTGAGAAGGGAGATGCAACCAATTATATAGGAAAGACGAAAAGAGGACGAATCTTTTACTGCTACATGTCGGAAATTTCCAGGAGTGCCTTGAATCAACCTGCACTGGTGATAGGCACTCGTGCGAAGAGTTTAGGGCAAGCGGGGCCCTCCAGCTCAATGCTCGGAGGACCCGCAATCAATTTTAATACTGGGAAGTGACAGCTCGTTTGAAAACAGAGAAGTATGTATAGTAAATAGAAAGAATCAGTAATGTACAAGTCACCAAATGACTGGTGACTGAGCCCCCTCCAAACGACTGGTGACTGAAAAGTCGAGAAAGTCAAGTTTGACTCTCGACCAAGCGCTAGAGGGCTATTTTTTTTTTTTTTTTTTATTATAAATAATGCTGATGACGTACTTAGAATCCCCAGACTGTTACAAGAAGTTGATGCAAACGAGAATTCAACCAAGCAATTCGAGCGTTAAGCTGTCAAATCCAGTGAGTTACGGATTTTGAGAACCGTGTATAAGCAAGTGAAGCAGATAAGGGTGCTTTCGAATGTATTTCTGAAACTCATCCGAAGACCAGCGTCCTGCTGCCTGAATCAGCGCAGGCGCGACACCAGTCGCAGCTAGGGCAGTGGCACCCCCGGCTCGCATCGAATGTCCAGAAATAGTTGGGGGAAAGAAACACCGAAGGTAACGCATGAACCATGCGCGCGTCGGGATAGTGCCACTCGTAGTCAGCCAGAGGTGTGGATGGTGTGGAAAGCGACTGTCGCGAGCACGTACATACCGTTGTAGGAGAGCTAGAGGATTCACTCTAGATTCAGGCTCTGCCATCACCAAGATCTCACATCCTACTCCCAAAGTGCTCGTCTTATGGTGAGGTAATGTGTAGCTTGCCGATGTTGCAGACAGCATGAGAGAGTGGCGTAGCGCCACTTTACGATAGGATTGGTGTCGTTTTGCATTAGGCCAGCAGAGCTCTGCGAGACGTTGCAAACTCTTGAAACCTGTAACCAGCATTGCCACGAATAGCGTATCGTCGTACTCTGTAGATGATGCGAATGTGTTGACCACAAGAGTGAGATCATCCAAAGTGAGTGGTTGTTTGCGTTGAACAGGCTTAGATAAGCGACGTTTGCAACCCTTCAGAGTTCGCGTGACGAGCAAAGATGTCCGTATTTCACGAACGTGCGGGAAGTGTGTCTCCAGACGATTGACAATTCCCGAAAGATATGAGTCCACGGATCGTGGCTCGATATGATGTGATAGCCACACCACGAAGAAGGACAGCGTGTCCGCAGTTGGCTCTACCTCCCGGTGATGAAGTCGACAAAAGTTGAGATAGGAATTTAGATGCGAGTCGTAAGCTGAAGCTGTGGTGGATTCAATAGCGCAGCCAAGGGCAAGTGAACGCTCTAGCTGTAAGCGTTCGAGAGTCCAAGCTTCCCGCACGGGTTGCTTGGACTGTGTGGTACCTCGGATCATTTTTCTGCCACCCCCAGCGCATCCCGAGGGGGTTCAAAGTCAAAAATCTGCGCCGAAGGCACGAGATCTTTCACGAGCTCATTGTGAAACCGTGAGAGTGCGTCAGCAATGACGTTCTGCTGACCTGGAATATGCTCAACCCGCAGGTCAACGCTATAGCTGATTAAGATATCCACGGCCGAAAGTAACAGTGAATTATAGACGGGTCTTGCTCGAAGTGAGTCGAACATTGCCACAGTATTCGAATTGTCTGTGTAGATGAGTAACTTTGCCGGGGTCTCGTCCATGTTTGTGACAGCGTGAATAGCAGAACATACAGCCAACGCTTCGAAGAAGAAGATAGAGTCGTGGGGAGCCTCTCCAGGTAATGGTGACTGGCACGCGAAGTTATCGTCCGGGAACCAGAGACCCATTCCTGCTGCTGACGCGTCAGTGTAGATAACCACAACATCATCTCTTGATGGCTCAAAGTCTAGACACCGGAATAGGTGTAAGCCATCCAAACGTTCGACGTGGTCTGCAAGCCAACGTAACTCGCGCAGTAGCGCGTTATTGACGTGAATTTGAGCGAATGCATTCTTCTTTCCTCGGATTTTGTCGTAAAGCACCGACAAACCCGGCTTCAACAGAGGAAACACGTTAAAGCTCCATTCGCACCAACCAGCCAGACGCTGGAATTCACGCAGGGACCAACGGTGATTTTTCTGCGCGAAACGACGTAACTCTATAACCAGCTCAGCCTTTTTATGATGGGGTAACGTGACCTGCATAGCATTCGGGTCGACTTCAAATCCAATGATAGTCAATGGCGCGCCAAATACTTGCTTTGGTCGTTCATGCGGCAGGTGAAGGTCATCCCAAAGTTGTAAGAGTCGAGTCTGTTTTGCGGGAAAGTAGCAATCATAAGGAGGATAATAGAGAACACGTCCGGCCACTTCGAAAGAGAAAGAGTCGTCCATGTAGGTTTTAAGCGCATCAATTAAGATTTTGTGAATGGCGATCCACGCGACAAGTGACATAAAGGATATCCAAATCTTCGGAGATCCTCGACCACCGAAGTTGTTGTTACGATCTACGTGTCGTTGACCATGCACAGTCAAGATCTGTTTGACCTGCCATAGAGGGTGCATCGGTAACCGACGGAAAGCTTGTGAAACATCAGATTTGAACATAATTAGCTCAACGTTCGGATGCTGCTCTCGAAATTTGAGCAGCGAGGCACCTAGTGAGTGTAGACCATCAAGCTTGGTACCCTTGATCGCATCCCGATCAATCATAGAGTTCAATGAGTACTCGCCCGCAGTGTGGTCCACAACCAAGCGAAGTTTGTCCGAATTGGGTTTAGGAACGGTGTGCATTGGCACACTATACATTCCTGGATAAAGCTCTGTTCCAAAACTTTCGGACACTCGACCCAAACGAATTTCTTCCTGCATCTGATTTTCAATGAATTGGAGTTGTACGTCAGTCTTGGAACACGTATGCGAGGAGTTGTCATTGATAGATGGGTACGTGTCATCAGAGGTGTCAGCCCAAGGCCAGAAGCCTTCACGCAAAGCGTGACAAACCGATCTAACAAACGGCTGGTTCGGATGGTCCAAGAGAAGTTCCTCGAAACGGTCAACATTGATAGGTGTAACGATACGAAAAAGGTCTGGCCTTCGAGCGATGGTCTGAGCCGCATCACTATGAAGGACTTCGTGAGAAGGAGGTGTAGGTACGGGTTCCGAATATTCAGTTGAACGTGCTGTTGGACTGAATGAAACATCCATTGGAGACCAAATAAGGCCCCGTCTATGTCGCGGGCGCTTAATTGGATGTTCAGGTAGGTTTGGGCTTGGACTCTTCGAAATGCCTTGCTTCTGTGTGACGTCGCGCGCACAATCTCCCATCCTGCTCGTGTGAGCAGACATGCGCATAGCGGCAGGTTTGAGCACTGCGAGAGCATTCTCCCGAGTTCCATTTTCGGCAAGGCTCTCGCCGATTGAAGGAGGTCTTATCCCGTGCCGTTGCACCGGGCTTCGACTGCTTGTCCTCATCATGATGCCTGCCGTCTGATAAGAAGTGGGACTCGTAAATGTCTGCAAAGGCCGCGAAGTTGGAGAGTTCAACTCTACGAGAGTTTGCTGCTCGGTTCCTAACGGCTTTGTCAAATCTAATAATTCTCTCGTGAGCTCGTTCGACGCTGCGGTCAAACTTATCGTTGATGTACTCTCCGTAGGAGGCGAGCTCATCCTCTCGATGAGGGAACGCGAATTTAATGGCCCTTGCGGCTCTATTCCAAGCTGCGGACCATTGTGCAGAGGTAGTGATCTTTTTCGAGACTGCTTCAGTAGCGGTGGAGAACTTGATCTCAATGTCTCCAATAGTTTCGGTGCATTTGTCAATAGTGCGCAAGGAGGAGATAATGGAATGGACGGCATCAAGATTGATGCACTTTCCTGCGACGATTTCTGCCCATCCAGCTTCGTGGAATTCCGGGCAGCAGCGATGGTACATGAGTCTTCGTCGAACTTCTTTTGGGTCTTGCGACCAGTTGAGAAGGATTTCGTTGGTGCGAGTGAGATTCGCTGAGAGTTGACCTCCCTTAAATGATTGCTCGGCTCGTCCAAGACAGGAGAGGTCCAGTTTAGACCGTTTTTTGACAGGTTCACCTTCCTCAATACTGGGCTCTCTCTCATGCTCATCCTCTCTAGGAGGGACGAAGTCCCTTTCTTCAGATTGTCGTGCAGCGTCAGGTTCCCGAAACGTTCTGGTCCTATCAATGTCTCCAAACCATTGTTCGACCATGTCGAAGTACGGAGCCGCGATAAAAGATTCGGCTTGGTCAGAGGCTTCGTTGGAACTGGCTGCGACAACCTTCGTAATAGTGACATATGCTTCTTGCTTTGAGATGAGTGATTGTTTGTAGTCTTCGACGATGTTGAGGCACTTCTCAACCAAGTCTTGTTGCGAAAGAGCCGATCTTCCAGTGTTGGCTTGAGACGAAGTCCTCGCTTGTTCTGGTCCTGTAAGTGATGCTTGGGTGCCGGATGAGACATTTTGGCAACTAGACATGGAGGTACGACCGAATTTGAAGTTTTACACGTAGAATTCAATAAATAGCTTTAAATTGTGGCGCAGGATGTGCGCAAGCAGAACGTGCTCAACACTGATGACGGTCGAGACGAAAGAACTAAAGACCGAAGTCTGCGTCACCAGCGTTTAGGAGACTCAGTCACGGCAACATGTCACAATCAGTGACAAGTATGTGCGTAGAGCTGAGACTCGGCCAGAGCCGAGTGCGAGCGTTGATTCAATTCGTTTAAACCAATTAAAACCCAATGCAAGCGTTCCATATTGGGACGCTATTTGGACCACATTGGAACTAAATTCCCAGGGAGCGTGACTTATTTTACTCACTTGCAAGCAGGCTCTTAGTACTTACAAGCGATTCTAATGGTGCCGGGTGATTATTGATAATTGCAACCGCAATTCATTATGTCAGATTATTATGATAATCTTTCGTCGACGTCGTTGCTTCTCATTGATCCGACTCCTCCCATCATCGTGTTTGAATCTTTAGCTGCGTCTCTTAGGCTGTATATCTTTAATTTGTACTACTCTTGTGGCATGGCCCCCAACTGAAACACAATGAACCGGGGACGTAAATATATTGCTTCAACATCATCCAACAACCAAGTGGATTGTCAGTACTGTAACAAGTCATACTCGGCGCGCGGGATCAAATCTCATGAACAAGGGTGTCTGAGAAGACGGGATAAGAAGAATGATGACAAGGATTTCGCGGCACTTGCAGCACGTGCAGTAGAGGAGGAGCTGCAAAGGAAAGGTAAGCATCGATTAAATTCTGTCTTCATTGACATATCGTCTTGTTGATATCAGTGTACTAATGAATAATACTTTTCGCATCATTTTTAGAAGCACGTCGAGAGAAAAGACGGCATTGTAAGGAGCAAACAATGGCTTCTGCTGTTGTCGCTGCTGCAGCGCCGTCGGTCCCTTTGAGAATGGTCCCAGATGGCACAAAGAACTTGTTGCCTGAGCAAGATCAACAGCCTGACAACTTCACTGCAGGTCCATTGTTTGAAGGGAATTCAGATGTTGCCGATGCAATGAGCATCAGTAGAGATTCAGATGCACGTCAACGTATGTATTATTTTGACTCGTGATGCGCTCCCTTTCTGAAATCTTAATTACAGGTTCAGAATCAGATACAAGCATGGGCATCCCCGCGTGTACCACCCTATCATCGCTCCCAATCATGCCTTCAGCTCCTCCTAATCTCGATACTTTCAAGACGGAATACCACCCACACAGCGGCCGTGCGACTTCTGTAGAGTCGTTCTCCACTTTTGGATGCAAGGAGCATCAGCTGCCGCCTATCGTCGACAATGAACCCTGGCAGCCTTTTGCTTGTTATGCGGACTTTGAGTTCGCCAAACTCGCACACCAGGCTGCCTTGAACAAGAATCAAACAGACGAGCTGTTGCGGCTCATCTGGAGAATTGCTGACGGCCAAGTGAAATTCACGTTCAAGTCCCATGGTGATGTTTCAAAAGCCTGGGACAGGGCTGCCAGTCAAATGTCACCTGTGAGAGAAGAACACGATTTTCTTTTTTTACAGTCGTATTAGACATTCCTTTGATAGTTCGAGAAGCATACCATTACTGTTGAGCACAAGCGGGAGGACCTCAAGTACAACGTATACACACGGCCGTTGTGGGACTGGGCCTTGGACTTGCTACAGGACCCGCTACTGGCACCCCATTTTGTTTGGGATGCACAGCGATTGTACAGGCACAACAGGATGTGTTACGAGCGCTTTGTACATGAACCTTGGACTGGAGACTGTTGGTGGAACGTTCAAGTATGCTATATTTTTTGTATTATTGTTCATTTGTGATTCTACTAAGTGATACCCTTTATATATTGAATTCACAGTCGTCTTTACCTGAAAATGGCGTCCCATTCGCATTTATATTGTATGCGGACAAAACTCATCTATCTTCTGCCGGTACAGTCAAAGCCTACCCTGTCTTCGTGTGATGCGGAAACTTGCCTGTCAATATCAGGAACACGGATGGACTTGGCGGTGGGCGAATGGTTGGCTGGCTACCAATAGTAAGTGAAATTAGTGTTAGTTCTGAGTTTCGCGCGAAACAGTTCTTTTGCGCAGGTTCCTGATGATTCTGAGGAAGATGGAAAGCTCTCATATGTCAATCTCAAACGTGTCGTATGGCACAAGGCATTCTTCAAGCTGCTCGAAACCATCATCATCTATGCCAAGGCAGGGTATGCATATACATGCTATGACGGCGTCATGAGATGGTTGTATGCATTCATCTTGCTCTTATCGGCTGATTATGAGGAGCAGTAATGTCATTTCATACTTTTTTCTGATGGTTTTCTAATCCAATCTTAGGTGCGTGATGGCACTGATATGGGGAACCAATTGTCACTGTCCCTGTCCTATCTGCCTTGTCCCTTCAGACAAGCTCTACAATAACGCTTCCACTTATCCGACTCGATCATCTGATGACACGAAAGCTTTGGTGGAGCTATGGACTAGGGACCGTGTAGCTGGAGAAAGCGCACTCAAAAAACAGGGCCTACGGCCTATTAAGGTCAGCACTTGCAATCAAATGTACCAATTATTGTCCCCCATTAATCATGTCTTACAGAACGTCTTCTGGAAAGTCCCAAATTCTGATCCTCATGACACGATTTTGCAGGACCATTTGCATGTATATCATATGGGTCAGTGGAAACATCTCTTCGGCGAGCTCAAACAACACATTGCAGCCCTTGGACGCAGCAATGAGAAGAAACTGGATGATCAGTGAGTTGTAATTGTTCAGACTACATGTTAGCAACCCTATTTAATTGCTCGCAGGTTCGATACCTTCCTGTGATGGCGCAATCTTAATCACTTTGATCGGGTTACTAATATTACTTACAGCGATGGTAACAAACTTCGGGATATCTCCAGGGTATGATATGACTTCGCGGCTACCAGTTCTCATGTTAACGAATTACTCTTCTCATAGCAAGTTTTGTATGCCGCACAGAACATACTCACATGCGCAGTGGATGAAGCTGGCTATGCACTACTACGGTGTATAGCGAGCTACCTACATATCGACATGTATATTTCACTTGACATGCAGACTGAAAGCACAATTGCTGCGGGAAGGGCAGAGGTGTTAGAGTTTCAGAAGCGCTTAGAGGTACGTCATAGCAGTTCTGCAAATTGTCGTTAGTATTAATTTACTTATCATTGATATCTCAGGACTACATCAAAATCGTCGAGGAGACTGATCCGGACACGATCAAGAACTGGAACTTTCCAAAGATTCACTCTGGAAAGCATATATTTGATGACATCATGGCGAAAGGTGCCGCTCGGAACTTCAGCACTCGACCAAATGAGAAGCAACATGGACCGATCAAATGGTGGTATCTACGGCAGACCAATCGTAAGGATATTGCTGATCAGGTACATTCATGCCTTTTAATTCTAACTCTCAATGAGTCGCTCCATACCACTCATTTCGTGTAACATAGATCCTTGAGCTCGACCATAAGAGTGTCGTCTCTGAATTTATTCGCAGTCGTATCAAGTGCCTTGATGAGGAACGACGCAAACTCATGCTTTCACAGGAAGAACTGGAGGACACGGACTTGGATGATGAGAAATTTGAAGAACATTTTCATATTGGTTCACCCCTCAAGAATCAAACAACCCTTTCGCAAGTGGAGGAAGAAAACAAGTCCATTCGTGCGTTTCACCAGTTCCGGAAGAAACTCGCAACATTTCTCAACCATTTCCTTCCCTCTCACAACATACCGCTGCCGGAAGGAACAACGTGGTTGAAACTTTCAGCACAAGACCAGGTAAATTGACTTTCCTCGCTTTTACTTGAATCTGACTTTGTATGTCGAAAGATCCATGAATATCGATACTTGAAAGTGCATTATGAGTCTACCGCTGACTGGAAGCTAGCTACTGACTACCTGCGATGCAACCCAAGCTTCCATGGCAAAGAACGGCGTGACTGCACTCTAATACGCACACTGGACAAGGACGGCCGCGACAAAAATATATTTGTGAAGATATTATGTGTTACGATAACATTTCCTCTTATCATTTCTTTTGTTCATTACGTACTAAACGGGCTGTCCGTACCTTTCTCTTATCTCTTATCCAAGCGGGCCGTCCGCCCTATCGCTCTTATCTTGATAACACATTTACGAGCTCCGCTCGAACATTGCCTATATAGACTGTACTATGCACGATTATGTTCTTTACTTTAATCTACTGGGTTTTACCTGGAACATTCCTTCAACAAGGTCTCCAACCTTGTTGTCTAAGAATCACGATTCTAAGAGAGTCAGCGACACTCGTCTTAGCCTAGATCCTTGATCCTCTCATTCGAGAGAAGACTCCTGTCTATCAGGCTTACCGCCGATTGTCCATCCGGACTCTGATAGCTTGACCAATCCCAGTCGTAACAAAAGATTAAAGTCTTTATCACCTGAACCGTTGCCATCTGCAACGCAACCGACACCACGACTTCGCTAACTCCTTTTATCGGAGCCTTGAACCTAGGGGCATTACCAAACATCCCGCCATTGAACAACATGACCACCAAAGCCAAAGATATAGAACTAAAGATCGGTTCTCCTCCCGAATTCGATGGAGACAGAGAAGAATCTAAAAGATTCATGATGAAGTGCCACGCATACCTTGACATCAATGATAAGGTATACAATGAAGATAAGAAGAAGATCATCCTTGTATTGTCCTATATGACAAAAGGAAACGCAGCAGCCTGGGCCGAAGACTTCATGGAAGCAGCCCTAGACCCCAAGAGGAAAGACACCTCTGGACAGCAGATCGGTTACGGAACATGGGTCGCATTCAAAAAGGACTTCGACGAAGCCTTTAAACCTATGGATCCCGCCAGAACTGCCATGATGAAGATCTGAGGATTAGAGATGAAGGGGGACCTCCACACCTACATTTCCAACTACCGACTCCTCGCACACAGAGCAAGAATGTCTGAACAAGCCCCCCTCATTGAATTCTTTCGACAAGGTCTAGACTATGGACTCCAAGACAGTCTTCACTGAACCGGTGAAAGTCTTGATGATTTTGACACCGTAGTCAACACCTGCATCAACCTCGATAACGCTTATCAGAGGTTGAAAGCCATCAAGAAGCGGGAAAGACCGAACCTTCAAAAAAAGAAGAACTTCGGAAACAAACATTATGTCCCCAGAAGAAGCGACGATATGGAAGTCGATCGCATAAGCCGTCTATCCGACACCGAGTTAAAGAAACACCTCAAAGAAGGGAGATGCTTCAAATGTCACCAAGTTGGACATCGCGCCAATGACACCTCCTTCCACCCAAGAGAGAGAGACCAGATCCGAAGGAACAAAGAGGAAGAGAGTAGCGACAACGAAGTCGAAAGTCGCGCCTCTACCTCCAGAAAAACGCCTATTAGGAGAAAGAAAGAGAAAGAAGACGAAGAAAGGGGAAGCACCTCTTCAAAAAGGAAAGCCCCGGTCAGAAGGAAAACCGCAAAGGTAGAAGAAGAAAGTGAGGAGGATAGCGACTTCACCGAAGTAGAACACCGCTTTGTGGAATTGGATTTTTAAACAGGAAGACTGCCTCGACGTCAGTGCTTCCTATCCCTGTACGACTAATATGATCCATTGGAAATAGAAATGAATTGAGAATCCCTGCATCAATCTTTTCCAATAAACGTATGAAAACCATCGAAACATCTATGGTCATCAATTCTGGAGCATCCGGAACTTTTATAAGCAGTGCCTTCTGCAAAAGACACAAGATACGAACACACAAACTCTTGCGACCATTTCCTGTCGTAACCGCAGATGGATCAGAAGCCCAAGGAGGGCTCATTTCCTGCTATTGCATCCTAACTGTCAAAATCGACCAAAGGACGATGATCAGAAAATTCAACGTAGCAACACTTGCTAAGCAAGATAAAATCCTTTTAGGATTCCCCTGGCTCGCAGCATCGAAACCTTTGATCGACTGGGAACAAAAAACTGTATCCCTACCGCCCACAAAGAGATCCCGTGCAATAGAGAAGAAAATAGATCAAAGAAGAAGGAAAAGAAACCTCCCTCCACTTTTCCTCAAGAAAACTCCTGTCGAGAAGGAAACATCTCGCCTTTGGACAAACTCCAAACTAAAGAAGCCGATACAGGTGAAGGTGGCAACTAATGAAACCACCCTCCCCTCTACCGCCGCTTCTATAGAAGAAGTTGCAGACGAAGAAACCCCCGATTACGACACCAAGGAAGACGTATGGTCAGACAACTTTCAACTTGCCGTTAAAGACCCGTTCGCCTACAAATTAGCAAACGATGAAGTACTCGTCGAATACGCCACCGACGGTTCGACAGTACGAATAATCGAAGACCTATCTTTCGACACCCCATTAACTCGCGACGGAATGTCAAGGAAGGAACAGAATTTCGGAAAAACCAGTAACAAGGCCCAAGAATTTGCCGTCGCCGGAGAAATAGCAAAGCAAAGCAAAACCTTTGAAGAATTAGTCCCCACCTTCCTCCATCAGTACACCGACGTCTTCGCCAAAGACGGACTTAATAAGGTACCCCCTGAAAGACCAGGAGTAGATCACCGTATCGATCTAAAACCCGGATTCATACCGAAAACATCCAAAATCTATCCATTATCCGGAAAGGAACGCAAAGCGGTCAAAACCTTCATTGAAGAGAATACCAAGAAAGGGTTTATTGTCCCCTCTAAATCACCTCAAGCCAGCGGATTTTTCTTTGTAGGAAAGAAGAGTGGAGAATTACGACCCTGCCAGGATTATCGTTATCTTAACGACTGGACGATTCGAAATCAGTACCCTCTTCCCCTTCCAAAATCCTTGATCGAACGGCTCTATGATGCCAAATATTTCACTAAAATTGACATCAGATCGGGGTACAATAATATCCACATCCACCCTCAGGATCGGTGGAAGGCCGCGTTTACCACGGAAGAAGGGTTATTTGAACCTACGGTTATGTTCTTCGGACTAACTAACTCTCCCGCGATGTTCCAAGCCTTCATGGGAAAACTCTATCAGCAAGAGATAAATGAGGGATGGTTAGTCATCTACATGGACGACCTCTTAATTTTCTCCAAAGACTTGGATGAACATCGAAGACGGACGAAGCGGGTACTCAACACATTACGAAGAGAGAAATTATTTGTCAAACCCGAAAAGTGCACCTTTGACGCAGAAGAAGTGGAATATCTAGGGATGATTATCCGACCAGGGGAAGTAGGGATGGAACCAGCCAAGGTCAATGGAATAAAGCATTGGCCGAAACCAGAAAACCTAAAAGACACGCGATCTTTTCTTGGATTCTGCAATTTTTACCGCTCATTCATCTCCCATTATTCCGACATCGCACGACCTTTGATTGACCTCACAAAAAAGGACCACCCCTTCCAATGGACCATTGAATGCCAAAACTCCTTTGATCGCTTGAAAGGGGCCTTTTTATCCCAACCAGTATTGAGAAACCCCGACCCAAATAGACAATTCGCCATCGCAACCGATGCCTCTCTTGCTGCAACAGGCGCAGTCCTTCTTCAAACAGATGAAAATGGGATGTATCACCCATGCGGATACCTATCCCAATCATTCAATTCAGCAGAATGAAACTACGAAATCTTCGATAGGGAATTGTTGGCAGTCATTAGAGCGCTCTCCGAATGGCGCCATTATTTGGAAGGAAACCCCCATCCAGTGATTGTGTTTACAGACCACATGAACCTTCTCTATTTCCGAACTGCACAGAAGCTGTCTCGACGACAAGCACGCTGGCAGCTGACCCTATCAAATTTCAACTTGGAACTCCATCATGTCGCAGGGACTAAACTCGCCGCTCCCGATGCCCTCTCAAGACGACCTGATCATTCATTAGGAAAAAACGATAACGAGAATAAAATTCTTCTACCAGATTCCATGTTTGTGCGATTAATTGACGAGAACCTCTCTAAATCCATCGCCATCGACTCAGCCGAAGACACCATCGTCCAAATAGCCACAGACGCATTGGATGGGATCTGTCTTCCGCCTATGAAATCAGCGTTGTCTGATTGGACACTCCATGAAGGAATCCTGTTTTATAAAAACAGGGCCTATGTCCCACCCTCTCAACGATCAGATGTCTTATTCAAGCATCATGACCACCCCACTGCCGGGCATCCTGGACGTTTTAAGATGGAAGAGTTAATTAAGAGGGATTATTGGTGGCCAGCCATGGGCACTTACATTCGGAAATACGTTGACGGTTGTGCATTGTGCCAACAGATGAAGGTGGACACCCATCCTACGAACCCCCCATTATGCCCGATCCCCTCCTCCGCCACTCGACCCTTCTCTCAGGTCTCCGTGGACCTCATCACCGACCTCCTGGAATCTGGCGGCTTCGATTCTGTTATGGTCGTGGTCGACCACGGGCTTACGAAGGGGGCAATTATTTTGCCCTGCAACAAGAACATCACCTCCGAAGGAGTAGCAAAGCTATTCCTCAAAAACGTTTTCAAAAGATTCGGCCTCCATGATAAAGTCATCTCCGACCGAGGACCCCAGTTTATCTCAAAATTCTCCAAAGAACTAGCTAGACTCCTTGGATATCAAATCGCAGCATCCATGGCGTACCACCCCCAGACCGATGGACAGACTGAACACCTTAACCAGGAACTCGAAACCTACCTACAAATCTATTGCAGAAACAACCCGCTAGAATGGTCGCAACACCTTCCCCTTGCCGAATTCGTCCACAATCATAGGAAACACGATGCAAGAAACATGTCCCCTTTCTTCCTGATGATGGGATATGAACCAAGAGGGATTCCCCACGTCCTAGCTGTATCAGACGTCCCCGCAGCAGAAGAAAGACTCAGAAACCTCCAGAAGACTCGTGAAGAAGCAATCGCTTGTCACAACATAGCCATGCAACGAATGGCAGAAAGATCTCGAAAAAAGAAGTACCAACCGTGGAAGATAGGAGATAAGGTATGGTTAAACACCACCAATCTCCCCACTTCCCTACCATCCAGGAAACTTGCGCCCAAGAGGCACGGGCCATTCGTAATCATGGCAGTTTTATCCCCCATCACGTTCACCCTAAAACTCCCCAAGCAATGGAAAGTTCATCCCACATTCCACACTTCTGAACTATCGTCCTATCGCGAAACAGAGATACACGGACCGAACTATACCGAACCACCGCCCGATATAGTCAATGGCGAAGAAGAATATGAAGTCGAAGCTATTCTTAGCCATAAAGGAGCGGGAAAATGAAGACACTATCTTGTATCTTGGACCGGTTATTCTTCCGGGAGCAATGAATGGATACCCGAAGAGAATTTGCGGAGTTCGAAAGATCTCCTTGCAATGTATAAAGAGAGACACAAGTTGAACTGAATAAATCATTCCCTCAGACAAACAAACATTTCTTCAGTAACATGACTCCTCCCCAGACACCATCGCCCACCGAATCAAACATCTCCCACGTCTCCCTCAGAGACACATCCTATAGACAGAACATCATCAACGTCAACGACGATGCTATTGTCGAAACCACTCTATTATCACTCGCCCACGCAGAAGAGCTTGAAAGACAACTCGCCAAAGAACCCGCAGTCGTGGCAGCCCCCATATTATCCCAGATCCATGTCATACGCGCCACCGCCGCCCTTGAGCTCCGACTCAGGGAAATCAAAAACGACGCCCTCAGACTTGCATGCCAACACATCCAGAGACACATTCGCAGTCTTGAGATTCAGCTTCTTCCTGCTGCTTTTAGCACTGTCTGCAAAACAGTTATACGAACTGTTGCCGAACAGAACACGGCCAGGTCGGTCGCCCGCCAAGCGCTTCTGCTAGCGCTCCCCCCAGTAGCATACCTGCTACAAATATACCTAGAGAAGAACCTCAGCCAGCACAGGCTGAAGAAGTATTACCCATCCCCGAGCCCGCCACCATCTACAAACGAAAGACCCGTAAGGGAACTATCGTACATGGAGTGATGAAGACCAGAGCTTCTAAAGGAAAGAAGCGCGAGGTCACTGACCTCACCGAATCCCCCGACATCATCACGGTAAAACAACCTCAGTTCTCCCCCGACAATTTCGTATGTTGCATCTGCAAGAAACTAGGGCATCGCCACAAGAACTGCCCCGAATACTACTGCTGTATATGCCAGGCTCATGCGCCTGGCCACTTCTCCATCTACTGCCCCTATGCTCCAAAAAAGGAGCAATTTCCGTTGGTTTATACCGACGACGGCTTTTACGAGGTGTTGGCAGCATGGGAAGCCAGGAAAGATGAAGCACTCCTAGTGGAGTTGGACAGAGCGAACACCGAGTACGACACACTTCATCGGGACGAGGAATTAGAATTCCAGAATGCTGACGCAGACGTCATCTACTACGCTCACATGGACGAGTACATCAACCAGGACGATTAGTGTCGAAGTCGGTGACTTTGACTGTAATAACGGGGTAATGTTACGATAACATTTCCTCTTATCATTTCTTTTGTTCATTACGTACTAAACGGGCTGTCCGTACCTTTCTCTTATCTCTTATCCAAGCGGGCCGTCCGCCCTATCGCTCTTATCTTGATAACACATTTACGAGCTCCGCTCGAACATTGCCTATATAGACTGTACTATGCACGATTATGTTCTTTACTTTAATCTACTGGGTTTTACCTGGAACATTCCTTCAACAAGGTCTCCAACCTTGTTGTCTAAGAATCACGATTCTAAGAGAGTCAGCAACACTCGTCTTAGCCCAGATCCTTGATCCTCTCATTCGAGAGAAGACTCCTGTCTATCAGGCTTACCGCCGATTGTCCATCCGGACTCTGATAGCTCGACCAATCCCAGTCGTAACATTATGCATGTTTAAGCACACTGTTGGCAGCTGTACCTTAGATCTCGCACTCGTTCTACCTATGGATGCCTGAATTGGCCCACGTCGGCGTATGGATCAAGAACTGCGACTAACTCGACTTCGCGCACGGCCTGCTTCTTTATCTGAGTTTATTACACTTCATTCCATCATTTGTGGTGCTCTTCTCATTCCAGATTTTGCTCATGATGGAGATTATTTTCTTGTGGATACTGTGGATACTGACATGTTTCTTCGTACTGTACATTCACTACAGTTACATTAGTAATAACGGTTCATTGACATTACCTATCTCTTTTAAACTTGTCCAGAGTACCCTCCTTCCTCTTCTAACTCTCAAGTAAGGCTCCCCCATTTCATCACATATGTGTCTCACCACACTGACAAACTTTAATCCATGACCTTTCCAGCTTCTCAAAGCACGCTTCCCCACTGCTTGGGGATCTTCGGGTCACCGTCTTTTCATATCCGCTTTCATGCTCGCATCCAAGGTCATCTGTGACAGCACTTACTCCAACAAATCCTGGAGTATTGTAGCCCAGGGTATGTTCCAATTGCGAGAAATCAATCAGATGGAGTGCAAGATGTATCAGTATCTGGAGTGGGAACTCAATGTGGATCCAGTAACGCTTAGGGAGTTCGAAGACATGGTCAAGAATCTTCGGGGTACTTAATAGACTATCAATCGTTCATCTCCGCTTTCTGCATGGGGACATGACACAATTATTGTCAATGCATTATGTATTTAAGTAAGTCGTGATGATGCTCTGTTTAATTTGTGCGTGTGATATTGATGTGATGCTGCCACCTTATTACATCCACAGGGTCTCATTCTGATATTCGTCTGAACAATGCTGCAACCTTTATCAGAACCATCAATGCGCATCATTACATATATTCAACGAGTCTAAGGTGCATATCAATTTGTTAGTTAATGTCATGACATGTCGTCGCCGCCCCAATAGCACATGCTAGGGTCAATTTAAAGCTTGTGCGATTGACTAACACTCCAGTTTTCTGTTCTCGATGTTTGCTTGACTGTTTCACTAATACTAATACTATGCCTCCAATTCAGCGCAACCAAGGTGAAGACTTCACTCAAGCAATCAATGACGTCGACAGTGACTCCACCCGCAACTCAGATGGAACTGATAGCCTTAGCGACTCAGATTTGGACGATGATGCAGACTTGATGCGGATTCACGACACCGTTGCTGCCCCAACCGCTAACATGTCAACTCAAGATCTTCGCAAGGTAACTGTCATTTTGCTACACACAGACAATGTTTGTAGTAATAACTAATAATTGTATCTACTAACAGGCGCTTGAAATCGCGCAAAAACTTCTTTTTGACATGCATGGAAAGTACCGGGAATCATTGAAGAAGATTGCTTTACTTGAGGCTACCGTTTCGAAAGGTCGGAAGACAAAGCTTACAAAGAAAGATCTTGCCCTTGCTGCCAAGGAAGACAGCATCAGAAATTTTGGACACAAGTTCTCTATCACCCACTGCTTATGGGTCGAAATGTCTATTTTCCCCTTGCGTGAGCCACCTCCCAGAATCGACCTCTCAAGCAAGGAGCGATGGCTCTCACCGCTATCCATCCAGGATGGCATTAAAGCTGAACTTTTCCAATTCATACCGCCAGCTGACCATAATATGATGGCTCATAAAAACTTTGGCTCCCATGTAAGCCCTCCCATCTTTGATTGCACTCGATGATAAACTTAGTCTGTCCAGTTTGTGAAAGGCGTCAATAATGTTCGTGCCGAAATGCTCTCAGATGTCAAGTCATGCGCGGCAGCCATTTTTGGCTTAGATGCCAAGTTTTTTATATGCGGTTATGCACGGGACACAGAGCCTTCTTGCAAATCTCTGCTCCTTAACCCCCAAGGCCAGTACACGAAGTTTGCACCGATTCTTTTCCCTTGTCCAGACCATCTCCTCAGAGATCAGTTTTTGAAAACAGCAAAACTCGTTTATGTAGGTTCTTGCCTCCCCTCTCTAAATAGAACTAACTAAATAGCATTTATAGATTCTGAAAGTGTCACTCTTTGGCCGGTCGTCGCTCGCTGCCAATGCAGTTCCCACTCCGAAAACAAAGGCAAAAATATGGGAGCTACGTGCTGTAACACCGGGTCTCATTGCTGCAGCAGCCATTGTCGTACGTATTGTCTCTTATGCTGCACAATATTGACACTTAATACGAGTTTCAGGCTATATTTGTCCTTTCTGGTGACAAAGAGTTGGTTGAAGTTGGCGACAAATCTCGCATACCATACAAAGACTACCATAACTACTACCGACAATCGCTGTTGACTGGAGGTGCCTGGGCAGACAGAGTCTTCACCTTTTTCAACAACTCCTTGTTTTCCACTTCTTCTGCCGCAACTCTCCTTGATTCAGACTCGACGTTACTAGGTGACTTGACGAGTGGTCCGCGTGACAGCTGGGAAGAAATGTTTGAGCATGCAATGGAGACTGGGGCGGAACTACCAGAACTGAATATGATTCAGACGTCATCAGTTGGTCCTGTCATCGAAGCATCTTCTTCTGCACCTGGACCCCAGTCAATCTCTGCTGCCATGCAAGGTCTAGCTTTGGCCGAGCACCTACCACCTGCAGCAGTCAACGAGGACGTTGAAGCAGAGCCTGTAGCTCCTGTTGCTGCTCAGAAGCCGAAGCCGAAGCCGAAGCCAAGGTGGAAGGGCAAGGCTGCAGCTGCTGACAGTAACATTTCAGAAGATCAAGCTCCTGCCAATGTTGAACCTGAGGTTTCATCATTAGTAGTCAGTGGCAGTGGTGTGCGAAGGGGCCGATCAAAGACCACTAAGTAATATAATAGATTTTCTTCGTCTCATGTCACTCGTCGATGTACTTAGATTGTTCTTGATGTCATTGGATTAGTAATACAATCAACAACAACAAACATTTGATGTGAAAGACTTGGAAGTCTTTCGTTCAACTTGTCATATCATTTCAACTATAAACAAAATTAAGTCTTGTCGTCGTCGACTGTCTCATGTCCTGCCAACCTCCACTCCCGTCGTCTCCTTGAACTTGTTGTGCCGCCGATGCCTGCAGCCTCCAACCACTCCCGTCGTCTCCTTGAACTTGTCATGCCGCCAATGCCTGCAGCCTCCAACCACTCCTGTTGTCTCCTTGAACTTGTCATGCTGCCGATGCCTCCAACCACTCCCGTCATCTCCTTGAACTTGTCATGCTGCCGTCACGCCTGCCTCCAACCACTCCCGTCTCCTTGAACTTGCCGTGCTGCTGTTGATGCCTGCCTCCAACCACTCCCTTCTTCTTGAACTTGTCGTGCTGCCATTGACGCCTGCCTCCAACCACTCCCGTCTCCTTGAACTTGCTGTGCTGCCGTTGACGCCTGCCTCCAACCACTCCTGTCTCCTTGAACTTGCCATGCTGCCGTTGATGCCTGCCTCCAACCACTCCCGTCTCCTTGAACTTGCCGTGCTGCTGTTGACGCCTGCCTCCAACCACTCCCGTCTCCTTGAACTTGCCGTGCTGCCGTTGACGCCTGCCTTCAACCACTCCTGTCTCCTTGAACTTGCTGTGCTGCCGTTGACGCCTGCCTCCAACCACTCCTGTCTCCTTGAACTTGCCATGCTGCCGTTGATGCCTGCCTCCAACCACTCCCGTCTCCTTGAACTTGCCGTGCTGCCGTTGACGCCTGCCTCCAACCACTCCCGTCTCCTTGAACTTGCTGTGCTGCCGTTGACGCCTGCCTCCAACCACTCCCGTCTCCTTGAACTTGCCGTGCTGCCGTTGACGCCTGCCTCCAACCACTCCCATCTCCAACCACTCCCGTCTCCTTGAACTTGTCGTGCTGCCGTTGATGCCTGCCTCCAACCACTCCCTTCTCCTTGAACTTGTCGTGCTGCCGTTGACGCCTGCCTTCAACCACTCCCGTCTCCTTGAACTTGCCGTGCTGCCGTTGATGCCTGCCTCCAACCACTCCCGTCTCCTTGGACTTGTTGTGCTGCTGTTGTGCCTGCCTCCAACCACTCCTGTCTCCTTGAACACGCTGCTAGGAATGGGATTTGGTCATCAACTGCCTCTCCGGGTCTCATCCATCCGTTTGTCCAAGGTTAGTAAGACTGATATCATATTTGTATTGTCTCCAACTCAAAAATTGTCCCCACCAGAATTATTATTTCAAAACAAAACGGGAGTGATTGAGGAACGCTTGGAATGCAATTGGGAGCAATTTTACAATATTATTATTAATAGTGCTATTATTATATTAAATAAAAGACTGCATAATTTCAAGACCTTGGAAGGATACTTGTCGCTTCCAATGATATTCCAATTAGGGTATATAGAGCATTGGTCAAAATCTTGCCCTTGCATTGGAACAGTCTTGGGACCCACTTGCAAGACCCTCTATATTGCTTCTAAGCGGCTTCCAAAATTTTCGGGTTCCCTTCCAAGCGAGTTGTAATGCTGCCGGTAAATTGAGGCCTTCCAATCCATTTTAAGGCATGCCAACCAAAATTAGAAATTTCCGACACAAACACTGCCAAATATAACGCGAGATCCACGCGAGAGATCCCACGCGAGATCCTGCACCAGATTCTGCACCAACTTGAAGACATAGAGGTGCGCTGTGTCCTGAGGGTGGCGAAGCAAAAGGCATGTTCCGCGATTCTACCGTTTGCGACAGAGATGACCTTCGTAGCGATATCCTGGTGCAGAATTTGGTGCAGGATCTCGCATTCAGTGTTTCATTAGGTAAAATTCGATGGGTTCTAAGTTGTAGGATCTGGTGTGGGATCTCACGTGGGATCTCTCGCGTGGATCTCGTGTTATATTTGGCAGTGTTTGTAGCAGTAAAAGGTCCTTCATCTGCAAAACCACTGAAATGAACGCTTAACTTACGCGCGTTACGAACACTTACGAATGCTTACGACTTCAGTAGCGAACTCATGCGATTGGTGGAGATCTGACAACTCACTTAGTTGTGTCAAAATCACGAAATCAAGTCTTAGATGTAGTCTTAAATTGTTTACCGAATCTTATCTTTGCAAGATAGTCCAATCAATCAATCTAACATTGCGATGCACACCACAGGACCTCGAGACTCGAGAGGAACTACATAAAGTCTGTATGTAGCGTGTGATACCATTCCTTGTCTGAAAAACTGTTAAGGTAGAAGGTATCATAAAGTTCCAAGGATGTCGCAGCAGTAACATCACGATTAACTCTTTGACCATATTCAGGAATCAACTCGATCGCATGAGTGACATCAACAAGCGGTACAATCATTCCAAGCCTCGCTCGTGTACCATCAGGACCGGTCTCGAACCATCGCTTGACACGGTACATCATGACCGCATGATCATCCTGCGGATGCGAGATCACTTCAAAGAGTTGCACGTAAAGAAGTGGCTCAGAAAGTTCGGGAGGCAGCGCAGAACCCCTCGTTGACAAGCCAAATACCATTCGAACTTGTGCAGCTATGACTTGATCTAGAGGACCAGGTTAGTACAACGATGCTAATAAGACATTGGTGTCTCACCATCATTCTGCGTCCGCAGGAGTACCATATCACAATTTCCAAGGGGATAAGCTCCAGATGGTGGATACGCTTGTACTTGTTGGCTTGGCATGACAAGACGTGGGCGCAGGTCTGAATGTAACTGTAGATGGAATTTGTTCCAAACCTTAAGGAGACGTGTTTGAAAGTGGGACCCTGACCCATTGACGCGCTCAATAAAGGCATGAAGTAGATTAGGGAATTTCGGAAGATGATATAACCGCGCCAAAAAGTTAGGTGACTTGTCAGCCAGATCGCTAGAAACAGTAACGTGGAATGCGACACGGCTATCTTCTGAAAGAAGCCCCTTGAGAAAATGGTTGCGGACGGGACAGGGACCATGAAAACAAGAAACTTCCTCGGGAGAGATGCGCATGATCCAATCAAACACCGGGTCGATGTCGACAACTTCCTCGAATTCATTGTCAATCAGATTATTGATGGACAATGATTTTGAGCAGAGGAGAGTGTACAAGTCGAATTGGCGCGCTGTGTCTTCCCGATCCAAAAGGCGGACGATTTGCTGCGTGAAGCTTGCATGCTGATGACTAGTGCGCGTAAAAGGACCTTTGCAATGCGTGATCAGCATGTGTTCGCCGGTCTCAGATGTAAACTGGATTGGGGCGCCAAGATTAGGGATAGCTCGAGCAAATGAAGTGAGAAGTTCGAGTTTAGGTATTTCAAAGTGCGCGATAGGACCGGAGGTCCCCCTGCGAGCCTCAGCGCTGATAATAGCTCTTTTGAAGCGATGGAATTCTGCGAGTGAGGATGTCATAGCAGTGATCGAGGATGGAGTGAAAGTTGGAGATTGAGCTTGGTAAATGAAATCGATAAGCGCACAAATTGCTTGGATAAAGTTTGCATCAGCAACGCCCGCAAGTGTAGCAACAATCGTGCACTGGATATCGCGATGCTCCCGCCCAGTCATTTGCTGGACGTGCGAGACACCTTGGGAAAAATGACGAGTGCCAATATGTTTGTGCTGTCTGCGAAAGCGCGAATCGAGCTCATCCGCCCCCAGAACTTCCTTGCACCACTTGAAGATATGGTCAAAAAAAAATTTGTGGAGTGTGTGTAGGATGTCAGGCGCAAGGAAATATGCAGGATCACTAAAGCGCCAGTTGTGCCAGAAGGGAAGTTGGACCCCGCTGAGGTAAAGTGATTTGGCTTCCTCTTGGAATTCTTGAACCTTCCAGGGATCCACATGTTGGCAAAGTCGGTGCAGCGCTTCAATCGTGATATTCCCATGACGAGGAGGGTATGATACACCATCCCCAAACTGTGACTGGGTAGCCAAAGTAACGGGTGATGCGTTCTTACTGACACACGCAATCATCTGCTGTTCAGGGAGGTCCGCAGTGTACGCGACAAGGGGGGTGAATGCGTAGCGCAAGTGGCCGGATGGATCCACCATGCTTGTGCCAGTTGCAGCGGTGATTTTAAGGTTTTCACAAACAATATCTACACACCGATGCCAGACACGGGCTTGCAAGAGCGAGCAGAAGTCTGGATGACAAATGAATTGCGGGATAGGCATATACGCGATGCATGACCATGCATGCGAAGTAGCTTTCATGCAGATGTCCGATCGAATGTTGGCTGTAGTGAGAAACATAGGATGCATCTCGAGCCCACCTGATTGGCGGGTGACCGGGGTTTTATCAGAAGCAAGAACTATTGGAACAATAGTAGCACCAGATGGGAGCTGGTCCTAAGAGGAAGACGGCTATCATTAGGTACAATCTATAGAATAAAGTGCACTATATACCTGAATACCATGAGCCCGCGAGCAGGACATCCATTCACCGTATTCTCATTCTCTGTTGACCTGGATCTCGTATGGATCAAACTCCATATCGTTGGCGAATACTGGGTTACCAAAAATGTGCCGCGTCACCTCCAGGGCATCATGCCAGATTAGGTGTACAGGATGGGTGGTGATGTAACCTTCGGTATGAATGGTTGTACAGCGCCATTTTGGTCCCTTTGGCAGGGCATCCATGAAGGTGAACATCTGTTGCGCAGACTTATACGCCAGTGGTTTCCGTGTTTCTGACTTAACCTGCTTGTACGTCATTAGTGATAATTCAATAGGTGGTCATTCAAGCTGACTGACCCACAATAGCTTCAGAAACCTAGTAATTTGACCCTGGTTAAGATTGTCACTAAGAAATTTAGCTAACTCCCATTCCTCCCTGTCGGTAAATGGGTAGTACACGTTATGTGCACGATGAGCTTCGTAGTCGTGAGCCTTCATACGCTCAAAGGAGTTTGGTTGGTGAAAACCATAGATAGATCCCGAGTTTTCATGATAACGAGCTGTGCGCTCCTCCCCTGGACCAGCAGGTTGGCGAATTGCAAGTGGAACAGGTACACCGTTGCAGCGTGGATCATCCGTCAGGTGATTACATAGATGCTCTACTGACGTGAATTGTGTTGCACAGGTAGGACAATCATATAGCACCCTGCTAGCAACTAGAGTCATCCCTCGGTAAGTGATTGATATCCAAAGCACTTACCTTCCAGCTCTAAATGACGTCTCATCTGAGATGAAGTTATAAGGGTCTGGTGAGTGGTCTCTTTCTATGCTGGACGACATTGAGGCGATTATCGATGCATGGCGATTGTATTGATGTGCGGCGATTGCAAGTTTGCATTGCACATTTGCCAGCAGTCCTCGAAGATTTGTAGCCTTATCCATGGCAATCATTGCCAATACCAAGTCTGCTGGCATTCCTCAAAAATTCGTGAACTCCTTCAAACTCCGACGTGCAGTGCATGCGCAGACTGAGTAAGCTGACTGGCCCGATATCACCTGTGAGTTACTCATCCCTATCATGCCAGACGTCCTTATTATGAATCACAGACCTCTGGATCCTCCTAGCCCAACCAGCTCTGCGACTTACATTGAGTGTTCTTCTCCAGGTTATAAGGCTCCCATGATCAATAAAGGAACATTCAATTTCGAGCCACTATATGGCAGTCGTTCACCCACTAGCATGTCGTCTAGATTGTCAACTGGAGTCAACCATGATATCCCTCCTGGCAACTTTTTGGCTGAGGTAGAAGTCTAAAATTATCTATTGGTCATTGTGTTCTGATTAACTACTGAATATTAGGCACAAACCATCTTGAGTGATTCTAACATCCCTATGGACGTAATCAAAGAGGCCATCTCAGCTCAGTTTGCTACCTGCGAGAAGCACCGCAACCTCCTAATGTCAAAGATGTGGGAGCTTGAAGAAATCACTAGGTGGAAGAGGTTTTCGAAACGCACCGTTGCTACCTTGCAGAAGGAGCACAGCATTGCTCAGTCAGGGTTGAAACTATGGTTAGATTTAGCACAGAAACAGATTTCAAGAGATTCAGCCGATACCATCCAGACCTACCGCAGAGAACAGGAGGCCCTCACCGCTGTACAAATGGACCTTGTTAACTTGGAAGGACTTGCTTCTTCCCAGGGGATGGCTGATGGAGATTTGATTCAAGAAGGCACGGATGATGACGATGATGACGAATATTCCGCCATGTCAGACAACGACAGTATTGTGAGTTTAGTCGCTTTTTTTTGTAATTATAATCATTAAATGCATTCATTATTACTAGGGAGAATATTAATATTGTGATATGTGCGTAGTAAATTATGCAAGTTTGCGCATGTGGTGAGTCTAGCCTTTTCTTATTGGCGGGATCAATCACTGATCTGTTAGCTATCTCTACTAATCAGGAAGGCCGCCTGTTTTTGTGTTAGATGATATGTATCAAACTTTCCGGACCAGTGTTTTGTAGCCAACGTACTATGACATTGTTATTACCCTTCTCGTCGCACCTAGATTGAGGTCGCGCTGATAGCCATGCCTCATGGCATGGCGCATGGATGATCATCTTTTCATTGATTGTATGAGGTGTGAATATCGAAAGGTAAGACTAATTACGACGTACTGACTATTACATCTTAAGCCCTTCCCTCCACCATGCCCTCCAAGGCTACTGCGAAAAAATGACGACCCCCCCGAAAAAATGCAAAAGTCATAAAGAAACCAGGGTGTAAATCGGACCTTAATCCTTCCCTCCAACCGGACAGCACCCAACTCGGGCTTCAAGAAGAACATACCCAGCCCCCGCTTTTGTACAGCGACTTCTCAGTGATGATGGAAGGATACGATGACAATGAGGGAGAGGAGGAGGAGGAGGAGGAAGCGCGAAACGATCAGCGTGGGTCCTACCGGGAGCACCAACCACTTCCATACAACAATCTCCCTCAGCCCCACTACGGGCGGAACCATAGTATGCAAGATCAGGACCCTGGTGCTCCTCAGCATTACCAACCCCTTCCATATTACCCTCAGCCAGACCACGACCCTGGTGTTCCTCAACACTATCAACCCCTTCCTTATTACCCTCCGCCACAACTGCAGTATGATGATCTGCCGCCTTCCAGTCCCCCTCGTGACCCGCGCTTTGACAACCAACTTAGCATGCCATCATCCAGCCGGCAACCTGCTCCCCCCCCCCATCACCAGACACGTACGACTATCTACCAAATGTACCTACGTTTGAAGATCTCATACCTCCCGGAATCCAGGAACTCGAGCACACTACACGCTCAAGGTTCAGAGGTCTTGATCAAATGCGAGGAGAACGCCTCGAGCACCAACAGGCTCGGTGTGCAGCCCAAGTAGGCACCAATGTTCCCGGAATCTGCACCGTATTCATATACAATCCGCGCCGCCATCCAGCAGAGAGCCAACGAGGGCAACTCATTACAACTGGCGTCATCAGGGTAAGTCTTCTGAATCTTGTTTTATTTTTGTTCTTATTTTACAAATGTAACCTACAAGCGAAGTATCTGTTACAGTGCCGATTCCATCCCGACAACAACTACCGGCACCCATTACGCCATCCAGCCTTCAGCCTAATGCTGATCCTGGACCCCGACAGCTGACGGACAAAGAGCTAAAAGATGTGAAGAAGGAGGCGAAACGGGTGATGCGCAGAAAGGTGCTCCTCAAGAATGCGATGCCCACGACGGAACGGAATACTGGAATGGCTAAGGAAGCATTTTTGGAGGTGGTGGGACGTGTAGTATCGGGTGTATCATTGACGGCCTCGCAAATACCGGATCGCACCGAGACCTGCAAGAAGCTATCAGGGATCACGACGACTGTGCGTGGAGTCTTCAAGAAGGAGGCGCAACGGCTCATTCTCAACCACTATTCTCTTTCTCTTGAAGCCGGAGACACAAGATCATTGACTGACCACAGAGAGACTACTGTTGCCCCGCTTCTCGTCAACCACAGCTATCTTTTTGTAAGTCCATTTACATTGCTTTCGTTCTTAGGTTGCTAAACTAGCTTCTCTCAGAAAGATCCAACAGTCATGTCCCCTGTCAACCACCCCGCCGTCATCGAGACGATCTGTAATTCCCTCTGGACCACTCATCTTCATGAAGCGCTCGACTTCAATGAGCTCGACAAGCTCTACGACTTATTTTCAATCAGGGGCGCTGCAGTCCATAACACTCTACTAGAGTTCCAAGACGGAGTATATAAGTCAGTACAATTTTCACCAGTGTCTTTGTCGGCAACGGAGTACAAAGCAATTCAGACTCACAATAGCATCGTCCACGACACGCCTACGCTGCATTCTGCTTCGTTGTCTGTAAAGCAGAACATGATTGCTCTGGGGACGGCTTTGCGTGCACGTTGATTAGCACCTTCCTGATAGTAGTAGTACTACTAGTACTAGATAATCTACTACTACAAAGATAATCAGCGTGATCTTCCCTCTGATAATCGTTGAATCTCTCGAATATATCCATTTTCTGCTAGACAAACTTTGCTTCTGAAGCGAAAGTCCTAGCCGCTCGCATAGCAGCGTTACATAGCGTTACATACTCGGGTAAATCAAACTCCGCTCGACGAGCACTTTCAAGTTTTAGATGCTTGTACACTCCTTCTCTTTCAAAAATGGTCATACGACAAGTTTTGAAGTGCACCTGAGTGGAATAGAACGAGGCCATGGCGTGAAATAGAGACACTAATGCTCATTCTGAGATGCAACCTATTATATAGGTAAGAGGTTCCAACGGTTCTGCATGTACGACGACACACCAGAACCGAAGTTTCGTCGGTACATTGCATCCATTTTTGGTTGGGCGGAGCTCGAGGCCATATAAAACATACTTATGCAAGCTCTATGATCCTGGTGGGATTTGACGATAGCTAGATAAATTCGAACTCCGATTCCTAGCCATCAAACAGGTGCCGAGACGTAGCGGCTCCACCTGTTTTTCTTAAGTCATGATATCTTCCAGGTCAGGAATCTTGAGAATATGATGTCACCGATGCCCTCCGTCATAAGATTACACAACTACAAGCTATTTGCTTGTCAGGAATGAAGATCGCCGCATATAACCAGGTAGCCTAGTAGGCTTGACGGTTAATGACTTCGAGCTTTTTACGACTGCCTGAGCCTAATCAATCGAAGAGCCTAGCTCCGCAGCTGCAAGTCGGTGGACGAGAGAGGCATTGAGTCAGTCTGCGAAACCATCAATAAAGTTGTCCATTAATAATCATACTCATACTCGTTCTTTTCATCACAAGGTTGCGATCCATCAAAGCGACTAGAAAAAATGACTATGGATATACAGTATCGCTTCGATCCCAATCAACTGTGGGAAGAACTACCGCCCCCGCCTCCATAAGGCGAACCATTTCCAGGAAGCCCGTGAGTCTCTAAATCTTTCCCGTCTAGCGCTTCCTGAATCATCGAAATCGTGCTCTCCAAACTCCGGCGCCTCGTCGAGGGACTCGTCATCGTCGTCCCAAGCGAAGCCTGCCGGCCATGTCTGCCCTTGAATGGGGTGCGCGGAGACCCCATCTGTCCGCCGCTTGGGAGACTGGGTAAGGACGTCAGCGATCCCGACGACATGGAAGGCTCCACTCCAACGTTGACTCCACTCGGAGACACAGGGGACTCGATGGTATCTGCTGGGGTCGTCGGTAACGACCCAGATTGTGCTTGAGCCAGGTAGGCCTTTGCCTCTTCGGCGTCGAAAAGTTCTGGAGGCAGACGCTCGTTTTCGATATCTGACTTCCGTCTGCATGAAGATGTAATGAACACCGAGAGTGTATGCAGAAGGGGAAAGTTGAACGTACGCGTCCTCGAAGCCAGAAATGGCATCTTTGATGCCTTCTGTGCCTAAGGCTAGCGTGCCGTACGGCAACTTGCTAGAACCAGATATGCTCTTGAGCTCTGAAACCTTCTCCGACTCCTCTCTGCGACAGATCCGTCAAACTAGCACAACGTGTAGACAAGGATCCCGTACCGGAGCAAAGCAAACACACGCGCCATCCGTCCAACTGCAAGGATCTTGTTTTTGATGATCTTTCGCCTCTCCACCACTTCTTCGGGGTGAGCTACCCGTGAAACAACCTGTTCCTCGTCAGACTCCTCGAGCTCTTCTTTGCTGCAAGTGTTTAGCACAGCAACAAGCATATCCGTGACTAGATTCGCCGCTCAGTTCTGAATAGACGCTCTGAATAAGCTCCATGAACGTACTTTTCTCGCCCACAAAGGGTAAACTCCAAGTAAACACGTCCATGAAGTTAGGTAGCCAGTACGGATGAGGCGTGCAGTTGAACTGCCGAATATTCATCACGTTGCTCTCGTACTTCAAGACGGCGGCTTTGTTGTTGTAGACGTCGAGGTAGTTGGGAGCAGAAAAGATCGTCATGACAGAAGGAAAGCCTGTGCTTTTTGTCTTCCGGTACATACGATAGCTTTTGAGCGACCGCATGAGTAAAATAAACGGATGTACAATTGAAACATACCCAGCATCTTGAGCTTCGTGTGCGCGAATGATCGAAAGAAGATTATTTCGCTCTAAGAACTGACAAGCAGCTTGGTAACTATATGCCGACGATCAACCAAAATACATCGGACACCTGAAACCACTCACGTGAAGAAGTAAGAACAACCTCGGACGTGATTATGAACGAAGCTTTCATTCATCTTCTCTTGCCCAAAGTCTTCAACAGGATCCGACCATAGAATATCGCACATCAGGCCGTGTGTCGGAGGCTCGCGGAACCGATCGATCTAAAGGGAATATAAATGAACGTTGCATCATGGAAGATCCGCGAATGGACGTACCGCTCTAATATCATCCAAAGTGTTCAACTCCGGTGAAAGACCGCCGTGGATGCATAGGAATTGCTTGTTCATGACGGCAGCAAGGGGAAGTGCGCAGAAGGATTCCATGCAAGCGTCGTAGATGCGCTCCGAGTATTTGTGCTTGCCTGAGTGACGTTAGTGGAGTATTCATTCAGAGATGATGAAGTGATAGATACATACATTCGAGCTTGAAAGTGAAATAGTCTGTGAGATGCCGGCATTCATGATTGCCACGGAGAAGGAAGAGGGTGTCGGGATACCAGATCTTGAGGGACCACAGATACAAAACGCACTATGGGATGGGATGAGTTGGAGAAGGTCGAGCATTGATGCAGGACACACCTCTATACTGAAGTAACCCCGATCAACGTAATCTCCGAGGAAAAGGTACCGTGTGTCCGCTGGACTGCCGCCAACTTCGAACAGTTTCATGAGGTCGTACTGGAGAGATGGTCAGTAATGTATCATCCTGACCAACAATCGAGGGCGCATACATATTGACCATGGATATCGCCACACACTAAGTGAGATGGTCTGTTGGCATGGGGTGACTACGGCAGACGACAAGCACACTCACCTGTGATTGGCGCGTCGACCTGCAAGACGTTAGACTCCGCACGAAGGAGCGCAGTTGCCTTTTCCAAAATCCATATCGCCTGATCCTCGGTGACCCGGCCTTCGCGGTAAAAGTGGTTCTTGAGGAACGCTACGTCAGGTTTGGTGGGATCTTGTCTGGAGAAAAACTGGGCATCCGTCGGGACATTCATAGCTGGCGCTTGCACCTGCAATGAGAGCTCAGCAGGCAGATTAAGATGAGTAGCCGATGACGCGAGCGTACATCTTTGACAACCCGCTCTTGTGTGCTGATTGTATTACCATCTTCAAGTACATGCTGAGTGAAGTCGATATCAGGAAGCGGCTTCTTGTGTTGGATCTGTTCAATTGCACGTTCGACATGAGCTTGAGCGATGTGCATGATGACGGAGATTGAAGAAGATATCAGTCGCACAGAAGGGAGTGCGAGAGACGCTCAGTGGCGGTGACTGGAGAACTTGGAAATACCCCTGGGCCCACAGCTTCAAGGTTGTAACACACAAAGTGTCTATTATTATTGTGATCAAGCTACAGCACACTACTGCGGAAATAGCTAGAGTAATCAATGACAGTTCACGCTTATCGTCCAGCTCCTGTATAATGCAGTGTATTATGAACCAAAGTACACGCTCAGAACATGTTTTGCAACGTGGAAACCCAATAACGAGACAACATAGCTCGCGAATAGCGGTAATAGCGGGGCCAGCAATATTTCGGAACGTATCAAGAATGGCAGAGCTGAATGTGAAAAAAAATTAGCGGCGAGATGGAAGAGAAGCTTTGCATACCGCTTAGTCCGAGGTACACTCCGTAGACATACTGGGCAAACCTGTTGGCGAAATCAATAATGAAAGGACAGTTTAGGTGGCGTGACCTCCAAGACTTGCCCTGCAAGATATAAGGTATTGCCAATAAGGAGGCAAACCCAGTTATCCTTTAACACTACGGGAAGGAGGAACAGTTGCGCTAAATAAAGTGTCAGATACAAGGGGAAAAATGCGTTCGTGTGGACGTCGAAAGCATATGCCCATTCGACTGAAGAGTCTGTAGGTGATGAATGAGAGGAAGGTGATACCAACACCCGGTTGGCGAAGAACCTATGAAGGAAAATGATCAGTTAGCATCACGCCCTAGCAAAGGAGAATGACGAACCAAAGAAGAGTCGCACTGAGTGCACCGACGAGGAGGTAATCTCGCAGTATCATCACGAAGGCTAATCGTACAGCCTGAAGTGGGGAATACGAATACACAATAGACCATGCTACTGCAGCAACTGAATGTCATCATAAGTTGTGAATAATTTTTGAATATAAGCTGCATAGATGGATCTCACCAAAGAGGCTCGCAAATAGCAAAATTAAGATTGCCGGGTCATCTCTTGCCCAGGTGTTCTTGGTCTCTACAGTAAACACATAAATGTTTGATTCAGACCAAGATCTATTGACGTACGCTTGTGGTAGTACACGTTTCGATAACTATTAGTTAGGCGTCAATGGATCATAATTGTGTGATATTTGGGGAGTTGGCTCACACTCTCTTGGGTGCCAGGCAGAGATAAGACAGCTGCCAAAAGGCCAGTTCAAAATCCTGCAGAGCCAATCTATCTCAGAACCTCTACTCAGAGCCTAGTAGCATGCACTTCACACCATTTGCTGGAACCTATGCAACCGTCGAAATATTAATGGCACGCGATTGGAGACAGACATGGGAGTGCCAGATAAATTGTGATTAGGATATGATGGAGATGTTAAGGGAAGTATAGGCATGTCTGTGCCAACTCGAGGGCGTCGAAAAAGAGTGCGAGATGAAGACACTTTGAACAGAATTTGATGAATGGCGGCGACTGAGAGGTGATGATGACCAACAAGGGCTGATCGGAATCGGGTTTCGGAACAGCTACTCGTGATGGTTTGTAAGCGCATTTCAAGTGAATGCCAACTGCAACATTAATATTCGTGCTGATCCAAGAGTTATGCGTATGTTTACAATGTTTTTCGACACACCGACGTATCTAGCAAAAAATAAAACTGCTGTATTGCATCTATGCCGAAACAGTGAATTGAGTTGTGCTGCTACCGTCTAAGCAGCTTCCACATAGATTGATGTCTTCATCGAGTCCAATAACTAAGTAGTTGGAATTAGCATTACAGAATGCGAGGGTGTTGCAGGAACGAATGTTGCGCATGGGAAGGGGTCCCTTTGAGAGGACGTTATTCCGAGCGATTTTAGTTGCTTGTAATCTGATAAAATCGACGCATCCAGATGCTGATCCGACGGCAGTGGAAGGGTCAGAGCACCTTGAGTTGGATCAAGCGCAGTCGAACAAAACGTAGGCTCGTGGAACAGAACCTATGATACCTTTCAGGAATGGCTTCAAATTAAGTCACCGGTCCTCAGCACTCGGCCGCGCCCGGCGCCAAGCACGGATTCCAAGATCACAACGAAGTTTTTTGATGGTAACGAGCATCCAAAAGTGATTCGACATGGACAAGGCTGAGACTCGTATCCGGTGCCTTTACCCCTTAAGCTTGCGTTATGAGCAAGCGAGTGGTAGCGGAGAGCATTATCAATATCGTGCTCTGTGATGCCATAAACAGGCTGTTGTACATAGGACATTGCGGCCCATATATATATCGGGGTGCGTCGCAGCTCTTATGAGTTGCATTGCACTAGTGATTGCTGCAGAAGCACAGTCGTAGTTGTCCGGCTTCCAATGTACGAAATGACCGCCATGTTGTGGGACGTTGCAGCTTTTCAATTTCCTAAATCGAGTGGCTAATGACGTGTTAAATTGTGCATGCCCCAGACTTGGACAAGGCGGTGAAGTGACTCTATGCATAAGAGCTTTCAGATCTCTGCGCTTCAAATGAAATCATACCTGTTATAATAATAACTCATGTCAGCCAATTGTGATCGTCGAGTCTTGACATCAACTTTTGTGGCAAGTCTCTGCAAACTCTCCAGGTGGTCGGATCACAATGTTAACGTTCATGTGCCACGACACCTGAAAGCATAATGGAATGATCACTGAAATCCTTGATCAATGTACATACACGGGGTCTCAGACTTCGGCAGGGAGCGGGCGGGAATTAAAAATTTGGATCGGAGTTAGGAGGTTCTCCTCGGCCAACTTGGGAACGCATTTCTGTCGTTAGTTTATCACTCCTCTCGTCCGCACCATGGTGGAAGATGAAACAGAAGTTCTAGACTGGGGAAATGAGGAGGAAGACCGGGGAACTTCGGAACAAGATCCAAGTCTCGCTGCTGAGGATGCAGAAGATGCTGTGTCGCTTGGAGGTGACGAGGACGACGAATTCCTGACCTACCAGCCTCGCGTTTCACAGGGCGGTGCTCAGCGCACACAGTCTCCTTCAAAGGCGGTCAATCACTCCGAAAAAAATCAGGAGATACCAGTTTCTGGCGCCAACGCTCGGGGCAAGGCTCCTGAGCATGATAGGCCCAAAACGCCAGTAAGGACTCCCCAGGAACCACATACGGTTCCCGAATCATCTCCAGTTCTCAATCGCCAGTTGTCGTTTGGGAAACTTACTCATGCTCTTCCTCCCAAACCAATAGTGTCTTCAGTTCCATTTATGCATCCTTCTCATCCGTCCATCATTGAAGCTACAGCCATGGCAGCTCGCGTCGACCGGGACAAGAAAAATGGCATTGCTGTTGTCTCCAAGCCCACGACATTTGAATCAGGGGATATACTTCCCCCAGATTGGGAGGTTAGACACCCGAGAAATGGCCGCGGTGTCTATTATTATAATTCTCGCACCAAAGAATCGACTTGGACGCGTCCTGGCAGCTCCCCGCCTGCTCGTGATCGGCGCGTTGCTGACGAAACCCGGGATATCGTTGTTATCAGCAAGACTGATGATCCCCTGACCTCCCGTATAGGCCGGTCAGATACTGGTACCATTTTGTCTTATGATGATCGCCATTATCGCCCTGGAGAAAGTGCTCGACGGGATGAGCGACCGTCAATGCAATCCTATGGCAGTCAAAATGATTCATTTTTGGCATCCAACAGAGCCAATGGAGAACGGTCCCTTTCACCGCCACTGCGCCACCGCGCAGATGACCGCGTTCTGTCTTCTCGTCGCCAGTGGTCGCCTTCAGCTAATGGGGACCAGAATAGGGGCAGAGCATCCACAAAGGACTCTGTGCGTCCCGGCTCACCTATAGCAGATGTAGACCGCGTTTGGGTAGCACCTCGAGTTCCGTCGCCTGTTGATCGGTCAGTGTCACACGAAGAGAAACACCGTGAAGTCGAGCAACCTCCTCACAAAGAACGCGAGCGTCGTGAGAGTTCTCGCGATGCCGACAGAATGTCGACAACAAGTACGTTATCTACATCATCCCCTATCCTCATCCCTCGTCGGCGTATCTGCTCCTCCTGGGGTACAGGACGCAAGGCCTTTGCTGCGTCCCGCACAACCTCGAGAGTTGAGCTGCGTAGTACCATATTTCGTTCTTTTGTATTCGACTTCTTCCTCGCATGGACACACGGACGCTCATCATGGATCCCTATCTTCTTCCTCCTTTTCCCCCTATCCTTATATCTATCCTCTTCTTTTTCTTTTTTTTCTCCTTTGTTATTCTCTAGGACCCAGATCGCCTGTCAGTCACGGTCATGACGTTCAGTATCCGCCCACATTGCCGTCCTCGAACGACCCCGACACCTTGCGTGATGAGTTGTCGTCCGCAGCGAGGCAGAACAGTCGCTTCATTCAAGCGCCTTCTGCTCAAATGGACCGACGAATTCCAGATCTACCTGACAAGCCCTCGCGAGAAACGCGCGGCCGAGCCAGGTCACTTAGTGCAGATGGCACTCGGTCTCGTCATCGAACAAGTGATCGCCACAAAGCTGATGCAAGAGCTCACGAACACCCAGTCATGGCGCACCAGACGTCGCCCCAAGCTCCGCAGGAGCAGTTGGTACCCCCCACCCCATCCCCCCCAATCGAACGTACGTATTCTTCACCCATCCACTCTTCCTCATGCCAACGTCGTCTGCCATTCGCGTGCATCTCTCGCTTGTTCAGGCTCTCGAAAACGGGTGCCTTTGCCACCGCAACGTGACAGTTTTCAGGAAGGCTCACGTGGAAGAGCGGATGTCGGGTACCGCTCGCCACCGTCTGCCACTCGTGATAGTGCCCCGGCTTCTCGGTTAATTACCAACGATGCACGCATTCCGTCGGGCCCACGCTTGTCTCCTTTGGAGATCTCAAGAGACACCAGATCCTCCGACGCCAGAGGATCTCGACAAGCGCATTCCAGTTCTGCGCTTCATTCAAACTCTCAGACAGATACCTATGCTCATAATGAGTCTAGGGACAAACGAGGCCAAGATCAAATGGATGTTGAGGACCCTCCAGCCATTATCGCCAAGTCCACTGAACCTTCTCGACAGCTTGTGAATAGTCAGCGCTATCGCGAGGATCGTGACGGCTCCGCTCCCAAACGCCCTCGGGCAATGATGGACGATGTCGAGGTACCTGCACGACGGAGATCTCCAGGTAGGCACTTACACCGCTTCATTCATTTACGTGAGGTAAACTAGACATAGATCGCTCTCCCAAACTATCGCGTTCTGAATGGAAAGAGCCTCATCGCACAGCACACGAAGATGTCTCCCGAGCTGCGCCCTCGCGGGATGAAAGGCGCGCGCCTGTTGAATCATCAACTCGGATTTCGGTTGGTACCTTTTCCATGTCTTCTGTTGAGTTTTTAAATTTGGATTCACAGCGTGATACTTCTCGTCGTCATGTTGATATGTCAAGGCCGCCTCCTAGTGCTCCAACGCCAAAGCTTTCTGGAACAAACAGCATGCCAATTGGTGGCAGAGGCAACCGCTTTGGTGATTCTGCTTCAATTTCACCGCATCCACCACTACCGTCTGCGTCTTTCCTACCTCTGGCGAGTTCCGCTTCACGCCGAGGCGTTCATGTGTCTGGAAGCAACGCGCAGCCTGTGGTTTCTCGCCCTGTTCGTCAACCTGCTGGTGCGATGGACAATCACGATCGATTAGTATGTTTTACTTCCATATAATTGCGACCCATGTTCCTTACTTATATCCATAGCCTCGTCTGGATGATTTCCATGACAGAGAGCGTTCAACGAAGATTCTTGTCGATCAACGTCGGCAAACAGAGCGCATAGTTTCACCTGTACGCTCTCTTGTGTGGAAATAGATTGAGTCCTCACAAGTTTACATTACAGCTCCTTCCGCGCAAGCCTCTCTCTGTGCCAGACCCACCTGCGAATGCACCTATCAATACAGATTCACCATTACGATTAGGCGCACGTGCAGCAAGAGTGGGTCTTCTGAGCATAGCCGTTAGAGTTTGACTGACGCTAGCACTGTAGACTCGTTTTGGACCTCCAGTTCCGGAACCTGAGGGGAAACCGCACCTCAACAGCAGACGTGACCAGACGCCCGAGAGTCCTCATTCTCATCATGATCATGATCATGCAACCTCTCCTCCGCTTTCCAGGAACTCTTCCACGACGTCGGCACGCGATGCCGTTTATCCGTCACAACAATCCAAGCACGACGGGGACGTCTCTCTTCGCAGTCACCGGCCGCCTGAATCGCGGCCTCACGGCCCTGAAAGAAAGGAGACAAATGATCTTCCTGAATACCCACGTAGCAGCAGTCACAATGATCGTCGTGACCATGGTCCGCCTTCACTGGATCATAATCAGGAATGGCATGTAGATGACTCAAAAAGTTCGAAGTGGTCTAGAACACGGGATTTACCTCCGCACGAGTCCTTGCGCCACGCCGACGCAGAGTCATCACCCTCTGGTCACCATGCCGCGAACGGTGAAGGGTCGCATCAATCTCTTCCGCTGGCTATGCATCCAGAGCGTGCACGACTTCTGCAGAGTCACCTTCCGCACTCTCTACCTCCTCGCCCCGATACAGAACCAAGACGTCCCCGTTCAACTCGTCCCCGTCATGGTTCAGCGCCTTGGGCCCCCTCTGGTTCACGTTTCAATCAGCACTTCGAGGAGACTTCCTTCCATGGAGACCGCTTCGATCGGTCGTCTAACAACCACGGAAGCTCTCTAATCGATCGGTTGGCTGTTGACGGCGGACAATCGTCCTTTTCATTGAGAGATCGCGTGAAGGTCCCTATGAAGCGGCCTTCAGATGACCCTATCGTGAACGACGCGTTGATGGATGTAGACGATGGGCACGAAGGCTCCAAGCGGAGCAGGAGGCGAGGGGGAAAGCCCAAGAGGCCGAGGCGTGTGGTATGACATCCTAGTATCCAATTTTGTTCTTTTTGTTCAACCTTTTGGTCTGCTTTCGATGATGCATCTCCATTGGACAGAGTATTGGCATTACAATCTCATCTTGTCGTGTCTAGTGATTATGGTTAATTGTCTCTTGGTTCGGCATTTTTTTGCAACTTATTCTCGAGATTAGATATGTATTAGTCAGTTGATATGAAGCTACTGCACCACATGTCTAAAATTGTGGTGTTCCCAATGCATTTGAACAAAGTCCAGATCATGTCGCGGCATCAACCATTCCAGAAATAGGAAGAATAGGCAATCCACCACAAGGATGATTGTGTAGATCGGTCCTGCAAATGGCCCCAGTTCCATAGTTCTATGACATTTTAGCCAGGGTCTATCAGCACAAATGTGTGCAAAGTTACCTTTGCATCCGAGTCCAGAGATCCTTCTGTTCAGACTTGACGACAGCATCGTACACAATCTCGGTCCGTTCTGCGACTTCTCCCCAGTTGTAAAAGTTTTTCACCTTCTGATGAGCTTCTAAGGGGTCATGCTGGCCTTTCGAAACAATTGCGACCGCCTCTGACAGGGCACGGATCAAATCTGAAAAAAATGATAGTGAAAAACGGTCCAGAATGATATATCTTGCGCAGGGTCCCACACGTACCATCCTCCTCTGGCTTCGCAAACGAAATCATGTCACGAGGGAGAATCTCCGGGACTCCGCCTACTCGTGTCGAGACCACATAAAGACCTGCGCACGCAGCTTCCAAAATAGCGATCCCGAACGATTCCGTCAGTGAGGTGTTCAGAAATATCGATCCTCGCACGAGAACCTGCAGAGACGCGTATGAATCATGATCATGAGAGTCGAATTCGCTCATGTCTACTTACGTCTCGCACGTCGCGATGTCGAACTGGACCGAGGAGCTCTATGCGGTCTTGGAGGAGATGTCGTTCTCTTACTTGTAACAGGTCGTTCAGCTTGGGTCCGTCTCCTCCTAGGCCAGCGAATTAGGGTTAGATGATACTGGAGTTGGAGCGACTTACCTACGATGAAATTGACGTTAGGAAACGCGGAGCATATTCGGGGGGCAGTGGCGACCAGTAAGTCGATGCCTTTACGATACGCCAGACGAGACAAAACCACGATATAGACTGGAGAAAAATCAGTTGTCCCTTTCAACGACAATGAAATGGAAGCACTTACTAGTTTCTGACGACACCGGCTTGGTAGCTGGAGTAAACTGCTCCGCAACCAGAGCGTTTGGAATCACATAAACATTTGGTCGAACGACAAGTGCAGAGGAATCTTCAGACATCTCAAACAACTGTCCACGCAGGACTGTATTTTCCCTCCTGATTCACGGTCACAAGAAAATAAGGACGATATCGATAGTAAGAGTTGACCACATACCCGGTATGCGAGACACAAATTACAGCGTCGACATTTTTAAGAGCCGCCGCAAGGAGTTTGTTTGTTAATATGCTCGCTGCATCTTCGAACCCGAAAAGACTGTGATCGGTGAACACCGTGCGGACGCCAAGATGGTGCGCGTGTAGAATAGCCTCCTGGCCCAGAGACGATAAACTCGCGTGTGCATGAATAAGGTGAATATGCTCGCGTGCAATGATGACGCGGAAATATGGCAAAAACATAAAATAATTCGGAAGAGTGGCGGAGGAGGCGATGGCAGGAAAAGGTATGTAGTATACCTTCAAGCCTGGCAGAAGCCAGCGAACGCCCACTCGGTCTGGAGGATGACTGTGCGTGATTACGATCACCTGCGAATGTTGGATGCAAGATAAACGACATTGTAGAGAACGTCAAAGGAAGTTTGAAAAATCATGCCTTGTGACCACGACGGATAAGATTTGCACTGAGCATGAATATGTGGTTTTCCACTCCTCCCACGTTTGGGTGGAAGAAATCAGATATCATCCTGAATGGTGTAGCATTTAGAACTTGTTTCCTTCAATACAGAATACATACGCAATGGCGAGAGGCTCATGCTTCATTTTGTGGCAAAGATCGAGCGAACGGTTCTGGCAGCCGCGCGTCTGGTAATACACCCGAGCCTTGTGGAAAAGAGAAAAAAGTGGCTCGACCCAGGATCGAACTGGGAACCTTCTGTGGACAACCTAATGTGAGACAGAAATCATAACCATTAGACCATCGAACCATACAAGGCCGATGGTCACTGTGTATTAATAAGCGTGGCATAATATAATTATACTTCTAGTCTCATTCACCTTCCTCAAACTTTGCGAGTTGTGACAGTGATGGTATATAACGTCTCCTTCCAAGTCAGTAATATGGAACGTGCACCAATCCATCTGTGTTTCTCAATTTCAATCCAATGACCTCATTCTATTTCACTGAGGTGAGCTTGGAAAACGTAGAGACTCACTGTATGACTGAACTAACTGGTTTTCAAGGTGTCCCTTCTAATGAGGAGATACTCTGATTTTGTGTACTGAGGCATCCTGATCTTGAAAACCATTAGAAGTCGCTACAATCTGAGGAAGCACTCGAAATTGTTAGGACTGGGGCGTCCTCTATCTTGGACAACGTTATCACCACAGTAAGTTGTCCGACTCCCTGCAAGCTGACGCCTGTACTAACAAACATACTCCCCAAAAGGCGGGCATCCTCCTCGCTACAAGTGGCGTTATCGTCACCACGAGCACTCCTGTAATTTATCCTGACTTTTCATCACCCATTTCCTATTTTCTGCTCTTCATATCGTTCATGCTCGCCATGATTGCGATGTCGACGTTCTAGCTCGAGAATCTTCCGCTGGATCTATACCGACATTTTTTCATAAGTATTTGGTGAGTTGTTCGGTTATTGGTACCCTCTGGCTTCTCATTCATTTCACCCCCGGCCATGTCAACAGTGGGCTTTTACTCCCAAAGCAGTCTGCCGCGCCTTCGCTGCGCTCTGGCAGGTCATGTACATCGCTAACATTGGGACAATATCGTTAGAATTCAAGCGGAAGTATATGACAAGCCTCAAATCACGCTAGATATCGCCAGTGCGTAGTTTCCGACTTTGTTTTCTTCTTGTTTTGACGGCCCTGTGTACTTTGTCAGAAGAAAGTTTCTGGGCTTGCGATACCGCAGATTATAATGGTTGAGTAGATGTTTATCGAGGCGATCCATTCTTGTTTCAACTATGACTAGCGCCTGTGCATGCTCTAACATATGGAAGGACGAAATATTTGATTCCACGGAAGCAGTTCGTCTGAGTCCCGTATGCGCGCTCGTGCTAGAGCTCTACCTGCACTTCACCGCTCCCTGTCAGTCCGCGCTTGGCAATCTTGTGTCTGTGTACCGTGCGCTTATCTCTGTGTCTGAGTCCACTCTTTGCAATGCGAAAATGCTTACTGAGACAGATCAGTGGCAAGCGTTAGTGACGAGACAGCGTTGGTGGTAGATAAACCTGTCATCTTTCTCCGAGTTCAAATAACCCTTGCCCTCTAGGATATGCAACTCACTGCGCGCTTTTGTGTCAGATTTTGCTCTTGTCTTTGTCTCAAGGGACGTACTTTGCGAAAGCCCTTCTCAACCTCCGCATCGGTTCATTCGCTCACGTACCACTGTCGAAAGTACGATGTCGGCGTGCTATTGGGACACTATTTGGGACAGAGAAAAGGAGAAAGGCACAACAGCAAATGTAGTGTACTTGTTGTAAATCATGGTAGATGTGCGAAGGTGATCAGTTTGCTTGTTAATATAGCTTCCCTCACGTGAAGCACGCAGCGTGTACGACACTGGCATTATTTTACAGTTAAACAGACTTATTGTGTACTCAAAAAGTAGACGATAATAGCAACCAGTGGGGGCGAATCCAATCTTATAAACAGTACACCAATATTATGAACAAATACGATTTAGTTGCCGCAACACGTGCACAGTATTTCCAGTATATTGGTAACTTAGTTGCCATCGAGGAACCTAGTTACCTGAGCAGAAAATCCCTGGACCATCAACTAGGAATTGTCGCGAAAAGGGGACATAATTTGGCGTGCAATTTCGCCGTCAACAGACCACACGGAACCTATCAATCCGGAGAGTTCGCAGCAGCAAGATGAATTGCCTCATTCGGTCTCGACTTGTGACAGGCCGATAAGAATGCAAACTCCGGAGCGTTCGGATGATCTCCTTGAACGTTGATGGGCCCATCGCGTAATGCGAAGGGAAGATCGTTCGTTGTCATAGCAGGCCAGGTGTGAAGCCACCAGCGATCACGACTCGATACATCGAATACTCCCTCAAGGGGAGTGCCGCCCGGTGGGTTTAATGACTTCCTCAAGGTTAGACAGAACAACACCCTGCTGCCTGAATCTGTCACGAAGGTTGGTGGCAAGGTTAGAAGATGACTGGGGAATGGAGCTCCAGTGTAGCTTTATTAAGCTCGATGGCCTCATCAAGGTCAGAAAGGATATCCCGCTGCTCCGATCTGACTCGAAGGCTCATGGCAATGTCACGGTTATCGAGAGACATGGACCGATCAGAACGTCCTGGGGGACGGAGTGCCAGTGCAGCCCAATCAATGGCTTCATTGAGATCAGACGGGATGTCTCGCTGTTTGAATCTATCAGTGTGAAGACCGATAGCAAGGTTGTTGAGAGTAGAAGATTGATCAAAACGGCCAAGCCAGCTGCAGCTGTCAGGCGTGAGAGATTCAAGATATCAGAATGTTTCCTGTTCGTTACAGTATTCGCTAGCCTGTTTTATAGTGAGATGAGGAGGCAGTTGCTATGTCGCTCCAATCACATCATAGCGGAGGAGTGTCAAGGCGTACGTGGCCAAGTGACCTCACAGCACAACTCTCCGAGCTCCATCCTCTTTGTTCCACCCACTATCTCAACTTACCAGACATTCGAAAAGCAAGGGCCTCATCCTGTCTGACCTCGATGAGTCTATCAAGCTGGACTAGACTCCCTTCCCCGCGTTCTGCAAAGAAGGGTTTCAGCGCCAACAAGGTTCCAATAACTGTGCCTGTCGTAATGTCTATCGCCATTCTGTCACAGACTATGCATTCACCCGCAGCCATCTGGCGCTACGAAAAACCCGGAACATCCCAACCAGGCAAGCCTGAGGGAGTGTCGCACTTCCTCCGAGTCATGTCACGTTTGGTTCTATGACATGATGGTCCTCACAGTAGAATTAGACCTGCCTTCATACCCCGGCCTATCCAGTCGGTCGGACAGTACGTACAATTAGGCCGAACCGGGTTACCGTACCAGCCTTCTGGCCTGCAAAATTTGAACAAAGTTCGTTTCGGGTCTGGGAGATTTAGGAGTCACGTGGTTCCAATTTGAACACAGCACAGTGACTAGTGATCTCTCTCTGAGATTGTATCGGGCACGTACCTACATTATCACAAGCATCATATCCGCTTGCTCTTTGGTGCCGAATTCCGCTAGTAAGGGGGGACACAGCATATGAATATGAATTTTATATTTGGCCATCTACGCTCACATAAGCTCAGGTAACTAGGTTCCTCGATAGCAACACACTGTAGGAGTCACGTGGTTCCAATTAGCTGAATCTGAGATTGTATCGGGCACGCATCCGCTGTTCCTTTATAATAATCCAGTATGAGCATTACTCTCCACTCTTTCATTGAACTCCATGGCCTTATTCTATCCCACTGAGGTGCGCTTTATAATTTATGAGTATGATTTCACTAAGCCGGCCTTTCCAGTTATATGTGACTGCTCACCACAGAGCACTTGCTGAAGAACAACCCCTCCCAGAAACCCTTCGTCGCATGTCCCTCTTAACGAGGGTACTCTGTTTTTTGGCATTTGGACGCCCAGATCCTGATGATCATTGGAAGTCTCTGCAATCAGATAGAGCCTTCGAAACCGTTAGGAGCAGGTCATGCTCTATCCTGACCAACACTATCACCACAGTAAGTTGTCCAACTCCGCGTGAGCTCAAGCCGACGCTGATATACTCCAAAAGGCAACTATCCTCCTCGCTACAAGTGGTGTTTTCGTCAGTACGGGCTCTCCTGTGCCATACTTTGACTATTCATCACCTGTTCCCTATTGTCTACTCTTTATGTCTCTCATGCTCGCTATGATTGCGATGTTGACATCTGGATCAAGTATGATACGCTGGCTACACACCGATCGGCAGTGGACTCAAGAAGTAAGCTTTATTCTCACCATCGGATCACACCGAACCTAATTCTAATTCTAATAATCAGCAACTCACGCAAGGCGATTACTTTGTTTGGTCCTACCTGTTGTCAATAGTCACGCCTATCTTCTTCGTTGTCTTATCCCTGAATTGTTTCATGTTTGGTTAGTTGTTTCGTCATTTGGCGCTTTCCCTGGTTCCTCATGCATTTCACCCTCAGCGGTATTGATAGCAGGGTTTTCGTCTCAAAGCATGGTCTTCCGCACCGTCACTGCGCTCTGGCTGGTCACATACGTTGTCAACATCGGGGCAATATTCATAGAATTTATGTGGAAATATGCGAAGGGCCTTAAATCACGCTAGATGTTGACAGTAGTTTGCTTTATTCATTCTTAGTCCCGAATCGTGATGTTGTACACTGTAATCGACCCTTCATCTTTGTGCTTTCGTTGTTAAATAATGGATCGCAGTTTTTCGTACCCTCTAGAAGATCAGACAAAAATCTAAGTCGAGAACGTGGCTATATAATGAGTGCAATGGGAAAAGCTTGCCTTTTGCTAATGTGTACACCTGATGTTACAGGAACCAAACAACGAGTCCCTCATATTCCGGGTGTTAGAGTAGAGACCGGTGGAATGACGGGTCACGAGTGGAGCCTGGAGGAGGCGAGAACCGCGGCTAGACGCATGTGACGAAGGTGGAAGCTTTGGCGCCCCGAAGTGTTGGAGCGTCAAACACATTTTACTTTCTTCCACCAAGTCAAATCACGATGGGTCAGTGTTTCAGCGACACAGCTAGCCTCACCGACTTCGTCAACAGGCCAGGTCAGAAATATATTCCATGATGCGTCTCACAAGTGATTAAACAGTACTCTCCAGGTGTCGAAGACAAGCAGCTCACCGCTGAAGATATCAAGCGTGGCTTAGGCCTAACGGCCAAACACCTGAAAAGCAAGAAAAAACAGATCACCGTCGTGGCTGTTGGAGGCGCTATAAACACGATTCTCCTTCGTGCGGATTTGTTCAACGATCTCCTAATGATGATGCAACTGACGATCTCGTACAGGCTCCCGTGCCTCTACGGCGGATGTAGATTTCTTCAGCGTTGATGCTGCGAGCAATCCTATCTTGCGAGATGGTATTAAAAGCGCCGCCAAGACCATGCAGCTTGGTGAAGGGTGGATGAACAACCACACTGCACTTTTCATCGCTCCCAACACTAAAACCAATCTCTACAACGAAGCAATTAGCGATGGTGTAGTCATCTTTGATGAGCCTGGGCTTAAGGTGCTCGCTGCGCCCTGGATGTACTGTCTAGTAGCCAAATTGGAGAAGGCCGGAAAGAGAGGGAACGCAAAGTCCTATGATATGTCCGATGCGTCGCAATACCTCATCCAAGAATCCAAGAGGAGGGGGGCGAAAATCAAGGTCGCAGACATTGAGGCGAAAGCGATCGCGTACGAGGCCAAAATCCAGGAAGGGCAGATCAAGGAATTAAAGGCTTTGTGTGGAGGGTATATAGAGGAATGAGCCAGTTTAGCGACGAGCACACTTTCCTGTAGTACAAGTGTATGGCAGTACAAAGATATGAGCATGACGTGTTGACCTAAACTTGTGAGTGGGTAGAGAGCTAGCAGTATGAATTCATTACTAGTCAGTGGGTGAATGCGATAGTGGGTTTACCCGAGATTTCTTATATATCAATGACTACAGGAGCCCGGATATCACGGTCTCGCGGACCTCCTACCACAGATGCATTGACAGCAACCGTCCTTATACTATTATCCCGGCCACCCCAAAGCATCGCCCATATCAAACGCATGGTGCGAAACCAACCGCCTTTCTTGAGCACAATGTCCTCCCATATTGACTGAGCAGAGTTCCAGGGCATATTCTCGATTCCACGACCGCCATGAATGTGTCCGAACACATGAAGCACTGGCGGGTGCGTCCTACAGAGCTCCCATATACGTGCAAGCAGGGCTCTGCAACCAAGTCCAGCGAGATCGAGATGACCGTGAGGAGGACCATGAGTGATGAGAATATCTGTGTCGTTTGGAATGACAGACCAACGGCTGGGAGTGCCAGTGACGCCTGTACATGGGTATTGGAAGGCGCCATTGCCGTGCTGCGGAGTAAATGGGCTGCCAAAGATTTTGAATGCGCGACCGCGCACTTGGATAGTGTGAGCCTCGTCCTCCAGATAGATGATGCCACGCTCTCGCCATGTGTGGACCCATGAACGACCCTCGGCTGTCTGAAGGTACGTATCGTGATTACCGGCTATAGAGATTTTGTGTTCGTGTGGAAGGGAGACTAGCCAGTCAAGGGCAACCTGGAGCTCACGGGGAGTGCCAGAATGAGTGAGATCACCTGCGTGAATGAGGATATCACCGGGTGGTATCAGGGCAGATATGTCGGCGTTGTGAGTGTCTGATATGCATATGGTGCGGACGGGAGAAGACAAAGGACGTGGCAGTTGTTGGCTGAGAGTATTATATAGCTTTGAGGCTATGTAAAGGCTAGGATTGGTCTTGAACAGCTCCCATGGACTAGGAGTTTTGCGATTAATGATTGCATCGAAGCCAGACATGGTCGTTCGAAAAGGATCAATCCATACGCCTGTGAGGAAAAGCGCCGCTGAAAATCAAATGATGGCTTAGTAAGCGGGGTATATACAAACTTTGAAACTCAGAGTCCTCAGGCAGATGCTCGCGCTGCGTCCCTTGACCTGGGGCCCATCTCAATGCTCGAGTTGCAATATGCCGAATTAAATTTGACGAAGATGACTCTAGCTTGATAAGACTTGGGCTTAAGTCTACTGTCTTCGACACTGATCAGCCGGACCCCCACCGGCCTTACCGACGGCATGGAGAGGTGTGCTGAGGAGGCGTGCTGGAGCATACAAAGATTTTCAGACAATTTGCGTGGGACCGACTACTAGTACGTATTTCGATAGATGTCATCCACTGACGTTCAGAAATTTGCATCGAACCAGTTGCTCTCGTATCCCACAATTTTGGTATCAGCTACTGGAACATCTACAAAATCCTACCATTATGGTTTTCTGCTAACATGTATGCAGATACTCGTCAAACGTCCTCACCAGCCGCTCAATCGGTTGTCTTACAGGCGTCGCACTATCCAAAACGCTCGAACCCTCAAACATCCCAGTTCTTGCTCACCCATCCACCATCACGTTCCCCCACAACACCAGCCAGCACATTGTCCACACCCATCCCATCCAGCCACCTGTCTAATAGCACGCACGATCACCACCCCGTGCCCATCATTCCAAATGGCGGTGCGGGGGAAGTGAGTTGTCGAAGATGGTGCCACCATCAACAGATCCAAAGGTATCTGGAGAGAAAGATTGCACGGCAGAGTGAATCGCGCCGCAAAGAAATAAGTGCTTTAGACCAGAGACTAAGGCGGATGTAGCAAAGGCCAATCGTGAGGACGTAGGATGTGTCTCAGGCGGGACGTACGGCCCGTGCGACCAGTCCCAGCCACAGCCTCGAAGGTTGCATGCCAAATTGATTGCGTCGAGCACAAAATTTCGCTTTGGTGCGTCGGTTGACGATCGGCGAGCCACGCGAATAAAGGGTTTTATCTGCACCGTCCATTCAAAGGTGCGTGCTGCAATACAAACCATGGATAGCTGAGAGATAAGTTCAATGATGTGGCAGTCAATGCGAATACAATAGGAATTCACCTGCAGATCGATATTCAAAAAGGCAAGTTTCGGTTGCCCCATGCACATATCTAACGATGTCGCCGCACGAAATACAAGGATCGCGGTGATGGGCCATAACGCAATGCGGACTGGCTGCGTTCGGGGCAGCAGGACAAGAAAAGCTGTGACGAAGTAACACGCGACTGGTGGAAGGACACGAAAAGTGAAGGTCTCGGTTGTGAGTAGTCGAAAGAAGTCCAGTCGCTATTCATTCACTCAACAGAAATCAAACAGACATGCTATATAACATCTTTCGCACAGAAATCGTGATGAGTTGGTTCCGCTTATGACATCTATGACCCCTGATCTTCCTGAGCTTGAGTGAGTGATAATTGAGGATTGGGTGCTGGTGTACGGTCCAATTTGTCTGGCGCGAGAGTTCAATAGGCATCTACTTATTCAAGGGCAGACATGGCCGGCAGGCTTCGCTTAGGACGACGATGACAAGCTCCTCGACGACGCGCCGGAGTTTGGAGAGCACGATTTCGATGATCCAGGAAGCGCCGGATGGGAGAGATTTGGAGACTCATGGGTTTTCCGGAAATGATTCGCCTTACGGAGGCAGGGGCGGTAGTTCTTCCCATACTTGATAGGGATCGAAGCGATACTGTATATAACCATGGGCATTTTTTTCTAGTCGCTTTGATGGATCGCAACCTTGTGATGAAAAGAACGAGTATGAGTATGGTTATTAATGGACAATTTTATTGGTCAGCAGACTGAATACCATCTCTCGTCCATCGACTGCGGAGCCAGGCTCTTCGTGAGTCTATATCCTCCTTCGGCCCGGAGAAAAGTATTTGCCGCGCTTGAAGTGATAGGAGGATGGATATCGGTACCAGCCGCTCAATGCTACGACTCGGAGGAAAAGAGGCGATTTGATCTGGCAAGCGAAATAATATTTGCAGCATAGCATGCATCCTGGTCAGTTTTCCCAACAGCGACACCCTTTACGCCTCCGATGTGGTTATGTTTAGAATAGAGATGAGACTTAGATTCCTCCGTGCTGCGATTACTAATCGACACCGCTCCGGCTATTCCCGGGTAAGTCGGTGTTCCCTACACTACTCATTCATATTATTACTAATTCTTTTCTCCTGTGCTCGTACTGTCATCATGTACGGCTAAGTCCAACATCCGACTCGTCCATACCGTCTCGCCCTTTCCCATATTACTAGCAATCGCCTTGGTTTCTACTCCCACCACGTTCGAAGTACTATTGTCCAGTGGGGCGTATTCTCACCACCGTTGGAGTACGGCAGAGCTTCCTATCGATGAATCTAAAATTCATTCCTGATTGCCTCCGATTTCGAAGACTGTCAGGATTCGGTCACTGGCTTATTCCTGTTTGGCTTGGACAAATCAAAGTGTGCGCGCACCATAGTTCCTTGTAGGTCGGGACCGGGGCTGCGGCGGCAGCATATGTAGCATATACTTCAAGAGGGAACACAGCATGAATAGAGGAGCGTCCATCATAGGGCTTGGCCCTAGCGGATAATTCGAGTTTAATTAGGTTTACACAAGGGTAATTGGACGAGTCTGTCCCAGAGCAGACTTGTTCTCCCCACTCGGGTCTTCCCGTGTCTTTGTCTTGGGCCGTGCCCTTTGCCCCTGCGGCTTTTTCCCTGTGCTTTTCAGCATGACGAACGCGCCGCGCGCAATTATTATTGCCACCTCGTTTAGCGGAGATAGCAGTCTATGTCTAGCGAGACGTATTCGAAATGGCTCTATGCCTTTTCTCACTCAAGTTTCTCGTCTCGCTAGGTACGCTGTTGTTATTAACTCTGTTGGTAACTACGTACTTGAATTTTTGGGGTTGTTTTGTCTCCCGAATTCCATGAGGTCTTTCTGTGCTCGCGGCGGGGTCCCTTATTGGCTGGCTATATCCTCGGCGTCTGCGTCCCAACGAGACAAGCGAGGACAAGTAGACCACCAAGGATCAAAAAATAACTGCACACTGATGGAACTGCCTGATGTCCTTCAAGTTTTTTGCGTCGTTGTTGTGAGCATCTAATGTTTTTTGACTGTTAGAGCCGAGAGTACCTTTACTTGTGAGTGCTAGTCATGGCACAGCTTTGCTCGTCATAACTTGGCAGCGGCGCCATTGGTCAATTGTGACGTGAGCTAAGTGGAAATTGGTCCTTACTCGCTATCACAGAATTTTGGCTACAAGAGCACACTTGAGCTTCCCGAGACAAAACCAATCACGATGTTCCAAAGGTCTCAGTCAAAATCAGATTCATCATCGGCGGCCGTCGTATCATTGTTGACCCTTCTCTAACCAGACTGCTCGATTATTACCGCCTATTTCAGTAAGAAATCGGGCATTGCTTTCGAGATTTGTTTTCGACTGTGGCTGTAAGTCCATGTGCTTTGGATCAATTAACAAAGACACTTACGTGCTAAATGACATGAGCATAGCATCACGGGGTTTTGAAAGTCCATATGTGCCTGCCTAAGTTCGACTTACTCGAAACAGTTTGGAGCAAGCAAAGCCCCGTCTCAAAAATAAATGTGGATAGCCAAACGATCGACGAAAGAATACTTAACAATCGGGGTTCGAATGTGAGGTGTTGCGGACTCTGAGAATTATCTGGGCTAATCTATCAGGTTTCAGGGCTCCGAAGCCTCGTCTAGCTAACGTTCGTGCATACTTGATCGTTCAATGTGCATAACTGGCGCCGGTGACCAATCAACCAGCTGCATAGCCTCGGACGCAACACATTTATCACCACAACTGCCCTTTATCACGATGATCATCTCACCAATGACAATATACGTGTCAGTTGATATTTCTACCGAGTAACTTCTGAGTCGCTGACTCCATTAATGCTTTTTTGGTGTAGTAAAATGCAGGAGTCATTATGCTGTGCAGTCCGTAAAAGTACTTGATGGTCCAGGCTGTCATTAAACATCAATTGAATCAGCACAGTCCGATTCAAATCGAATCAAACCTTGCACTGGTTATAAAATCGCTGAACCACCCGAAAAAGTAAGACGCCTAGATCGGAAACCGCGCTGTAAGGTTGAAATGAGATTCCTAAGTTCGGACTTTGCTTGATAGTCCAAAAAAACCAAGTTTACGAAACTTGCGTGGCGGGGTAGAGGATGTTATAAAAGTAGGCTTCTACTAAGCCCACCTGTAGACTCACCAACTGCGCGATTGCGACTATGGACCTCTACCACGGTGCGCAAAGCTACCAACGTCCCGCCAAGCAAAACAAAATTGCATCGCAGAGGCAGTATCGGGTCAAAGAGGGCGACGGGTTCGAAGAACTCAAAGACGCGATTCGCTCAGTGACAGGGGAGACTCCCCAGACCAGGCACGAAACCTTGAAGAAAGGTATGCTTGTTTTGAAACATGTTCTGCTTGCATGATCACTTATCCCCTGTACAGCTGCAGAACTCCTGTGGGATTTATCAAGAGAACATGGGGCAATTTCTAGGCATGAGCCGCTCCCGCCCTTGGAGTACTCGTCAGCATCACCCTATGAAGCTGACCAGGGATCTCGTACGGCTTATGGTACGCGTTTTCAGCTCGTCGATGACTGGACCTTAGAAATCCCTAGAACCTCCCAACGAGACGTGGAAAAACGCTATTGCATCAAGGACAATGAACAGTAGCCCAGACACATCGGTGACGAGCTCAATTCTGGAGTATCAGGGCCACCCTCAGACAGAGATCCACCATATTGTCGGTGGTGGGGGCAACTTGATCCAACCAACTCCTTCGCAATTTCGACACAATTCATTCCCCGGGCAGTGGAATGACATGTCGCTCATTCACTCGAACATAGATCGAGTCCCATACTACTTAGAAAGGAAGTAAATTAGGTTATATGTCGGAATTCGAGGAATCCCTGAATGTTTTGAGTACTTGTAGTATCCATGATCTGTTACTTTTACAGAATCACCTACCTTGCAGCTTTTAGTCGATGTATTTATTAGACCCATGTATCCTTGGCGTAAATCCAACGAGAGCACGAATGAGACAAGTAAAACTGTTCCATATCCTGGATGCTCCATGACAAGGCATCAGTCACAATATGCAGATGCAGTAAAAATAGTTCGTACTATATCTGTAATCCTAGTGTCGACCGAGATCTTGCCCATATCAGTTTGAGGCATGCAGAAAATACTGTGGAATGCATAGAGTTTGTGTGCACGTCCTTACCAAAGGACTGGTAAAAATTAGCTCACTCTAATCCGCAAACGTAACATGATCACCGCGGTGTTCTTGTCGCAGCGATCATATCTTTCCAAAATACGTCCCGAGAAGTGCGAAATACAAGCGCACGACTACTGCGGCGAACACATAGCGGCGCTAAATATGCAAGAATATGGCATGCGATTACTAGTGACTGCATTTGGATGATAGAGCGGGACTAATCACCATGCATGATGGGGACGATATCCAAAGTTAGTAGGGTAACGTAAAATCACTGCAGCCCAGGGCACGACGAACCACGAGTTATTATATGTTGGTGAGATCATCTGATTTGCTGATGAAGTTCTTTGAAAGGTCAGACAGCCGCCCGTTTGTAGAAGGCGGCCAATCAAGCACAATTTTTAATATATATAAAAACCCATGCGCGTGTGAAGCGACGATTTTTGATTTTCGACAATCAGAGCGTGAACCTAATAGTCAACGAGACTAGCAGCTGAATGGAAATCGAGCGCGCGCGATGTGAAAAAGTTAAAATCACGTGGTGTTGCCGCTCTGGCAAATTCCGTATATATTCCGGCAAATCTCCTTGGCAAACTTCGCACAACTAGTACCAGCTAGGGGTACTACAGAATAAATCAGTTACAATGCATGTGGTACAACAAGGTTTACTCAGCCCAACGCCGAAAATAAAATATATGTATGATGGCAGTATAGTAAACCTCTGTCATCGGTGGCAGAATGACTCCACTTCAAATCTTCAGAATGACACGGGCCCCAAACAGAGTTACGACGTTGCACAGGCGAGTCACTGCCAATTCAATCCACCGTACATATGGGGGATAGTGAATCAAAGCTCGTTTGCCAGTGCAATTTAATAGGGTAAGTCACGGTAGCAACATCGACTAATTATTTCTTGCCTCGGCACCACAACATCAGCGGGTTGGATTGTGCTACGGAATGCTACAGAGCGCTCTGTAGCATTCTGTAGTGAATTACGTTTCCCTGATGAACTTGGACGTTGTTCGATTTACAGCTTGCAAGTCGTAATCAAAGTAAATGCACCTTACAGGACAATCTCGTTGCTCGCGGGTGTGAAATTGGTTTTTGGCAACGAGGGTACGAATGCATGCACTCTACTTCGAACACTTGCCTGCACATAAAGAGAGATGGTGCCTCACGTGGTGGTGTCTTTGAATCTATTGAAAATATTAATGTTCACTCTGATCTCAAGATTTCAGAGTTATTTACTCAAAATCATGGAGGAACGTTACGTGGCACTAGAAAAGGAAGAACTGAGTCGGACGTCACGGTGTTCCGGATCCCAGTACTTGGCTCGCGGAAAGATCCAGTTGGACCTGCATCCTGGTACGAATATCTTTCTGGCATCGATAGGCATCGCTTGGACATCCTCGGAGGCCCGACGTCATCGTTGTTTGGAGATATCATACACTAGTTACAAACCTTAGTAGTTTTACGAAGTCGAGACACAGTATGATCGGAGAACGTTCCAGTAGCCAATAGGGTACCGTACAAACTTGCTTACAATATTTAGTACTAGTTTTGACAAAATGTCAACCTCAAGTTACCTTTATATTTGTTCGGACAGAACGTGCCCTGGGCAGTACTGCGCATACGCAATCGTTGGAGTCGGTTGGACTGTGTAGAAGGCACCATCATCGTGTTTATGTTTCCTGGAACCTGAGAATGTGGTTATCATCCCTCATCAAGGTCTGAAGTAGGGAATGCCTGGGAACTTGCGGTAAATTCATGTGGAGCGCATGCAATTGAACGTGTCGTGTGCTATGCGTGTAGCGCAAACTTGATGCCATCACGTTTTGGTACAACGCCACTACAGCCGCTATAACCCACTCGAGATCTGGTCACTTATGTTTCCTCGATAGCAGCACCGTGGATCAAACATTCGTTCAGGGTTCCTCAAACATTATTGTTTTCGGTCAAGAACACTATCCAGGCTGTCCGTGGACAGTACCTTGTGTTGAGTGTACCCATCCCGTGCTTCTCGGACTATCTAATTGCTTTCGTGCTTTGTTTGGACCGCTTTTTAACGTTTTTACGCTATGTATCTGTATAGTACTAGTCTCGATGCCAGCCGCCTTGTCACCGTGGGAAAGGGGCTATCCACAGTGCACACATACCTTGTTACCGTTGTGGAAGGCGTGGTTACGAGTCTATCATCTGTATTGCAGGGAGTGTATTTTGCAGTAGCCATGAGCAATATGGTGTACACTATGCTCGCATGATAGCGACGAATACATGCAACTACAGCAGCTCGTTCAATTTCAATCGAGGAGCCCGAAACGGACAAATTGTCTAAGTCATTGTTGACGTTCACGAGTGCAAGTGCAAGTGCAAGTGCGAGAATGTCGATGCTTGATGGTGTGGTACCGGCGCAGGCTCCCTGGGTGAGATGCGGTTAAGGCCGGAGACATCGATGTTAGTGACAGCGATGAAATGTAGAATGAGTTTTGCAGAGGACGATAGTGGTCACACAATGGCGTGGGCGCTAAAAGCACACCTTCAGTCATCAGAGAAGGATGAGGGTAGCGAAAGAGGCGGCCGAGGTTTTCGTTCTTATGTTGGGGTGTGGCTATTTTGATGCGGTCCTGCCGCGGTCACGACTGTACTTTTCATCGCTCCCAACACTAAAACCAATCTCTACAACGAAGCAATTAGCAACAGTGTAGATGAGCCTGGGCTTAAGGTGCTCGCTGCGCCATAGATGTACTGTCTAGTAGCCAAATTGGAGAAGGCTGGAAAGAGAGGGGACGCAAAGCCCTATTATATGTCCGATGCGTCACAATACCTCATCCAAGAATCCAAGAGGACGGGGGCTAAAATCAAGGTCGCAGACATTCAAGTTGAGGCGAAAGCGATCACGCACGGAGCCAAAATCCAGGAAGCGCAGATCAAGGAGTTAACGCGACCGCGCACTTGGATAGTGTGAGCCTCATCCTCCAGATAGATGATGCCATGCTCACGGGGAGTGCCAGAATGAGTGATATCACCTGCGTGAATGAGGATATCACCGGGTGGTATCAGGGCAGATATGTCGGTGTTGTGAGTGCCTGATACGCATATGGTGCGGACGGGAGAAGACAAAGGACGCGGCAGTTGTTGGCTGAGAATATTATATAGATTTGAGGCTATATAAAGGCTAGGATTGGTCCTGAACAGCTCCCATGGACTAGGAGTTTTGCGATTAATGATTGCATCCAAGCCAGACATGGTCGTTCGAAAAGGATCAATCCATACGCCTGTGAGGAAAAGCGCCGCTGAAGATCAAATGCTGGCTTAGTAAGCGGGATATAATGAAACTAGCTTGAATAGTTTGGTCGTTCCACTGAAATCATGAGTATTACAGAGTCCTCAAGCAAATGCTCGCGCCGCGTTCCTTGACCTGGAACTCATATGCATCAATGCTCGAGTTGCAATATGCCGAATTCAATTTGTCGGAGATGACTCTAGCTTGATTAATTCATGAACGACTTGGGCTTAAGTTTGCTGTCTTCGACACTGAGGAGGCGTGCTGGAGCATACATATGATTTGCGTAGGACCGACTACTAGTACGTATCTCGATCGAAGTCACCCACCAGCATTCAGAAATTTTCATTGGACTAGCTGCTCTCGTATCTCACAATTTTAGTATCAGCTATTGGAATATCTACAGATTTATGCCATCACGGTTTTCTGCTAATAGCATGCAGATACTCGTCAAACGTGCTCACCAACCGCTCAATCGGTTGCCTAATAGGCATAACACCATCCACAATGCTCGGACTCCCAAGCATCCCAGCTCTCGCCCACCCATCCACCAGCACATTCCCCCACAACAACGTCCACCACATTGTCCACATCCATCCCATCCAACCACCTGTCTTATTCCCCGAAACAGCACGCTCGATGACCATCCCAGTGCCCATCATTCCAAATGGCAGCACCATGCGCCACATCTCCGAGGACGGGTCGATGGCGAGTAGTTGGAGGTGATGAATGAACCCAGAGGCGAGAAATGCGCCTATGACGCCCCCGATACGCCCAAAGAGCAGAGAAAATGGGTTTCCCCCGAGGAAGATGAATATCCGACGGAACCACTGATGCCAGCGACGGCTCCAGAATTCTCTGAGAGAAGTGGCGCGCCAGGGAGAGTCTATTAAGGGGGGGCATTGCTCTGGATGTTGCCTGAATATCAGTACGCAAATAACTACGGTGATCTCGTAATTTGCTTTGATTAATGAGTATATGGCGAATGCGCATAGCGTGGCGATGATGCTCGATCGTAAATAACGGAGGTGTGGGGGAAGTGAGTGGTCGAAGATGGTACCACCATCAACAGATCCAAATGTGTCTGGAGAGAACGACTTCACGGCAGAGTGAATCGTGCCAGAAAGAAATATGTGCTTTAGACCAGAGACTAAGGCGGATGTAGCAAAGGCCAATCGCGAGGATGTAGGATGTGTCTCGGGCAGGATGTACATTCCCTGCGACCAGTCCCAGCCACAGCCTCGAAGGTTGCATATCAAATCAATTGCGTCGAGCACAAGATTTTGCTTTGGGACGTCGGTTGACGATTGGCGAGCCATACGAACAAAAGGTTTCGTCTGCACGGTCCATTCAAGGGTGCGTGCTGCAATATAAATCATGGATAGCTAAGAGATAAGTTCAATGATGTGGCAGTCAATGCGAATATAATAGGAATTCACATGCAGATCGGTATTCAAAAAGGCAAGTTTCGGTTGCCCCATGGACATGTCTAACGATGTCGCCGCGCGAAATGCAAGAATCGCGGTGATGGGCCACAACGCAATGCGGACTGACTGTGTTCGGGGCAGCAGGACAAGGAAAGCTGTGGCGAAGCAACATGCGACTGGTGGAAGGACTCGATAAGCGAAGGTCTCGGTTGTGAGTAGTACCCTAGTTGTGGGGAGACGCAAGGGCAGCATTGTGGCCGTTATGCGGGCATCTGGAATCAAGGTGAAAACGTTTATAAGTAAGTTCGATGTAAAACCCCCGTGAATCGAATTATCATATACGGTGCCATGGAGCACATTATACATACATGTACATGTATGTGATTGGTCGATTGGGGACATTCCTCAGCGCCGCCGCAACAATGGGCACTGAGCGCTGATGATGCCTGAGATGTATATGCTCTTGTCGCGCGTACGTGGTTGTACCTTCAAATGCATACTATCTGCAACACCACTGAAACATAATTTTTACAACCAAGTCTTATATACTCACCTTATCTATCATAAAGTATATTAGTCTAAATATAAGCACGCATAGCCGCCGGCATGTTGGCGTTCCTTGACCTGGAGCCCATATGTATCAATGCTCGAGTTGCAATATTAAATTTGACGGAGATGACTCTGTGACGAATCGAGAGGCTCGGACTAGGAATGGGGATGAGACTTTTTGTTGGGTCAAAAGACTAAGCAGAATATTCGACGGGGAGAAGTCTTAATACGCTGATTGAGACGGAGAATCAAAGGAGAACGTGTATGAAGCATGTAACGAAGAGTGTTGCGTATGTAAAAGAATCTTTGAGGGAGAGATAGTGGGAATGATACTAGGAGCTGAGCTACTTAGACGAGAAGGAAAGGTCAGAGCGGCAGTCATCAATGTGGATAATCAAGCGGCGATACGAGCAACTCACTCATTCGACACCACACCAGCTCATTACCTCATGGACCGATTCCACGAAACGCTACTAAGCGCCCTCACCGTTCAGGACTCCAACACCATCCCCATAAGATGGACACCAGGACATGTAGGAATCGAGGGCAACGAAGCAGCGGACGCAGAGGCGAAAGAAGCAGCGCGAGGACTCACCAGCGAGACAAAATCCCTTCCCATAACCCTTCGCAAAAACCGATCTACACCAATCACGCTCCCCATCAGTAAATCGGCGGCGAAGCAAAGCGGATATGCGGCAATGAAACAGGAGGCCAAAGAGGTTTTCGAGCTATCACCACATCAAAGAAGATTGACGACAGCGTACACTCGAACAAGTTCCAAAAGCTCATCTCTGAACTCCCCCACCGTCATGCCAGCCTACTCGTGCAATTGAGAACGGGCCACGCCCCCCTCAACAAACACCTCGCCAAAATCAAAGTAGCAGACTCACCGATGTGCCCAACATGCGAGCAAAGGGAAGAGACAGTACACCACTATATCCTGATGTGCGAAGAATACCAAACACAAAGAGACGCCCTCAGAGCAAGAACAACAGCTAGAATGCTCAACCTCCGCGCCCTTCTTAATAATCCGAAGCACGTAGTACCCCATCTCTTCCGCTACATCGCAGAGACCAGAAGCTTAAGACTAGAGAACAACTTCGGCGACGTAACTCCGCCGGAGCCAAAAGACTAGTAGACCTACAGTCTTCAGCGCATGATTAGCAACCCTAGCCCATGCTCCTACAAAACCTCGCACAATCCACTCTAGCGTCATGTCTCGTGCACTCGCGCAAGCACAACCACCCCCAGATAGCTGCCAGACCAGCTCTCAATGCTTAGTACACTCCCCCAACGGAAGTACAAGCCAATGAACATTCATTTATTCTCCCACATCGACCACACTCGTTACTACTCAATACTTAAAGTACTGTCGACATTAGGCTAGCCTACAATGACAATAAAAGGATTTTTAAAAAATGTAAAAGAAAGGATGAGTACTACGTACGAGAGTGACGTCGATAGTCATATCTTGACAGACTCTAGCTTGATTAATTCATGAACGACTTGGGCTCAAGTCTGCTGTCTTCGACACTGAGGAGGCATGCTGGAGCATACAAATGATTTGCGGACCGATCAGTACTAGTACGTATCTCGATGGAAGTCATCCACCAGCATTCAGAAATTTGCATTGGATTAGCTGCTCTCGTATCTCACAATTTTAGGATCAGCTATTGGAATATCTACAGATTTATGCCATCACGGTTTTCTGCTAATAGAATGCAGATACTCGTCAAACGCGCTCACCAGCCGCTCAATCGGTTGCCTTATAGGCGTAGCACCATCCACAACGCTCGGACTCCCAAGCATCCCAGCTCTTGCCCACCCATCCACCAGCACGTTCCCCCACAACAACATCCAGCACATTGTCCACGTCCATCCTATCCAGCCACCTGTCTTATTCCCCGCAACAGCACGCTCGATGACCATCCCGGTGCCCATCATTCCAAATGGCAGCACCATGCGCCACATCTCCGAGGACGGGTCGATGGCGAGTAGTTGGAGGTGATGAATAAACCCAGAGGCGAGAAATGCGCCTATGATGCCCCCGATACGCCCAAAGAGTAGAGAAAGTGGCTTTCCCCCGAGGAAAATGAATATCCGACGGAACCACTGATGCCAGCGTCGGCTCCAGAATTCTCTGAGAGAAGTGGCGCGCCAGGGAGAGTCTGTTGAAGGGGGGCATTGCTCTGGATGTTGCCTCAATATCAGTACGCAAATGACTACGGTGATCTCGGAATTGGCTTTGATCAATGAGTAGATGGCGAATGCGCATAGCATGGCGATGATGCTTGATCGTAAATAACGGAGGTGTGGGGGAAGTGAGTGGTCGAAGATGGTGCCACCATCAACAGATCCAAATGTGTCTGGAGAGAACGACTTCACGGCAGAGTGAATCGTGCCAGAAAGAAATATGTGCTTTAGACCAGAGACTAAGGCGGATGTAGCAAAGGCCAATCGCGAGGATGTAGGATGTGTCTCGGGCAGGATGTACATTCCCTGCGACCAGTCCCAGCCACAGCCCCGAGAGTTGAATACCAAATCAATTGCGTCGAGCACAAGATTTTGCTTTGGGACGTCGGTTGACGATCGGCGAGCCATACGAACAAAAGGTTTCGTCTGCACGGTCCATTCAAGGGTGCGTGCTGCAATATAAATCATGGATGCCTGAGAGATAAATTGAACGGTGTGGCAATTAATGCGAATACAGGAACTCACTTGCAGCTGCATATTCGAAAAGGCAAGTTTCGGTTGCCCCATGGACATGTCTAACGATGTCGCCGCGCGAAATGCAAGGATCGCGGTGATGGGCCACAACGCAATGCGGACTGACTGCGTTCGGGGCAGCAGGACAAGATAAGCTGTGGCGAAGCAACATGCGACTGGTGGAAGGGCTCGATAAGCGAAGGTCTCGGTTGTGAGTAGTACCCTAGTTGTGGGGAGACGCAAGCCGTCCAGCAAGGGCAGCATTGTGGCCGTTATGCGGGGATCTGGAGTCGAGGTTCATACGTTTATAAGTAGGTTCAACGCAAAGCCCCCGTGAATCAAATTATCATATACAGTGCCATAGAGTACATGTATATGTATGTGATTGGTCGATTAGGGATATTTCTCAGCGCCGCCGCAACAATGGACGTGGCAGAGACTGATGGTACAGATGTCAACGCAGCAACGTGACAGCGAGGATAATTGCAAAGGAAAAACAAATTGTGTGATATGGGTTGGTATAAGAAGATACTTATATGTTCTTGCGTACGTGGTCGTACCTTCAAACAAATGTATACTGTCTGCAACACCACTGAAACATACCAAGTCTTATACTCACCTTATCTAATCTACTAGGCGCCGTCGCCGGTGATGACCTTGCTTTCGTTTGTAATTGGAAAGACGAAGGGAACGAGCGCAGTTGAAACGGTATTTTGGAAGGACAGAGACCAAACAGAGACTGGTTACAATCGTAGCAAATGTTACGAACAGAGAATGCGGAAAATGCCGTTGTTTATAATTGTGAACGATTCGCAGAATTAACATATGTATATGACCTTGCAAGGTGATCTAATCTAATCTAAAGTATATAAGCACGCATAACCGCCGGCATGCGCCGATCTGTGTCGTTTCTCTCTTTTTCGCGGTTCTATCCATTTCTGCGTCATGCGGTGTTGTGCGTGTCTCCTTTCCAGCGCGTCATGCTGTGTTGTTGTGTTTCTCTTGCTCACCACTATGGCGACCTCTGCTTCATTTCACGGTGTTGCTGGTCTTCAGAACGGAAGCAGATATCACATTGACAAAAAGAATTACTGGCGTTAGGACGCTTTCATCGCAACTCCAGAATTGGGGGATAAGTTTGAATCAACGTGTTCACATTTGATGCGAATACTGCGTCTGGAATCTATCTATTGGATGCACGGACCACTATTGGTCCTATCATTGACGACGAAGGCAAATCCACGCACTCTTCATCTCTTTACTAATGACGCGCGTGAATTTTCTGCCTCCTTTTTGTCTCTTTCATTTATCTGTCTAGGACTTACAACCTCTTCCTGATGGCTCTCACGCCTTTCGGACAGTCGTCAGAGCAGATAAAGTTTCACGCAGTACTTTTCCTGTTGAACAGGAGAACCCTCCAAGACGCTGAGATCTATCCATACCGCGCATTCCTTTCCTCTCTCAACGTGAATTCAACGACAAAATTCTGGAGAACTTGCCAGGTGATTTTCTAAGTATCGCAACCAAATATCAAGAAGTCGACTCACAAGGCGCTTAGAATATTATTTCAGCTCGGACAGCCTGAGCACACACCTAACCCTGCTCGACAAGCTTCCAGAAGTCAGTTCTTGATTTGGAAGTTATATAAGCTGCGGTTCACAATTTTGAGTCGGTCCGACGTCGCGTCATCCACTAGCATTCAGAAATTTGCATTGAACTAGCTGCTCTCGTATCCCACAATTTTAGTATCAGCTCCCGGATCATCTACAACTTCCTACCATTATGGTTTTCTGCTAACATGTATGCAGATACTCGTCAAACGTCCTTACCAGCCACTCAATCGGTTGTCTCACAGGCGTCGCACTATCCAAAACGCTCGAACCCCCAAGCATCCCAGCTCTCGCCCACCCATCCACCATCACGTTCCCCCATAACACCAGCCAGCTCATTGTCCACACCCATCCCATCCAGCCACCTGTCTTATTCCCCGCAACAGCACGCTCGACCACCACACCAGTGCCCATCATTCCAAATGGCAGAAGCATGCGCCACATCTCCGAGGATGGGTCGATGGCGAGTAGTGCGAGATGGTGAAAAAATCCAGAGGCGAGGAACGTGCCTATGACACCCCCGATACGCCCAAAGAGCAGAGAAAGTGGCTTTCCCCCAAGGAAAATGAATATCCGACGGAACCACTGATGCCAGCGTCGGCTCCAGAATTCTCTGAGAGAAGTGGCACGCCAGGGAGAGTCGAATGAGGGGGGGCATTGGTCTGGATGTTGTCTGAACAACAATACGCACATAACTACGGTGAGCTCGTAACCGGCTTGGAGCACTGAGTAGATGCCGAATGCGCACATCGTCGCTATGATGCTCGATCGTAAATAACGGAGGTGTGGGGGTAGTGAGTCGTCGAAGATGGTACCACCATCAACAGATCCGAATGTATCTAGAGAGAAAGATTGCACGGCAGAGTGAATCGCGCCGCAAAGAAATAAGTGCTTGAGACAAGATACTAGGATGGATTTAGCAAAGGCCAATCGTGAGGATGTAGAATGTGTCTCAGGCGGGACGTACAGCCCCTGCGACCAGTCCCAGCCACAGCCTCGAAGGTTGCATGCCAAATCAATTGTGTCGAGCACAAGATTTCGCTTTGGTGCGTCAGTTGACGATCGGTGAGCCACACGAATAAAGGGTTTCGTCTGCACCGTCCATTCAAAGGTGCGTGCTGCAATACAGACCATGGATAGCTGAGAGATAAGTTCAATGATGTGGCAGTCAATGCGAATATAATAAGAATTCACCTGCAGATCGATATTCCAAAAGGCAAGTTTCGGTTGCCCCATGGACATGTCTAACGATGTCGCCGCACGAAATGCAAGGATCGCGGTGATGGGCCATAACGCAATGCGGACTGGCTGCGTTCGGGGCAGCAGGACAAGAAAAGCTGTGACGAAGTAACATGCGACTGGTGGAAGGACACGAGAAGTGAAAGTCTCAGTTGTGAGTAGTATCCTAGTTGTGGGGAGACGCAGGACGTCCAGCGAGGGCAGCATTGTGGCCGTTGGTCGATGGAGTATGCGGGCGTCTAGAGTCAAGGTTCAAACGTTGATAAGTAGGTTCAATATATCAGTGATGCGAACCGAAAAGCCCCCGCCTCAGTTTGTGAATCAAATTATCATATGCGGTGCCATGCAGTCCATGCACATGTATGTGATTGGTCGGTACTAGATATTAATCATGTCAGTTGGACAACGCAGGGGTTGTTGTCACTAGCTTTCTTGCAAAAAGATGAGACTCATCGGATGTCAATGAGCGTGGCAGAAATTGATGATGGGTTACAACAATTGCAAAGAAAAAACAGATTGGTATGCATCTTCATGGCCACCTTCTCATCGAACATCTTGCGCAAATTTGCTAGATTCTTTGCGCTCTTGTTGAAATCTTCACTTCGTCGAGCATGCTATACGTTGCGAATTTTCTATGATATGCCCTACTCCCTAGGACGCATGTGTATTTGCCTCGACCATGATACCTCCTCAACTAGAATCGGACTTCAAGAAGAGTTGCGCCCTGCAATATGTTCGAGCGGCCTGCCTACGACCCATACACTCCCGACAGATATCCACCAGCCTGGTGACCGACCACATAGCACGCTCGCAGTACCAGTGGAGATTGCATCTCCGCAGCATCCATTGTACCTGACGCCACCTTCACACCCCAATTCCAGAAACGACCTTAGCATAGAAACTGTAGATGATATTCCAGTGTCAAATGCCAGCTTTGACAGTGGACTACCTCAAATCATCCTAGAAATGAACACAACAGGCGAGCCGCAATTTGTATTCTCGAGACATGCCACCACGCGACCCGAGCGCCTCAAACTAGTACCAATCATACCGGCCGACGTCAAACGCTATGATAGAAACATCAAAATGTAAGACGGTCACTCACTCTTAAAGGGATATTGACGTAGCGACGCTGCCACGGAAGGAAATGGGCTGAACCGAATCGCTTCGTTATCACTCCTAAAGACAACAAGTATGTGGAGTATGTACACGTTCACCGACAGTTTCTGTATCCCATAATACATGTATCTAGGGAGGTGCAATGTGGGTGGCGCGACTTTGTGCACCCGGAAGGTCCCAGAGTTTATTATCACCACGAGACAGTTAGCACGTGTCCTGAGATCGATTTTTCAAAATGCTCGTACACTTTAGAGAGAGTTTTCACGCATGCAGACATGCGCCTAGGCGTCGATTCTAAGAAGCTCTTGGGGATGGCTAAAACCCTGAAGGCTTATGCAAAGAGTCAGCCAGACGTACAGGCCAGGATCAGTGATGAAACAGAATTGGTGCTCGAGCTTAAGATCGTAGGTGGTACTAACATCATCAATTCTTGTGGCCACCATTTCGTCGATCACGTGGAGAGGGTGATATTTTGGGCGCATCCGTATACTTGCGAACCATATGGTGAGATTCTGTCCAACGTCAAGGCAGCCAAGAAACTCAGTCATATGGTGGTTCACTACTTTGTATGACCCTTAAACACCTGCTTTTAGGGTATTCATTGGAATCGCAATACTGGCCAGTACCTCTTCAAGGTCGAGTTTCTCAGGGTCGGCGTCAAAAACGCATTACCATCACCCCTGATTCCCCGGAAATAAGTCGAACAGCTTGGATTCTGAGATTGAACAGGTTCGAAGTCCGGTGTGTATAAAATAAGTCACTTGAAGCCACGTTCGAGTTTCTCAGGCTGAACAGGTCATACTGTAATCGCATGTGACTGGAAAGGGTGGTGTAATTGAGTCATACGGCAAGGATTCCTAAGTTTTGAAATCGCACCTGAGTGGAATAGACTGAAGCCATGGCGTGAAACAGAAGAGTGAAGAGAGACTGACACGTGCTCATAGTGAGATGCAATACACACCGGACTTCGAACCTGTTCAATCTCAGAATCCAAGCTGTTCGACTTATTTCCGGGGAATCAGGGGTGATGGTAATGCGTTTTTTGACGGACCCTGAGAAACTCGAACGCGGCTTGACTTCTGAGATTTTATAAAGCTTGCATCTCCCTGTTAACTTCACTATGAGCATTCGTCTCTTTTCACCCTTCTGTTTCACGCCATGGCTTCATTCTATCCCACTCAGGTACGCTTTCAAAACTTGGGAATCCTTGCCGTATGACTCAATTACGCCGCCCTCTCCAGTCATATGCGATTACTGACCTAAGAGCATTTGAACCCCTCCCCGAAGCCCTTCGTTCCACGTCCCTTGTAATGAGGGTGCTCTGTTTTTTGGCACTTGGACGCCCAAATCTTGATGATCATTGGAAGTCGCTGCAATCAGACCAAGCCTTCGAAACCGTTAGGAGCAGGTTGTGCTCTATCCTAACCAGCACTATCACCACCGTAAGCTATCCAACTCCGCACCCATCGCGAACTGAAGCCAACGCTGACATGTTCCCCTCAAGGCAAGTGTCCTCCTCGCTATAAGCGGTGTTTTCGTCAGCACGGGCTCTCCTGTATCATACTTCGACTATACATTGCCCGTTTCTTATTGTCTGCTCTTTATATCGCTCATGCTCGCCATGATTGCGATGTTGACGTCTGGCTCGAGCATGATACGTTGGCTGCACGCCGATCGGCACTGGACTCAAGAAGTAAGCCTGATTCTCGCCATACTCATTACCCCGGCTGACCTAAATATGATCAGCAACTCGAGCAAAGCGGCTACTTCGTCTTGTCCTACCTGTTGTCGATAGTCACGCCTATATTCTTCGTCGCTTTGTCCCTACATTGTTTCATATTTGGTGAGTTGTTCCATCAAATGAGGCTTTCTCTGGTCCCTCATGCATTCCACCCAGCGATGTTGATAGTAGGCTTTTCTTCTCAAAGCATGATCTGCCGCGCCGTCACTGCGCTCTGGCTGGTCACGTACGCTGTCAACGTCGGGACAATATTGATGGAAGCTATGTGGAAGTATGCGACAAGCCTCGATCACGCTGGATAACGTCAGTAGTTTCTAGTTTCCATAATCCACTTTGCTTCTTGTTTCACCCAGTCTGTCTATGTTGCATATAACTTCCCTGATGTGTAAGTGATCAAGCTAAGCTGCGAGAGATACTATGTAGTCTTTAGATACATTTGCTTTCAATGATGGCTTCACTTTCCGAATCCCTCGACCCAATAATACCCCAGTGGGGACTATCTTTGTTTGTAAATCTCGATACATACATGAAAACCTCGAGAGAAAGCAATAGCGAAACCAAAAGTCAAGAAGGTGAAGTCTATAAAGCTTGAAGTCATTTTCATATCTCCGAGCCCAATACCTTTATTGACTTCCTCTCAAAAATTCACTGAGAAAACAGTACGCCTACAAAGTTGTAAATGAAGTAAACCTTGTTCACTTCCGAATCGATGAATCAATGTCCTTTTCATCTTTCGCAGCTTCCTCATCGAACATCAGCGTTTCCGGGTCCGAAGTCTATATTTCGGTAATATGATTCATGAAGATGGCACGTCGTTCTTAATCTTGCTCGAGAGCACGAGGAGAGATATTCTTGTGGCTGTAATGTAGCCTGTGTATGGTGCAGAGAAATGTATGTACAAATATGCACTGCATGACTCTCCTGCTACCCACGCTGTAGCTCGTCCAGGCGCATGGTGAGATTTCGGTGAAGATACAGTCCATTGTTTGCATCTGTGTGGCTTTGATTTTACGCAGCGAGAAGTCACGTGATCTCCATCGCACAATGATAAAAAAGGTCCCTGAAATTTCACCAAAAAACAAAAATAAGCATCAGGTACTAAAACGAAAGCAAAAGTAAAAGCAACAAAAATACCACTCCAAAAACATTAACGATCGTGACGGCATGATATCATGGCCCGGACCTAAGTAATCCCCAACCCTCTACGTCCAAAGCCCAGATCGGTCGCACTACCTCTATCCAACATTTCTACCCATGACATGGCCCCTACGTGGGTAGGTCAAAACGGCGTCGACTCGGCATTCTATGACGACGGCCAAGTCTCAGAGCACTCCTTGAGTTCTTCTTCCACAGCTTTCCGGCCTGCAGAGGTAAGAACGGGTATTCCAGAACTGATATCTTTCTCGAAGTACTGGGGTATAAATCTGCATTTTTTTGAGTCCGTTAGATTAGTGGTCGATTCAGTAAGGGGAAAAAAAGAAACTCACTGAACACCCTTCCTCTTCCTCTCACCCGCTTCATCCCTCTGCTTCTGCTCAATTGCAAGTTTTGCCTTCGTAGCCTCCCCATACTCCTTCGCAAGTAGCCTCGTCGTCACACCATCCCACAACTTCCTACTCTCATTTGGAAGTTGCCTTTCTAGCGGGCGAACCTTCTTCGGGACCACGAAGAGCGTCGAGAGATCTACGAGCGTCGCGTATTCCGTCTCTGATAACGAAGGGGCCGAAAAACTTGACGTCGATGGGGATGATGCTGCTGAAGATGTGGATGGAGCAGGGGGAGATGCAGCAGTCCGCCGCCACCGTATATGATTCCGCCAGCATCCGTCAAAGACAGCTACGACCCGAGCCGTGGGGACGTGTTTCACCTTCGTCCATTCTATGTGTTCTGTAGATCCTTCGTTGTATGTGTGTATCACCCCCTCGACTAGAAAGTGTGCGCGGCCTAGCCATGACTTGTCCCATCGTCAATACTCGTCCCATCACGATCCCCTATTACCGGGGGGAGAGAAACGCACCTCTTCTTTATACTCAATCACAGCCCGATATGCCACTCCCTTCGCACCCACACAAGTAACGATCGTGCTATCCCCCACAGTGATATAAAAGCTCCCCCTCAAGATCCCATTTACATTAGCCACCGGGTGCGTGATGTGATACTTCTCCCCCATGCCCGGTCCCGATGTAAGATTGATGTAGATGCCCTTGTTGAACGACCCTGGGGCGACGCGCACGGCCGTACCGCTCACTTTTGCGCTAATCTGGTCGATGCCTGCCATCTCCACCCCACGCAAGGGACATGAGGCATAATATGCGCTTACGGGGGGGTGGTGCGATACTTGTTCTGTTACGTATACGACTCGGATATGGGCCTTGTCTTTGTCCTTGCCCTCGTTCCTTCCACTCCCGCTTCCATTAAGAGGAGACAACGAAAGTTTGGAAAGACCGGCATCGCCGAGAGATGAAGGAGCTGTACTTAGGGTCGGGGATGTCTTGTCCTTGGAGGTAGAAGTGAGGCTGAGGCCACTACGCGTGCTCTTTGAACTCTTGCCGCTGCGATTACTCTTCACGCTCACTGTCTCGCCTCCTTGTGCTAGAGTTACCTGGGAAGGGGGGACACTTGTATGGACGCGGAGGATGGGAGGTTGAGTTGGATCAGAACTGTAGAAAACCGGGGGGACGTCCCAATGACCACGGAAGTGCTCGCCTAGAACACTGTTGTAGGGTTTGCAGACTTTGCCGTGCTGTGTGAGAAATCAGTGGGAAGGTGGTGTTAGGGGGTGAGCAGGTTGGACGTACGACGAATTTAAGGTCCTTTGTGAATATGAAACGCACGACTGCCAAGATGCGCTCGAAGGGATCGTTGGAATCATTGATACTAAATTAGCATACCCATCAGCATAGATAGCGAATGCCCACAGGTGCCCACAAAGGGAAATAACAGAGCAAGAAGTAGTACTAATACTCACGCAGCGAACAGGTCAGGTCTGTCGAGATAATGCCAATATTCAAGATTTGGAAGGGGCTCTAGAAGACTTGCAGGTAATGACAGTCGCCTGACAGGGACCAACGATTAAATCAGTGGTAGGTTTCATGCAGAGAGAAAGTAACGGACATGGCAGCGATATCCTTGACCCCCAGACACTTCTTGACGAGCTGAACGATCATGCTCAGTTTTCCGCCTTCGCCTACGTCGCCTGAGTCAGGGAGGGAGATGGTTGGGCCCGGGGTTTCTGAATCGTCGTCTTCTAGGACTTCGCCGGAGGGTATCTTGATGATTGCTTCGTCAGCCATTGTTGACGATGATCTTCTTGATCTTGATTATTGTTCTTGAGTGTTGTAGATGGGAATGAGAGGAGGGAAAGAAAAAGAAAGAAAAAGTAAAGGGATTATGTGAAATTGTCACGTTATGTGGTTGGACACTGTGGTGTTGGAGCTCGATGAGAGAAGGAAACACGTGCGTGCGTTGGATGATATTACTGTATGGGCGCTTATTTACAGGATAACCCTCAAGTATTCAATTCGCAATTCGCAAATCCAGCATGCACAAAAGGATAAAGGTAGTAACCATACGAGGAATGTAGCAACGCCTCCATGCAACCCTCATTCGGAACGCGTGATTCATTGCGAGCACGGAACGCCGCTTCTAGGGTAATGGGTATTGGCTAGAAGGTCTCTGGTTAGTGCCATCACTGGAAAGAAGCATCACCATAACCATGCCGATACTCGTCTCAGCTGATGCCTGTTTACATCGTGGGGAACAGAGGGCACCGGGTATCCTCGATCACATGTTCCGGGGAGTCCTATGATGAAACCTTATTCGACTCGCCAAGAAGCAGCCGATACCGGGTTGAGGAAGGTCGGATCTTACACTCTAGTGATGTATCTAATTTACCTGGAATCACCGTATCAGCTGAATAAAAATACCACAGGAACGAGACTCACCAATAGTACAAAGCACAGGATAAACTGCGCATCAAGTATGATCGTGACACTCAAGGACCCACAGGGGTAACAAACAATCCCTTCAAAGACTCTATCGCCAACCTCGCGCTCATCCTCAACTTCCCCTCCTCAGCACCCCCAGCATCAGCAAACCCAAGCCCCATCTTCAGCGCCGCCCTTTGTACCGCCTCACCTGCTCTCCCGGCATCTCCTTCCCTCTTCTTTCTTGCCCACCACCTTACCGCGCGTTCGCGCAGCTCGGGGTTGCGCATGACAGCAGCACGTGTATATTTCAAGAGATGTGCGCGGGGGATGGAACGCTCGAGGTGTGCGAGAGCTGGGGCGAGGGACATGCTGGGTGGTCCTTGGTGCTGTACCTCTGGGAGAAACTGAGTAAGGATTGGAAGGAGGAGGAATAGCACTTGGCGTGTGAATTGGATGTTGTCGTGCCACTGTGCATACCGAGTTGGACTGTGAGTGATGCCTGAAAGTGAAAGACACATACCATAAAGACTCGGGTTCCGTCTTTGGGGAGTGGAGCTGCGCTGAAGGAAGCTAGGACGTAGCATTCTGCGAGGGCTGCGCATATTAACACGCCTAAAACATACACCCTCCATCTATCCCTCCGATTTTGGCTGGAAGTAAGTAACAGCAGCACTGCAGCAGTTCGGACATAGGCGAGAAGGATGCCTGCGAATACAAAGAGGGCATAATCAGCCGCAGAGGTGCATGGAGCGCATGTCTGCAGCGCCCTTTGACCAAACCTATAAGTGGTCATGAATTTGCAATGCATGAGAAATAAGGAAGGAGCACACCGAACAAACCATCCCCTCGATTCATCTGTCTTGAGGCGACTTAGTAAAAGTTCGAGATCGGGTGGCATTTGCACGGGCACTGCAAGTCCACCATCTCCTGCTCCTGCTGCAAACCCAGCTTCTGATAATAACAAATTACGAATATGTTCAAGGGGGAGAGTGAGAGGGATATGTAGGCGGGAGAATAGGTTTTGTGGAGGTTGGATTAGAGCGTATAGGGAGTATAATGAATGGAGAAGTACGATGATGCTGCGTTTATGTATATAAAACCATACCCCCCATTATTTTCGTACTGGATCGACATTTTGATTGACTTATCAACTGCTACAGGAAAGCCGAGCGCTGAGGGATGTGCACAATGATAATTTAGGCAGGCTCTCGCTGTCCGTCACTTCTACAGCAAAGCAACATTTACTATATACAGTTCCTGCCACCGATGTGCAACAACCCAACTGTACATCAAACAGTGCAAATGCTCGCTATCTTCTGGCATTTGCCACATTGCCAATTAATATCAATAGTATAACAGGAATATTAATGTGATAGTGCCGCTTTGATGGGATCAACCGCTATGCTGATTCCGAATATCGTGCAATTGATGGATCTTACTAGGATGCTATTCCAGGATGATCCTCCTTCAAAGTGGCGTGCACAGCTGCGCACGCGACAGCTAATCCCTGGAGTGAAGGTTTGGGCGGAATGAGGAAAGCAGCGCATGGGATTAAACGGTGAACGTTGAGGGTTGTACAGCTCGGAGGTGAGTTGACTACGACTTTGTGGCAGTTACTTCATTTTCTCACATCTATGCCGGCTTGCCAACTTCCTGTGGCATAAGGGTCACCCCTGGATCTCTTTTCTCCCTGTGCTCTCTCATTCCTGTTCGTAATCTAGGGATGGTGTTATATTCTCCGCACAAAAACTACGGATCTTGAATCAGGTTGTCACAATTGATGCAAGTAAAGTATGGTGCGCCTTGTATCAGTTCTGTCCTTATGGTTTGATGTCATCCTTATAATATGAATAGCCAATGACTGAGGTGGAGGGCTAGAAGATGAGGTGGTGGCCCATGCTTAGGAAACGGAGGAGCAGGGCATTGAAAGGTGTGCCTGAATTGGTTGTACAGGTGAGTTATCTGTCTACCTCGTCTGGACCTTTATTACATTCCAACACAAGCCCACCTCATTGAACGGCCTCGGAGGTGCTGTCACACTCAGGCCTGCGAAGCAAAAACTGCTGATGCCCATCGAATGCCATTGAGATAGTAAGCTTTCTCCAAGGTCACATCACACCAAAACCGTTGTTAGACGAAGTTGTGGATTTAGCGTAGAAGGGTGCACCTTGGCAGCTGTGTGGCCGAGGTGAGTCATTGTACAATCTGGTATCCTAAGATTGAGGCTCGTTGAACAGGCTTTACGACATCAGCCAGTGCAGTTTGAAGAACAACAAGGCAGGCTTCATGCGGTCATAACAGCACACCCGAGTCGTCTCTTTCCATGTCCTCTCGACGCTATCTTAATCTAGAGATGGTATTGTATCCGAATTCACCAGATATCAATCTTATACTCTCAATTACGGTGTATCCGGCTGTGAAAACCGACACTTGTCACCACAGCAGGTCGACTAGTGTGTCTCTGGCTGTGAAAACTGATGCTTGTCACCACTGCGCCAACACCACATTGCAAGTTGAAGATTCTGCACTCACCATTTTTGGCAGCCCTATGAGACAAAAGTCCGATCATCGAGGCAGAGAAGCAAGAAGGTGCGCATGTATGTTGAAGTTCTTCAATCTCTTGCGGTGTTCAAGTATTCTACCCTCACGGCTGCTTCACGACCAACAACTATGTCGGGAGCCTGGATTGAGTTCATCTGTCTCAATTTACTTAGGCCAATTAAAGCAAGAATGGTCATCAACCCTAGATCTCGTTTTCATGACCCAAGCACTGGATGATAGTATAACTAGCAGGAATGCCATCGTCATAGGTCCACCAGGTTCGCCTCTCACCCACACCCATTTTCTACCAATATGGCCATAGTCTCAAATGATCCCGCTTGGTGGCCGATCGTCAATTCATATTGTTTGGGCAGCTATTTTGTAGGTTCGTGGAGAGCAGTTGGATGTTGAAGTTGACTCAATCTAAGCTTGACTGTGGTTTTGCAGTTGCCGCCTTTGTTGCAGTGATATATAATTGGGGTGAGCATGATAACTGCTGATATCTTACATGTATTTTTAGCACTTACATTTGGACAAGAGGTATGTCGATGGTATGACCGGAGCAGCCATCTCGCTGAGAATGGCTTCATAGGTGGAACTGATCTGGGTAAGTAGAGTCTGGTGTCAGGGAAGCACACGTGAAAATACACTTGATTTCAGAGACAACGCTGGTCGGTAATGACAGTTCTGTATCTCGGTGTATGTAGCTTGTTGCGGTTGCCATGCGTGCTGACTTGAAAGTATGCTAGGTGCGCTACCTTGGAATCTTATCCGCTACGTATGTCCGGAAGGCTACACAATCGTTGTTATACTAATCGACTATTTCTCATTATCAGCCTGTACATGCTGAGTATGTCTCCTTAGTGTATTCGCCATCTTCACATCTTCTGACCAACGGCATTCAGGCAATGTTCCGACTATCTCGTTGACAGATACAGTGAGTCTTCTGTACAGATGCCTGGTACTATTCCCTTACAATTAACCGTGGTACCCTGTAGCAGTGGGTGTGGTTCTTTACTAACTTATTGGTTCACTAATGACTGCCGTGCTATACTGCCACAGATGTGAGTCTGTCTGGAGTGTGTGCTACCCGAGGCTGGTCAGTGGTCACTCACTGGATTCGTCAGGCTTTATTATATACATCGTACAGAGTTGGACGGTCATTGTGGTATTTGCGATGCTGCGGGGTGAGCTTTGCAGTTGCGAGACCTTAGTGATATTCACTTCACTGAAAAAATGCTGCAAGTCATCATCATCGCTCGGTTGTATGCCATGTATCAAGGATCCAGAAAGATCCTGATATTTCTCATTTTCACCTTCCTGGCTGACAACATTTTCGACGCAGCAGCCGCCATAATGTCAACGATGTATACTTCAGGGGGTACGTGCCATTGTGGTTGAAAACGAACGTGCATGGGCCTTATTGACGAATACCAGAGAAACTAATTCTCTTGGGCACTTGTCGGTGCCAGATTAACTATGCGGAAGATATCATATTGCTAAATTCCATTACTTGGATACTCGCCACTGTGTGGGAGGTCCTCGCGCTATGCCTCGCAATCTGGATTGCGGTAGAACACTTCCATGAACTGCGACAACATTCAGCAGGGGGGATTATCGAGGACTGTTTCACGGTGTTAATGAAAACTCATCTGGTTTACTTTGCCAGGTAAACTCATTGTGGTTGTTCCTTTTTTTCCATTGATGGGTCGGACGTGGTAGCTTTGTTGCTGTTTCTTGCTTCCATCTCATTCTTGAGTTCTCTCCAGCATTCTTAACGGTATGTCAATCTTTCACTCGCCTGTGTACGCTAGCACAACTTATCGTTCCTATAGGACATTGCCCTGGACACTCAGATTATTTTTGGTTTTGTTCAGATTTTGACAAACGTGCAGATGTTTGTGCTAGGACCGCGCCTGATCATTGGTGTTCGAGAATACCACGCTAAGCTCGTTGCTGATGCCGACACTGCGACTGGCATGGCTTCAATCGCTTTCCAGGAGAGCATGTGCATTGTGCATATATCGACCGGCAGTGGTGTGTAATGCTCGGTGAAGTTAATGGCTGCCTCGTACTTTAAAGAGCAGGGGATTTTGTTTCTATTTATTATCACTTTCTTGCAGTATTTATCTTAAGTTATTTGGTGTTCCGAAGTAGACATACAAAGTTATTGTCATAGTGTTTCAAGTTAATTAGGTGATTTGCTATATGTGCTGAGTCTGCTGACAATGTTCAAACCAATATACTGGATAGTTCTACTTGCACTAGCTGCCTACGTGCACTTGCACCAACCACTGGTCCCTTCTTTCTTTATGTGATGGCAAACATTGCTATGATTGCTTGGGCAAATGAGCGCGCGAGTGCTCGCGAAGCTTCGTGTGGCTGTGATTTTTAAGGTTTTTGGCTTACGCAACTGGTAGCGAGTCTTCGTATGGAAAGCCGGACACTCGTGCTCAAATCTCAACGAAAAATTTCCTAGTATAGTAATTGGACCTCGACCACCGTTCTAGTGTATTTGGTTGTGTTGATCAGTGCAAACCTATTTACTTGTTTGAATCTAAGTCGAGCATATCATGATGAAAACTGAAGGAAAACAAGATGTCATCTAAGCTACTTCGCCCCCAAACTCCTCGAGTTCAAACCCTGGCCATTTGCAAAAGTGGTTGCAAATGTGGCGAGTCTCAAATTCACTGACGGCTTTCTCGATGTTGCCCCCCCCAAACATATCTTTCTGCTCGCTAACTGAAGGATGCGTCATAATCTGTGGGTCGGTCAACAGCTTGTCGTTGCCTGTTTGATTCTAATGTAAGAATTGCTGATGCGCAACCATGTAAAGTACATACCTTGATAATCGGAGATGAAGACGAGCCCACCTGTCTTTGCATACTGCACATGTTGTGTGAAGGCAAGAAACAATGCGAAGTCATACCCGGATTCATCTGGATCAAGTAACGGGTTGGGATCCATGTTGTGAATATACTTGACGAAATCCTCGTCTCTGCCATCGATAACTTCCTCGAGAAGAAAACATGCACGTGCCGATGTAACCTTGGATGCAGGCTTGCTATTATCTTGATAGTAAGATAGTGCGAGACCGGCTTCGACAAAGCGGACACGGGGAATATCGAATGGTAAAGGATCGGAAGCGCCTGCTGTTACGACTGGGATAAGTCGAGCTATCTCTGTCTGAGTAGACAATCGGCAGGATGCCGGATAGACGTAAATCTGCTCTCGATTGAGAGATCAAGTGTTCTGGCTAAGGCGAGTGTCGCTGACTCCCTTAGAATAGTGGTTCTTAGACAGCAAGGTTGGAGACCTTACTGAAGGACAATGTTCCAGGTAAAACCCAGTAGATTAAAGTAGAGAATACAACTGTAGGTATGTAGGTTTATATACCAGTGTTCAAGCGGAGCTTGTAAATGCGTTATCAAGATAGAAGCAAAAAGAGAGGCGGACAGCCCGCTTGGCGAGATAAGAGTCAAGATAAGAGATAGGCATGATAAGAGATAAGCGTGGTACGGACGGCCCGTTTAAGAAGCAAAGGAAAATGAGTATAGGGGCCTTTCTGAATGTTATTGTAACATTACCCCCCTGTTACGGTTGAAGTCTCCGACTTCAATTCTCTTCGTTGTCGCAGTATTCGTTCATGTAGTCGTAGTGGATGGGATCTGCGTCAGCGTTGCAGAACTCTGGTTCATTATACCTGGTGGCGTAATCCCGGTTCGCCCTTTCTATTTCTTCCAGAAGTTCTTCATCTTTCCTGGCCTCCCATGCCGCTAATGCTTCATAGAAGCCGTCATCGGTATAAACCAATGGGAACAGTTCTTTCTTTGCAGCGTAGGGGCAATAGATGGAAAGATGGCCGGGTTTCTGGGCCTGGCAGATGCGGCAGTAATATTCGGGGCAATTCTTATGGCGATGCCCAAGTTTCTTGCAGACGCGACAGACGAAATTGTCTGCGGAAAACTGAGGTTGTTTTACAGTGATGACGTCGGGGGTTTCGGTGAGGTCAATGACTTCACGCTTCTTTCCCTTAGAAGCTCTAGTCTTTGACACTCCGTGCACGGTAGCCCCTCTGCGGGTCTTTCGTTTAAAGACGACGGTGGGTTCGGGGATGGGGAGTGGTTCTTCGACTGGTGTTGGTTGAGCAGCAGGCTGAGTTTCTTCTCCAGCCGTATCTGCAGTAAGTACGTTGCTGGGGGGAGCGCTAATAACAGGGCTTGGCGGGCGACCGACTTGGGTCTGGTTTCGTTCTTCAACAGTCCGTATAACTGACTTGCAGATAGTGCTAAAAGCAGAAGGAAGCAGCTGAATCTCAAGGCTGCGTATTTGTCTTTGGAGGTGCTGGCATGCGAGTCTGAGGGCATCGTTTTCGATTTCTTTGAGTCTGAGCTCAAGGGCGGCGGTGGCGCGTATGATGTGAATCTGGGATATGACAGGGGCGGCAGCGGACGCGGGTGCTTCAGCGAGCTGTTTCTCAAGCTCAATTGCGTGGGGAAGGGACAGCAGAGTGGTCTCGACGATGGCGTCGTCGTCTAGATTAAGGATGTTTGTTTTGTACGAAGAGTTTCCGAGAGAGTGCGAGGATGAAGAGGATCCAGTAGGGGAAGGTGTCAATGGGGGAGTCATGTTACTTGGGTTTCGTTTGCAGGGGAATGGTTCGTTTAGTTCAGCTTGTGCCTCTTCTTATATGTTGTCAGAAGTTCTTTCGAACTCTGCAAGTTCTCTTCGGGTATCCATTCGTTGCTTCCGGAAGAGTAGCCTATCCACGATACGAGATAGCGTCTTCGTTTACCCGCGCCCTTATGGCTAAGAATAGCTTCTATTTCATATTCTTCTTCGCCATTGATAATGTCAGGTGGAGGTTCGGTGTAGTTCGGTCCGTGTATCTCTGTTTCGCGATAGGACGATAGTTCAGAAGCATGGAACGTGGGGTGAACTTTCCACTGATCTGGGAGTTTCAGGGTAAACGTGATGGGAGATAAGACTGCGGTAATGACGAATGGACCGTATCGTTTGGGCGCAAGTTTCCTAGAAGGTAAAGATGTCAGGAGATTGGTGGCTGTAAGCCATACCTTATCTCCTATCTTCCATGGTCGGTACTTCTCATGGCGAGACCTTTCTGCCATTCGTTGCATAGCGATGTTATGACAGGCGAGAGCTTCTTCTCGTATCTTCTGGAGGTTCCTAAGTCTTTCTTCTGCTGCCGGCGTGTCTGATACTGGTAAGATGTGTGGGATTCCTCGTGGTTCATAACCCATCATGAGGAAAAAGGGGGATGTGTTTCTGGCATCGTGTTTCCGATGATTATGGACGAATTCGGCGATAGGAAGATGATTGGACCATTCCAGCGGATTGCTTCTGCAGTAGATCCGTAGGTAGGTTTCTAGTTCCTGGTTGAGTCGTTCTGTCTGTCCGTCTGTCTGAGGGTGGTAGGCGGTTGATGTGGCAATCTGATATCCGAGGAGCCGGGCAAGTTCTCGAGAGAATTTCGAAATGAACTGCGGTCCTCTATCTGAGATCACTTTCTCGTGGAGGCCGAATCTTTTGAACACGTTTTTGAGAAATAGTTTGGCCACTCCTTCGGAGGTGATGTTTTTATTGCATGGTGAAATAATTACCCCCTTCATAAGCCCATGGTCTACCACGATCATGATAGAGTCAAAACCGCTCGATACGGGTAGGTCGGTGATAAGGTCAACAGAGAGTTGGGAGAAGGGGCGAGTGGCGACGGAGGGGATCGGGCGTAAGGGCGGGGTAACAGGGTGTGTGTCAGCCTTCATCTGCTGACATAAAGCGCATCCGTCGACGTATTTACGGATGTAAGTTCCCATGGCTGGCCACCAGAAATCTCGTTTGACGAGTTCTTCAGTTTTGAATCGGCCGGGATGTCCCGCTGTAGGATGATCATGGTGTTTAAATAACACATCATGCCGTTGAGCTGCTGGTACGTAAGCCCTATTTTTATAAAAGAGGACGCCATTAATGCACGTCCAGTCGGAGAGGGCGGATTTCATTGGGGGAAGGCATACTCCGTCCAATGCTTCTAGGGCTTTCTGGTATACGGGATCTTCGGCGGAGTTACGTGCAATACTTTCTGACAAATTATTGTCAATCAGTCGCACGAACATGGCATCAGGAAGGAGAACGCGATTTTCGTTATCGTCTTTTCCGAGTGAATGGTCCGGGCGTCGAGAAAGGGCATCAGGAGCGGCTAATTTGGTCCCTGCAATGTGATGCAATTCTAACTGATAATTGGAAAGGATGAGCTGCCATCGTGCCTGCCTTCGTGTCAGCTTTTGGGCGGAACGGAAGTACAGGAGGTTCATATGATCCGTGAATACTATCACGGTGTGGGGGCTTCCTTCCAAATAGTGGCGCCATTCAGAGAGTGCTCTAACGACTGCCAGCAGTTCTCTGTCAAAGATTTCGTAGTTTCGTTCTGCGGGGTTGAGTGATTGGGATAGGTAACCGCATGGATGGTACATTCCATTTTCATCAGTCTGCAGCAACACTGCTCCGGTTGCTGCTAACGACGCATCGGTAGCAATTGCGAACTGGCGAGTTGGATCCGGGTTTCTTAGTACTGGTTGCGATAAAAAGGCGTTTTTAAGGTGGTCAAAAGCGTTCTGGCATTTGTCAGTCCAAACGAAAGGGTGGTCTTTCTTCGTGAGGTCGATAAGGGGTCGAGCGATATCTGAGTAATGAGCGATGAATGTCCGGTAGAAATTGCAGAATCCTAGGAAAGACCGCGTGTCTTTTAGATTTCCCGGGGTTGGCCAGTGTTTAATCCCGTCTACTTTGGCAGGTTCCATCCCCACTTCTCCTGGTCGGATCATCATTCCAAGATATTCTACTTCCCGTGCGTCAAAGGTGCATTTTTCTGGTTTAACGAATAGTTTTTCTTTTCGAAGGATGTCGAGGATTTCAATGGTTCGCGCTTGGTGCTGCTGAAGATCCTTCGAGAAGATCAGAAGATCGTCCATGTATATGACTAACCATCCTTGGTTTATCTGTTTCTGGCAGAGATTGGTCATGAACGCCTGAAAGGTTGCGGGAGAATTCGTTAATCCAAAAAACATGACCGTTGGCTCGAACAGCCCTTCTTGAGTGGTAAACGCTGCTTTCCATCGATCTTCCGGGTGGATCCTTACGTTATTGTACCCTGATCTTATGTCGATCTTCGTGAAGTACTTGGCGTCATAGAGTTGTTCAATGAGGGATTTTGGCAGGGGGAGGGGATATTGATTTCGTATGGTCCAATCATTGAGATACCGATAATCTTGGCAGGGGCGCAGTTCTCCGCTTTTCTTTCCTACGAAAAAGAATCCGCTGGCTTGAGGTGACTTAGAGGGAACAATAAAACCTTTTCTGGTGTTTTCTTCGATAAACGTTTTGACAGCTTCTCGCTCTTTTCCTGATAACGGATAGACTTTCGACGTTTTGGGCACGAATCCAGGTTTGAGGTCGATATGATGATCTACCCCAGGCCTTTCCGGCGGGAGTTTGTTAAGACCATCCTTGGCGAAGACGTCTTGATACTGGTGGAGGAAGTGAGGGACGAGTTCTTCGAAAGTTTTTTTCTGTTTTTCTATTTCTCCTGCGACCGCGAATTCTTGGGCTTTATTACTCGTCTTTCCGTAATTTTGTTCCTTTTTTGATGTCCCGTCTCGAACGAGTGGGGTATCGAAGGTTATATCTTCTATGATGCGTACGGTGGATCCATCAGTGGCATATTCGACGAGTACTTCGTCATTGGCCAATTGATAGGCTAGCGGGTCAGTGACTGGGGATTTGAAGTTTTCTGACCAGACGTCTTCCTTCGTGTCATAGTTGGGTACTTCTTCATCAACTATTTCTTCCACAGAAGCGGTATAGGGGGAGGTGGTTTCTTTAGTTGCCACCTTCACCTGTATCGGCTTCCGTAGTTTGGAATTTGTCCAAGTTCGGGTCGTTTCTTTTCTGACTTCTTTCTTTTTTCTGAAAAGCGGTGGGAGCGATTTCTTACATCTTCTTCTGTCGATGTTCTTTTCTATGGCGAGTGATCTCTTCGTTGGTGGGAGCGATACGGTCTTGGCTTCCCAATCGATCTGGGGTTTCAGTGCAGCAAGCCAGGGGAATCCTAGGAGGATTTTGTCTTGTTTGGCTAGCCTTGCCACGTTGAATTTCCCGATCATAGTTCATTGATCGATTTTGATCGTGAGTACGCAATAACGAGAGATTAGTCCTCCCTGAGCGTCTGATCCATCGGCGGTGATAACAGGGAAGGGTCGTGAGAGTTTATGGGTTCTTATTTTGTGCCTTTTACAAAAGGTATCGCTGATAAAAGTGCCGGATGCTCGGGAATCGATGACCATGGATGTTTCGACGGTTTGTACGCGTTTATCGGAAAAAATGGATGCAGGAATTCTTAATTCATTTCTGGTTCCGATAGAACGTATTAGTCGTACATGAGCGGGAGTTACTGACGTCGAGGCAGTGTCCCTTTCTAAAAATCCATCTCCACGAAGCGACGTTCTACTTCAGTGAAGTCGCTGTCTTCTTCTTCTTCGATTTCTTTGGTTTTTTCTTTCATAGTCTTTCTTCGGACTGGTGCTTTCCTCTTTGGAGTTTCTTCTTCGTTCCTCTCCTTCTTTCTTCTGATGGGGTTCCTGGAGGAGGAAGCGCGACTTTCGACTTCGTCGTCGCTGCTACTTTCTTCCTCTTTGTTTCTTCTGATCTGTCCTCTTTCTCTGGGGTGGAAGGAGGTGTCGTTGGCACGGTGTCCTACTTGGTGACATTTGAAACATCTTCCTTCTTTGAGGTGCTTCTTTAATTCTGCGTCTGAGAGGCGGCTTATGCGGTCGACTTCCATATCGTCGTCCCTCTTTGGAACGTAGTGTCTATTTCCGAAGTTCTTCTTCTTTTGTTGCTGGGGTCTTTCTTTCTTCTTGATGGCTTTCCATCTCTGGAAGGCGTTATCGAGATTGATGCAAGAGTTGACAACGGTGTCGAAGTTATCGAGAGTTTCACCTGTTCGGTGCAGGTTGTCCTGAAGCCCGTAGTCTAGGCCTTGTCGAAAGAATTCGATGAGGGGGGCTTGTTCGGTCATTCCTGCTCGGTGTGCGAGGAGTTTGTAGTTGGAGATGTAGGTGTGGAGATCTCCTTTCATCTCTAATCCTCATATCTTCATCATGGCAGTTCCGGCGGGGTCCATGGGTTTAAAGGCTTCGTCGAAGTCCTTTTTGAATTTGGCCCAGGTACCGTAGCCGATCATTTGTCCAGAGGTGTCTTTCCTCTTGGGGTCTAAGGCTGCTTCCATGAAGTCTTCTGCCCAGGCTGCTGCGTTTCCTTTCGTCATGTAGGATAACACAAGAATGATTTTCTTCTTATCATCAACGTAGACTTTGTCGTTAATGTCGAGGTATGCATGACATTTCATCATGAATCTCTTCGATTCTTCTCTGTCTCCATCGAATTCGGGAGGGGAACCGATCTTTAGTTCTATTTCTTTGTTCTGGGTCGTCATGGTGTTCAAAGGAGGAATGTTTGGTAGCGCTCCTAAGTTCAAGGCTCCGATCAAGGGAGTTAACGAAGTCGTGGTGTCGGTTTCATTGCAGATGGCAACGGTTCAGGTAATAAGACTTTAATCTTTTGTTACGACTGGAATAAGTCGAGCTATCTCTGTCTGAGTAGACAATCGGCAGGATGCCGGATAGACGTAAATCTGCTCTCGATTGAGAGATCAAGTGTTCTGGCTAAGGCGAGTGTCGCTGACTCCCTTAGAATAGTGGTTCTTAGACAGCAAGGTTGGAGACCTTACTGAAGGACAATGTTCCAGGTAAAACCCAGTAGATTAAAGTAGAGAATACAACTGTAGGTATGTAGGTTTATATACCAGTGTTCAAGCGGAGCTTGTAAATGCGTTATCAAGATAGAAGCAAAAAGAGAGGCGGACAGCCCGCTTGGCGAGATAAGAGTCAAGATAAGAGATAGGCATGATAAGAGATAAGCGTGGTACGGACGGCCCGTTTAAGAAGCAAAGGAAAATGAGTATAGGGGCCTTTCTGAATGTTATTGTAACACCTGCCACAGCACGGTCAATAAAGTCGTAGACGAGACCCAACAGAGCCTTAGCCCAGTATAGGACGTTTGCCTCCCTAAATAATTTGGCCGACTCATCCTTGGGCGCAAAGCGTCCAATTTTGAACTCCATATTGGCCGGCATGCCTTTAGGATATACCTTCTGGAATGGACGTTTCACAACAATGTCATGGCGTGCCCTGGACCCAAGACCTGAGGTAGGAGGCAACATCAATGTCAACCATCCGGCATGCGCAGTTTTGAATCCGCCCATGCCAATGCGTCCCTCGAGGGACGTGTCAACCATAACATAGCCCACTGATGAATCGGCATTGTCCACAGAAAATGCATGGTACCGAGTACACCTCAAGAGGTCGTTGAGTTGTCGAGTGGGGATTGCATAAAAATGAATGTTTTTGGTCTGAAACTTAGAGACTTACATCTTGGTGAGCATGTTGAACACATACACCAGCAAACGATGACGTACCCTGCTGCATATCCAAATCGGCACCTCCGCCAATCTGCAGGGCCGTCTTGAGGTCATTGCGATCAGGAGAGCAAAGAAGTGCTGGAGAGGGATTACGAGGCGTTTTGCGAGGAGGTCGAGGAGGTGAAATGCTACTAGAGGTGGAACTTATTGCACGTTCATGAGTCCGCTTGATAGATGAACCACTGGCAGTGGTAACTGGTGCATTGGCGAGTGAAGGGACTGGGGTAGTAGCGGCCGGCGCTAACTCAGAATCGAATGGGGGGTCATCAAAAGGTGGGTTGTCAAACGGTGGGTTGTCAAACGGTGGGTTGTCAAATGGTGGGTTGTCAAATGGCGGGTCATCCGTGTGTGATTCCACTGAGTCGGCAAACAGTGGTGCCCTGTGCTTGCCCTTAGCACGGTGGCTTGAGTGTTTGATTGCCTGTACCATTCAGTGTAAGTTAGTATAGGTAACAATCATACAACAAATAAACATACCAATTCATTTGCTTCTTGCCAATCTTCAAATTCGGTCCATTGAGCCTCTGGCACAACTACCATAAGGCTAAATTGTTTCGTCTTGAATATCGGGGCCTTCGTTGGACCTTTGCGGGCAGGCTGAAGACACTGAGAGTAGAAATAAGGGATTGATGGCTGGTGCGTCGCGAGATCAACCCATTTTAAGTCTTGCACAATGAATTCATGATCGCGCCAAGAAAAGGCGCCGCTAAATGCACGTAGCTTCGGCAGAGCAGTCTCCAAAGCCAAGCTGATGAGGCTTGGGGCGTCAATATCCTTCTTGCCCTCGCAGATATTCTAAATGGAATGTGCCGGTTCAGCCAGGTATTGAAGGGAGTGCACAGGAAAGGACATACCCCAATTAATATACCTCTTGCTTTCTTACGCCCCCCTGCTTCATGAACAGCAGAGATCTCCAGTGAAATCATTTCAGCCATTGCGCCACCGGGAGTAGCATACGCAAGTTTTGACCATTTCTGATGCTCAGTCGAATACGATCGATGGCGAGCTGAATACCCAATGGGACCCGTAAACCGCGATGGTACAGGTGAGGCTGCCGGCCCCTGCCAAGACATAGGAATAGAGATATCAGGCCCAGTAATTGTACGGCTGCAATGTGAAGGGACAGGTGGTGGGCCCATAGTACCATTCGTCCAGTCGGTGATTGCAACGACGCGTGGCGGATTCACACTTACTGTCGGCCATGGTCAAATTGAGTTCATCAAGTAAGAGCAAGCGACTTACATTTACGTTGGGCAGCATTCACTGACTTCCGAATGATCTGAGGGTCAGGCCTTACTAGTTCACTTGACAGATGCTGAGAATTAACTGCCGGCGTTGATGCTAACATAAATACATCAGTAAACAATGTTGAGAAAGCGGCTATCAACTCACTGGTGGGTCTCTTGGATGTTACAGACCTCATTTCATATCGTCTATAGCACGGCGCACACACATTGCGCCCAGATCTGCCAGGTTGCATTGTAGCAACGTAAAAGCAAGGTTGGCCCTTTGCAATCTGAGCACGACAAGTTGGGCGCTCGCAGACCCGATCTTCAGTGGCAAATGCATCCTCCGTAAATTGACAGACCACCTCGTTTGGGTTAGCCATATGAATGAGAGGGACGGTGTGAGTGAGTGAGACTGCGCCAGCGCATGCCTTAAATACAACAAAAACAAGTTAATAATTTAGATTTATATGCATAAGAAAACATACCAAAAATCTCAGTGTACTGCAGAGAGCTCCGGAACATTGTTCACCGGAATATGCACTGGATAAAACGGAGCGCGAGCTGCAGATAGCAGAAGGTGCGATGCAGAGAGTTGCACTGGCAGCAAGTTGTGCCACCAAGAGCTGCAGAGATACTAACTGAGGAAATTGCACTGCAGAGAAGAGATCAGTTATAGTACTCTGTATATACAAATTTAACGGACCATGCAGAGAGTTGCGCTGCGCAGTGATGTGCTGCAGAGAGATTAGTAGAATGTACATTGCATATAGCGTTAAGTCTTACCAATTCAAGAAGACACATTCTATATATGACTCTACAACCCCCAGGATGTCGTCCGCCAGTGGATTTATGGTGAGTAGAGCTGTTGTAAGGTCCTCGGACGACTGAACCTGGACAGAGCAGTCTCATAGTGGGCTCACGCCAAGAAAATGGTCGTGGGTAGTGCGGCTGGTGTTGCTGGTGTTCCTAGTGTCTCCGACCCAATCCTTACTAGTATGTACAGTGCCTCTGAGTCTTAAATACAGTGAATGACATGACAGTAGCTACGCCATCACCAGTGCTACTCAAGTCAATGCCTAACCAATGGAAGCCTACTCGTACGTCCACCCCGCCTTTGTTTTGATTTCACCCCTACTGATTCACTTCCCACTCGCATCCAATTAGCACCTTTGGATGTGATCCGACCGCACATCCTTCGCCTTTGGAAGGCACGTCAGACGGACAAGCAAATTGTCGCCGAATTACAGAAACATTTCGATACTTCACAATATGGTCTTGCGTAAGTGTATAGTCCTCCTCCTTCAATTGCAGCTATATTCTGACGGCGTGCTCAGGCTCACAAAGTTCCTCAGAATTCGTGAAGGCATGGGTCTTCAAAGAACGCGCCAGCAAAATCATAGCATCGAGACTATCCGTGACGCTATGACCAATTTACGCGCAATGTATCCCCATGCCGGAGCACGAGAAGTTGTAAGCTTATTGTTTCATGAATGGGACATGAGTGTACCCAGGTAATGTTTGCTTTTATTCTCTTTCTAACACTGTATCCTAATTGATGGCTATTGTATCACAGGAGTATTGTCATATCTTACTTCCGCGAATACGAGCCGGAGCTCGTTCGCCAGCGCAAGGCCAATCGACTTCGAAGGAAACAGTTTTGGGCTGCGGGCGTGAATGATCTATTTGCCGTTGATCAACACGACAAGTGGTTGAGGTACGGTCTTGGCCTCCATACTGGCATCGAGCCATTCTCAGGGCGCATTATGTGGATGAGAGTCTGGCACTCGAACCGGAACCCACAGCTGATCCTTAGTTATTATCTTGACACACTCGAGACACTCGGACGTAAGTCATTTTTTCAGTCTTATTAACACAGCACTGATCTACTACCTCTACATACCAGACATGCCTATGGTGACCCAGAGTGACCCTGGGTCAGAAAACTATGGAATCGCTAACGCTCACACCATGCTACGTCAGTGGCATGATCCTGCCCTGCAGGGTAGCCTACAACACCGGTGGATGAGGACGAAGAAAAACGTAATGCCGGAGATAACATGGTCGCAGATGCGACGTCGTTTCACACCTGGGTTTGAGACACTACTTGACCGCGGTGTCACGTCTGGTTGGTATGATACTAACAACACTCTCCAATTGTACGTCCTTTTGTGCGTCCTTACATCAATACTAACTGGCAATTGTTTAGGATGATTTTTCGCTGGGTTTTTATACCCTGGTTACAGCGGGAGCTAGACGCTTACCAGGACCGAGTGAATAACACTAGAAAACGGCGGGACCGGAACAAGATCCTTCCCCATGGCGCACCAGACATTATCTACCAATCGCCCGAGAACTTTGGCGTCTTGGACTTCAAAGTAAGTGATATTCAAGTCCTGCTCATTCTGCAACGTGTTCTTGTTCTTACCATTTTTTTTTCCAGATCAAAGTTGAACGTGAAGCGCTAGACCACGTCCATGATATCTATATCGATTCTTCCCATATTGTCTTCGACCTCGTTCCAAAACCATTCGCCGAGTTCATGGAACATTGTTACACAGAGCTTGGACGCCCATTAGTCAAAAGGGAGACCGTTTGGGATGTATACCTGCACTTACTTGATGTGGTGCAGGTCAATGACGAGATGATACCACCTCACATTGAATTGTTAGATGAGGCGGAGGAGGATTCAACGGCTTTGCCGCTTTTAGAGAGCCATCGAGACTTGCCCGATCGTGAAGATGGAAGTGGTGCCTACTACATGGGTGGGGTGGGTGGCGGTCTCGGTCTTGGTACGCCGGTTTTATATTTTGATGCAAACAACACAGCGAGACTAATATCTACACAGTTGATGAGAATTTGCATCAGTTGGAGAGTCTCGCCCGTGATGACGAGCCTGAAATCACGCTAGGCATTGACGAAGATGCTGTAGGATTGGATCATGCAGGTTTGGTTGTTTGGGATTTCTCAGATGGCGATGACTCGGACGTGCCAGATGAGTGGTGACTTGCATTGGTTTATTTTTTGTAAGGCTTCGTTGTAGCAGTATACCATGGACTACAAACACCAATCCTAATTTTTCAATTGATTATTGCAGTCGCTTTGTTGCTTATTAGCGATAGCGGTGTTCGTGGTCTCGCAGAAGACACGACCGTATTTAGTAATTTTTCGTTGAGATTTGAGCACGAGTGTCCGGCTTTCCATATCTTCGGCCTTCTGCGAACGCGGCTGAACAACATCTGAACGTTAACCCTTTCTGTGACTGCTACAATCCCTTAACTTTTATTTTATGTTGTATCGTTGTCTCGAAAGAAGCCAGTCACTATGCATTCACTCAACAGAAATTGACATGTTGACATGTTGAGTCGGTTCTGCTGATAACTTCTATGACTCCTGATCTTTCTGAGCTTGGGTGGGTGAATTTTGAAGATTAGGTGCTGGTGTGCGGGCCGATTGATCTGGTCATAGTGCGAGAATTTAATGGGCATCTACTTCAAGTTCATTAGTTGTGAGCAATGTACTTGTACTTATGTATCCTTCTAACCTTGTGCGCACTCACTGCGTAGGATCGACTCGGAGTAGGCGCTCGGACTCGGAGCAAGTTTGGATCTAGGAATCCCTCATGCGGCGCTCTGCTTACATCGAACTATATGGAGACTCGCTCGCTGTCAAGTCCATTGTGATTCGTTACAGTCATATATCTATCGTGGGCCAAGAGAAAAGTGTTTCAATGGGGCTCATTACAAGACAAGCTTGGAACACGACATTCGTCGCAAACAACAAAAGTCTAGACCGTTTCGGCCTCACCCGTGTCATACCCGATGTGTTCGTCCAGAGTGACACTATTTTCGTACTGGAACGGCATTTTGATTGACTTGCTGAACAATTGCTACAGCAAAACTGAGCGCTTCAACGCCGAAGGATGTGTCCAATGATCTTGGTTTAATTTAGGAAGGCTCTCTCTCGCTGTGCGTCACTTCTACAGCAAAGCAACCTTTACTATATATATAGTATAATGCGCTGCTGTGACTCGAGAAAAGCTCTGCTGATGCACTCGACCTTACATAAAAAACGTAACATCTTTGAGCGGCAGCTGCGCTGATGGTAATATGATATGAATATTACAATTGCTCGGACTGGGAGGATTAGTATTTAGTAGTTTAGTGATTAAGGAGCTCGTGGCGGTGAACGTACCACAAGGTGATGATGAAACTTTGAACAAAGTTTCCCCACTCCAATGCTTGACGCCCATTTCCCAGGAGAAAGTCTTGAAAGCTTGACTAGCGATATAATACAAACCATAAATGAGAATACTCATATATAACGATGGGGACACGATTTCACTACAAGCTCATGCTGCAAGTTAACATCGTTATATATATTGATTGCCTCAAATCTGTACCAGTATGCTATGAACGCGATTATGGCATACTGGGAGTAATTTATATACTTCCAAAGTTCTCACGCGCAGCGCGCTACAACTTTATCAAGGGGGCGATGCAAACTTGATGCAAACCCACCTAAACACATTAATCATGCTCGCGCGTCTCATAGACAGGTGTCTAGTAATCACTTCAAGCTCAACTGCCCTTACTAGCGGCTTAGCTGCTTACCGGTGCTGTGTTCCCCCTTCCATCATATATAATATGTGTTAGCATCTCCTTGTCAGTATGGGAAGCCTATTTATCCATCTGCACTGTTCTTAACGCCATGGTTCCGTCCTATTCCGCTAAGGTATCCTCCGAAAACATGGGAGTTCTTTCGTACTATGACTGAACCTGGCCTTTACAGCTTTATGTGACTACTGACCAAACAGCACTCGCCGAAGAACAACCCCTCCCCGAAGCCCTCCGTCGCACGTCCCTTTTAACGAGGGTACTCTGTTTTTTGGCACTTGGACGCCCAGACTTTGATAATCATTGGAAGTCGCTGCAATCAGACCAAGCCTTCGAAACCATTAGGAGTAGGTCATGCTCTATTCTGGCCAGCACCATCACCACAGTAAGCTGTCCAACTCCATGCGAGCTCAAGCCCATATTAACATACTCCAAAAAGGCAACTGTCCTCCTCGCTACAAGTGTTGTTTTCGTCAGTACGGGCTCTCCTGTGTCATACTTTAACTACACGTCACCCGCTTCCTATTGTCTGCTCTTTATATCGCTCATGCTCGCTATGATGGCGATATTGACATCCGGCTCAAGTATGATACGCTGGCTACACACTGATCGGAAGTGGACTCAAGAAGTAAGTTTATTCTCGTCATACTGGCTACACAACCTGACCTAAATATGGTCAGCAACTCAAGCCGGGCGGCTACTTCGTCTTTTCCTACCTGTTGTCAATAGTCACGCCCATATTCTTCGTCGCCTGGTCCCTGCATTGTTTTATCTTTGGTGAGTTGTTCCATCATTCGAGGCTCTCTCTGGTCTCTCATGTATTTCACCCCCAGCGATGTTGATAGCGGGCTTTTGCTCCCACAGCACGATCTACCGCATAGTAACTGCACTCTGGCTTGTTACGTACGTCGTCAATATTGGAACGATATTGATGCAAGCTACGTGGAAGTATACGACATTGTAATCTCAATGGGCCATGCTCGATATCGTTTATAGTTTCCATTTTCCACTTTGCTCCTTCTCCTTGTCACTCGTGCTTTGTCTATGCATTTTTATATATAATCTCTCTGATGTGGCGCGCAGCTGTGAGGTGTGCTCGAAATGTAGATGATTAAATACAAGGGATTGACTTTTATTTCGTGTTGTACTATTGTCTCGAAAGAAGTCCAGTCGCTATTCATTCACTCAACAGAAATCAGCAGACATGCTACATAACATCTTTCGGCGATTAGTTCTATGACCCTTGATCTTTCTGAGCTTGAGTGAGTGCTAATTGAAGATTGGGTGCTGGTGTGTGGACTGCCGACAAAATTACACCGAAAACGAAAATATCGTAGCGACTCGGAGTCCGTAGAAAAAGGGCAGGCGATTCGATAAGTTCGTATTCTTCTCTGATCTCGGCGGTGAGAAGTCGATGGTGTCCTCCAGAGGCAATCTGAGGGTCTACTGAGCCTGCCTCCTCCATCCGATCCAGTTCCTCTCTCCCAGGTGTACCATCTAACGACTGGTTCATCACTTCCTTTTCCTGCGTTTCATGGCAAATGTCAAAGTAGCATGTCCTTCATTGATCCAGTCTCCTTGCGATCATCATCTTCCTATAGGTCTACGAGTCACTGCATCCGACATTTTACGTCGTCGATGCCACCCTAGCCAAACCCCAGCTGAACTGACAGCACCAAATCTATGCAAAGTTTATTTTTGATGACTGAGCTTTGCGAGATATATACTGCAACGCAACGAAATGTAAGTCCTGCTGTATCGTAAAGGATAGACATCAGGACGTGTCGATAAGGACGTGAACGTATCCAAAGCAGTGATCACCGTTCAGACAAAAACCCAATGAGGCGTAGCAACCCGGACTCCAAAGCGCAAAAAATCTTCATCAGCATCCTCATCCGTAGGCACACTTCCCTCCGAGTCAGGAATATCCATCACCTCACCAAGCGGAACGACCGCTTCTGCCCACGCTGGGACACTCTCGGGGTGTTTTGGGCGTGCCTGTAGCTCTTCAAAGTCATCCACGATGGGAGGTGCGTCACGAGGTAGTCCTCTCATAATGAGGCGGTTGTATGCTTTCTCCATGATGTAACATAGTCCAGCCATAATGGCGTATTGCAATGCCTCGTCTGAGTTGGAAGCAGAGCCTGTATTGGGTTTATCAGTAGGGTATGGGTCGGGGAGGGCCGAGAGTGCCCATGCGGGCTCAGATCGCGTCCAGAAGTATTCGAGCTCGTTGCGGAACTGGACTGTCCAGTCTATGACAAAAAACTGATAAAGGCGATAGAAAGATGCGGAAGGTGTATCACTAGACGAAGGAGAAAGGAGTGGGAACATTCGATGGAGCAGAGGTCGAGAAACGAGAGAATGCCGCCATGACATGGGTCTTCGAAGTGGATACTTCTGAAGGACTACAGTGCGGTCTGCAAGGAGCCTTGAAGGTGTTGGAGGGATGGGTTCGCGCAGACTAAACAGAGATTCAATGATAGAAGTGCAGAATCGAATTGCTTGAGGGCTAGAATTAACTCACCTCTGCGCCTGACCGTCTGACATGGGTGAAGCTGGCACTGGCTAACTTATCGTTTCGAGCGAACTATACTTGCGTAGAAACCTCTCGATTCAGAAAGGGGTAGACCTGAGGTCTAACAACCATAAACTAGACTTGCCAGGGGAGCCTATCACAGGGTTATATACCTGATCGACGACTCAATGAGAAGTGTGAAATTTCCCTGGTCTCATAAAAGTATAATGCGAGGACAGATCGTTTTCTGGGGATGATACAGCTTTCTGCTCGCAATATGCGAGGTTTAGATCTCGCTAATGGCAGAGGAGTGACTGAGTCAGTTATAAGACTCGGAGACAAATTAGTGGACGAACTTCTTCACTTGCGCAGTTACGTCAGGTGGTAAATTATGTAAATAATAATAATAATATCTCACTTAGTAAGCCAGCGCCGTAGCAAAACGGGCGTGAGCTGAACGTTGAACCTTCAATCAAACGAGCATGTCTGGCTCCTAGCTAGTCATGGCAGCTGTTCAAGTTGAATCCTAGTCTTTATCTAGCCTTGAAGCTGTATAGTCGTCTCAGCCGATAACTGCCACGTCATTCGTTTTCTCCCGTTCGCATGTAGGAGACGGTCCCCATTGCCCAAGTGCTTCATGTGTTCGGACACATGTACGCTAGACGAGATGACAGTATAAGGGTTGTTGCTGTCAATGCCTCTATTATACGAGGTCTACGAGACCGTGATGTACGATATATAAGAACTTGACGTTTTGTAGCAACTGATGCACTCACCAGAGTTGACATGCATCAAGCACGTTCGTGATAAAGGCGACACAACATCGTCCATTTCTGTCTGCGATGTCGGCCTCCCGCAATCACATATTCTCGCTAGGCTATGTCCTGTACACGTCTGTCACATGGCGTAGATCTTGATAGAGCTCTTTCTAAATTTTACAGGTTAAATTGCGTTCTGGTGACATCATGATATATACTCTTACTAGTAAGCACCTACTGGCTGTCATCTCTTTACATTGTCGTGACACATTTCTAGTATGTGCTCCATCACCAACCATCGCCCCGCATATAATTGGGCTTTTGCAGTTCCCATGACAGATGTACAACCTACTTATAAACATACAAACAATGGACGCAGTCCAGTTATCCGGTTCCCTCCATCGATCGAGAGCCAATATGAGACCACCTACGTCTCCTCACGGCTATGGTATCACTCACAACGGCCAACTTCGTTTCAGGTGGACTTCCACCATTTATATATCACTTCGACACAGCTTTTCTTTCCCGAACGCAGCCATTCCGCATTGTATTATGGACTATCACAGCGATCCTCGCATTTCGCGCGGCGATATGAGCATGGAGCAACCAAAACTCGACTTTTTGAATATCGACCTGCAAGCGAGTTCCCGTCGTATCTGCATTAACTGCCACCGCGTTGAACTTGTCATTCAGCTATCCATTCTTGTATTGCAGCACGCACCTTTGAATGGACTGTGCAGACGAAAATCTTCATTCGTGTGGCTCGGCGGTCGTCAACCGATGTACCAATGCAAATTTTGTTCTCGACACAATTGATTACGACTGTGCGTGTTCTTGGCCGGTGACTCGAAAACATCGCCCAATGGTGTGCTTGGACGGGTGTCACAGGCCGACATGGGGGAATCGATGCCAGTGCGTTGCAAACTCGCGATATTTGCAAGTCTCGCGACTTATGAGCTGTGCCACCCATACTACGTGGACACCGGAGACGGTAAGCAATATGCATAATAAATCTGAGACACTGCGGTTGACATCACGTAGAATTTAGAAGGATAATCCATCGATAATCTATTGATGAAGCACTGTCACACTTTTGGGTTTTCTACCCGTGGGTACCCAAGTTTTGCAGGTCCTCGTACCCGTACTCGTGCGGGTGGGCCAAGCACAGGTACGCCCGACCGCGGGTGGTGCCCGGGTGGGTACCCGGGTAAGTCTTATTCATGTCATATAGTTACAATATAGGGGTTCACTGATCTCATGTTAAGTTCCGACTGTTTCGTGCCCTGTCATTTGCAGTCGATCATACACTTTTAAACCGCAGCGATATCGCAAGGAGTTTCCCCTAAAATAACCCGCAATTTGAGATGGCTACGACAAAATCATGTTTTGTGGTTTGAAAAGTCATATTCTTTTCACAAGCATTTCTGGAAACCACAACTCCCTCCGACTTCTGCTCAGTACCAGCTTTACTCGCTTCCAATAGTCAGTACCAAAGCTGATCGCGTACTCGGGAAAAATAGGAAAACGTTCGAACGCGCTAGACGAAGTCATAAGGATGATTAAACAAAGGGATGGTATCATCCTAGGGAGGCTTTGCTTTAGTCGTCGTGATTGTGCGTACCTAATCCGTGATATTCCCAAAAGTTATTTACTTTTCGTTACAGTAACTTTGGCTAATTCACTTATGTGTGGCTGCCATCAGCTGCAATCGGTGATGGCTGCGATAGCATGATAAGCTGCTGAAGAACCGAAATCTGCACATGCACACAAATGTGCCGCGCCCAACGCGTGTTCTTATTTGCACCCTTGTTCTCTACCCAATGTGGGTCCTCATCATGATTTTCTCATTTGGTTTCACATCTATCGCAATCGAGGCTGTTGTTTGAAGGTATGAGAACAGCGGTCCATTCTGTCAGTGCTCGGATGAAATGACGCTGCTATCTGACTCATTGGAAATCGAAATGGCACTCACTTTTGGTAGACCATTGCATCATCTATCATCCATCATCGTATGGAAAGCGGGAGTGATCAGCTTCGGCGAGAGTGATCAGCTGGACTAAAAAGGCATTTGTTTGGCTCTTCTCCTGCCAGACCCCCAATCACCCACTGAACGCGATGAAGAATTTACCGACTACACTCATAAATGTGGCTGTGCGTACAGAATGAGGTTAAGACATTGTATTGACGTGGTGCCTAAGATCTCTTGCCTTGCAAATTTGACATGAGAAATCATCACTCGCACATAGACTTGCATCAAATGGTGATATCAAAGGCCCTTGCTTGCTTCGACGAGCCTCTAGTAGCACTAATATTTGAATCTGACGGTTCAGAAATTTAAATCCAAACCCCCCAAAAAATCCACCATCATCATGTATGCTGCAGAGTTCACCACAAATGCTGACCAGCACTATTGCGAGTATGCCAACTGTTTTAGCGGTCATCCTGGCACTGTACCTGCTATCACCTATATTGAGCACAAAGATCCGAGCAAGCCTGGTAAATGGCTTTGTGAAAAATGCAGCCGATACCAGCGCTCCAAGTTCACTACCAAGAAAATAAGTGATGCAGGTAAAATAATTGCTCGGTGTGCAGACTTTGTCACATTACAGTCTGACAATAATTTTCTTTAGTAATTCCAAATACCTCGAAGCATGGTTTCGGCCAGTCCAAATATGATGGTGCTGCAGTTCACAAGCAGACTGCAGAGGCGCAGCGTGGAAGTGAGTCGCCCAGTACAGTTGCATTTTATATTGAATACAAACCTTCATTTATTTTTGTAGAATCCCAACTTCCTGTTCGTGCAGTGGGGCTTAGTGTATCATGTGGGATGCCTCCACCTGCATTCATCCCAGGTCCCATTCACCCGAGGCGCGCCTCAGCAAATCATCAATTTGTTCCTTTACCCAACTGGCCTGCAGCTCCTGGCCCCTCAGACATCCGCCGTGCAAATCCATTAGGGCCCAACATATCTATTTATGGTCGGGATGCTCAGTTTATTGTGTACTCAGACCTTCTTCGAACTCTGCCACTCAAGCCTGGTTATCAAGATGCGCATAAAATTTATGAAGAGATGCGAGACCAGCTTGCTCGACAGGCCTATGCTTTGAGTGTTCCCGAAGTGGTATGCGTCAAGGCATACCTTGCAGTGATGATTCCACGGGCTAAAAAACCAACTCTGATATCTGTAAGTGTTGCTCTCTACAATTCTGAATTCAACTTCACCAACTTTGCTGAATCTTCTATAGGATATAGTCGAGTCGATCAGCAACATCCCTTACCGCATTGGTGCCAATGACCTTAAAACTTCGGTGTACCTCACCCTACTTCCCATGTTCATCAAGTGGTCCATGGGTCTTACTTTTACGTTTGAAGAGGCACGTTTGCGTCTTGTTAGTAGTTTCGAGGAGATTCTTCCCCGTCCATCTGGAGAAGACATCAATGCCATAGCATCCCACTTCCTCAAGACCAGGAACACGAAGCAGCAGTTCAACGCTGGCAAGGGGATCGAACTTCACCTCATTATTCCACATACGAAGTTCCTTGCCGCTGAGCAAAGGCGAAATGGTGAGGAAGTAGCTGAGTCCAAGTCTCGTGATGTTCGTTTTCAACATGGACTATTGGTACCTTGCATGACTGACAGAATACATAAACCAGGATACACCTCACGCAACAGCGGCAAGTTCATCTGACATCCAACATCTTTCAAGTCCTGCATTAGTACTATCTGTGGTGTCCCCATCAAAAAATTTGCAAAATGGTGCCCAATGTTCGCCTCACCCTGTCAAGCGCAAATTATCATTGGTCAGTCATTCTTTCGAACTCTAGTACCAGCCTTATGCTCATTAGCATCACACACAGCCTCCTGTCCCATCCACGCCCCCTCGGAAGCCTCGGACTTTGGATGCTGCAGTATCTCCGGATGTTAGTGCACTTCGCCGTGCACTTCAAGCACAAGCTATTCCCATATCCCAACCAAACTTACCCTTTCTCACTCTTCGCACGTTCAAGGCACTACTGCGGATAATCCCCCCCATATCACTATCTGCTCTGATTACTGATCCAACCACTTCTGACGTACCAAATACTACTGCCCCCCCGATGCAGGCTACTCTTTTTGAACAAGTCATACGTTCATACATGTACATAGATGGTACTAAGTCTTTTCGCCAGTCTAGGACCGTGACACCACTCCCAGCGGAGTTTAAAGCTTCCGTGGGAGCGGGCTCCATTCCAGTGGAGGAGTGTTGCTGTTGGTCATTTTTGAGGAACCGAATTTAGCTCGAGTTGGACTCACTTCAACAGCAGCAGCACTACAGTGGAGAGATGCCGACAACCTTAATGTATTACCAAAAGTATATCTAGGCATTTCTGCTACAGTCTCTTCCGCTGTCAGACTCAGACTCAGAATCCGTGAACTCTGCGAACTCTGGTTGATCTTCATCATCCTGATCCTCCCCTTGTGATCCCCAGTCCTGAACACCGTGAAGTGCTTGTGTTGGCGGGTTCACCATGCCTCCCATATACTGATAGCCAGCAGGTCCTACTAAGCCAGCATTTCGAGGGAGGTCCTGCAAGCTCGGAAGCAATAGAACATCATCATCTTCAGGTTCCGTAACTCCCTGCGAAAGCAGGACTGTCAGGTCATCTTCACCTTCAATTGCGAGGAACTGCGCCAGTAACATCTGATATACATTCCAGAATGAATCCGACGACACTTGCGGGTTGCCGAGTGAGGTATAGAGATATTGTGCGCGTTGCTCGAATGAAGGTGGGACAAGATCGAAGACAGGATGATCAGAGGGAGCATAAATTGCTTCGACCTCATCAAAGAGCGCACTTGGCACTGGAACCTTGAGAAGAGTAAGTAGTGTTGAGCTGCAGTCATGGACGACATACTTACTTTGAAGTCAAGTGAATTGAATTCGTGAGGTTTCGCACGAATGATTGCTGGAATGCCGTGAGGAAGAATCTTATTTTTGTCCCTGCGGGGAGCGTTATGGTTTCTACGATGAGCCCATGCATCAAGCTCAGCCTGGAGCCATGGAATTGCAAGCCAGCGGAACACGTAGCTAGTAGATAGTAGATGGAGATTGTCAGTGAATACATATGCAAGGAAGTGATGCATACTTTTGCAGCGTGTTGTGAATGTCATATAGTCCCCTAGTGACACCTTCCTCCAGGATATTCTCGAAACCTGGAGCAAAGTCCCTGCGAAGCACAGACCACATGATTTCGGGCTTGATGTTCTGGTGCTTTCGCATCCAGCGGTGCTGAAGTGTTCCGTTGAGTGCTGGATCTAGGCGGTGTCGAATCATTGTTTGTGCGTTGGCAACAGCAAAATTTTCGGAGCCTGGATCGCTCTGAGTGATCAAAGGTACAGCTGAGATCACAAAAAAAAAATGACATGATCAATGTCCGATCAATGTGAGGGGCTTGGTGACATACCTCCGAGTTTTCGGCAACAGTCAAGGTAGTATCTAGCAATAAGGCGTGGATTCTTGTTGGTCCACCAAACTTTCAGCCAATTAATCCAGCCGGTGAATGGATCGAGGCTGATATGCAGCCATAACCCAAAGCGCAGCCATTTGTCGTGCTGGTCTTGGGGCCAGACATCATTAACCCCCGCACACCAAAAACGCCTCCGTTTGAGACGTCCACGACGCCTAGCTTCCACAGCAGTTGGCTCTGTGATCTTGAGAAGCTTGGCGATCAGTTCGCTGTTCAAACATCGATTTATAGTGAACAGTACTAGCAAGTAGACAGCAACTCACCGGGGTACGTGAAAGCTGAACTGCTGGCGCAGGTCTCGTCTGATGGCCTCGGCACCTCGGTGGGGAAATCGTTGTCGAATCTCCCGGACATGCTGTTCGATGGACTCGAGAGTATGTTGTTGTTGCCTGGTCCGTTTCCAGCCCCAGCTATTTCGCATCCGACGAAAGCTGACAACGCTAGCATGATAAATTAGTTGAAGTAGTTGCACTGGACATATGTAAGACACGAACCTGAGTCCATATTCCTCCTGGTCATAATGGTCTTTGAGGTGGTGCACGATGTCAACATCACTCATGTTGAGCTTGAAATAAAACTGAGCCGGATCTTGTATTTCCCTGGCAGGAGCTATGCTCGCTCAAAAATAAGTGAAACTGGCAGTGATTCAGGCTTAACACTCACGACATGGCTTATGCTGGTTGGTGCGCCGAGAACGATCAGTCATAATGTTGGGAGCACGATCCTGCACTCGTCAACTTGAACGTTCGAGTTGTTTTGAATTCCGTCACAGATTGCGCTGTCATTGCATTAAGGTACGATCAGCACCTGAGTTACTATCGGTAACCATTGGAGGACTCACAATTTGACAAGCAATACATCTTGAATATATCACTAGAAACATTAATATTAAGTCTCTCTCAAGCAGTGGTTGGGGGTCTGACAGGTAAAAGCCAAACAAACACGCTTAGCGAAGCTGATACGAAGCTGATCACTCCCGCTTTCCATATCATCGCATGTACACAACATTGTTTTGCAAATTCGGCTCTACTTATTCCATTTCATTTCATTCCATTCGGCACTATTTGAGCCTGCAGATAGTCACCCGTTCACCTTATAAGGAAGATTTATGTTCCAGGCGCGTTCAGGGACGCGTTGGAAAAACGTGTTGCACTGTACAGGAAGGCCCTTGCTGACCGTCTATTTCACATACCGTGCTCTCCGGAAGCGCGATAGCAAAGGTAAAAAAAATTATCACTTCATCTGTCACGTGACATGAAATTGTGGTGAGTGCAACACAACTTAAGGACTAGAGGATATGCGCTCATGCTTTGCTGGCAGAAAAACCTCTTTGCATCTGCGAGGTTACGAATTGACATTAGATCCAGACTACACAGTATATGCCAGTATGGCTCATACTAAACCGTCGCAGCTTTCCACAAATGCGTACATTGCTCCACAGCCGATTCCAACCCGTCACGAGATGCGCTTCCTCGGAGATGTACAAATTTTTGTCTCGTGCTGTCTAGCATGTGGAATGAAAGTGGTCTATCTTCTATGCCCAGGCTTTTCAGTAACCAAGCCAATCAGCAGGTTCAAATACCGCGAATCACGAGACACATTTTGACTTTCTCCTTCATGCGGCGATGTGTCTTCTCTCCATCTCTAGCGGCGATGTCATAGGATATGACTACACACGGGGATCTCATACTTTACGGTATCAATTGTGACAGGGTGACTCATTGAGGCCGCTCGAGCCAAGAGATGTGCGATCGAAAAGTTCATGGCATCAACCTGATTCCAAACCACCGTGTTCTTAATCACTCACCAAACCAATCCAATCGCTACTCTTAGCCTGGTTTGACCTGATTCTGGTAGCTTTTACCTTCTGGATGTTCTTGTAGTAAGTATCATTATCTTCTACGTCATCCGCTGGAATTGCAAATACACTCTAACCTTGTATTGGGCGCAAAGGTCCCAGGAAACGTGGCTACATTCGTTTGCGGGGTGTATAATTATTGATCTAAGCAATGTATCATCTATAACTGGAACAACGCTTTTGTAAGTGGTATTTTTATGTAGCCGTACTTTGGGGACTCTAAACCATTTTGAGGATATGATAACGGCCTCGTTGATCCTCAAGCAATCAATGATCCCAGTGATATATACTGCGGGAGCACTAAAGACCTGATATCCGTTTCTTCTCCGAAAACTCTCGGTTGGGCAGTGCGTCAGCAAGGATCGATGGTTAATCTTCAACGACCTTACTTGGCTTTCTAACTCAAATAGATTTATATGCAGTTCATTGATTTGCAATTTGGGGTCCTCGATTTTACACTTTTGCCCTAGTCCCAGGCACGTGCTACGCCAGATCATCCGTTGGCCCCGTTAATCCCCACTGACTTGCCTGTTTTCAGTGTTCTCGTATTGGCATCAAGTTTAAATCCCCAAGACGCCGTCACTCTCTGTCTGGGTCAAAATTGGGCAATGGCTAGGCCTTGTTTAGTTCCGTCCCATTGTAACTCGGTCCGTGGCATTTCTGCTGAGAGGGACGTAGAAGATTCACGTGTTTCACAATGCTTCTTCAGCGGTCCCATGAACAACAGGTCTGCCAGCTGATGCTGACAACCATGTCCATCTCGTCGACGAATACGTCAAGTTTCCTTATACCGTTTCATTACGGATCCCCCATTGCGCCATTGCTTGACATTGAGTTCTGTTCAACTCCGTGTCCATGTGATGGAATAGTGAACTTTCTGCCTTCCCTTACCCTGTTTCGATTATCCCCGTCGAGATCACACTTAACTGACTGCTCTTGTTCAGGGAAACATATACCATACTCTCAGTCCGGCGTGACAGTGTGAGAATGCTGATCTGAATATGGAACTCAGCAAAGTGTCTCTGTTTCGCGGGAGGAATCGGAAGACGAAATGTATTGGTGTGACATTTCCGCCGCCCTAGAACTTAGCCCCTGGGTCTGCTGACCACCGCAACGATATAACATACTTCTATATATGCTGTTATGTATGTAACGGCGCTCGGCCGCGTCAGTCCCCGACGCATTTGTATAAATTTCGAATCTGGCATGCGAATTTTGGCTGTGAAATATGTACTTGATCGCCACAGAATTCTTCGTGAATAGGATGTTTGGTGACCAACATGCCCAGTAGGGCAATTTTTATGGGAAACCCGACCTTTGAGAATCGTTCCTCCCGTCCAACACTCAGACTGGCGGCCTAGCTCTTAGACTGGTAGCTCCTACATAGTAGGTTTTATAACCTCAATTTACATCTCCACATTGGTCCAACACTTGTGTGAGTCAGTATGACTACCGAATGACGGTGGCCGTGTGCATTCTGTGCAAGCCAAGTATGTGACTTCACAATGGGTAACCGGTAATGCACTTAATAGAAACATTCCCTATTATCCTCTATCCACTGGCACACGATTGCCAACGACACAATAGTCGCAGGAGCATTTGCGCATGCCGTCAAAATGGCAGAGTATATGGTAGCAGAGGTAAGGAAGGTGCCATATACATGCACCTCTCAGAAGTTTGTGCGTAACGGCAATACATCCAATGCAATATGAATATAAGTAATATGGAGATGATAACCTTGGAATCTGGACTCGAGCCTAAGTGTGATGAGCATAGAGTCAAGACAATCTGATCCATATATGCATCGGCAACGGTAACCAATATTAATGACGGTCGGGGATAATTTTGCAGACAGAGATTTGCCCAAAATGATCACAGAAGTTACGCACTTTGTGTGCAAAAAATGATGGTTCAACTGAGGGTCGAACTCAGGACCTTCTGTGTGTAAGACAGAAATCATAACCACTAGACCATTGAACCGACGAACATTTTGTAAAACCCTGCATCATGTCCTTTAAACTCCATAGCTTGAATCTACGTCAATTACTTACTTCGCTTCCTTTAGTCTTGACAGTAACGTATGCGGCAGGTCCAGGGGCATCGTCATCCGTTAGATGCATTGAAACGGAGGTACAGACCCGCTTGAGAAAACTGGATTCTAATACACAGGATCCACTGCACTGGAATCCCGGTGACGGGTCCCCATTTTCCCCAGGTAATTGTTGTTGGGGGGAATCGATTATCGGCAACAAATTTTCCAACTCTCAGCTTGGCACTCATTCGACCACTCTCTTTATCAAGAACCCTAGACGGGAGCTTTACTCGCTGTTAAGAGTTTGTTCTATCCTGGCGATCATCTTGTGCCAGCGTCACTGGTGCATGAAAGCCTGTGGACTTATCGTCAGCTCGTGAGTACGTCGGTCCGACTATCTCATATTCGGACGTTCTCACAAGAGTAAGAATGCTGTCACCTTTGATGGTGCTCTGCTGGCTCTACTCTGGTGGAGGTCAGCGGGCAGGTATTCTAGCTCAACCTGTTCAGCATGCCGAACGGCAGGTGGGCCATACTTCGCCATCCATACTTGCAGATCCTGGCCTTATAGGTGTCATTTTAACTTCCTCACCTGCTTCATCACCTACAACCTCATCTACCATGTCCTCATCTACTTCGTATCTCATGACATCAACGGCCAGCGCATCAATTCCTTCATCGACATATAGCCAGTTCTCGATTAATGCTGTCAAGAATATGACGACATGCGCTCCGGGCATCATCACCTGGACCTATAACGGTTCATCACCCAACATTTTTCTCTCTATCACGAACGTCAATGTTCTTGATCCCAATCTACCGCGTAATCCCACTCGCCGCCAAAATACTGCTAAACAAATCTCCGTGACATTAACAAACACTAGCGCCATCTTGGACAACTGGATATGGCCTCAAGTGGACCAGCCACAGGGCTGGTATGCCATACAAGGCTCTATAGCTTCGCTCAACGCCTCTTCTGCTGCTTTTTTCATTAGTAATGGATCCGACACGGCTTGCTTGCTCTCGTCCTCATCTTTATCGCCAGGACCCACTAGCCCTGTAACCGTAGTGGATACCTCATCAGTGACACTCGGTGTTGGCAAGATCATGGGGATCGTCGTCGGTAGTCTAGCAGGGCTGATTGTTCTTGTTTTGGCTATCGCATATTACCTTTGCCGCCAATGTTGCTCTCCAACTCGTGGCAGCAAGCCAAAGCAAAGCGTGGGAAAAAGGTGGAGTTCGCTGAAATCTAATGACTCAGCTGCCAGGTCACCAGCGGGGGGCAATGGTGACTCTGCTTGCTCCCGCGGTCATTCGGAGTCGATGGGTGAAATATCCATTGTAGCAGATAGTGGCAAGGTCATCTCAGAGACCACAACACCACAGGGTTCAGACGAATATCACGAAAGTCGTGGGGAGGAGGAAGAAACACACCCTCACTCGCCAGGGGGAATGATCCCTGTGGACACAATCCATAATCCCTTGTCGCATTATAATCGTCGCATATCTGTTCACTCCCTTCAACATTTATATTCCTTCCCAGATCCATATGTCTGTGGTGACGCTGGTCGCACCCATGTCACCTCTGCGCACTATTCGAAACAAAGCTTCGAGCTGCAAGCAGCTAGAATACGATCGTCCATGGAAAGCTCCGCATACCTGCGTAACGAGCGCTTTTCGTTGCCAGCTCCAGCTGCCTCCACTCCGCACACACCCACATCTCCTAGCCGAGGGCGGGACGAGTACCCACCTTCTCCTGAAGCTGCAACCTCGAGCAGGCGCCCGCCTTCAATGGGTGTTGTGTCCGTTCGCCGCAATTCTCGCAAACCTGTACCGCACTATGATCCCTCAGAGTTTCGTGACGACTTACATAACGCGGTAGACAGTCAGTCAATGATTACCGCTGATGAATCATCATATTCGCACGGCACAGAGTCACTATCCCCGCTGCATGCCATGCCAGGGCTGTCCCACAACCACATTCATTATCTGATCCCTGACATGCCACCAAGGAACGAATAGGCTGTGCATCCATCCCCCAATGACACCCATTGGCATGCGTTAGTGCTTCATGTTCCATGTATGTAGAATTTGCATATACACTACGGATGCATCCGCATCGCCAATCTATCGCATGCTGCGCATGATACTTCGTGGACACATACAACTGGAGGATGTTGTAGCTATGTTTTGCTCCTTCGAGAACTAGGATGTTGCGTCGTTATCTTCAATTTCAATTACCCGATCCACAGGTTGTAGTGATGGATGTATGGTGCTAATATTATGAACGTTTGCTTCGACATCACTGTATCCGCAAGGAAGGGGTGAGGGCATTTTGCTATCCTCGACGCGTGCAGAGCAGGTTGTCGCTATCAGCAGGGTTTCATATAGACCTCGCTGGAAATTACCGATAAGATTTGCGGAATCAGGCAACAGAACTTGTGGGATCACCGGAATGGCTTGCATCGAGGCATCGGACCCACTTAGCGAGAGGATTGGTACCCTGAAATTTCCTTTGGTTCTATAATCTAATCATAAGACATAGACATATGACGTCGTCTAAGATATGTGGCGCGAACATGCAGGTGCGGAGATGGGCGACGTGATGTAGATCGATTAATATCCAGCCTGATCCTTTAGATGCGGGCATCACAAACGGCTAAGGCTGATGCGTCTATAGTAAAGTTGGGCGTAAGGCAGCGATAACATTCCATGTGTTTCGTTGATCATCATGACCATCCGTTTGAACTTCGCCGGCGCAAGGGTAGTGGTATTCGTGGACGCGCTTCCAAATCTTGTACTCGTTTGGGATTAGAGAGTCCGACTTTTCGTATCTGAGCGAGTCTGTGATGTGAATGAAGGTCAAACAAACATTACGGTCCGCAACAGTGATCGGATACGATACCTTCTTAGGCCAGCCCATGCTACGAAAAGTGCAACAGCCGACGAGAGAGTGGACATCGCCATGAAGGCATAGGGCATCTCCTCCATGTGACTTTTCAACTGGATCGGGGAAGAGCGTCAATACGGGCATCAGAGATCTTGTGACGAGTGACTGACGTTCATGCCGAATAAACCTGCGATCAGGGCTCCCGTACCAATTCCCATCGTTCCGATAGATACCTGACATATCTTAGCTTTACCTCACTCGCGTGGGACGAAGATGCTCACTTTAAGGTCCAATGCAAGTAGTGCGTTCCGGTTAGAGTCTAAGATGAGCTCTACAATCTCCTGAGTAGATTGGACGTTGGCCTGTTGAGGACGGTAAGGTTATCGGCAAAACGGTGTGCCGAAAAATCCACCTCGATGTTTTCAGCTTCATTGGCAATTTCTTCTACTTGTTTGGAGAAAAACTCAAGAAGTACCTCAAGTTCTTCGTGTTCATGCATGTTGCGCAGAACACCATTTTTCTTGTCAGTGAGATACATAGCATCCAAATCATCATCTTGAACATAACAGGTTCGAACCTTCACACTATTACAATAGTTGCAATGCTAACCTTGTTCGAGTACTTCTTCCAGAGCCTCTTGGACCTGGAATGGGAATGAAAAAAATCCCATGAGGAAGACAATAAAAAAAGTCGTACGAGCTTAGCGCGATTTTTGAACGCTACCAAACGTCTTGAGTAGTGCAGCAGGCGTTTGAATTTGTCATGATTGATATCGTCCTCGAGCTCCGCCAAGAGACCACCTACGAGGTTACGGATGAATACCATCTCGGCTTCTAGCGCGCTGAGAACCGAGAGAAGGATTGACTCGATCGCTCTATAAAACCTCAATGCAGCCCGGAAATGATCAAATTGCGGGAAAACCTACCTGAATTCGTAAGGTGCGCCGCTACCCCGGGCCTTAAGGTTATGCTGAATGGGGTCAGTCGATACACGTAAAATGTTTGATGGAAAAAAGACCTCGAGATGGTACAGGAACACAGAGTGAAGACGGGAATCATTGGACCCATAAGAGTCAAACAAAACCACAGTATCGGCCTTGACTAACGCCCGTATGTGAAGTATGTTAATCTGGACATCGATGTTATAACTAGGCCACAAACATTTACACACGAAAACGCACTAGAACAGCTCCTTTGCGAATAAGAATTGTAGGAACAAGGTTGGGTATTCGTGAATCAATCTTCCGTAAATCACGAGGCTTCATTAAAGTTTTAGTAAGGGTCCAGCCCAAATCCTGGACTGCAAACATAATCTTTCTTACGTTTAAGCGATGTTCGTTGCACAAGTCAGACCGTTTAAATTGACCTGATATGCTCTTGATATTGCCTAAAGCGACAGGTGTGGTCATGCAACGAGAGGATTGGCTGAGAAAATGACAAGGTACCCGCATGATCCAAAATAGTGCCTGTGCCTCCGTAAGCTGCAAGAAAGAGGAGATAGTCGAATGGGAGAAAACGTACAGCGTAACATGAGATCTGTAAGTTGCCTGCCTTTCATGACTTTCTCAAGGATAGCAGCTTTGGCTATTTCCTCCTGAGTGTCAGACATTCCAGACGACTCCTGAACTTTCGGCCGAAAGAAACTCTTCCATGAGGCTAGATGAAGATGTCTGACGGATACGAGTAAGGCATTGCGAGGAATTGACCGCTGCTGAGTTGGAGAAGGAGAAGTCCAGAGCGCGTGACTTTGATATCGTCTACATTGAGGAATGAGCTGTGGAGCAGAAGATGTTCGGCTCAATCGCATCACATTGCTGGTACGCACGCGCCTGAGAGTTGTATACATTCACAGACGCAAATGGAGGAGTCAAGTGCAGATTTGTGTCAAAGTCTCCAAATGGATTCGGACAAAACCGTTACAATTAATTCGCACAATAACCAAAATTACCAAATAGATATTTACTTTTAATGATAATTTGAAATTCTCCAACCTTATTTGTCACACCAAGTGTGACAATAAGCTGTGCTCAGTAGTCAGGTCCGGGGCCCCTGGTCCTCCCCCATCTGACCCCAATATTTGACCCCGCATTCTTCCCCCAGGTCGGTACACGTTCCGCGGATATTTCACCATGAGGCTAGCGCCAGCAGCGTCGCATTAATCTGGCATGTGTAAACATTTTCGTTCCGAATTTTAACTAGTTTGTCAGCTCTTTTTCAAAAATTAGCCGATCTATCACGTCCACTGGACGTCTCTAGGCTTTTACGTTTTCAGTCTACTTCAGGTGATTTTAGACCTAACCAGTGGGCCCCAAGTATTCATCCAAACTCATTCTCGGCATGTGCTCTCGCCATTTTGAGCAGATAGGGCAGACCCACAATCAGTAATACTTACCTTGAGATGAGGCAGAACAGATCAGATGAAGATCAGACCGCCATCTGTTGAAGTTCTTTTTCAGGATCTCTCTTCGGTCACGGATCTATTACATACCCATTCGGTTTGCTTTGCCTCACCTCTGTTTTCCTCTCCTTATTTTATACCATGTTCTCCCTCTGATACTTCATTCTATCCCCACCCCTCCCCACCCCACACCATTATGTCTGATTCCCGCAGACTTTTGGAAGCTGCAACTGCGCTTTCTCAACTTCTGCGTCAACACTCCATTGCCCACGCCTTCTATGGAAGCATTCTCACTGCCGTGCTCTCTGATAGCCCACGTTGCGACGTGCGTAGACTATGTCTTTGCTACCCACACACGCTCGTACTGACACGCTTCCAGGAAATATTCTGTATTGTTGAAGGGGGCTCCACGCACCCCTTCCGTCGAGTCAGACAAGCCATTGTGGGGAGTGAGCATTTCACAACCACGCACTCTCCGTGGAGCAACCGGTAGAGGAGTCTCCTACTAGTATGGTATTTCTTGTAACCGAGTCTGCCTAGCTTGCATGCTACGTATCGTCAGGTCATCCCAGCCATTGAGGTGAGCATCTCCTTCGATACGTTTGATGATGCCGTTGATAACAGCGGCTTTGAAGATTGAGATCCTGCCCGCTGGCGAGCATGGACCCCGACGACTGGATGGTTCCACTATCATGCAATTACAAGGCATCCCTTTCTTGACCCTGTCCGAGTTTGTTCGGGCAAAGCTAAAGGCTTGGACAATGTAGGCCACTACTATCCCACAGTCTGGTAGATCAACTCATTCTCCACAGACGCGGCTCAGACCGTGATGCTCAAGACATCATTTACGCATTATGCCGCTACTGGAATCGATTGGATATCAATCGCGTTCCTGAGCAAGATATGAACCACTTCGTAACTGCCCATCGCACTGCGGCCCTATCCTGGGCAGCGCTGAAAAGAAAATATGGTTTATGAAAGCGCTGAAAGCCATGAGGCAGGGTGGGGTGCCTATCGGATTGATACTGATTGCGAAGTTGGTCCAAAGGGGTAGGGACTTTCCGCTCAGAAGCGTAGCGTCTTGTAATATATCTTTGGAATTGCAGATGCGCAATTCCACGCGGCTATGCCGCTGAGTCTATTCTGTTCTGGGGAACTATATCACGGCTGCACAATTTTCAGGGCCTCTGGCTCTCGTAAGTCTGGTTCGTACATGATATCATACTATGAATCATACACATGACATATGCCATGATTGTGGTACGGTGGCTCTCGGCAAGTAAGGGAGTTCCGCTGGTGACAGCAGCGTGTCTTCACCAATCTAGTCATGAAATGGCGTCAATTCAGGGTAGGGAACGCCTATGAATTCCTCGGGGAGCGGAGTAGATATTCAGGAGATACAATTGTATAGGCTCTGCGTTTCAAAGGTTCGTCCAGCGGTCCTGCGCACCCCGACATTTGAATTTCTACTCGTCGGTGGTTGCTGAAGTCGAGGATCACTCCGCCGGCCAATGCTGTTTAGCTTCTCACGTTATCATATAGAAGAGAAGATCTCCGGAAGAGTGCACATTGACCTGGGCCAATAGCCCAACACACCGTCTGCCACGAAGTCAATAGTGATTGTAGCAAAATCGCGGAGATTTGAGGACTTCGACAGTATGAATCACCAGGGAGCAGGTAATCGGGCTTCATCGTTCAAGTCTGTCCAAGCCGAAGAACGTCCAGTCTGAGTATCGTCCGTCTCTCACGCAATCACCCGATACCAATCGGCTGATTTGTGTTGTGGAATGAATGTGATTAGTGCCAGTTTTTGTGGGCCTGGAACGGAGAAGGGATGAACCCGACCAAACCCGATCTTCGTGTTCGATCGTTCTATCAGAAAAGTGAGAACATTATCAAAGGGGATAAAGACTGAAAGCTGGAGTACTGTTGACGTCTGACCGTGACAAGAAGGGGTGCGAAGCAAGAATAATCCAAACCATTCATGGCTTTTGAGCGGTAATGATCATATAGAAAACACAGGGTTTGCTTCCCTCCCATCACTATTGCTGATTAATATTACCGGGACAAACATCCATGGAATATAGCCTTACCATTAATAAGTGTATTGAAAGGAGTCCCGGCGTGAACAGAAGAAAAGTATAGAAACTCAGAGCGTGAGAAACATGGTGTGACTGCATCATCGTGACGTGACTGTATCGCGCAAGACGCGTAATACGTTCGCTAGAGATCCTTGTCGTTCTCCTTCACAATGCCTACCGTCGTTCAAAAACCTAAGACCCCTGGAGGCATCCAATCTTACTACCAGGCCAAGATTGAGGCTGCTGAACTTTTGATTAATCAGAAAACACAGAACCTGCGTCGGTTGGAGGCTCAACGGAATGCACTGAATGCACGAGGTGCGTTTGGATTGTACTGATTTCAACGAATGCGTTCATAGGGACAAAATCATAGTGCGTCTGCTACGAGAGGAACTTCAGCTCTTACACGAACCTGGCAGTTATGTTGGAGAGATTGTGAAGGTTATGGGGAAGAAGAAAGTCCTCGTCAAGGTGCAACCTGAAGGCAAATACAGTACGTGCTGGGTCTTGAATGATGCTTTATCCTGTTTCGCTCACACACTGTGCAGTAGTTGACTTCGACCCGTCGATCGAGCTGTCCCAACTTTCCGCTTCATTGCGCGTGGCTCTCCGTTCTGACTCTTATACCATCCACAAGATATTGCCGAACAAAGTCGACCCACTTGTCTCCCTCATGATGGTAGAAAAAGTCCCAGATAGTACGTACGAAATGGTGGGAGGTCTGGATAAGCAAATCAAGGAAATCAAGGAAGTTATCGAGTTGCCCGTCAAACACCCAGAGCTCTTCGAATCTCTGGGCATTGCACAGCCCAAGGGTGTTCTTCTTTATGGACCTCCTGGGACGGGAAAGACTCTCCTCGCTCGCGCCGTCGCACACCACACCGACTGCAAATTCATTCGTGTTTCAGGCTCCGAGCTTGTTCAGAAGTACATCGGTGAAGGAAGCAGAATGGTTCGGGAGCTATTCGTCATGGCCAGGGAGCATGCACCTAGTATTATATTTATGGACGAGATTGATTCTATCGGCAGTTCGCGAGGAGACAGTGGTTCGGGAGGTGGCGATTCGGAAGTACAGCGCACGATGCTGGAGCTTCTCAATCAGTTAGATGGTTTCGAGGCTACAAAGAACATCAAGGTTATCATGGCTACGAATCGTATAGGTTTGTGGGTTCTCAATCAGGCATTAGGACTTTCTGAAGGCACCACCATAGATATATTGGATTCTGCACTTCTTCGCCCGGGACGTATTGACCGAAAAATCGAATTCCCTCCCCCTGGCCCAGAAGCTCGTGTCAGCATTCTTAAAATCCACTCTCGCAAGGTGAGATGTCTGCATTCTGTATCTCGCGGGCATCCTTAGAACATGGTTGTTCTTAGATGTCACTGCAACGCGGTATCGACCTCAAAGCACTCGCCGAGAAAATGGGCCAGTGCTCAGGCGCCGAAGTGCGCGGTATATGTACAGAAGCAGGTGCGTACGTTGACGATATTTATCTTCGCGTTTGTTGATCAAGGACGCAGGTATGTACGCATTGCGAGAGCGGCGGCAACATGTTACGCAGGAAGATTTTGAGTTCGCTATTGCAAAGGTGCTCAAAAAGAACCAGGAGGGTAATACGTCGGTCAATAAGTTGTTCTCATGAATGTATTGGGCTTGGTATTTGCATGATCCTTTTTTCCATCCGTGCTACTTGACGGACTTTTGAGACGCGGAAGCGGCACGCGGCTGGAGTCAATTGGTGATCGCGATTGCGTGCCATCAGCCGGCCATTCAACCACCGTGTCGTCTCGGTACAACTATATTTGCTGACAGATCGTTGGTTCTTGCCAAGACATAGATCAATTCATGGTCTCACTGATCAACGGCACGATCATGGATTGCTCGGTCTGAAGATGACATTTTGGAGCCTGTGTGCACATGTTCTGGGGTCGAACGAAACAGCAGATCCACGTGCATGTGACAGTGTGTGACTGGTTTTGAAAAGGGGTGATACGTACCCGTCCTTGCACCCAAACTTGGAGGATATCTCGATCCCAGGATGTCCGCACCAGCATAGGCATCGTTCTGTGCCGGTCTACCCAGATTTGCTAATGGTGTTTCTGGCTAGTATATGTGTAAGTCTGCTTTCTTTCGTATGTATGATCAGATGCTTGGCAGCGCAAATAAGACCACATTCTAACAAGCACTGCAACAATGCTGGGATGTCTGTCACGGCTCTATAAACTGTTCTCCCATCAATCGTTCGAGGATGCTGACCCTAGCGCTTGTGTTCCCCACTGCTAGATAGAGCTTGCTGCGACCCATTCCAAGCCGACCGAGCTCAATCCTACCTCATTGCTGGTAGAAGTTATGGCGCACATCTGGGATACCCGGAGATTCACCATTCTACCAACAGCTCCTCAGGCAGATGCCCACCGCGTTCCTTGACCTTGAGCCCATGTCGATGTTCCAGTGGCAATATGTAGAGTCAAATTCGACAAAGATGACTTTAGTTCGATGAAGCTTGAATGACTTGGGCTTAAATCTGCTGTCTTCGACACTGAGGAGGCGTGCTGGAGCATACAGACAATTTTCAGACGATTTGCGTGGGACTGACTACGTAGTTCGATGGAAGTCATCTTAGCATTCAGAAATTTGCATTGGACTAGCTGCTCTCGTATCTCACAATTGTACTATCAGCCACCGGATATCTACAGATTTCTGCCATCACGGTTTTCTGCCAATAGCGTGCAGATACTCGTCAAACGTTCTCACCAGCCGCTCAATCGGTTGCCTTACAGGCGTCGCACTATCAAACACGTTCGAACCCCCAAGTGTCCCAGTTCTTGCACACCCATCCACCATCACGTTCCCCCACAACACCAGCCAGCACATTGTCCACACCCATCCCATCCAGCCACCTGTCTTATTCCCCGCAACAGCACGCTCAATGACCATCCCAATTCCCATCATTCCAAATGGCAGCATCATGCGCCACATCTCCGAGGACGGGTCGAAAGGGAGTAGTACGAGGTGGTGAATAAACCCAGAGACGAGAAACGCGCCCATGACGCCCCCGATACGCCCAAAGAGTAGATAAAGCGGGTTTCCCCCGAAGAAAATGAACATCCGACGGAACCACTGATGCCAGCGACGGCTCCAGAATTCTCTGAGAGAGGTGGCGCACCAGGGAGAGTCGAATGAGGGGGGGCATTGGTCTGGATGTTGCCTCAATATCAATACGCAGATGACTACGGTGATCTCGTAACCAACTTGGAGTAATGAGTAGATGTTGAATGCGTATAGCGTTGCGATGATGCTCGATCGTAAGTAACGGAGGTGTGGGGGAAGCGAGTCGTCGAAGATGGTACCACCATCAAGAGATCCGAATGTATCTGGAGAGAAAGACTTCATGGCAGAGTGAATCACGCCCGAAAGAAATAAGTGCTTTAGACCAGAGACTAGAACGGATGTAGCAAAGGCCAATCGTGAGGATGTAGGATGTGTCTCAGGCGGGATGTACAGTCCCTGCGACCAGTCCCAGCCACAGCCTCGAAGGTTGCATACCAAATCAATTGTGTCGAGCACTAAATTTCGCTTTGGCACGTCGGTTGACGATGGGCGAGCCGTACGAACAAAAGGTTTCGTCTGCACCGTCCATTCAAGGGTACGTGCTACAATAAGAAACATGGATATCTGAGAGATAAGTTGAACGGTGTGGCAATTAATGCGAATACAGGAACTCACTTGCAGCTGTATATTCAAAAAGGCAAGTTCCGGTTGCTCCATGGACATGTCTAGCGATGTCGCCGCGCGAAACGCAAGGCTCGCGGTGATGGGCCACAACACAATCCGGACTGGCTGCGTTCCGGGCAGCAGAACAAGAAAAGCTGTGGCGAGGCTACACGCGAGTGGTGGAAAGACTCGAGAAGCGAAGGACTCGGTTGTGAGTAGTACCTTAGTTGTGGGGAGACGCAGACCGTCCAGCAAGGGCAGCATTGTGGCCGTTGATCTATAGAGTATGCGGGGATCTGGAGCCAAGGTTCAAACGTTTATAAGGTCTAATGTAAAGCCCCCGTGAATCAAATCATCATCATGTACGTGCCATGGAGTACACGCACATGTATGTGCCAATTGGTTGATCGGGGACATTTCTCCAAGTCAGCGCCGTCGCATCGATGGGCGTGGCAGAGACTGATGGGTCAACGCAGTAACCGCGACAGCGAGGATAATAATTGCAAAGCAAACACAAATTGTGTGATATGGGTGAGTAAGAAGATACCTATATGTTCTTGCGTACGTGGTTGTACCTGCAAACAGATGAGCAAGGCCAGCAGCTGGCAAGGTCAGGCTATCAATTGGCAATTCGGTGTGGGACTACTGAACATTCACGTTGTCAAATTCCAATCACTAGCAGCCGTCGACTCCGTATAGTCCAGAATGTCATTGTTAGGGATTGGACAAATACGGTACGGAATATCGACACCTCCTTGGAGCGGAATTTAAACTCCGTTCGATGTTTATGTCACCAACGCGCCCGCCGCCGCCTAACATCTCACTGGAATGCTGTATGTTCATGCTCTGGCACTCTCCTTTCCCAAGAACTGAATCAATATATGACATAGCAATGAGCTCACTATGTTGCTGCATGGTAGCAAAAAGACTCCGCGACGTCCATGGATTGGTGCTATTAAGGAAGCGTGAGAAACAGTGACAGAAGTCGGTTCTTGGCGCTGTTGCAGACAGCGAGCAAGTGTGAGAAACAGCGAGAAACATTCATACTCCGCTTGGAGGCGCCGATGTCCCAGGCAAGAAAGTAGGCTACCACGGCCCGACACCTCGGAATTTGAGGGTATGAATAGGTATGTAGCAGTCAATGCAATAAAACAACTATATGGTTTTGACAGGTGAAATAAGTACCAGCGCTTCCACCGACGATGTGCATGGGTCACTGACGTTCGTTTCAAGCAGCTCGGAACCAGCGAGGCGGGCCAGTCTTCTGCAGCGCCTCCTTCAAAGCACTGTATATTTTGACTCGGGAGGGGGGGGCGCTGGTTGGTAAACCCTCCCGAGCAGCGGAAGAGGCGAAGGCAACGCACCAAAAAGTTTTCCCCTTGTAAGTCTGCTTTCTTTCGTATGTATGATCAGATGCTTGGCAGCGCAAATAAGACCACATTCTAACAAGCACTGCAACAATGCTGGGATGTCTGTCGTGGCTCTATAAACTGTTCTCCCATCAATCGTTCGAGGATGCTAACCCTAGCGCTTGTGCTCCCCACTGCTAGATAGAGCTTGCTGTGACCCATTCCAAGCTGAACGAGCTCAATCCTACCTCATTGCTGGTAGAAGTTATGGCGCACATCTGGGATACCTGGAGATTCGCCATTCGGCCCGGCTCTACCAACAGCTCCTCAGGCAGATGCCCACCGCGTTCAGTGACCTTGAGCCCATGTCGATGTTCCAGTGGCAATATGTAGAGTCAAATTCGACGGAGATGACTCTAGTTTGAAAAAGCTTGAATGACTTGCGCTTAAATCTGCTGTCTTCGACACTGAGGAGGCGCGCTGGAGCATACAGACAATTTTCAGACGATTTGCGTACGACTGACTACGTATTTCGATGGAAGTCATCCTAGCATTCAGAAATTTGCATTGGACTAACTGCTCTCGTGTCTCACAAATTTAGTATCAGCTACTGGAATATTTACAGATTTCTGTCATCACGGTGTTCTGCCAATAGCATGCAGATACTCGTCAAATGTCCACACCAGCCGCTCAATCGGTTGCCTTACAGGCGTCACACTATCAAACGTGCCCGGACCCCCAAGCAACCCAATTCTGGCCCACCCATCCACCATCACGTTCCCCCACAACACTAGCCAGCACATTGTCCACGTCCATCCTATCCAACCACCTGTCTTATTCCCCGCAACAGCACGCTCAATAATCATCCCAGTGCCCATCATTCCAAATGGCAGCATCATGCGCCACATCTCCGAGGACGGGTCGAAGGGGAGTACTTGGAGGTGGTGAATAAACCCGGAGACGAGAAACGCGCCCATGACGCCCCCGACACGCCCAAAGAGTAGATAAAGTGGGTTTCCCCCGAGGAAAATGAACATCCGACGGAACCACTGATGCCAGCGACGGCTCCAGAATTCTCTGAGAGAGGTGGCGCGCCAGGGAGAGTCGAATGAGGGGGGGCATTGGTCTGGATGTTGCCTCAATATCAATACGCAGATGACTACGGTGATCTCGTAACCAGCTTGGAGTAATGAGTAGACGTTGAATGCGTATAGCGTCGTGATGATGCTCGATCGTAAATAACGGAGGTGTGGGGGAAGTGAGTCGTCGAAGATGGTACCACCATCAACAGATCCGAATGTATCTGGAGAGAAAGACTTCACGGCAGAGTGAATCGTGCCAGAAAGAAATGAATGCTTTAGACCAGAGACTAGGACGGATGTAGCAAAGGCCAATCGTGAGGATGTAGGATGTATCTCAGGCGGGATGTACAGTCCCTGCGACCAGTCCCAGCCACAGCCTCTAAAGCTGCATACCAAATCAATTGTGTCGAGCACTAAATTTCGCTTTGGCACGTCGGTTGACGATCGGCGAGCCGTACGAACAAAAGGTTTCGTCTGCACCGTCCATTCAAGGGTACGTGCTGCAATAAGAAACATGGATATCTGAGAGATGAGTTGAACGGTGTGGCAATTGATGCGAATACAGAAACTCACATGCAGCTGCATATTAAAAAAGGCACGTTCCGGTTGCCCCATGGACATGTCTAGCGATGTCGCCGCGCGAAATGCAAGGATCGCGGTTATGGGCCACAATGCAATGCGGACTGGCTGCGTTCCGGGCAGCAGAACAAGAAAAGCTGTGGCGAAGCCACACGCGAGTGGTGGAAGGACTCGAGAAGCGAAGGTCTCGGTTGTGAGTAGTACCCTAGTTGTGGGGAGACGCAGGACGTCCAGCAAGGTCAGCATTGTGGCCGTTGATCTATAGAGTATGCGGGGATCTGGAGTCAAGATTCAAACGCTTATAAGTATGTTCAATGTAAAGCCCCCGTGAATCAAATCATCATCATGTACGTGCCATGGAGTACACGCACATGTATGTGCCAATTGGTCGATCGGGGACATTTCTCCAAGTCAGCGCTGTCGCATCGATGGGCGTGGCAGAGACTGATGGGTCAACGCGACAGCGAGGATAATTGCAAAGCAAAAACAAATCGTGTGATATGGGTGAGCAAGAAGATACCTATATGTTCTTGCGTACGTGGTTGTACCTGCAAACAGATGCATACTATCTGCAAGGGCAAGGTCAGGCTATCAATTGGCAATTCGGTGTGGGACTACTGAACATTCACGTTTTCAAATTCCAATCACTAGCAGCCGTCGACTCCGTGACGCCCCAGACTGGCCAGATCTCTGACATTCAGGACTCCGTGGACCGTATAGCTCAGAATGTCAGGGATTTGGCCAGTCTCTTCGGAGCGGAATTGAAACTCCGTCGAACGGTCATGCCAATCAATCCCACCAACGCGCCCCCCGCCGCCGCCTAACATCTCACTGGAATGCTGCATGCTCCTCCCCTTGCCCGCTCCTTTCTAAAACATCCATACTCCACTTGAAGGTGCCGATGTTAGTACATCCCAAGAACTGAATCAATATATGACATAGCAATAAGCTCACTATGTTGCTACATGGCAGCAAAAAGACTCCGCAACGTCCATGGAAGTAAGTCCTTGGGTGCTATTAAGGAAGCGTGAGCAACAGTGACAGAAGTCGGTCCTTGGCGCTGTGGCAGATAGTGAGCAAGTGTAGAGAAACAGCGACGGATACAGACACATTCATACTCCGCTTGGAGGCGCCGATTCCCAGACTTTGTCCATGGCATATAGCCTACCACGGCCCGACACCTCGGAATTTGAGGGCATGAATTCGAATGGGTATGTGGCAGTCAATGCGCTATATGGTTTCGACAGGTAAAATAAGTACCAACGCTTCCACCGACGATGTGCATAGGTCACTGACGTTCGTTTCAAGCAGCTCGGAACCAGCGAGGCGGGCCAGTCTTGCGCCCCCTTCAAAGCGTTGTATTTTGACTCGGGAGGGGGGCGCTGGGTGTACAATGATATGTGGTCAATCAGAATATGATTTGAAGTAGAGTTGAGTGAGATATTGCAAAGTGTCCGAACCAGTGGTTGTCCGAAGTTGTGGTAACCGATAGTATCTCACAATTTTAGTATCAGCTACTGGGATATCTACAGATTTCTGCCATCACGGTTTTCTGCTAATAGCATGCAGATACTCGTCAAATGTCCTCACCAGCCGCTCAATCGGTTGCCTTACAGGCGTCGCACTATCCAACGCGCTCGAACTCCCAAACAACCCAGTTCTTGCCCACCCATCCACCATCACGTTCCCCCACAACACCAACCAGCACATTGTCCACGTCCATCCTATCCAGCCACCTGTCTTATTCCCCGAAACAGCACGCTCAATGACCATCCCAATTCCCATCATTCCAAATGGCAGCATCATGCGCCACATCTCCGAGGACGGGTCGAAGGGGAGTACTTGGAGGTGGTGAATAAACCCAGAAACGAGAAACGCGCCCATGACGCCCCCGACACGCCCAAAGAGTAGATAAAGTGGGTTTCCCCCGAAGAAAATGAACACCCGACGCAACCACTGATGCCAGCGACGGCTCCAGAATTCTCTGAGAGAGGTGGCGCGCCAGGGAGAGTCAAATGAGGGGGGGCATTGGTCTGGATGTTGCCTCAATATCAGTACGCAGATGACTACGGTGATCTCGTAACCAGCTTGGAGTAATGAGTAGATGGTGAATGCGCATAGCGTCGTGATGATACTCGATCGTAAATAACGAAGGTGTGGAGGAAGTGAGTCGTCGAAGATGGTACCACCATCAACAGATCCGAATGTATCTGGAGAGAAAGACCTCACGGCAGAGTGGATCGCGCCACAAAGAAATAAGTGCTTTAGACCAGAGACTAGGACGGATGTAGCAAAGGCCAATCGTGAGGATGTAGGATGTGTCTCGGGCGGGATGTACAGTCCCTGCGACCAGTCCCAGCCACAGCCTCGAGCGGTACATATTAAATCAATTGTGTCGAGCACAAGATTTTGCTTTGGCACGTCGGTTGACGATGGGCGAGCCGTACGAACAAAAGGTTTCGTCTGCACCGTCCATTCAAGGGTACGCGCTGCAATTAAAAACATGGATATCTGAGAGATAAGTTGAACGGTGTGGCAATTGATGCGAATACATGAACTCACTTGCAGCTGCATATTCAAAAAGGTAAGATCCGGTTGCTCCATGGACATGTCTAGCGATGTCGCCGCGCGAAATGCAAGGATCGCTGTGATGGGCCACAACGCAATGCGGACTGGCTGCGTTCGTGGCAGCAGGACAAGAAAAGCTGTGGCGAAACTACATGCGAGTGGTGGAAGGACTCGAGAAGCAAAAGTCTCAGTTGTGAGTAGTACCTTAGTTGTGGGGAGACGCAGGCCGTCCAGCAAGGGCAGCATTGTGGCCGTTGATCTGTAGAGTATGCGGACATCCGGAGTCAAGGTTCAAACGTTTATAAGGTCCAATGTAAAGCCCCCGTGAATCGAATCATCATCATGTACATACCATGGAGTACACGCACATGCATATGCCAATTGGTCGGTTGGGGACATTTCTCCGAGTCAGCGCCGTTGCATCGATGGGCGTGGCAGAGACTGATGGGTCAACGCAGAAACCGTGACAGCGAGGATAATCGCAAAGGAAAAACAAATTATGTGATATGGGAGTAAGAAGATACTTATATGTTCTTGCGTACGTGGTTGTACCTGCAATACTATCTGCTGGCAAGGTCAGGCTATCAATTGGCAATTCGGTGAACATTCCGAGTCACGTTTTCAAATTCCAATCACTAGCAGCCGTCGACTCCAGATGTCGGGGATTGGGCCAGTCTGGCGGGACAAAGTATGGGATATCGGCACCTCCGAGCGGAATTTAAACTCTGTTCGATGTTTTGAACGGTCATGTCAATCAAATCCCGCCAACGCGACCCCTGCCGCCGCCTAACATCGTTGCATGTTCATGCTCCGCCTTAACTCTGCCCGCCACAACTCTCTCCTTGCCCACCGCATCTGCCCGCTCCATTTTAAATATTCATACTCCGCTTGAAGGTTAGTACATCCCATTGCCTTCTTCGGAACCGTGATACTCCTTTGATCGTTCACAATCATATCACATCGTTGCTGTCTCTACAATTTCAAAGGTCAATACTCTTCGTCTTTGTCTTGGTTGTGATGCCTTCGTCCGCTTAAGGTTCTTTGTTCTTACATTTTTCCTTGGAGTATTTAAGAAAGTAGTTTTAACACATTCTTTACCTGATTCCGAACTATCCCATTCCTATCAATTTAGGCTCACTCACATCATTCCGACTCCTGAAATTCTGCTACACTCTGTTCTAATCGCTTGCTCATACAACCCTTAGGCTTGTGTCTCTCTTGTTGACTAAAGCTCCGAGTTGCTTGGAGTCAATCGTAATCTGGAGGTTCGAAGAATCGAAGCATCCCAAATTGGCACTACTTGGCCTCGTGTTAGACACGTTGCTCCGATACGAGAGATATACAAGAAACCTACCTAACGGACGAGGAATAAGTACTTTTGGAGTGCCCTCTCTTATTATCCTGGGACCTGTCGCCCATTTGCTATGATCATAATTTGCCCACAGTTGAAAGCCCATGGAGCTTGCACCGATCCCCAGTGCAAAGGATACCATGACGTCCACCTCTGCAAGTTATGTGGTATTTTCTGCACGTCCACTAAGTGCTACGAAGCGCATTTAGCCAGTAAAAAACATCACCGTAAATTGGCTGGCCATGATGGAAGCCAATATCAATGCACTATTTGTGGCACTCCCATTTCTGGTCGCAAGTCTTGGGATCAACACCTCCAAGGAAAACGACACCGCAGAAAAGCAGAGAAGAAAGGTGTACTTCCTGAGATAGCTCCTGCTATTCCTGAGGCGTTCCCTGGCAAGGTATTCTGTGGTATCTGTGACAAACAGATCCCAGAAGGCTTGTGGCCTTCTCATCCTCGATCCCTCGAACATCGCAGGAAGGAGGGTTACACTGCGTTCAAAGCTGCCCTCGAGGAAGCTGAAAAGGACAAACATGGCATCGTTCTCTCGGAAGGACTAGATTTTGGGATTATGGAAAATGCTGATGCTGCGCGAGGGGCATTACGAACTTTGACAATAGAGTCCACGGTGCCCTCATCGCGAGTTACCATTAAGACAGTATCTTTGTCCTCCTCGTTCATGGGCAGGCAATCTCCGTGAGCTTTCTTCCTCATTTGTTGATTGATCACCGAAGCTAATAATTTCGTCGGTAGGTTTGCTATTACAACCACTGCGGAAGGGGCAGTATTAGCATATCGTCGTCCGACTGCAATTGGTATACAGTTTTCAACACCTCACTCAGGGCGCATGGATGATCGTCTCGAAATCATCTTCGAAGACACAGCACTGCGTGTAACCTTCGTCATCGCTAGGCCGCTGAGGGCCATTGTGGGCAGCCAAGCTGATTATGAGTTATTGAAACCAATTGCTCCCTTCCAACCTCGTCGGCAAACTCGTACGCAACCCGAGACGCAGGTAGTGTCGGGTGTCCCTCCAACTTCCAATAACATCATCCCGTATACTATCAAATTGCCTAAGGCGCAGATACCGGCGCCACTCTTAGCTGCATTATCGGAAATGTCATCTGGAAAGGCGCTGGACCACATTAGGAGAGTCTTCCTCCCGAAGGTCATCAATTCTTCAACGTATTCGCGCTACTTTAAGACACTGCTTTGGATAGAGGAGCACCGCATGGAGTGACTAGTTTTATATATTGGTTTATCTCTATTCTCATGAGTTTTCAAGGCATGATTTGGAACGCTACGATATTCCTGATGCTCAGCTAGAACGTCACGGAGTGTATTATCAGTGAGCACACTGATATTTAGTAAGGGTTTGAGCTCATCGTGTTGTAGTTTGCCCGTTCCCGGGTTGGCGGAAAAACGCCCAAGTGTTTTGATTGGTCTGGATGTCCACTCATTTTTCTCTTGCTGTCATTCACCGTGCTCTCAGGGGATCGTTTTCTTGTCCAAAAACATGGGGCTGTCGAAGGCCATTGGTATGAAGGCCATGTCCATTTTGTTCGACAGGCGTCCGTCGGGTTACGATTCGACAAGTCATTTCGTGGCTGGTCTCAGCAACAGCGGTATACCGTACGATTCAAGCTCAACCGCATTCCTATGCGCCGTCAACACCAGGCGCTGGACACCGCATTCACATCCGATAAGTTTTTGTTCCCTCGAAAGGCCCACATTTTACCGCTTGCCCCTCGTCCTGGCGTAGGCCCTATTAGGCCATTTAATGCGTTGATTGCTACGAACCCGCCTCAGCTTCAAGCTGTCACATCTATCCTTCTGCAGCAACCGGGTTCAGCGCCGTTTGCCATTTTTGGTCCCCCGGGCACTGGCAAGACTATAACAATGGTGGAAGCCATGAAACAGCTGCTCAAGCATAAACCAAATACACGTATTCTTGCCACCGCACCCAGCAACTCTGCTGCTGACATCATCGCATCCCGGCTCGCGTCCACCCTCGGAGCTGACGAACTTTTCAGACTTTACGCACCTTCAAGGCCCTTCGACCTAGTTCCAGATGAGTTGCAGCCCTACACATACAAAAAGAGACTGGAAGGCGAAGACAAGAGCTGCTTCTCTGTTCCACCCATCCCAACTCTTAAGGGTTTCAAAGTTATCGTGTGCACGTGTGTCTCCGCATCTATCACGTACGGTATTGGCATCCCCCGCGGACATTTCACGCATATTTTCGTTGATGAAGCTGGTCAAGCGACTGAACCTGAAGTGATGATCGGGATCAAAACGATGTCCGACAAAACGACGAACATCGTCTTGGCAGGAGATCCGAAGCAGTTAGGACCTATCGTTCGATCTAACATTGCGAGGCAGCTTGGGCTGGAGAAAAGCTACCTCGAACGTCTAATGTCGATGGATGCATACGAAGCTCAAAGTGGTCATGGCCTGAGGTGATAGCTCTTGAATTTCTTCCGAATTCCTCCAGGTCACTCATCTACGAGCAGCGTCGTCAAGCTCGTGAAAAACTTCCGGTCACATCCCGCAATTTTGAAGTTTCCCAATGAGCGATTCTATGCGAATGATCTTGAGTCCTGTGGCAACAAGAACATCATACGCGCTTTCGAAGGCTGGAAAAAGCTGCCTTCAAAGAAATTTCCGATCATCTTCCACTCAATATCTGGGAAGGATAATCGCGAGGCTTCGTCACCCTCGTTTTTCAACATTGATGAAGTTACTCAAGTTCGCAAATACATTCAACTCCTCCGAGATGATCGACAGGTCCGAGTGGGTAAGCGAATACACGTACTCGGTGTCGTTCACAATTTACAACGATGCTATAGCTCACAATGAGATTGGCGTGATCGCTCCCTACCACGCTCAATGTGTTAAGATTCGCAAGATGCTCAGTGGCGTGGCTGACGAGGTCAAAGTCGGCAGTGTAGAAGAGTTCCAGGGCCAGGTGAGCAAAACTCAAAGTGTGCGTCGTTCTGTGGCCCATCAGTTACTAGGAGCGACGAGTCATTATTATATCGACGGTCAGGAGTAGCCGAGATTTCGTCGAGTTTGATCTCAAGCACACCCTGGGCTTCGTTGCGAACCCGAGGCGCTTCAATGGTTAGTGGACCGTCGTTTTTGGTAAAAATGATACTCATATCACTCCCAGTTGCTGTGACTCGAGCACAGGCTCTGCTGATTGTGGTCGGAGACCCAAATGTCTTGTCCCTAGATCCCCTCTGGCGGTCGTTCCTGAACTATGTACACTTGAACGGCGGGTGGGCTGGTCCCGGACCGACATGGGACACGACAGAGACAGTAGATGAGAGTGGCGAATATGATCAACATATTCGAGCGGCTGCAATGACGGATATGAATCTTCTTGCTCGGAGGATTGAGGGGGTGGTGTCGGAGAGTGTGCAGACTGGCACGGCCAATGAAGATGATGATGATGATGATCACGACGCAAACTTTGACAAGCCGTGGAGGGAGCTGGAGTAGGCTTTCTTACTGTAGTTATTATGTACAATATTCCTTGTATTTTTCCTTGTAAGGCTTTATTTCTTGCTGTGCTATGAACTGTCTCACGCCGACGGCGGGCGGTGTTAGCACTGCAGCATTTGTCCAAATTGGGTATATACGAGCTCGTCGTAAGACTTGACTTCAAATTCCTCGACTCTTTTTTTGTGCAGCTAGTTAGGACCGCGTCTCCTCTCTTTCGCTTGCACGGTTCACGTTCTTCCGTCACATTATGGTCGAGGACAAGTACATCGGATTGGCTCTGGCAGTCTCCAGCTCGTTAGCCATCGGAACAAGCTTCATCATTACAAAGAAGGTTCCACATGTTGAGCTTTGTTGAATTCTCCGGAAACTGAGTTGTCTTGGATGCAGGGACTTACTGATGCAGGAGCACGAAATACATCTGCCTCCGAAGACTATGCTTACCTCCGGAATCCAATATGGTGGGCTGGGATTTCAACTTGTGAGTCTCACCAGTCGAACCGTCGCAATGTCACTTCATCTGAACGATCGTATAGTGGTGCTCGGAGAAAGTGATACTCATTTCTTACCCCTTTGTCCATCTGATAATGAAGTCCGTAGTCGCAAACTTCGCTGCTTACACGTTTGCTCCCCCAATATTGGTGACGCCATTGGGTGCACTTAGTGTGTTAATCGGGTAAGCATGCTATCGGCGTTAGAACCTCATCAACTGATGTTATCAAGTGCTATACTGGCATCCTTCCTACTCAACGAGGAGCTCGGGCATCTAGGGCGGACGGGATGTGCCCTGTGCCTTATCGGTTCTTTGATCATTGTTCTCCATGCACCACCAGACAAAGAGGTTCAGACTGTGGACGAGATTTTACAATATGCTATACAGCCTGGTCGGTCATAATCTTCTCAAACCGTTGTAACACTGACCGGTTTGCAGGATTCATGCTGTATTGTTTCACGGTTTTCGTATTCTCGCTTGTCATGATATATGGTGTTGCCCCACGCTACGGGCGTTCCAATCCTCTTGTTTACATATCTATATGCTCCTTAGTTGGTTCCGTGTCTGTCATGGCCATCAAGGGTTTTGGTGTAGCCGTCAAGCTCACATTTGGTGGGAACAACCAGTTCACCCATCCAAGTACATATGCGTTCGGCATAGTAGTCGTTGGGTGCATTGTTGTGCAGATGAACTTCTTCAATAAAGCATTGGATACATTCTCTACCAATGTGTACGTCCGTTCGCACATCTTTTCAATGGAATGTTCACCATTCTACAGTGTAAATCCCATGTATTACGTCGGATTTTCTACGGCAACGATAGTGTCGTCCCTTATCCTGTTCCAAGGATTCAACACGACGGACGGCACAAATACCGTTACGCTCATCGCTGGGTTCATTGTCACTTTCCTCGGCGTTCACCTCTTGAATCTTTCACGAAAATCCGATCCTCCAAGCATACCCAACGGTCACACCGCCCTGGAAAGCGGTCTCATGAATCCCCGCATCAGCCTCCAGGGTCGCATGTCTCTTGATGGGTGGGGTGGTTTATCTGAAGTACAACCAGACGGCGCCCTGCAGTCCTCTGGCCACGGCCGTCGTTCGTCACTCTATCGCGCACAGAGCACCGCATTGTTCAATGCCTTTGAGGAGGAGGAGACAGCTGATAACATGCCGCTATCTCAGTTGCGGGAGAGCCAAGAAGAGTACGAGTATGATAGTGATGTAGATGAACGGACTCGATTGCATTCAGAGCATCGGATACAACCCAGTGTCTCTCGAAGTCATAGCAATTCTCCTGCACTGCAGGGCAGTGCACGGAACTCTCCTCGACCCTCATGAAACTAACATAGTTATACCCTCTTAACGGACTACTATAATAGATCTCATTTTCTTGTCTAACTGAGTCTTGTGAGTGTTTGAGTGAACAAGCGACGGTCCGCATCCGCCGTCGGTCCACTGAGATGTGAGAACAAGTTCCTGGTTCAGGTGCTCCAAGATCCTGTAGAATACATGTGGTCTCGATGTAGTCTCTGGGCCTTGCGTGCGCATAGCCATCGCTATCTCTTGACCCCCGTATTTGCTTATACTGTCCGATTCTCCTCTGGTACAACAGCGACCATGGGCGCGATTAAGACTCGCACTGTCAACACTACCGAGCGGCTAGCGAAGCTTCGAGAGTTGTTGAAGAAGCCAGAGAACAACGTCAAGGCTTTCATTGTTCCTAGCGAGGACCAGCGTAGGCACACACAACGTTTCCAGCGGAAGTATTGCTGAATCACCCTTGTTCCGAAGATTTTAGCGAGTATCCTGCACACTCGGATGAGCGTAGGGCATTTATTTCAGGTTTCAACGGTTCAGCCGGTGAGAAGATGCCATCATCTCGGATTGGTGATATCTGATACGAGAGTCATTTAGGGTGCGCTGTCATCACCCTCAGGGATGCTTTCCTCTTCACAGATGGGAGATACTTTCTGCAAGCTTCCCAGCAGCTTGACAGGTACTGTCTTGATCGTTTGATTCTATTCCTTCCTCACAAGAGACGTCCTCAGCAACTGGAAGCTTATGAAACAGGGCTTGCCAGGTATGGTGCTTCGTCCATCATGTTCATGTCTTTTGACTCACTTGAGGAAGATGTGCCCACATGGCAGGAATTTCTCTCCAAAGTCAATCCTTTCTGTCTTTCTGGGACCCTACGCTGATCGAATACCATGGCAGCACCTCGAGCAAGGGACCCGGATTGGCATCGATCCTACGCTGATTTCAGCTGGTACGGGTGTTACCACTTCTCTTCGTTATTGAGCTAACCGATAGCAGCGGATGCTGAAAGTCTCAAGAAATCTCTTGAACCCAGGGGATCTGTGCTTGTATCTCTCCAGCAAAACCCTGTCGATGTCGTATGGGGTAAGGACCGACCCCCGTGTCCTCATAATAGTGTTTTCCCTTTGGACGTCAAATACGCCGGTCAGCATGACAATGACGGTGCATATGTTAAGACTGACGTTTTGAGCAGGAGAGACGTCTCAGAGTAAACTCCAGCGTTTACGGGAGGAGATCACGAAGAAAAAAGCTGTTGCCGCAGTCGTTACGCTTCTCGACGAGGTCGCGTGGCTTTTTAACCTTCGTGGCACAGATATTGATTTCAATCCTGGTAATTGCAGACCACTCTCATACTCATTTAGTATCTCAAGAAATTTTCTCTAGTCTTCTTCGCGTATGCTGTCGTGACCCCAACGGAGGCAATACTTTTTATGAATGACGCTCAGGATCGGCACAGTATCAAGGAGTTTTTGGGTTCTAATGTTGAGATCCGTCCATATGAATCTTTCATCCCTTCTTTGAGGCAGCTCATTGCGACCCTTGGAGCTAACAAAGACAAAGTGAGTCATCGAATGCATGCGTAAAATCACTTTTGATTTTTGTTCGCTTTAGCCCATGTTATTGGGTGATAAGACTAGTCTAGCTGTGGTTGAAGCAATCGGACAAGTATGCACTTCGTAATAGTCCGTGATGATCGCTAACTGCGTTCCCGACTGAATGCAGGAGAATGCCGTTCTCATTCCGTCACCAGTGGCTACTATGAAGGCAATAAAGAATGAGACGGAGATCGAGGGCTTCCGAAATTGTCACATCCGCGATGGCGCTGCCCTAATCCGGTACTTCGCTTGGTTGGAGGAACAACTTAATAGCGGCGTTGAGCTGAACGAAAGCCAAGCCGCAGCTAAGCTCGAAGAATTCAGATCGTCAGTATGGACAGAATTTTATATTGCTGTAGCTCACCTCCTAGTAGTGAGCTGGACTTGTTCCGTGGACTGTCATTCACGACAATCTCGTCTACTGGACCTAATGCTGGTGCGCAAACTCAAATGAGACAAAACACACACTAATCATTGCACAGCTGTGATACATTATTCACCGGACCCGGATGACTGCGCGATCGTCAAGAAGGATCAGGTATGTTGTCCAGATCGACGTGAACCATGCTCATACAGAGAATATTAGATATATTTATGTGATTCTGGAGGTGGGTCTTTCTGTTCACAATGATTCATCTTTTACGAGACCATCCCCAGGACAATATCTTGACGGAACGACTGACGTGACTCGGACCTTGGTGAGCAAATTTTCCGGTGGTGATGAGAAGGGTTTTATCTCAAGCCTTCCTCACAGCATTTTGGCACCCCTACTAATGAGGAGAAACGAGCTTTCACACGTGTTTTGCAAGGTCATATTTCAATCGACACTGCTGTTTTCCCAAACGGCACGTCAGGTGCGTTTGGTCCATTTCCCTTCGGCTTAGCCTGACGATATATCGTTTAGGTTACATTATGTGAATAGTTTGCTTCTGACACCATCAGACCAAATTGTTCATGTTGATTTCACCTCAGTGATTCATTTGCAAGACGAGCTCTATGGCAAGAGGGATGGGGTAAGAGAATCGTTGTTGGGCCTTATTTCAATGTCCTAATCGAATTTACAGATTACAGGTGATTCCTCATCGCTCAGAGTCGTTATACTTTCATGAAGCCTGAATATAGACATGGGACTGGCCATGGTGTTGGTCACTTCCTGAACGTTCACGAAGGTAAGTCAGACTCCTTTTTAGATAGCAGAGGATGTTGACATGCTGCAAAGGCCCGCATGGCATTGGCACCCGCATAGGTTTGCTTCATACTGCACTTCTTAGTCTTCCTGCTCACCCACACCTCCAGCGTACAACAGCACCTCCTTGAAAGTGGGTATGACTGTTTCGAATGGTGAGTGGACTGAGTAATGCAAGGAACGAGCCAACGTTCGCGTTAGAACCGGGCTATTACGCCGATGGACGCTACGGGATCCGCATTGAAAACGTTGTTATCGTCCGGGAGGCTGAGACTCCAAATAATTTCGGGAATGGGTATCTTTGTTTCGAACATGTAACGATGGTGAGCGTCTTCGCATGAATCGCGTCTCGATAAGCTAACGCTGAAGTAGTGTCCTATCCAAACGAAGCTGATCGATTTCTCAATTCTGACCACGCAGGAAAAGGAGTGGCTCAACTCGTATCATGCGGAGACGCTGAAGAAGGTAGGACCTTTGCTCCGTAACGACCCGCGCGCTCTTGAGTGGCTAGAAAGAGAGTGCTCTCCTGTGTAGAAGATGATCCTTTTAGATGCGGTCGTTTAATCTGCCTCCAAGAAAAATTTTGTACATTAGCGCTTTCAGGAACTTGAAGGCCAAACCCAGTCGGGACTTATCAATCATTACACTTATTGGAACACCATGAGATGGACGAGCAGGAACCATTTTTTCATATCCACTCATTATGGGACTACCGATGTCCCGTTCGGGTCTCAGGAGTCAGGCAGGAATCTGTGATTATATAAGCCAGGCTGGTCCCGATGCTTCAACGGAAGTTCCATCGGTATCATTGACTCAACTTTTTACCCATATGAAATGCCTCATAATTTTGTTGTCGCAGAATTTATGCCTCGACGTTCAGCTCGTTGGACCTCCGGCTATGGGATCTTAAAAGCCACTTCCCTGGCAACTCGTCCTTTTCTAGCGCTGCGGATCTCGCGCACTGACATAGGGTTCCATAATAATTCGTGGAATGATGGAGATTTTCTGTTTGTTATATCACCTCAGAAGCCAAGCGGGGTGAATGAGGGGTGCTACTTCACTCTTGGATCGTCACTGGACGAAGGCAGCAAGATGTTGCATGTTGAGCCCCCCTTACATCCAGAAGGGGGCACTCTCTACGTCCATACATTTCCAAAGCTTCTAGAGGACATCGAATACGAGCGGCCAGCCTCTGTGGCTCACCTCCCGCATCAACTTGAAGAATCTAGTTATCTCACCTTCTGTCGTGCGGTCTTGGATGACTATGACAGAATGCTGCAAGAAAAATACACAAATGAGGAACGGTCATCCGGTGGTAGCGAACCGGTGGGGGACGAATGGGATATGTGGAATACCCAGCAACAGACGGAAGGGGCGCCCCAAAAGAATGGTTATGTTTTCGAATATTTGGAACCACAGAGTTTCGACTTGTCTGCTGTCGAACCACCGTCCATTTATCAAGATTTACTTCTGTATAACCAGTACGTTGCCTCTGATTAGTGCATTTTATTGCCCTTACTCGTTCCAGACTTACTGCAGACTACTCGTGGATGGGTGTAACTGTTGCTGTGAACTGGGCTGTGAAGTTGAGAAACGTAGGTCGCTAATATATTGCCCGCAACTTCTAACGGAAAATTCACTTTCGTAGTTTGATCGTGCGCACGAGACTCGATGGAGCAGCCTCCTTCTGCCGGATTCTTCGTTTAGTGGGAATGTGCCAACCTTCGACGGAAATATCAAGGAACATGCTCTAATGCTCTGGTCGATGAAGATTCCCTTTGACGGTGACCCCCCTATAAGCTCACCATCACCCGATGATTGGGACTCAGATGATGGGCCATATATCAAGCTCGACCTCGTCCCAAAGTCCATGTCTCCGGTGTCGGCTCCATCCACTAGAGTTATCGCCTTTGACCTCTTTGGTACTATCTTAGTGAGTTTTCATGTCAGTCTCACGCATGTGAATTGCTCACACACACAATCAGGATCGTGACGGCGCCATAAATGATGCTATGCGGCTGCTGTCGCCAACGCATCCCGACAGACACCGACTGTCTGAATTGTATCTCGAGTGCGAACTCATGAGACACAGAGACAACTCTGATGCACCATATACCTCCATCGTGCGGCAAGCTCTGGAGGATGTCTGTGTGTTTCTGGAAGTGCCGCTAAGCGAAGTCGTACTCTACAAAGCTGTCCAGGCTGTACTGCAACCTAGTTTATATGCCGATGCAGAAGCAGCTGTAGGGATGCTCCTGTATCAGGGTTATGCGCTGCTCGGTCTTCTGATCCCGGACGCAAGGTCTTTTTTACCTCCGCCACTTCCATTTGGCCTCAATGTCGATAACGAACCTGCTCCCCTTTCGAATCTATTCAGTCAAAACCACTCCATTTTTTCAGGCCTCTTGGAGCGCTGTCGCTCAGCATGTAGTACTGCCGAAAAAAGCCAGGTTCTGGTAGTGACATCTAGTTGTTACCAAGTGATGGAACCGGCAAGCATGGCAGGTTTCCCAACTGTTCTTGTTAGACGTCCTGGAGACCTGGGATCAGGAGTCAACCTCAGGACAAGTCGCCCTACCCTGTTGATAGACAGCTTGCAAGCTCTACCCGTAAAGCTGCAGAACACCTCACTTATCCATTGCCCTTCACCGCCTCAAATGCAACCTTATCTTGGCTGTACAATGCCATTGCGTGTCCGTGGCATGTATCAGATGACAAAGTTGCTTGGAACGGGAGGCTCTGGTATGTTGGTATGCATACCGTTTTGTTTCACACTTACTGATGGGCTGTGACCTTACAGGATACGTTACTAGTGCTTTCCATATCCTCACAGGCACAGAAGTTGCACTCAAATCAGGGACTGCATTGGAAGATGCACCAGACATGCCTTGCGTAGTGCGTTACGAAGCTATGGTGTATAGCCTCCTGCGCGGTCACCCAGGCATACCATCATGCAAATGGAGTGGCCTGGATCGAGGATCATATTTCTTGACTCTGGAACATCTAGGTGCGAATCTCGAACAGCTCCGCAGACTGTCCAGGGGCAAACTTCCTTGGAAGACCGTAGTCATGCTTGGAGTCCAAATGGTAAGTGTGTCAAACACTTGCGCTGATTTGATATTGATTTCTGTCAGTTGAACAGAGTTGAATTTGCCCACTCGCGTGGAATCATACTACGGGACATCAAGCCTGAGAATTTTGCGATGGGCATTGGGGAAAAGTCTCACTTTGTCTATCTATTGGACTTTGGTTTGGCGAAGCTTTATGTCAACCCATCCACAGGAGCACATATACCATATCGTGAAGGTCGCATTCCATTGGGGACCATGTCATATTCAAGCTACAATGTGCATCTCGGACGAGGTTCGGGAACATCATTCTTATTCTTATTCTTGCTTGTGGCTGACGAGCAAGGAGCAGAACAAGGACGGCGAGACGATCTTGAAGCATTGGGCAATGTCCTACTATATCTCTTGCACGGCCGTCTTCCATGGGAAGATATCTACGCACCCAACAAAGAGGCCAAATTGCGTCGAATGGCAGAGATGAAAGCTGGGTCTGCAGCATTTCGTGACCTGCTCACACGTTCTCCTGCTGAGTTCACAACCTACTTTGATCACTGCCGCAGTTTGAAGTTCGAAGAAAAGCCGAACTATGGGTTGTTGAGACGGTTGTTCAGCCAGATAATGGAGAGGGAAGGGTGGACAGGAAATACAAGGTTTGACCCACTGGATGGAAGTTCTGACAAAGGTACACTGGTACCCCAAGAGTATAAGTTAGATGTCCGGTTCACAGGGGGAGATTTGACCACACTACAGGTCATGATAGCTCGCTTTCTTTGGAAGAGGAAGATACTGTCAGGCGTAAAGGAGCCTTCCTGCTAACCCACACCTCCAGCGTACAACAGCACCTCCTTGAAAGTGGGCATGACTGTTTCGAATGGTGAGTGGACTGAGTAATGCAAGGAACGAGCCAACATTTGAGTCAGAACCGGGCTACTACGCTGATGGACGCTACGGGATCCATATTGAAAACGTTGTTATCGTCCGGGAGGCTGAGACTCCAAATAATCTCGGGAATGGGTATGAACATGTAACTATGGTGAGCGTCTCGATAGACTGACTCTAAAGTAGTGTCCTATCCAAATGAAGCTGATTGATTTCTCAATTCTGACCGCGCAGGCAAAGAAGTGGCTCAACTCGTATCATGCGGAGACACTGGAGAAGGTGGAACCTTTGCTCCATAACGACCCGCGCGCTCTTGAGTGGCTAGAAAGAGAGTTCTCCTGTGTAGAAGATGATCCTTTTAGATGCGGTCGTTTAATCTGAACGCACCTCCAAGCAAAATTTTGTACATTAGCGCTTTCAGGAACTTGAAGGCCAAGCCCAGTCGGGACTTATCAATCATTACACTTGTTGGAACACCATGAGATGGACGAGCAGGAACCATTGTTTCATATCCACTTTTTTCCGCTGAGAGATAAAATATTACTAGCTAGTCTAATGGGACTCGTGGCATTTCTGGAGCCACGGATGCCCTAGTATCTCGGAGGTGCACTCCCAAGTACTAGTCCGAGTTGGCCGAACCATTTATGTTGTTAGGTAATACCGTATAAATGAATTACATCTCTCCCACAAACTCGTACTCTTTCCGCAATCAATTGAGGTCTAAGGGCTGACTTCGAGTCTATGGCTGTATACAGGAGCTCCGGACCTAAAAATTTGTCAGCTACCAATCCACCAAGTCCTGCTCGAAGCTAAGCAGCGAGGTGCAGAAAAAAGTTGGCGAGATGATCTTGAATCATCGAGCAACATCCTATTATAAGTATCTCCTGCACGGCCGTCTGCCACTGTGGCAAGCATCTACGCGTCAAGCAAAGAAGCCGAACTGCTCCGATGGGAAAGCTGAAAGCTGGTCCAGCACTCCATGACCCGCTCGTGCGCTCTCTTGTGAATCCACGACCTACTTCGATCATCGCTGTGGTTTGAACTTTGAAGAAGAGCCGAACTGCATAGTGACATTATTCATCCAGATAATGGACAAAGAAGGGTGGACAATCTGAAGATTCCGTGTTGATTGGGTAAATGGAAGTTCCGGCAAAGGTACACTGGTACCTGATCATGAGGAGTATAACTTAAATGAGTCGATTCACAACTTAAGATTTGACCATGTTACAGGACATACCATGTACCACACCCGTGTTGTCTTCCGAATTGCTGGAAACAGACTCGACTTGGCTACGCACAATGGCACGTTCTCACTCATAGTATATATAGACTACGTAGTACCTAGCAACGTTAATGATCACTACTTTACAAGTAGAACCCGTTCCGAGTCTTTGATGTCGCAAGTATGCGAGACTCAATATTAAGGGCACTTTGGGCGAAGACAGATCATCCGGAATTAAGTACCTGAAACATGGCAAGCTCCTTGCGCATGCGGGAAGGTCCGAGACTCCTCGCATGTAATTGTCAGGTTTAGTTGTCGTCTTAGGGGGGCTTCGAGTTGGTTGATCAGGCATTGCATCCCATATTTTCCTCAGACAAAACAGTCAGTCTATGAGAGGATGGACGGATATACAATATTGCAACACGCAACGGGGATCTATATGGTGGTTGCAACGTTGACCAGCAGGATCTGTTTGCGATCTGCTTGAATTTTGCAGATCAACCATCGAAGTGTCTGAATGACATGGGTTTGGCCAGGTTTTACAGTTATGTATATGAGTGGTAACACATCAGTTGTACAGTCGTACAGTAGAGAATGAGCATGTACACGCTCGCTCCCACGGAGTAAACAGGTATGTCAAATGCGTGGTAAATATAAGGCAGCTCCAAAGGAGCTCTGAAAATCCAGAGAACATGAGTGCAGTAGTTAACAAGGACTAACCAATGGATAAACACATAAATCACGGGACAGAGGTGGTGAGATGAGTAGATAGGACGAACTCTTGAACTATGTGCTACAGCTGCTGAGAAAAATAGATGCTGCTCCTTCCAGAGCAGGCAGAATGATAAGTGGGACGAAGAGATGATATGAAGTCATGAATCATCGATGGGCGTAGATGCTGGTACTATTTCGTTATCAAATGGGGATGACCCTGTTGCGGCGAATCTAGGTATTGGGATGGAACATGCGTGGTATCGTGTTGAGCGTAAACGCAGGTCGTAGATGGAGACGCGGCAACGATTCCTTAGGCCATTTTCTAGAGGCCCTGTCTTTAAACTCAAGTCAACGAGAGCTACTATAGCAGCCTGGATTGCTTGAGGTGTCTGCGTACAACCATATCTCGCACTATCATAATGTCAGTGTACATGATTGGAAGAACCACATTGGACTTACCACTGGCGAGAATACCAGCCGTCGTTGTCGTGTCCTGCATCACGGAGCTAAATTCAGGAGCCATAAATAGAACTGAAACGAATGAGCGTACTGTAACAGTCGTGCAAAAACCATAAAATTTCCGTGGGAGCGGTGAATATTCTCGATGTATCGCGCTAAACTTGCTTCGGAAGTCTGCGAGAAAAATCAGTGGCTGAGCCAAGTAAAGACAGTCTGCTGACATTTCGAGGCCGTCTCCATATCGTTAGGACGGTCTCCGTAGCTGCGAACGTATTTCGACAACCTTATCCCTGACGTGAGTTTCGCGTCAAGTATGTCGCACTTGTTCAGGAATAGAACAAGATCAACGTTGGCGAGCAGTTTGTTTGAGCAGACAGCTTTCCATAATAGCACGCTGTCCTCCTGCACAGAAATAGTAAACCCAAAAAAGAACGATAGCATGACAGGTGACTGACGAGGCGGTTCACGCTGCGATCCTCAGCGAGAACTTGATCAAAGCTGGATATTGGCGCAAGGAAGATAATTGCATCGACTAGGAATAGTATAAGCAGACTGCACATGAAGCACGTCAAGGACGAACCATCATCAAAGAAGGGTACCCATGTTGCTAAAAGGTGGGATTCAGCGTTCGCTAACACTGAACACGAATGAGCTTCTCACCTCTCTGCAAAGATAACGGAAAGGGTTGAGCGTGGGATGAGAGAAGCAATTAATACGTACCTGCGACCGGGAACCTCCAACGTCAACTATCCTCCATTCAGTACCACTTTCACGTCCAGCCACGGCCTCCATTTCACACCGATATTCCGAAACGCCGACCGTCTTCAGGCGCGCTCGAAGTACATCGTCTATATCAATGGTCAACTCAGTTCCCTTCGTTGCCAGAACATAAGAGTATTTTCACCATCGTTTGGGGTGTAATTTAGGGCTGTGACTCGATCCAAGTCGTTGAGGAAGCTATAAAGCCATAATGTTTCAAGTAGAACTAGACGTGGAATGAGACAGAAGGCTTACAAGCCAGAGGATTCTTCGAGGCGAATTTTTCTCCGCCGCAAAACCTCCCGAACAAGCCTGTCATTCCAAAGAGCCATGATGTCATAACTGCACGAATGGATAACTTCTTGCGCTTCGTCCCGGGTTTGCATTCCCGTATTACCTAATGAAACTGGTCGAGTACGAGTACTCTTCGCGAGCGCTCCCTTCCATGTGGCTCCCGGGCGTACGAAAACTTCTTGAGCTCTCCACGAACGCTCACTACTTCGGCTGCGATGAGAGTGGTATGCACTAATAGCACTGCTTCCAATCACAGAAGCCACCTCATCTTCGCTCGGAGGTATTAGTTTTGCAATGAGTAGTGCCTCAATATGACGCAGTGGAGTGAGCCGCATCTGTAACATTTCGAGTTCCTGGGGTAAATTGGTTCCACTGTCATCGCTGTCTTCGCCTCCACTGTCAAGAGTAGGAAGCCGAATGTCGGATAAGGCGTCGAGGATTGTACGGACAGACCGCACGATGTTGAGCTGTATGACGCTGCGCCAGAGTATCCGTTCTTCATGGAAGGCAGTGGGGGTATACAGTTTTTGGAAGTCTAATCAGAACGACTCAATTTCACCCAGCTCGGTGGAGTTATTCATACGCACGCCTTAGTGTCGTCGATTTACCTACCATCCAAGACATTGTTAAAGTGAACATAAATGATATTGACCACGTCGGACATACCTGATTCACTTTGGCCCAACAATAATAGTCTAACGATACCCTTCTTCTTCTGCGCCTGTTTCTCCGCTCGTATTGAGTCATCTATTGCTTGGCTTACTCTGCGTGCCTCGGCTTCCTGAGCTTGCCTGATAACACGATCCTCCTCAGTTTCGTTTATGGGTGGCCTGAGAGCCTCGTCTAGAGGGTCAAAGTCATGCGCAGATTTTGTAACTGCCCCAGACATAGCGAACTGTGGGATGCCAGGCTACAAAAAACCACAGAAAGCAAGTGATGGAAGATATTAACAGAGAGTTCTCTGGGCAAAGCTGGGTCCGGTAGCAATGCAGTAATTTGCCAGGCACAAGACGTACTGCAAATTATAACCCTTGGCGAAGGTTGACGCCGGACATGCTCTTTTTGCCAGCAATAGGTACCTTCTGTGGGTTCTTGGTTTGTTATTATAGTCTACCAATCGAGAAATCACCGGACCAGGCAAGCACCAACTTGGTAGAACCTGGTGCCTGTTTCTCAGCTGGGCGTTACACGTGAACAACTCTTTCAGGTTAGTAACGAGTTCCCTCCTCTTCACTAATTGCGGCATCACCATCAACGCATCACGGCCATGCCTTTTCCTGCTCTTTCATATCCGAGTCTGACTGGTCACTTGCCACTAGCGTTATCATCATGTTGCTCTCTCAGGCAGGCACCTTTTAAAGATATGCCATTTGACTGTGTGGCACACCATGATCTCCCAACTTGCAAATCCTTGTAATACGGCTCAACTGAATACGCAATGTCGTTCGCATTCGTGAGTACTTTCTGACAGATGGTCCGACGCACGGCTTTGCAGGCGTTTTCAAACATTTCCTTTGGTTTTGCTGTACCTGATTATCCTCCAAGAATAGGTTTGTCTCTCAGCACAAGACAAATACTTCAGGCACATATGCTGCACAAGGCAACCCGTGCTCTCTTGGGCCCCCGGGCCAAACTGGCACACCCTGCTATTACTATCTACTTCAAACACATCACACCAAGGGGGCCTTGTCGCATATGGCTGTCACAACGTCAAAGGGTGAACGCTCAACGGCAATTTTACATTGTCCGCTCTGTAAGAACTCGACTCGATAAGCGAGGCTCCTCCATTCCTCCGGTCCCTGGACGTGGGTAAAGCTGACTAGATCCTTCTCACTCTTTCGACCCCTGAAAACTACCGCACGTCGTAAGAGTGTTTCAGGACTCCCTTTTTGGTCGGATTACCGCCCAAGGGCAAGGACACGAGATACGGTTGGTAACGAATCATCCCGTGTCGCTTATAAGGCATATCCGATACTTGTTATCCCTGTGTGTCCCGCAGCTTTAAACCTCTTCATCTCCGCTAGCCCAGTCTGGCCAGCAGAACTGCAAAGCCATGATATGAAAATTCTCCACACGTTCTGGACCGAAGATTCCAAATCGAGACAACCTTGGGTCCCGGGCCCCAATGGGATCTCCACGTTCTCAGGCGCAAGTCCTGATTGTCATTGTTTTAGTTGGCGATCCATCGCTGCATCATAGAGTGATCAATACGATTGGGCGCTCTGGCTTTCGAATCGTCGTCGCAAAACGCTCGCACCTCTGGACGTTGTATGAATGTGGCATTCAGGGCAACCAATCTATTTTTGTAGGTCCTACAATTCATCGCTGCAGCCATAGTGTCTCGTTCAAGGACTCCGATGGCGACTTCAGTGATTCTACGACTCGACTTAGATTGAGCACCTCTCCCGCAATTGTACGTGTCGCTCCTGTACATGTTGCTGGCGGTCTTCTAATATCTCTCCCACCTTGGCAAAGTTCCGACGTTCCAGAAATGACTGATCAGAAATCGGCGTTTCGTGTGGGCAGACTCTACAGCACTTGGAGTAACGAAACACTGAAGAGTGTCGACCTATGATATATCTAGATCGGAAATATAGGTACCATGAAACACCCATTGAGTCGTTCCCTCTAAGCTTATCGTTGACAATCGTGCTAAGGATAGCATTTCATTATCTTCATACGTAAATGTATAGGTTCAGGCGCCTCGCATTATGTGACACGTGCGCATTGCTGCGGCGAAAAGCTGACGGTTGTCTCAGCTTACATGCTAGGCATCACATTGGCCCAGAAGATTGAACGACTGACTTCGAACTTCTCTAAAGTTTGGCCTCAGGCTGATCAATTAATAAGCGCATGATGCATATGTACTCACGGCCTGATAATGACATGGTGAAAGAGGATTGGCATGATTGAAGTAGTGATGTGAATACCAGCGACCTATTCAAACCTATTCAATACACACGTGTGGGTATGTATTGCAACGGAGATTATCTTTGCCATTTCAATGATGGCTCACTAGTCAAGCGCTCACTAGTGCCACTCAGTACACTTCATATATGGGTGCTTACGATATTACTTATAGCCTCGGGTGACAGGGGTCTCTCACAGCTGGCAAGAAGTCAGTAAATTTGTTTTGTACAGAAGCAATCGTTCATATAACCATTTCTTTTTTACATCTTGAGCTTGTTGTGTTCCCTCTCAGTCTTAGGCTCTTGTGCTAGCACCGCGTGGCCGTAGACTATCTCTGGACAGTGTGATGTTGGGATCAAAATTAGATCCGATTACTCTGCCTTCCACCTCTCCATCTACGAATCCGTTGGTGTTGCGTCAGAACAACGCGGATCCAGAAGCAAAATGGATAGTCCAGAAGTATGGAGGTACTAGTGTGGGCAAATTTGCAGTTAATATCGCTCGTGACATCGTACCGTAAGTCTTCGTTTATGCTGCACTTTGAGCATCTTGACTTCGCCTTTAGGAGCTATATTGGCCAGCACAAAATTGCTGTCGTCTGCTCTGCACGATCTGGGTCTGCAAAGGCTCTGGGAACTACCAATCTCCTGCTCAAAGCTGCCTCCGAGGCACAGCGACAACGACACAAGCTATTCAATGGTTGCGGTACTACGACTCCCTCGATAAATGGTATATTCAGGAGATCATCAGAAACTTCCCCCGCCTCCCCAATGCGCAGATCTTCACGATCGCCTTCCTCTCCGTCCACGGGTGCATTGACACCTCTGTTGACACCCCAGACTGGCCAGTCTCAACCGGAATTTAACGTTACCGTCGACCTTATACGGTCAGAGCATATGGATGCTGCAAAAGCATCTATCCAAAATCCGGAGATTCTCCAAGAACTCGAGGCTGAGATAGATCGAGACTGCGACTGGCTCCGTAGTTTCTTGTTTGCTGCTCAGGTGCATTCGATCCATTTGACTGCACTACCGTTCATCATCTAACCTAACATGAACATGTCCGTGATTACCAGGTAATCAATGAAATATCACCACGTTCGCGGGATAGCATCATAGGTTTCGGCGAGCGATTAGGTTGTAAACTGATGACAGCCATTCTCCGCGACCAAGTAGGTTTTTCGTATCAAAGATTCCTCTATGAGACTGATCTGCCCTCTACAGGGCATTGACGCAGAGTACGTATCACTGGAAGACATCATTCCTGTATCCGAGGATAGCGACACCGTACGAGAAGGCATTCTTGATCAAGCTTTTTATGATAGCGTGGCCACTGCTGTCGGAGAACGCATCAAGGGATGCACACCTCGCGTACCCGTTGTTACCGGCTTCTTTGGCCACGTACCGGGTTCGCTTCTCCGGCAAGTCGGCCGAGGATACACTGATTTGCTCTCTGCCCTTCTGGCCGTCGGCCTCGAAGCATCAGAACTACAGATATGGAAGGAAGTTGACGGGATATTTACAGCGGATCCTCGAAAAGTGCTCACTGCACGCTTGATACCTATAATATCGCCCGACGAAGCCGCTGAACTGACTTATTATGGGAGTGAAGTCGTACATCCATTCACGATGGAGCAGGTCAGAAGGGCCATCATTGAATCTCAAATTTTTCTCACAACCTTAAACTGCAGGTCATTCGCCGAAAAATTCCAATAAGAATCAAAAACGTGGAGAACCCCCTGGGAGGTGGCACAGTGATTCATCCCGACCCAGATATCGGGGCATCGCAAGACGATGATCTTTATGAAGTGCCAGTTACAATACAACAAGGCCTCTCTCTGTCCAATGACGAATTGTATAGGAACAAGCGACTACCGACCGCCGTGACAATAAAAGAACGCATTGTCGTACTCAACGTCAATTCGAATCGCAAGAGTGTATCTCACGGCTTCCTGGCTAGGATATTTGGAACCCTTGACCAGTTTGGCGTGGTTGTAGACCTTATTAGCACTAGCGAAGTACATGTCAGCATGGCTATTGAGGACAGTCTATCCAAGACCACTATGGAGCGGCTGGTAGGGGAACTGAAGAAGAGTGGAACCGTGAGTATCCTTGATGATACTGGCGCCTTAATTAACATGAGTCCCAGGTTTCCGTCCACCATGAAATGACCATTCTCTCCCTTGTTGGTCAACATATGCGCAACCTGGTTGGTATATCGGGACGTATGTTTACCTCCCTTGGCCAGGGTAATGTGAACATCGAGATGATTAGCCAAGGCGCCAGCGAAATCAATATATCGTGTGTTATCGAGAGCCGTGACGCTGTTAAGGCGCTCAATCTCATACATCAAAGCTGTTTACAAATAAAGCCCGAAGGGCCCAGAGGGCGAGGTTGGCCTATCGATTCTTGATGTTTGTTCTAAGGCTGACGTGATGTACTAGTCGGCCCATGGTTTTTCTAGCATGGGACGTTCAGAAATGTCCTGTGTGGTTCGGTTCAACACCGACCTGAACTTATTGGATTATATATTCATACCGAGCGATATAAGCACGAAATTTCAACAAGATTTCATTTCCCTCAGCTTCGCACCTGCAAATTTTATGCAAAGTTGGGACGGGCTAAACCCAAGAATTCGCTATCGACTGACTGCGATGATGACTTACTCTGCTATTTATCCGCTTGCTCCGACAACTCTCCCTCAGCTAAAGCCGGCCTCAACACCGCCAAACCTTCATGTACTCTCACCCTCTACCTAAGGGTCCCTACTCCAACATGCTCACCTCACCAAGGCTTCTCGTACCTCGTCTTGTAGCTCCTCTTGCTTGCTCTGACTATCTTCTTCCTGGAGTAGATCTCGGATTGCAAATCCCACCCAAAGGACCTTCAGTCCCACTTGTATAGAGTTCATATAGTTGGTACACTGTATGGCCGAGTCGAGTGTCTCATAATTCAAGTCTCTCCATCAAGACGGAACGAGTGTCTCTCCCTGGACATATAGTCGAAAGTATACCCCTCCGCCAAACACAGCGAGGGAGCATGACCTGTAGCAGGTCAAATCACCCCCTGTGAACCGGACATCTAGCTGATACTTTGGGCACCAGTGTACCTTTACCTGAACTTCCATCATAGGTCAAACCTGTCTGAACAGCTGCCTCAACAATGTGCAGTTTGGCTTTTCCAACCACAGCAATGATCAAAGTACGTCGTAAATTCTACATGAGAAGACACGAAAAGGCACAAGATGCCGCTGAGCCAGTTTTCATCTCTCCCATTCGAAGGTTTTGTCTAGATGTCTGGTGCGCATACTATGTCTTGCCAATGCAGACGGCCATACACGAGGTATAGGAAAACGCTTCAAGGTCGTCTAGCCGTCTTTGTTACACCTTACTTGCTCCAGAGCAGGAATGAAGTTGGTCATAACTAACCTCGTCCAAAATATGCATTATAGCTCGAATATGGCGGGGTCTCCAGTCCGGTGCGGCATTCGCGGAACGGTGCCTTCTTTCTTTGGCGTCGCCAAAGGTTCCTATCATCCGGGAGTAACTTGCCATAGCTAGCGCGGAGGCTCTCAAACGACTCATCAAATTACGGTCCTTACTTAGGCATTGCCAGGCCCAGATCAACTTCATCATGGTCCCCCCAAGCCCCTCAACAGATTACGCGGCCGTTCTTATCAAATGCAATTCATATAATTTAGAATCGAGGCGTCTAGGCTTAGCACCCCCTAGTACCACTATCACGGAGATCACCGTCAAGCATATATATAAATCAGCGCCCTCACACGATGGTAACTGATAGCACTAGTCCAGCATGAAACACTTTCATCGTACACAGTTTCTCCTCAATGGAATTGTAAGTATTTATGTCGTTACGTACCCAAATCACGGACTTATTCATCTGCTTTGGAGTACATTTTTCGTGAGTAGATCCTCTATGAGCCAGTTATGAACCCATGATGTGCTAACGCAGTTGCCATGATGGTGGTCTTGGTGGGCGCAATATTGTACGACATCCATCTCTCCGGTATTCTCTCACCAGACACAGGTTTATGATTTTCAATTCACCTTGACTACGAGGCAGGTCGTGTTAACCTGGAACAAGTGCGGGTTGCTAACATATCAATGGGGTCCAGCTTGCCTATTGGGCAAGCCAAAAAGCATCGCTCGCAACAGCTTCATACGTGGGTGGTATGCCAAGCACTCTCTCTTCCTGCGTGTGTTGTCCGAATCCCAGACAGGTCAAGTCATCTCTTTTGGCTGCAGTGTATTCACAACGAATGCTACAGTTGTATTCATATCTACCATGGAGAAGCTAAAACGGTGAATCAGGCATGATGCACTACATTCATTTTTGATAATCTGGTAAGGAATGCACAATCCTTGATCTTATTGATCTTTATGTGTACTATCTCATGACCGGTGCTGTGGTATGTCCCCCTAAAGGCTTGTTATCTAGGGATTCTAAGCTTGTGTTAGTGCTCGTGTGTGTTAAGTGTGAGGACACATACACTACATTCTGTTGATGTCTTACTACGAAGAGCGCTAGGTAACTTCACCATTCGAACATACGCATTGTGGGGTCAAAAGAGACGGATCTCGTACATCTTGTCTGGCATTTACTGCCAATGTCTGCATGCTCGTCCAGCTGATATATTCTTAGGGAACTCTTGCGTGGGCATTTAATTGTCTCGCATTATATTGTGTCGCTATTAGAAGTTGTGAGTTCAGCACGAGCGTGCATTGCCTCGCCACTGAAAGTTCACAGGCGGAGGCCCAGGTTGTGATTTACCAACAGATTCACAACAGCCTCTGATAGCGGGATACGCACCTCTGGTAATGTTCCATCGCTATAACTTGCATGCCCTGGCTCACTGTCCCCATTACGTTTACCTTGGACATCCTGCACTACACCACTTGCGTCCAGAACCTTGGTCTATGCATTACCTGCTATGTTGTACATCACAGCTCGTGCCGTCCTCTTGGTACTTATGTTCCCTTTGCGCAATATTCCTCAATAATGCGGTGTCATATACTAGTTTGGTGCCACACTTGTAGTTTTTGATTATGGTACCCGAGATACACTTTAATGATGTACACGACGCGATCACATGACCTGCATGTGACCCGAACCAAACGTAGCAGTATCCCCAATTGATCGACAAGGCAGTTCCAATGGAGCGCACATTCACTGCCATTTTGCATGGGAATCAGCCAAATAACAAATCGATTATCGTAAAAAATTTGTCCCATGTGTACAAACTTGCAACTTTTTCAGTGGCAACTATCAGTTCTGAACTTCTAGCGAAAGGTAATACATATGTAACAGGACGTTACACGTATGTACTAGTACTAACAGTGTGCTTGACAGCGGACCGGCCGTGCGAGGTTGCACAGCTTCTATGATATAGTCTTTGCTGTTCTTTGGATACCGGGTTCATTTCCGTCTCCAATCAGGCCTTACACTAGTACCAACACTATCTGATAGATCAAAAGTGATCCACCCACTCGGGCTCAGCATTCAGCGCTTATCTTTTAAATCTCAATGAAGGCTGGGCAGCATGCAATTGTACGCTGGTTGGAAGGTTCTGATTTGGAATGGCGGTTGACTCCGAGTCGAGTCCTTACGAAGCTATCCATCTAGGTGCTACTTCTAGTGCCATCTATCCATCAGATCTGCCGCCCAGTACACGCGGCCAGTCGCACGTAATGAGGTTTCGTAGCTATAAATGTCGCGCTTGGTCACTGCTTTGTACGTTTGCCATCTCGTTCGCCAATCCCATTATGACATACGTCTCAAATGATCCTGATAACACCTATGTCAATGATCCCGCTTGGTGGCCGTTTCTCGTTTGGACTCGTGCTTACAGCAATGCTGCAGGTTCGTGGAGAGCAACTCGGACGGAGCATGTCGATGACATTTTACTAACTTTCACTGACTGTGGTTTCGCAGTTGTAGCCTCTGTCGTGGTGGTATACGATTGGGGTGAGCGAAATAATACTTTCAGAGGGGATCGCTCATTTACACTGTATCAAAGCATTAACATTTGGACAAGAGGTGATTTGATCATGCCATGATCGGCCCAGCCATCTCACTAAGAATGTTTCTACAGTTCGAGCTGGTCTGGGTGAGAACGTTTCATATCAGAAGCTCAAATCGGATAATTCATTCGATTCCGGACAGAAACAACGCTTGTCTCTCATAAATCTGTTATTTATCAGTGTGAGTAGCTCGTGTTATATGCGCAGTTGTCAAGTTGTCCTGACTTTGACGCAACATAGGTGCGCTATGTTGGAATACTATATGCCATGTATGTTTGGGAGGCGGATCAAATGACTCGGCGCTGTACTAATAATATCATCTCTTACAATCAGCATCAGCTTCCTAGGTATGTATCCTCAATCACGCTCTTTCTATTTGACTGACGGCATGAAGGAAATGTTCCAATATTGAATACCGACGTGGTAGGCATTCTTCACTAATGCCTGCCCAACTAAGTACTAACTACAGGCCTCCATAGGGGTGAGTGTCATTATCAGTCGCCTTGTTTCTTCCACGTAATGACTGCAACAGCTGTGAGTTCATTTGACGCATCTAGTACCCTAACGCACATGAGTAACTGAGATTTTCCAGGCAACTTTTTTTACTCCTTCCAAACATGGACGCCTGTCGTCGTCAATGCTATGTTGGCTGGTGAGCTCGTCGCGATATCTTACTGGTGCTGACTTGACTGAAATATCGTGCAAGTCATCATGACGACTCGGATATATGCCATGTTTCAGCAATCGAAACCGATACTTATCTTTCTCATTGTAGCCCTGCTGGCTTCCACAATCGCCTCCGGAGTTATGCTGGGCATAGGAAACATTGGTATTTCAGGGAGTAAGCTTTGATCATCGATAAAATCCTTAAGCACACGAGACTCATGGACGGATATCAGAGGAATTCGTCCTTTCTGGCTACCATATCTGTCTTGTCCAGATCGACACATACCGGATGAATCTAAATCACGAGATGGTGATACCCATCGCTATATGGGAGATCCTTGCCTTTCTTCTTGCAGTCTGGATTGTTATACTACGCTTCTATGAAATGCGACAAACACGGAGCGGATCCACCATTGGAGACTGTTTCACGATGTTAATAAAAAGTCACGCGTGGTACTTTCTAGCGTGAGTTCGGTTATTTGACGGTCTGTATCTCACTGATGTTCTTCATATGAAGATTTGCTGCTGTAGCTTGCTTCAACATCGGCGACCTGGCTCCAGGTTTACGGGTGCGTTGTTCCATAACTGATACTTGCATCTGACCTCTCTTCATTTCTACAGCACTCAACAACCGTGGCAGATGATATTTATGCCGGCGCTCTCCGAATTGCACGAGTGTTGCAGATGTTTGTGCTGGGACCACGTCTGATCCTTAGCATTCGAGAATATCACTCTAAGCTCGTGACTAGGTCTGACGGGGGAATTAATATGACTGCGATTGCTTTCCAGGCTCTCAGACATCGATCCACTAGCAGTGATATGGAACTAGACACGATTCAATCGACCAACCCTGTGTAAATGTAGTTCATTATCACTGTAGTCATAAGGATATAGAGGTATCTACAGTTGCAGACAATCAAACTCCATAATTTTTTTCCTTTACCTTCATTATCTCACTGTCGTCGACAACCAGCATGGTCTTAGCCTCACCTTACACTACTATTGGTTACCACTTGCTCGTGCATCCCCACATTTCGTGCATCCTCCAAAACCACACTTTTCCTACTACAACTTGTCAAACTACTACGTCTATTTGAAATAATAATACACAAGAACCTATTACGAGCTTAGACAGATGCATTCGGACAAGAAACAAGAGAAATAAATGTTTGGTTGTGACAAAGGCTTTTGTCACTTCCATTGTCACCTGCTGTCCGCTGCCGCAGCGGAGTTTCAACTCAGACGCGCACGGGGATGGCACGGTGACTGTAAAAAGCCAGTGTGACTAAACCGTGACTTTCCGTGACTTTTCTGTGACTGCACGGAATGTGGTGCTGCCACTGGTGCACGAGCAAGTGGGTTGAACCAATAGTATACCCTTCATTGACATCGACCCTGAATCTCTTTCTCTCGTTACTATGTCATCCCGTTTCCGAATCTGTCAACTACTACGCGACTCTCGTTATTCTGCAACACTCATACCTACTACTCTACCCCTGCCAGGCTCAACGCCACCGCTTCTGCCTCCGTTTCTCATAATCCTTCGGTCTACCCATACCCGAGGACCCTTGCCGTTTCGCGTTTGTATATAGTCCATGTACTCTCATGACTACAGCGAATCCTATACTCAGATCCCCGCTCCAATCAGTATCGAAAAAGCCTCACAGAAAGTTTCCTTAAAATGTTTTCCTACTCGTCTCGTTTACCTTTGCTCTTGTCTCGGATCTAACCCATTTTAGTTCACTTTCCCCTCCGTACTCGTAACCAGCCCTACAATTGTACTATGTACAATGTCTCCATCAACACAAGTAACTGATCATCAACTGGCCCCACAGTACCTCAAAAATCGTCTGACGAGCGTCGATTGCCCATGGTTGGGTGAGGGTTGTGAGGCCAGAAGCTATGTAGTGAATTCAGATCAAGATGCAGAAGATAGTGATCGGTAAACGTACTGGACTATCTAGAGTACATAACTCCCAGTCCAGTATGCCAATTATCCGGTTTTCTGTTGGATGTTGTCAAGCTTGTAGTCCCCATGGACAATCCGCAGCCCAGTTTTCCTCTCGTCCGGGAGGTGCCTCTGGTACCAACCATTTCTTCAAAATACGGAATATTTCCTGTCGCTTTTCCTGTCTCGATATCTATAGCCTAAGATTGAGCAACCGATATAAAGATTTGATTTGACGGGGGGAAGTAATCAGTCGTAGGACCAACGTTCTTGAGGCCTAATTGGAATGGGTCGAGAGGCCAATGCTGCTAATGAGCGGATAGTTGAGACTCAGAGCCAGCTTCAGGTAATCAGGCTTAGCATCTTAATACAATAAAGAGATGGCAAAAAAGTACCATTCTCTTCGATCCTGCTGTGGCAGTTCCACTGGTAGCCTGGTGTCCATAAATATTCGCCCTGGTACTCCATGATATAGAAGGGAGTGCCAATAACGTCATCGTCCTCGCACAGGACAAAAGGTTGCGGGACAGTGACTATCTGCTCTGGCCTTGTGGTTGGACTGATGTTGTATCGATGCAATGCGCTTAATATGCGGTATTCGCGCTCAATTTGGTGAGCATTTGAGGACAAAAATGCAATCTCTCCTCGATAGATTGCGACCGCACCTTGAACTGTTGCACCTGTACGAGAGTGGCGACAACCAGCACATGGAACTTCAGGTATGTATTGAGCTTCTGGATGTCGATGTTGGCGCGCATGGCAACATGCTCGCCTCCAATACTTTTTGGCTCGCTATCAGTCATCAGTCATATAATATCGAAGGTTTCGAGGTTCCGGTTAAGTTCAAGTTGAACGACGTTTCGACGTTCAACTCTTGCGGCGCTCCACGGTGCGCCCGAGTCAGGCCGGAATGAGGCCTAGGCCGTGCCCGTCGCCCGAACTTTCACACTGGGAGAAACTATCCTAGAATTTTTTTTAAATTCCCAACCCACTAAATAATCCCTTACAAAATCACAATGATGAACGTACGTGTTGATACTTAGTCTACATACGTATACCTAGAGTTTTGCCAGTTTTGCAGGTTATAAAACCGACCTCAAGTAATTTTGCCCCCACACTACAGTTTGACGTCATACGCCGCTTCCCATTTCAAGACTCATTGTAGGGTTAGGTTTAGGCCTCACTTTTCGGCTATTTGGGTTGATTGCGTTCCTTGCTTCATGTGTCTAGTGGTTGGACGAATCGCCACGAGGCCAGTCCGCCCGCATTTCCTCAAGTCATCCAAAAGTCGACACCTCTTTACTCGCCATGTTTCCCAGTCTTTACAGAACGCTAGCTATTCCAAAACACTCCTCTTGCCGAAGACTTCGTTTCCGCTCTGGGTGAACTCAGCACAGTCCGAGTCGTTATTTAAAAAGAAGACTTGCGAAGAGCTGTATCGATGGCAGGTGCGTTATTCAAATCCATCAATTCTTCTTGAGTTAGATTCAGCAGTATATAGGCTCAGAATGCGCATGGACCACTCTTCGTTCTGCTCGACGGCCCTCCTTATGCGAACGGTCACCTTCACATAGGTATGTACAGAGCAACATACAAAAATTTGCAATATTGACATTTTACTATTTCTAGGACATGCTTTAAATAAGATTATGAAAGACATCATCAACAGGTACCAAGTCTCGACTGGTCATAGAATACAGTGAGTCCTTCTTTCCTCCACTTGAATAGCACCGCTCATCCGTCGAAGTTACCACCCTGGCTGGGACTGCCATGGGTTGCCTATCGAAAATAAGGCTCTGCAGGAGTTGAAGGTGCGTAGTTCTTTCCCTAGCGATGTCGCGTCGAATGAATATGAAATTCAGAAGGATGCTCTTTCGTTACCACCCAATGTCATACGCGCAGCAGCCAAAGCAACAGCAGAACGCGAAATGAAGACGCAGCAGGAGGAATTCGAGCAGTTTTGCATAATGGCCGATTGGAGCCCCAAAACGACCTTTCGTACACTTGGTATGACTTGAGACTGATATATGGCTACATTTTGACTTACAGACCTCTTCCTAAAGACCATGACTATGAAATTCGTCAGCTTCAGGTATTTCAACGAATGGTTGATCAAGGTACACGATTTCTTGTCTCCTGTCACCTAACTCTATCATTTATTGCCCATACCACGTAGGTCTTATTTACCGGCACTACCGACCAGTACATTACTCTCCCTCATCACATTCCGCTCTTGCCGAAGCGGAGCTCGTCTATAACGATGATCATGTCTCGTATTCAGTCTATGTGACCTTTTCGTTGGACTCGCAGAATACAATCGCGAGCACTGCTCTCCGGGAAGTCTTAGCCAAGGAGCCTTCGGCAAGTTTGCTAGTATGGACCACTACACCTTGGACTCTAACAGCAAACATGGTATGGATGAGTTTCATCAATTTTGACATCCTCACAGATATTCTTCGTTAGGGCATTGCCATTCATCCCGAATTGATTTACAGTTTCGTGCGCTCATCTGTCAAGGAGGACGTTCTCGTTGTTGCTAAAGATCGTCTTGTCGCGCTGGAGCACATCATCGGACCCCACGAAGTCATTGCTGAAATCAAGGGTGCAGATCTGGTGGGCGCGCAATTCCACTCCGTCTTCTCTCCAATCCATCCGTCTGGCTCAATGAGCGCAAAGATCATTGCGGCATCTCATGTCACATCGGAGTCTGGATCTGGTCTGGTGCACTGCGCCCCTGCGCATGGCGCAGAAGATTACCTGGCATTCCGAGCGCTAGGCCTTCTGCAAGGCCCCACGGATATCATATGTCACGTTGACGATGCCGGCAAATTTTCCCGGGGTGTTGCTCATGTCGTAGGCGAAGACGCTGCACAAGCACTAGTAGGTCAAGAGGTACTCAAGGGTGGAAACAAGGCTATCATCAGACTACTGGAGTCCATCGGGTCCCTTGTGAGAGTGCAGAAGATCAAGCATCGCTATCCGTATGATTGGAAGACTGGCGAACCTATCATTGTAACGTAAGTTGCGCGCGGCGGGAGAAGCATGCCTCGGTGCTTACATAGTCTGACAGGGCCACCTCGCAATGGTTTGCCAACCTGGACGGCATCAAGGATGATGCACTCCATGCGCTGAAGGATGTACAGTTCTATCCGCCGTCGTGTATGTCCCCATTCTGTCCTTTGGAATTATACTCTCTGAGTTTGTTTGATCACAGCTCGCAATCGACTGGAGTCATTCGTTCGCTCGCGTTCCGAATGGTGTATTTCTCGCCAGCGAGTGTGGGGTGTCCCAATCCCGGCTCTATACCACACCCCGACGGATACCGCTGTCCTCTCATCCCAATCCCTCACTCACATATTACGTGTTCTGTCTGAGCGAGGCGTCGCTCATTGGTGGGAAGGTCCAGTCGAAGACTTCCTTACCCCAGAGCTGCTCGCCAATTTCGCAGGTGGGCCTGAAGCTTGGCGCAAAGGCACGGACACAATGGACGTCTGGTTTGATAGCGGGTCAAATTGGAGTACACTGAGCGCCCCTACAGGCGAGCGAAAACATCGGGCGGACGTATGTCTTGAAGGCACAGACCAGCATCGCGGGTGGTTCCAGAGCCAGTTGTTAACCTCAGTGGGTGTTAGCTCCGGACAAAATGCTGCAAGGCCAGTGAGCCCATACGGAACGCTGATCACGCATGGTATGGTACTTGATGAGGCAGGCAAGAAGATGAGTAAGTCCCTCGGAAACATCGTCAGCCCGATGACTATCATTCACGGTGGCAAGGTCGGTCATCGCTTATTTTGCGCAAACAGTCTGCTGAAGTTTTGCGGTTGACAGGATAAGAAGAAAGAACCTGCGTACGGTGCCGATGTCCTCCGCTTGTGGGTAGCAACTGTCGAGTACTGGCGAGATATGTCTATTGGACCCACAGTTCTTGCACAGTGTGCGGAATCTATGAGGAAGATCCGCAATTCTGCTCGGTTTATTCTTGGAAATATTGGTACAAATATTCAACGAACGCACTTTGTCCCTGTTGAACACAGCGAACTGGGCTTGGTCAGTCCACGCATTCGATTGACGTCTAATGTCGGATTTGAATGTTGTGACAGGCAGAGCGCTTCGTGATGAACGAGCTTTACAAACTTAATCAGACAGCTGCAGAGGGATATGCAAACTACAATTTCCCGAAAGGTGAGAGCTCATTGTGTTCATGGAATTTACAAGCTTATACTCTGCGCGCTAGTCATGAATTCCTTGACCAACTTTGCAAACATCACGTTGTCATCGCTCTACTTTGATATCAGGAAGGACTGCCTCTATGCCAATGACATTCAGAGTGTCGAGAGACGGGCGGTTGTAACTACCCTCGCCAAAGTGAGCGCTATCCAGTGAGAATATACTGTTACTGATGTTCTACCAGGTCCTCGACTCTATGACCTCCGTAATGGCCCCAGTACTACCTTACCTAGCAGAAGAGATCCACAGTACTCTCCACGAAGGTGATGAAACTGTATCCCAGCTATCCGTCTTTGCGAAGAAGTGGACTCCCGTCGTGAGCATCGATGTCGCAGCTGCATGTACTTTCGCTGATATTCTCTTGAACTAAATAGAGCATTGAGTGGAGTGATCCGCATGCCGAACAAGATATGGCGAGTTTGCTGAGGATGCGCAGCGTCGTGCTATCTCTTTTGGAAAAGGCTCGAGGGGACAAGTGAGTATTCAATTATTTTTGTGTCCATAGTTCGAACGTGTTTCAATGTAGGCATTTGAAGAGCTCTCTCGAAGCTGACGTTGATGTTATCTTGCCCAACGATATATCCGTGCAACCGTATTTGTTACAGTTGATTGAACGCGAAGGTGAGCAGTTTGATCTTCCCGTTTTTCGTGACTGAACGGTATTTGCGCGCAGAGACGTTTCTGAAGACGCTATTCATCGTTTCTGATGCCAAGATCACGGACGAAGGCTCTCTCGGCGCTGGTTCATTCGCGTGGTCCTATGTCTCTTCAATGGATATACCCGGTATGTTCTATGTTTTCGAAAGCTGTTTCTGGTATTCATTTGCCTTATTCCTTCTGCGTAGACTCGGACTTAGAGCTATCGATTCGCATTAGACCTGCATCTTCGAGCAAGTGTCCACGGTGCTGGACGTATACTCGTGAAGAGCAGCATGATTTATGTCCCCGCTGTGAGGATGTTGTTCGACGTTTAGATTAGATTGTTGGCCGATATAGTTACTAGTACACACATATATAAAGACTACGATACTAATCCCACCTCTTGCACTTGTTTGAGCTTGACTGGCACTTTGGTACATTCTGCACCACGGCATTAAGTACTTGAGCATATTACGGATCCTCACACCCGGGAGATGTGTGCCGAGCAGCCTCATGCTCGGCAAGTTCGCGATCCTCATCATACATAAACAAGAGCTTCCGTCAGGCCTGGCAGTGTAGTTGGTGCATACCCTGTTTCAAATCATTAGCTAGACTGCACACTGGCAGCAGTGCCGCAGATGCTTACCAAGGTATTTCCCGGGAGCATGTCTGTACCATTCCCCTATTCTCGTCTTTCTCGACCTCTGACAGCAAGGTCCATGTCATATTCTCGGACCAGTGGACTCATCAGGAATAGGAGGGGGCGGCGGAACCTTCTTTCTCAATGTCATGGCGTTAACGAGACTTGAAGCTTGGGGGGCGCTCGATAGCACTTGGCTTGCATGTGACCTATTTTGGTTTGTTTACACCCACGTACGAATTGGATAGTATAATATAGTATTGGGGGGTGTAAGCATAAGCACGGATAAGCATAAACCGTAAGCTCCCAGGTGTGAGGATCCCTAATATTGGAACACCATGGGATGGACGAGCAGGAACCATTTTTTCATATCCACTTTTGTCCGTTGAGAGATAAAATCTATGTAGAACATTACTAGCTAGTCTAATGGGACTACCGAATCGTGTCCCGTTTGGGTCTCAGACTGGAGAATCTGTGATTATATAAGCCAGGCTGGTCCCGATGCTTCAACGGAAGTTCCATCGGTATCATTGACTCCCAAATGAAATGCCTCACAATTTTGTTGTTGCAGAATTTATGCCTCGACGTTCGGCTCGTTGGACCTCCGGCTATGGGATCTTAAAAGCCACTTGCCTGGTAACTCGTCCTTTTCTAGCACTGCGGATCTCGCCCACTGACATAGGGTTCCATAATAATTCATGGAATGATGGAGATTTTCTGTTTGTTATATCACCTCAGAAGCCAAGCGGGGTGAATGAGGGGTGCTACTTCACTCTTGGATCGTCACTGGACGAAGGCAGCAAGATGTTGCATGTTGAGCCCCCCTTACATCCAGACGGGGGCACTCTCTACATCCATACATTTCCAAAGCTTCAAGAGGACATTGAATACGAGCAGCCAGCCTCTGTGGCTCACCTCCCGCATCAACTTGAAGAATCTAGTTATCTCACCTTCTGTCGTGCGGTCTTGGATGACTATGACAAAATGCTGCAAGAAAAATACACGAATGAGGAACGGTCATCTGGTGGTAGCGAACCGGTGGGGGACGAATGGCATATGTGGAATACCCGGCAACAGATGGAAGGGGCGCCCCAAAAGAATGGTTATGTTTTCGAATATTTGGAACCACAGAGTTTCGACTTGTCTGCTGTCGAACCACCGTCCATTTATCAAGATTTACTTCTGTATAACCAGTATGTTGCCTCTGATTAGTGCATTTCGTTGCCCTTGTTTCAGACTTACTGCAGACTACTCGTGGATGGGTGTAACTGTTGCTATGAACTGGGCTGTGAAGTTGAGAAACGTAGGTCACTGATATATTACCCGCAACTTCTAACGGAAAATTCACTTTCGTAGTTTGATCGTGCGCACGAGACTCGATGGAGCAGCCTCCTTCTCCCGGATTCCTCGTTTAGTGGGAATGTGCCAACCTTCAACGGAAATATCAAGGAACATGCTCTAATGCTCTGGTCGATGAAGATTCCCTTTGACGGTGACCCCCCTATAAGCTCACAATCCCCCGATGATTGGAACTCAGATGAGGGGCCATATATCAAGCTCGACCTCATCCCAAACTCCATGTCTCCTGTGTTGGCTCCATCCACTAGAGTTATCGTCTTTGACCTCTTTGGTACTATCTTGGTGAGTTTTCATGTTAGTCTCACGCATATGAATTGCTCACACACAATCAGGATCGTGACGGCGCCATAGATGATGCTATGCGGCTGCTGTCGCCAACGCATCCCGACACACACTGACTATCTCAATTGTATCTCGAATGCGAACTTATGAGACACAGAGACAACTCTGACGCACCATATGCCTCCATCGTGCGGCAAGCTCTGGAGAAAGTCTGCATGTTTCTGGAAGTGCCACTAAGCGAAGTCATACTCTATAAAGCTGTCCAGGCTGTACTGCAACCTAGTTTATATGCCGATGCAGAAGCAGCTGTGGGGACGCTCCTGGATCAGGGCTATGCACTGCTCGGTCTTCCGATCCCGGACACAAAGTCATTTTTACTTCCGCCACTTCCATTTGGCCTCGATGTCGATGAAGGTGAGGAATCTTGACTGTGGGTGAAAACACTAAAGGTAAGGGGGCTCTACAGCAAGACCTGGATACGAGAATACAACTCGACCCAAAGGACAGCTACTGAGAGAAGTTCCTCGCGAATAAGGTGGAGGGAAACTCTGTCAACTAGACGGGCGCTGGTAGGCGCGCGTGAAGCGCGCGTGAGCGATGCGAGGGTGCGTGAGATGCGAGAGGCGCGCGCGTATGCGGGAGCGCACTTATGAGTGATAAGGGATATGGTTTCAAGTATAATAGAGGCGCGAGCTGTAGCAGATGGAGAAGTATAATCAGATTTCTAGTACTAAGGTGCACTATACAACTTGCAGTATACTGTGATAAATGGGGGGAAAAAGTAGTAACCAAAGTAAAAGAACTTCCCTCTATTTAAGAAGGGAGATAGCGCTATGCGGCACTTCCGAGCGCGGTACCGAACCGAGTAACCATATCAACTCTAAATATAATCTAAAGTCTAAGATAGACTTTCTGTATGTAAGCGCGGGGATCGGACCGAGTGCACATCAATTCAATGAAAGAGATAAGAATAACGCACCAGCAAATCAGTGAGGACATAGGACGGACGGACGGACGGGTAGGCGCAAGAAGACCTAAGGGGAGGCGCACGGACGCGCGCGAGTGCGTATGAGGCGCGCGAACGAGGCGCGAACGTATGGCGCGCGCGCAGGAGCGCGTATGACTGATCCTTTGGATAAGAGCTGGAATATGTAAGGAATATGTAGTTCGTGGGGCCATATGTCCGGCATTGAGAGGCGCGAATCTCTACATCGATAACGAACCTGCTCCCCTTTCGAATCTATTCAGTCAAAACCATTCCATTTTTTCAGGCCTCTTGGAGTGCTGTCGCTCAGCATGTAGTACTGCCGAGAAAAGCCAGGTTTTAGTAGTGACATCTAGTTGTTACCAAGTGATGGAACCGGCAAGCATGGCAGGTTTCCCAACTGTTCTTGTTAGACGTCCTGGAGACCTGGGATCAGGAGTCAACCTCAGGACAAGTCGCCCTACCCTGTTGATAGACAGATTGCAAGCTCTACCTGTAAAGCTGCAAAACACCTCACTTGTCCATTGTCCTTTACCGCCTCAAAAGCAATTTTATATTGGCTGTACAATGCCATTGTGTGTCCATGGCATGTATCAGATGACAGAGTTGCTTGGAGCAGGAAGCTCTGGTATGTTGGTATGCATACCACTTTGTTTCACACTCACTGACCTTACAGGACACATTACTAGTGCTTTCCATATCCTCACTGGCACAGAAGTTGCACTCAAATCAGGGACTGCATTGGAAGATGCACCAGACATGCCTTGCATAGTGCGTTACGAAGCTATGGTGTATAGCCTCCTGCGTGGTCACCCAGGCATACCATCATGCAAATGGAGTGGCCTGGATCGAGGATCATATGTCTTGACTCTGGAACATCTAGGTGCAAATCTCGAACAGCTCCACAGACTGTCCAGGGGCAAACTTCCTTGGAAGACCGTAGTCATGCTTGGAGTCCAAATGGTAAGTGTGTCAAACACTTGCGCTGATTTGATATTGATTTCTGTCAGTTGAACAGAGTTGAATTTGCCCACTCGCGTGGAATCATACTACGGGACATCAAGCCTGAGAATTTTGCGATGGGCATTGGGGAAAAGTCTCACTTTGTCTATCTATTGGACTTTGGTTTGGCGAAGCTTTATGTCAACCCATCCACAGGAGCACATATACCATATCGTGAAGGTCGCATTCCATTGGGGACCATGTCATATTCAAGCTACAATGTGCATCTCGGACGAGGTTCGGGAACATCATTCTTATTCTTATTCTTGCTTGTGGCTGACGAGCAAGGAGCAGAACAAGGACGGCGAGACGATCTTGAAGCATTGGGCAATGTCCTACTATCTCTCTTGCACGGCCGTCTTCCATGGGAAGACATCTACGCACCCAACAAAGAGGCCAGTTTGCGTCGAATGGCAGAGATGAAAGCTGAGTCTGCAGCATTTCGTGACCTGCTCGCATGTTCTCCTGCTGAGTTCACAACATACTTTGATCACTGCCGCAGTTTGAAGTTCGAAGAAAAGCCGAACTATGGGTTGTTGAGACAATTGTTTAGCCAGATAATGGAGAGGGAAGGATGGACAGGAAATACGAGGTTTGATCCACTGGATGGAAGTTCTGACAAAGGTACACTGGTACCCAAAGAGTATAAATTAGATGTCCGGTTCACAGGGGGAGATTTGACCACACTACAGGTCATGATAGCTCGCTTTCTTTGGCTGAGGAAGAAACTGTCAAGCGTAAAGGAGAAAGGTGGGTCGTCCTGCATTGGTGGCTAAACACTTGAACTCTGCGGTGTTTGACTGACTCAACTTGCTGGCTGGTAACATCATGGTGTACTTAGTACTATGCTGTATACAAGCGCTCCGGTCCCATTCACGCAAGTTCTCACAATCAATGTTTCACAATTTCAACATCTGAAGATCTGAACACCTGAACTGTCTAGCTCGCAGCTACTGGTTGCTTTCCTCAGTCTGACATGTCACAGTCGAGATGCTCTGGACTCATCTAGTCATTGCAAACTTGCGATCCGATCATGTCCCTGACTCCCACGTTAGTGGAGGAGGGCTTTGTCGAACACAAACAAATTCCCATGCATCAGCCCATGTGCAAAGCTGTGCACTTGGACAAAATCTAAGATTCTTAACTTTATTCTTGGCATCTGCTGCTGAGTGCTCTACAATTTTTGGCAAATACTCACCATCATACTTTTGTCAGTAGCTGAGCGCTGAGTCTTATTACATGGATCTCACCGCTCTTGGACATCCAAACCTGTGCGACGGCAGTTCTACATCTGTTTTTTTTTCATTTTCACTGCGATAAGGAATTTCTCAAAGCAATTGAATAGGTTGGTCCGAGGCAGCTCTGGTTCTACATGCGCCTGCCTCAGGCGGGTGCTTGTATGTCCATGTTTGTATAGGTGGAGCTCGCACTGGACGAACTAAGAGTCTTTCTGCGTGCAGAATGAGTCTCGCAGACTCACTTGTTGATCTATACTCACCCTCGGTGTTTACCCTCAGTCTGCGTAGAGGTGTCATGCGCAGGTCAATGGCTGTCAGGCGCTCCTCACTGGGCCTGTTTGCCCAGCTTTCTCCACCCGATCCTTGTCTTTTTGACACATAGTCCACGCAACTAATATGAAACATGACGATGAGAAATTTGTGAGACCTACCCACACTCTCTATACCTATAAAACCTAACTGTGGTCCCAAATCCAGCTCTCACTTGACTTCCCATGTCTCTAACATCTCTTGCTGGCGTGTTCTCATTGGTTGCTGATGAATATCCTCCATGGTTTGCCAGGCAATAGTGTATATGGACTCTGTCTCCATCTGCAGAGTAGACTGCTCAAATTAGTTACGACACCATGTCTACACCAGAAGTATATTCAATCGCCAAAACTCCAGTGACATGCCACACATTCAACACGGACCGCAGCCGTACATCCTACCTTGATGTATCTTTTGAATACTAAGTCGCGAACGTTTCCTTCGACACAGAGGAGCTTGAATGACAACAATGTCCAGATATATGCCAAGCAGGGAAAGGAGCGGATTCCAACCGCATCATGATTCATCACCGCCTCACAAGATCGCAATACATACATCTGTGCAGATTACAAATTGTGATCGTGTCATATGGTGATCGACTCTAGAAATATATGCCCTAAGAGGCAGAATACTGTTAATATAACATCGAAGGCAATAGAAAAAACATGTAGTGAAATCTTAGTACTTTGTTCCCACACTATAATCGTAAGTGTGACCATGAAGGCAAAGTTAGCAATAACGTTCAACATGATCCCGAGAGACAAAAGCAGTAGAGGGAGTACGGCGTGGAGTGAATCGTTTGAAACAAAATGCTAAAGGACATAGGCGTCAGGGAAGTAACTCGAAAATAACACTTTGACTCACTTTGATTTGTATCAAAGAAACGTCCTGTATGATGGGGATAGTACAAATACTATACACGAGTGAGCCAAATGACAAAAAGGCGGTCACAATCAGCACTATGTAGGAGGCAATGGAGGTTGTTGAAGGGTGCTGTGTGATACAGTCTGTTGCGATGAATAGCATCATGCTAGATAGCACTAAGGCCGATGATGCAAAGTATATCTTCGACCGCCTTTCTGCCCGTGCAAGAAAAACTGTCCAGTTGTCGGATCGCAGCTCGAGTCCTGATGGCAATGAGAATTTCAGAGCTGATCTTATCACGATATGTATGAATATTCTCTTCAAGTTTGAGGCTGGATTGTGTTGCACGTTCTCATCGAGGACCTGGACCTGCTTCCTGTTGGCCACTGCTGCCTCCCTGTTGGCCGCTGCCACCTCCCTCTCGGCCGCTGCCTCCTTCCTCTCCACCTCGGCCTCCTTCCTCTGCTCCTTGGCCTCCTTCCTCTGCTCCTCAGCTTCCGCCCTCTTGGCCTCAGCCTCCGAGTACTTTCTCTTGCCTTTCCCATTATGCTTGGAGATCGGTAACGTTGACATCGATATAGTACTGGAAGATGGGCTCGTATCATCCGCCATGATAGTGTGGCCTGAACTGTTGTCGTCCAATGTGTCCGAGTTGAAGAAGACCGAGGGACCCGAAGCCGAGGCACGAGATGACGAATAGAGGGTGCGAGCGTAAGTGCAGAGCGGCAGGCACGAGGAAGATGTGATGTCGGCCCTGAATCTGCAACGTATCATGTTTCACTTCAATATAACAATTAGAAAAAGACTTACTGTAGAAAGTACGCTCAGCGTTGGGGAACAACAACTGAGGTGCATGAGCAACGAGGCAAGATACTTATGCGAATGAAGACGGAGCTTGAATATGATACGAAGCAACAGCCATGTGATACGAAGCAGTAGCCATATGGTACGAAGTGGCGAAGGTTGCATCCCAGTTCTATCATAATGTTAATCAGTCCGTAAGTAGAAAAATGATCGCAAACAAATGACCGGAGGCCCAAGCAGTTGCGAAGACGCTTTCTTTTTGGGGGAGTGCCTTAGTAAAGATGTCGGCGAGATTGTCCTTTGATCTAACATAGTGTAATTTCAGGTGACCTTGTTCAACGTGTTGACGGATAGAATGGTTTTTGATGTCAATTTGCTTAACGCGTAGGGTAGAGCACGGGTACGGGTAAACCCGCAGCTTATCGCTGACAGGTGGGGAAGGTATGGGTGTCGATCCCCAACTTGTCCGCAATGATATTCCATGCGCTTGGACAGAAGCAATAATTTGTGGTACCCAGGTTCTGTACGAGTTAAAAGGCCATGATGGGTTGTGAAGAAATGCAGAAGGACCACGCCAATAGAAGTATCGAGGGAATTACAGTAATCCAGTTCAGCACCCTTTACCTACACACTCACCGTGATCCGTCTTAATTCCTGGAGGCCAACAAGACCGAGTGACAAGCGTGCTCAACGTTTCTGTTGCGATGAATGCGGAATTCTTGCAAATCGTTAGTAGTACTCAGTTGTAGCCTTTAGTAATTAGTGCTGCCGTGGTCCGGTCCTGAACCATGGTTCGAACTGGACTTTTGGTCCGGTTCTCCTGTGGTTCGGTCCACGGTCCAGGTGTCAGCCAGAACCGGACCATAGTATGGTTCTCGGTTCTGCCATTGGGCGAACGGTTCGACTTTGGTTCGGACCGGTCCCGAACCGTTCCGAACCGCGAACCGAAAGAAGCTTGCCACATTGTTGAAGCACACCTTGACACCTTCCTTTGATGATCCACTTTGGCCTCAGGGATTCTTAAGCTTCAAGATTTACTTGTTTCCATCAAATGCAGAGGCCCATTGACAAGGTAAGTCATGATATGCACTGTTCAAACTGATGAATCAGACCACACGTCTCATTGTGCAACTCCTCCCGCAAGCCCATCGTCCCACTCCTGCGAAACCACCGCCTCCACCCCTAAAATCAACGCGCCGACAAAGACCAAGCTCGCTTGTGCTCGCTATCTTGCGCCCGTTTTCTCATGCTTGCTCTCTCGTACCTGTCCTCTTGTGCCCATTCTCTCGTGCTAACTCTCTCCCACCTGTTCTCATGCCACGCCCCATCTTTCATGCCCTCCTACTTCTCAATGTCGCTTGGTATTGAGACCATCAACTGCGGCACAACAACAAGTGCCTGCCACGTTACCTGCGTCTTTGCGCACTCCCAGCCACCACCATTCACCACTTCCACAATGGCGCAAACACTTGCGGGTGGCGCTTTGGACCGTATTTTCTTGCAACAGTTCTGGACCCTAACTTCAAACGTCGAAACCCGTTGGACTGAGATGAAGGTTGCGAGCGGGAGAGCTCGTTTTGAAGCTGTGATAAGTCTTATTTGACCAACTTCCTAACTTCGCACCCTGCCATTGAGCACATCATCTACTCCGGTCTTGCCTTGTACTCACTACACGTTCACACACACACCTCCTTCAGCACACACACAGAGCAGTTTATCAGCACCTACTGTCTCCCTCGTTACTCGTATTCTGTGTTAATGCCTTGTGCTTGTTACACTCGAAATGATATCTTGCAAATTGACCGCTGCTTATCCTGACAGATCATTCATATTTAATGCGCACACAACTCGACTCAAAGATATTACCATAGGGTCTCTACCCACCTTCGTCATCAGGAAAAACCTCCCGGCCAAAATTTCAATAATCTTTGATAAAGTCCAAGAATTATGTCTAATTAGCAGCTTTAGGAGAATTAGGAAAATTATGTAGTTTAGAAGGACTTTCTTACCCCCTCGTAAATTTTGCATAATTATCAAGAATTAGCTGATACTAGACACAATTATTGTGAATTGCAGAAAATGTATTTCGAACTTTGCATTGCAAATCACCCACAATAGTCAGACGATGTTACAAGAAAAAACAACTGATATTTGATTACATAGAATATAGACACAAAAGTAATTACTGTATAGCTACAATTGACCGCAAATATCTAATCCCTGGCTTAGATTAGCAAAGCCGTACCTGTTGCAGCAAGAACGAGTGTGGACAAGCACATACAAGTGTGAACATGTGTGAATAAGCATAAGCTAATAAAGCTACATTAGTGAAACGCGCGAGTGGATTTATAGAAAAGACGTACAGTGACCCCTCGAAGGAGCATCGACACGCTGTGAAAGGCGGACAACGACTTCGATCAGCATGGCTCAAGCTCGAAGGAGGATCAACACATTCACCCGCTGCGAACGGCAGACAACGACTTGGATCAGCATGGTTCGAGCTCAGAGGAGGTTCGACACACTCACTTCCTGCGAACGGCGGATAACGACTTGGATCAGCGTGGCGGTTGCTCGAACGACGATTGATGCACTCACTACCTGCAAATGGCGGACAACGATTTGGATCAGCGTGGCGGATGCTCGAATGACGATCGACGCACTCGCCCGCTGCGAACGGCAGACAACAACTTGGATCAGTGTGGCGGTTGCTCGAACGACGATCAACACACTCACCCGCAGACAACGACTTGGATCAGCGTGGCTCTGGCTGGAACGAGGACCGACACACTCACTTCCTGTGAATGGCGGGACAAATGTTAAATAGAACTTTTAAAAAACCTAAGACATACCTATCAGCTTGATGATTGAGGCTGACGACGTTGAACGTTGAGGAATGAGGGATCGACGTCGGAAGTTCAAAAACTTTTCAAACCAAAGTCATGCGAGCCAAACAAATACACGCAAATGGTTTGATATCAACCAAACAGTCACGTGAGCAAAACAAATATGTGCAAATGATGAACTTCAACGAAATTTGCGTCATTCCTGCTCTCATGCGTCGTTCCTGCTCTCATGTGTCGTCCGCATTCGTCTGAGCCACGTCAGCAGTTGCTGACGTGCGCTGGGCGTTTGCGCATGGCGTTTGCTGAAGCCAGGCCAAAGCCGTGGCTTTTGGGCCCCGCATTGGTCAAGTACGAGCCGTTTTCTCATTACCTTCGAAATCACTCCCGCTCCTCTTTCCACCAACAGTCCAGGTTCCTAGCCACCTGGCTTATATCGAATGGTTCTCGCCGTTTCCGTTGGCTCCTGATCGACACCATGGCCTTTACAAGGTCTCGCGTTCCTTGCTTGGTGGCGCAAAATTGGCAAGCATTGTGCCATTGTCGAAGATCGTGTGGAGTGCCCATCTTCTGCCGAATTTCGGTGCCGTCGTCCCACGAGAGTGGTCGAGTGATACAGTTCTAGATGACTGTAACACTTTTTGGTTGAACCCGTATCTAGATAGATACACTTTCTGTATCTTCAAATAAATCTCGATAATTCCATTGTACATTATCGTCTTTTACATCAGGAAAACTACTGGTTGCTTATCTCACTTTTTGTCCCTTATTTTTTCGTAAATGAAAATCGGAACATTGCTTTTTTGACTTAATAGACTTTCTTACAAGCGAATTAAGTCGGGACCACTCAAAAAGAGGAAAAAGTAGTATTAAGTACAATAAGCAAACTACATGTAAAAAAGATACTAAGTGAGCAAGTCCAGAGGCATTCGAGCGCAACATCTGTAGATGAACGAACACGTCAAAATGGTCATGGGTGTATAAGTAGGAGATAGGCCGATCTTCTTCCGAGATGGTGAATGAGTACTGCTGTGTGCCGAAGTAGAGGGAAAAATCTAGTGAGTGTAAGTTCGCACCCATGCGCATCATCTTCTAAGTTCTTCCGAGATGGTGAATGAGTACGAGCAGGAATTGCCGAAGGGTTCAGAATTGAGGTGTGTGGGGTAGATGAAGGGACTTAGAGTCTTGGACGCAAACTCAACGAATGTGACAAGTCACACACGTGACCTGTGTTCGAATCGTTCCACTCGCTGTCCTTTGCAACTTGCTCTACACATGTCTCTGCTATGAACTTCCAAACTAATACATGCTTTCGAACACCACTCACCCTCTGTCCTTGACATACCATTCTCCGTCTTTGTGGTTCAATGTAAGTCCTTACCGCCTGTTCGCTGTACTGCGCTGAATGCCGTTCTCAGTGTTCAATCCTCATCATGCAAGCACTCTTGGAACATTCAATGCAGAACTACATATCTCCCACTCTCAGTCGGTGCGTGATCTTTTCTTTCGAGGTCCTTAGGCAACGCTGAATCGCTGATGGTGCCATGGCTATGTTCTGCTCTAAGTCGGTGCGTGATCTCGTCTTTCAAATTTCTTAGGTGATGCTGATGTATGACGGCTATGTCCCACTCTCAATCAGTGCATGATCTCATCTTTCGAGGCCCTCAGGCGACGCTGATGGTGCCACGGACCTGTTATGTCCCACTCTCAGTCGGTGCATATCTTGTCTTTGAAGCTTCTTAGGTGACGCTGACTCTGGTGCCACGGCCATGTTCCGCTCTCAGGATGTACATGATCTTGTCTTTCAAGCTTCTTAGGGCAACGCTAATAGTGCCACGGCCACGTCCCAACTCTCAGTTTGTCCTTACCATTCCTGGTGAGTTTTTTTTATTGAATTCTCATTGAGTAGCTACTGATTATACAATGTGTTGTAGATGGAGTCACCTTAATTTTGTGCTTATCACGCTTTTTATGTATACCTGTTATTCTGCTATCAAATGCTTGTACTGCTTTTTCTGCTTTATTTAAGTGAAATAAGTGTAAAATAAGCGAAAATCCAGACGACGAGTGGGCTTAATTAAGTGGCTCCCGCTTTTTCACTCGATCGACTTATGCGTCCCTTTTATGTAATTAAGTGACAAATAAAGTAGAAAAAGCAACCGGTAGTTTTCCTGATGTAGCTGTTTTATTCCTAAAACTTGAAATTAGATAGAATTATCAGAATAACATCGTTTAGCGCAAATTATTGAAAATTTTGCCCAGGAGGGTTTTCCTGATGGTAGATGCAGGAGAAAACTCTCGAACTTCTACCTGCGCTCCCTACAGAATTTTTGGGTCCGGTTCGGGTTCGGACCCCAAAAAAACCGAACCAGACCATAGAGAACCGTTCTCTGTGGTCCGGTTCTGGGTTCGGACATTTCATAGAACCGAACCAATGGTCCGGTTCTTGGTTCTCCTCTATGACCCTCTGAACCGGACTGAACCGGACCACGGCAGCACTATTAGTAATACATACTTTTTGAAGTGAACTCCATTACATTGACTAATTAGATTCATAACAATGTTATCTGCAGCTTCGCATCCAAAGTGCCCTCGTCATCTACATATTCCGTATTACTGCGACAGCACAATGACAGGTCAGTTCGAGTGATTAAGGAGAAGTGCGAAATGCGGCCTCCTCGATTGATAAACAAACTTACTTGTGCAATACCCAATCGCCCACCTCATTCCATATGTTCCAAGTCATTTTGGGAGGAGGCTTGAATTCAACGCCCTCGGGGGATCTATAGTAGACATCAACGGAAGCACAAGGAATAAAGTTCATTGTGAACATAAGACAGTTAGCACACCAGAATCCATGGAGTCACAACAAATTCAACCTACTGCCAGGGTACAAGGGCCAGGAATTCTGTGCCTGTTATTGATAATATAATTTCCAGCGCTTCAGGTGGGGCCGCACGATCAGGTTTCCGGCTATGTGCCTCGATTAAAAGTACAGCGTCAAAACGCACTTGATAGCTATGCTGACTGAGACCAATATCGGCGCAGCATAATCCATTGCTAGGCTCCAATATGTAGAAGCGAAGCCACCATATGCGTCCTGCAAGGGATGCCATCAGATCAATGAAGGAACAAAGCGAGAGACTTGGACCACACACCCCCTGCGACAAATTCGAAGCGCAGACTTTTGGCAGTAGCAGTGCGCAGGCGTTTCTGGAACATCCTGATTCGAAAAACAACATCGAACTGGTTGGTGGGTTCATCGCATGTATGTACCTGGACTTCATCTGGTAGACAACCTAAAAAGCATCTCGAACGCCTGTCACTTACTAGTATCCAAATCAGTGGTTTCTCCGGTGGACATTGCTGTGTGCTACTTACAGTTTCCAAATTTGAGCTCCTTAAACATTGTATAGTCGTTGGTTATCATGCAAGCAATGCGCAAGTCGGAATAAACAGAGGGACTCATGCCGGAAATGAAACCGTGCAATGCCCAAAGAGCTTGTGGCCGATTGTTCACAATCGCCCAATACAGTGCTGTGTGGCCCTCGATATTGAGTTGTTTCAGGAGTTTGGAGAATTCGGTAGCTGGGAGAGCAGCAGCGCAGGCATTGACATTTGGAACCACAGAAGAAAGGATGAGATTAGGGGCTAAGACGATATCACGGATGCGGGATAGAACAGCTGTACGTTTCTTCTTCATGCGACGAAAGGAAAATATAGATGATTGATCGCATTGAATGGGACTTGCTGAGATTGTGTCATACGAAGGAGGTGTACTGCTGTCATCAGCGACTTTGGAATCGGTAGCCATTGATGTTGTACGTAGTAGTAGGTGGTAGCCTAGGGGGTCAAATACACTGTATCAAATAATGTGAATAAAGGGGCGCGAGTTATGTGCGAAAATGCGATTCCAGGAATACGATTGTTGGTTGCGCTGGGTGACCACATACGTAGGCTGATGGCGGTAGTTTCTTATATATTCCAGCACTTACATACTACAGCAGATTTATCACGATGTAACCTTTCATTCGACGTCCAACCCGTCAGAAAATGCGTTTACCATCTCACATACAACTTCCCTTCCTTGCCTTACAATTTTACTTTCTTGAGGATGATGTACCTCTTTATTGTCGATTTTCATGTTATTGTTTAAACTTTACGTATCATCCTTATCAAATAATCGACTCTTCTCCTTCTACTTACCAGCAGTGCTATGGCCAATTCCATCACCACAGACAAACCGCACTGGACTGCTCTGGCCGCAGAGAAGAAGCAAAGGCAGTTAGAATCCATTCCACATGAGTGGATTGTGACTCCACCTTCGGACTCTACTCTGGACGTATCTGCTTTTCCAGAGACATGCGGCCTTCTGAACGCGAGAGAAATTGAGATCACCAATACTTCAGTAGATGTTTTGTTGGAGAAACTCGCATGTGCTGCATGGACAGCCGTAGACGTGACCACCGCGTTCTACAAGAGGGCCATCGTTGCCCATCAACTTGTAAGCCAAATTGCAAGGCGGCCTTGTTTGAGGACATCATTGTATTAACCAGGCAACGAGGTCAATTGCTTGACGGAAATTTTTGTTGATCGTGCATTGGCCCGAGCAGCAGAACTCGATGATTACCTGAAGACCACAGGGCAGGTCGTTGGGCCTCTTCACGGGCTGCCAATCTCCTTCAAGGACCAGCTATGTATCAAGGGACTGGAAACTACTATAGGTAAATAACAATCCTGGCATAGGCTTAACGCACTGTTATTCACCATGTCCTAGGGTATGCTTCGTGGGTTGGGCAGTACGCGGACGAAAACGCAGTGTTAATCGACATTCTGATTGAATGCGGAGCTGTACCATTTGTCCGCACTAACGTTCCGCAAACACTTGCGGTGAGCGCACCCTCGATGTCAATGTTACGCGTAGGCTAGAAGTATCTTTAGTGGCCAGAAACCTTCAACCATGTCTTCGGCCGGACGACAAACCCATACAACCGCTCTCTGACCTCGGGTGGGTCATCAGGAGGAGAGGGTGCATTAGTTGCTCTCAAAGGAAGCCCTTTGGGAGTTGGTTGCGATCTCGGAGGGTATGAAAAGGATTTGGAGATATCAGTGGTAGCCTTCTGATGGCTTCATGATAGTTCTGTTCGTATTCCCTCTGCGTTCTGCGGCTTATACGGCCTTAGACCTTCATACGGGCGTCTGCCATACTATGGTATCCGTGGTACACTTGACGGCCAAGATTCGGTTCTCCCCGTATTAGGTCCCATGGCAAACAGCGTCGTCGGTATCAAAGTCTTCATGAGAGCTGTGATTAATACTAAACCATGGCTCAATGACCCTCTTGCGGTTCGGAAGAAATGGGACGAAGACGAGTACAATCTTGTAGACCACGGCGGGTCTGGCAAGAATTTGTGCTTTGCAATCATGTGGGATGATGGCGTTGTTGTTCCCCACCCACCTATCAGGAGGTCTCTGGAGATCGCCAGAGCGGCTCTTCAGAATGCGGGCCACAAAGGTTTTTCTCGTCCAAGTCATCTACTAAATCAATATCGTGCTCATTGGTGGTAGTTGTTGACTGGAAACCCATCAAGCACAAATTACTTGGAGATATCACGGTAAGCAGTCGTGCCTTTTGTTATGTCTGTCTATTGACCTAGTAGCACTGTGCAGCGTGACATCTGGAACGCTGGTTCCGCTGAGGAATACATGATCACGACCTCTGCCACAGGGGAGCCACTAATTACATCAATGGGATTAGACGTCGCAAATGTTACAGTAGCATCCTTCCGTCCGCAGAACGACGGTATTACAGCATACCAACTCTGGCAATTGCAGAAGTTGCGTCAAAAAATCCGGAAAGAATATTTAGACCACTGGAAAGCAACTGCGTCGGAGACTGGGACAGGACGGCCTGTCGACGCCATCATCTGTCCAGCCGCCCCGTTTGTGGCAACTCCCCATGGGAAGAACAGGTTTGTGTTTGTAACTGCGGAATGATGCACTCAGGTCAATGAGAGGCGATGGGCAGGTACGTTGACTACACGGCCGTTTGGAACGCGCTCGACTATGCTGCCGCCATTTTCCCTGTGACCACTGTCGACTCCACTCTCGATGGGAAGGCACCTCACGCTTTCTACAACGACTTCGATAAGGATGTTTATGAAATGTGTGAGTATGGTGCCAGCACTCAACAACCTCTCAATACGTAGTTTTGATGCCTAATCATTGATCCAGACGATCCGGAGAAATTCAGGAACGCTCCTGTTTGTTTGCAACTTGTCGGTCGGACTCTGGAAGAAGAGGCGGTCATAAGGATGACAGAAATAGTCGACGCGGCGCTGTTAGCTGCCAAATAGGTACAAGGGATATCTACCGAAACGCAGAGCACTGGTTATCGAATGAATCTGCATCTTGGTCCAGCATATGCATTGTATCTTGTTGTCTCACACAAAGTCCCTCACCTGATCCTTGAACCATGCTTCATCCTTCCCCATGATTCTATTGACATCCGGAGAATGTAGGCGTCAATGATAGAAACACATGCACAAGCATCTTTAATTATCTTCGGTACTAGATGAGGACGGATTTGGATATGCCGCTCAACAATTGCGAGCATGTAGACTAGTACGGAAAACACTGCCTCACCATGCTCCTCCCGTGTCAAAATGCCGTACCGAAGAAAACCCGCGCTTCGCAACACGCAGCAGATCCACGAGGATAGAGACAGTGCCTTTCATCTTCCGTTGCGTTCTGATGAGATAACGACCATATGGCATATCAATGATGCCATGACCCTTGTCCTTCATCTCCGCTTACGACGAATTCAGCAAACTTCCGGAAATCAAACCCAACCACGCCAAGTCCGCTCTAAACCGTAGACAGCCTCATTTTCTCGTCCGCCTGCATTCGGCGTGCCTTCATGCACGTTGCACACTACCCAAACCATACTGCGACTCAGACATACCCCAAAACTTTCCATACGCTGTCCTTGACTCGCTTGTTTTGCGGCCCGATGAGCAATTCTAATTATGAACGACCGTGATCTGGCGGAGGTAGAAGATCCGGACAGTGCGATATGCTGACCTGCAGATACGAGGGTCTCGCGACAGGAAGCAAGAAATGGAGAGTACAATGAGAAACTGTGGCACAATTGCAAATTTGAGACGTTATGGTGTGAAAGTTCACCTGCCTCGGCACGTCCTCCTACATAGATGATTAGAACAGATGAACTTCCGGCACATCCACTTACCCCCAGGATCGAATGGTCGCCGTAGCGTGTGTTAAACTATGATAGCGTGACAGTTGATGCTGCTTGTACACATCCCGGTGGCAGGTCAACGTGGGTGGCGAAGGCGGTGTCCGAGTCCAGTCATCGATGCCCACTATAACGGATCCTCGTAATCGATCAAGATACCCTTGACTCTGACTTCTGGCATGTTCTGCCATCGCAATACTGAATGTAGACCGCTGTTGTATTTTTAGGGCCCGTACATACTTGAGCCCATGTCAATAGCTTTGCATAACATATAGAATTGAATAGACTCACATTGTTGCAGGTTTGCATATGATCTAGTAGTGAATCACAAGCAGGTGTAATTCAACCAACAACTTGTGATGAAGCCCAGGCACAATAAGTACATGCTGTGAGTCGGAGTCAGTACTGTTTTATCCAGTTGGTAATTACCCTACGCCAACGTTCGCCCTTCCAAGTGCCAGCACGACCATTATGGACATTCAGGTGATCATCGTAAGCGGTAAACAAGGTTATGTCACGAACCCTGGCATCTATCTCAGTTCATGCCCCAAACCATGATTCAGCAAACTCCCCAACATCAAATCCAAACAATCCAACCATCGCGGCTTGCACCAGATTGGGGCCCATATTATTCTCACCCACTCTGCTGGCAGACTTCCTTATCCCCCCACCTGCCCTGATCATATCCTCGGCAAATCCGGGCACACACCACCCAAACCATATCGCGACCCAAACAAACCCCAAGGCTCTCGTCCAAAAGCTGTCCTTAACTCCCAGTCGTCTTCCGGTCCGGATTAACGCGTCTTCAAGGGTAATAACGACTGCTTGCATGAAAAAGAATGGCATCGAGAAAAACGGTCGTGAGACAGCGGAGGTGGAGGATCCAGAGAGCACGATATCCCCTCCTGTATGTACGAGGCCCGATAATAAGAACGCAACGTAGATCTGTACGTATGATGATCCTGGTGTACCACGCTTAAACCCAAGGACAGATGATGCCGCTTTACCAAGAGGGGCGAGGAACTGGCACATGCACGTTCTCAGCTGATATATGCACAAATTTAATCAAACGCGCTCACCCATCTCAAGTTCTGATGCCATGTTCTCCTGCATGGAATAGTATCGGAACAACAGAGCTACTTGGCACATATTCACTCACCCCCAAGCTCGTCGAACGGTATATCCATCTCGCCAAGACCCAAACACGTCAGGCCACATTCTTGGCTTGTGCAATCCGAGAGCGACACTCCCTGCTGCCATTGCGAAGTAGCAAGCGTTCAAGGCCCAGTATGTGAGCCCAATGAATACAATTGCGTCAGCACACCGCGCCACATAGCTTCGTGTCCCAACCGTAACCGATGAACACGCAGGGTTGTACCAAACATACAGCCGTGCGACTTCAAAGAGGACTAGGTGGCAGGCAGCACGCAGGGAGGAGGTGAGGATGAACAAATATCTGGGTTGTTGTGGGGCAGCAGGAATGTGTTTCACCTGGAAATCAAGAATGGGGTGAGCCGGTCCGAATTAATTGGAACCGCAAGGGATTGTAAAAACGCACCTGATAGTTCCATCCAACTCCCCGCGGTGATTGCGTGACACAAACAACGTGGAAGATCCTTTTCCACCAACGTTCGTGCACTTTTCCGTTCTTGTTCTCTACAGACTTGAAATTTTTCAATGGTCTCCCCAGTAAGAGTAAATAAAAGCTTTGCACTGCATAGGTCATGACGACAGATCCTAGCATGTAGTCTACGTAGCCGACGCCAGTATCAATGTTCAAGCTCACAAACACGCTCGGGCTTATGATGAGCAAGCAGAACAAGGCGATGGCGAAGGCACCAAATAAGTTCCATGGAGGTGATGGGTCGAAAGAAAGTAAAATCTGCAAGGCAAGGAAGGGAAGTTGTACGCGAGATGGTAAACGCATTTTTGATAGGTTGGACGTTGAATGAAAGGTTACATAAATCTTCTGTAAGTGCTGTAATATATAAGAAGCTCACTTGGCACTGTGACGAATACCATCAGCTGCCAGCGCAACCAACAATCGTATCCCTGGAATCACATTTTCGCACATAACTCGCGCGCCTTTATCAGTTCGAAATGACTAGATAAGTATAGATTAGTCCAGAGCATCTCTATTGTCTGACCGCGACATGTCAGACTGAGGAAAGCAACTAGCAGCTGCGAGCCAGACGGACTCAGACGGTGTTCAACGTTAACGTTCAGATCTGCAGATGGAAGCCAAGTGTGAGAACCTGCGCGGACGGTCCACATGATTTTAATCTGTATTGAGTGCACGTGACAGTAATCGCTTTGAAATTACTTACCATCATGCATCGTGGGGTTAGTAGCGCCATATGCGACACAAGTAGCCTAGTCATGAAATAGAAACAAAACCTACATGCGCACATATGCTGTGCTGGTTGCCATGCGGGAACGTATCTGGAAATAGGAGCTTGGGCGGTGAACCGATGGCGGGCCGCGGCCCAGGCTTTACATTGATGGAATAGGGCGTTGATGGCCCAGTCAGATTGACGGTCAGTAGTAGCCTGCAAGTACTTGGCGTATCTGAAACGCGGTCAACGGACGCCAAGAGAGGAATTACATCTGTAATACACTTGGGCAGACCTAGTATGTTTACGATAAATCATTGTTAGCTATAGCCTATGAGCACAAATTGAGGTTCACAAAACGTGCTGTATCATCGTGGATTGGTCGTGACACTAAATGCTTATGCTAACAGCAGTGCTTAACAAGTACAGTAAACTATTAGATCTTACCGAGAAGTCAGGAAATGAGCAAGCTTAAAATATGCCTTCAACCCCTTATGCACCCTCCGATTTCTCAAGCGATGCCTTGTGTGCAAGTACATCCGCCAAGTCCTTCTTGCCCACGGACCTAGATACAGCCCATGCGCTGAACTCGTGACCCTGTGAGAACACATCTTCGATCTCCTCCAAAGAGCGCTGTGCTGTCTCGGGGAAGCAGAAGATGAAGTGGATGCAGGCTGCAAAGTTGAACGTCCCGAACACCAAATACGTCTTCCATTGGATGTTTTGCAACATCGGAGGTACAGCCCATGCCAAAGCGAAGTTGAACAACCAGTTCGTGGCCGTGGAGAGAGAGACGGCCTTAGCACGCACACGCATGGGGAAGATCTCGGCAGGATAGGCCCAAGAGGCAGGACCCATCGAAATAGCGAAGGAACACACGAAAAAGTAGGAACACACGATGATCGCTTTTGTGGCAGCGGGATTGTTGAGTACCACCCATGTAGCTGATGAAGAGAGAAGTAAGCATCAGAGTATCGAGGAGTTTAAACCTTAAACTTACCAGTACCGTCAACACTTCCCATTTCACCGAAGCGGGCCTGGAGACCACCGACGAGGTAGAGCCAGAAGCCCATGATGAGACAGCCGTAAATAAACATCGGGCGACGTCCCCATTTGTCGATGTAAATGATTGCAGGGACTAAAATTCAAGCGCATCACAATCATCGCCATCGATCAAAGTAAATCAATCTTACCAGTGAAGGCGACATTAAGGACATATTGCACAGAGTCTGCAATTAGATTCGCGCGACGACCAGTAAGACCAGCACCCTCGAAGACGTAGACGACATAGTACCTGTTTGGGGTGTAAAAACAAATTGAGTGGCCAAAGGCTGGAGAAAACTCACATCATAACATTCACACCAGTAAGCTGAGACCACATCTGGAGAGACGTGCCAAGGAAGACACGGCGCATTACCCCACGCTTGAAGAGGTCTGACCAGGCCTTGGCACCTTCAGTTCGTTCGAAGTAAACCTGTGACTTGATTTCCTCGAACTCAAGGACGACGAGCTCATCCTGCTGATTGCCTCCACCGTGCAGGTCAGCAAGAATCTCCAAAGCTTCTGCCTCGCTGTTAAGAAGTATGAGATATGAGTTTGATATATATAAAAGGGACGCGTACCGGTCATTATCGACGAGCCAACGGGGGGACTCGGGGAACGCTAGCATACCGAGAGAAAGGACGATAGCGGGGATCATCTGGAGACCCCATGGGATACGGAATGAGGCAGTACCGTTTATGTACGAACAACCGAACTGAACAAAGTACTGAAGCAAGATACCCCAGGTGATAGACCATTGTTGGAAGGAAACCAGGCGACCACGGATTGAGGGTGCAGCAATCTCGGATTGATAGACAGGGACAACGGTGGAAGAGATACCGACGGAGAGACCAGAAATAATACGGCCAACGACGAGCATACCACGGTTCTAAAGCAGCATCTCAACAAAGAAACAATGACTTGACAGGATAATACACTCACAATCGACGCGCACTGAATAATAGAACCAATGACCCAGAAAATACCAGCAAGGATGATCGTCTTTTTGCGCCCAAGCTTATCACCAAGGTAGGTAACAGAAAGAGCGCCAATCAGGGACCCGGCGGGCATAGAAGCGACGATGGCACCCTGTGCATTGGAAGTGGGCTGCACGAAATCTTGTGAATCACACACAAAAGGCTATCAAGAAATTAAACGCACGTTGTGGAAAGTGTTCGCGTATGCGGGGTTCTGTCCAGGGTATATACATCAGCATCGTCGAAATTACATTAGGCGTGGATGATCATGGGCTCACGTTCAACACTGCGGACATGGAAGATATGTCCAAACCGAAGAGGCCTCCACCGATACATGCGAATGTACCGACGATGTACTATCATATGAATATCAGAATCCCGTCCAAGTACGAACACTTATAGGAGCTTATGATCACTCACTGGATTCGAGGCGATCCTTGCGCTGTACTGTTGAACGCATTAAGCACGATAGCCAAGGGATTAAAACAAAGTGCAACTTACACCTTTGCCCATTTTGACGGGAGGAAGTGAGGACAAATGAAGACGGGGAACAACATCATGATGTCGTCGGGACGCTGCATTTTATTCAGTGTCAGGCACCAACCGCATGGAACTTGTGGGGCTCAATTTGGACAACAAAATTGGAACGTGGGCATGCGACCGTAATACTAATCGGTATAATGCTGACACCCATCAGTGGGCAACTCGGCATCAAGCGCGAACCCAACAACTGGCGCTCGATGGTACGTACCGATTTGGTTAAGTGAACAACGAAACACCATATGGCATGATGGAATGCCTGTTCATAAGTTTGAATCTGGGCCGAATCGAATCCGCATGGACAATATGCAATGAGATGCGGAGAATGCGGGGCAGCTGCCAGATGTTTGGAACAGCTAGCGAATATTGATGAATTGATGAAATGAAATTTAGTACCCTAGTGACTCCAGACATATGGAATGCAAGCGAACTCAACAAATTTGGCCTCCATACGGTTAAGACAGGCGACGCGCTGGCCGCATCACGGTGTCACTTCGGAACTCAGGTTTTCAAGTTGTGGTTGAAAAATTATCCCAGTTGGCCGGTGCAAAATTGCTGGTTTCCCATGTAAAATAAGAATTTCATATTCTATAATTTGGGCATGGGATTGTACAGGATGAGGCCCTGAAGCCTGACTGATGCAGATCGGCTGTCTTGAAGTTCTATGCGTAGATTGTAAGCACGAAAAGGCTTACTTATAGAACTGCCTGCCTGCAGAGTCCGTTAGTGCGTGCCAGCTATCGCCGTAATTATTACTTCTTCGCCGCACATGCTGGATCATTATGACTCACAGATACCGTCAAACGTTACGAGACCTTCATTTCTTTCTTGCCCTTATCAGTTGCCTGGAAGCTCTACCAAACGCGGAGTGAGAGCGGAAAGAGATAGCACAGCCTGAATCTCAGGTAATCATTGCCAGTGGTTGTTGTTGCACTGTGGCTCAGTGGCCCTCCAGCGTCGCACGAGGGCAAGGCGGCCAAGGTCACATCGTGCACTAAGCAAAGAGTTCGGAAATCGGTCATTTCATCCCGATTCCAGTTTCCAAAGCATGATGGTATATCCTGGATCCAGTTAGTTGCATAATAGTCTGACAGCGCTAGTCAGCGCCAAATCAAAATTTGCCACGTCTAACCGCCGGCCCGCCGTGAGAGGCCGTGTAATACAAAGTGTTTGTAAGAAATCAAAGAACAGCGCTAGCAAGGTACCTCTTTGTGCAATTCCATTCTCACGTACACCCCCTATGTAAGGCTTTCTAATAGGATCTCCCAAACATGGTCCAACGCTTCGCATCCTGTCCACAGCCAACGCATTTCGTTTCTCCCGGTTTGATGGGAGACCAACGCTCCTGCTCGAACGGAATAGCAAGGGATTTGGCTCCTGCAGACGGGGCACGCTCGTCCTGCGGCTCCGCACTGTTCAAAAATATAATGTTAGATGCCGTTTAAATCTCCGAGGTTCCCAAGACATAGTGATTTGGATGAGAGACCGTATAAGACACTCACGCTCTACCGCTTCGCTCCTTGATGTCATCTTCACATGCTTCACGCTCGCACCACGGAATGACAGCTATGCACTTGCTATCCAATGTGGGGACAAAGTCTTCCCATCGTGTAACTTCTTTTAAATGCGCATTGTACTCAGCGAGGGCACGCTGGAACATCTCATTCTGGATAGTCTCGAGCATCCTCGGGATTGTGGCGGCAAGGTCAGCGAGAGCAACAGGGATCTTTGCACCGGTATCGCGACGCACGGACAGCGTCTGCTGCTTGACAAGATCGTTCGGCCCTATCTCCAGACGAAGGGGAACACCCTATTCATGGAACGGACCACATGTCAGAGGCAAGCGAGCGAAGCCAATGGTAAAGAACGTGCCTTTTGTTCCCAGTCATTGAATTTATATCCAGGGGTATAACCCTCCCTAAGATCTGCCCTCGCCCGAATACCCTCATCTATCAGAGATTTCGCGAGGTCATCGCAGGCATTGTTGATTTTAGCTCTGTCTTCATCGCTCGTCTTTGCTGTGATACCACACGGAA